AGTTATCTGGGAAGATAATATTTTCTAGATATTAGGGTTTGTCCTCACAGCTGAGAAACAATGTGAGAAAGACATTAGTGAACTTCTCTAGAATTCTAGCTGTTTCTCACCTAAAATTTCCAAGTGAGAAACAAGCTGAGAAAGACCTTAAACTCTAGAAAACATATTTTCGTGTAATAACAAATGATTCTTAGGCCCTCTCTTCTTAGAAAAATTATTGTAGCGCCGGGCTATCTCTTTCATGCAAAAAGAAAAAAGGAAGGGGAGGTGCTCCGAGAAGCCCTTTCCTTGAGCCGATTTATCCGAATTCGAGCTCCCGCTGATTGGGTGCGCCAGGGCGAAGCTCTCTCCACCGCGCTCAGTATGAATCTGAATGTTTCAATACTGCCAACAAATTTTTGTTTGACGTAAATATCGTACAATAAGGAGTAAGATAAGTCAATGAAAGACAACTGCTTCAAGGATCTTAATGAAAGAACGATACTTTTATGCTTTGATTTTTATTCTCATCAATTACCAAAATCCGGGATTCTCCGACGGAGAAAGGCGGGTTTGAAGATGGTCTTCTACCAGCGCCGGAGGACACTTGCTGCTGAGAATTTTTCTTCACAGCATGGGCAAATCACTATCCCCGTCCCAAGAGATGGCTCCGCAAGTGCATTGACAGCTCTTTCAATCTTTTCCACACACCCACGGCAGTAGGCATGGCCGCAAGGGAGGGAAATCTTGCAATGGTGGTGATGAAACGACTCGCGAATCGAGCCATGGAATCGCTGCTGTTGGAAAGGTTCAATACAGAAACCGCATGATTCTGCTCAAATTAACATGATAGTAAGTTTTTATTAAAAAACTATACCTCCAAAGAGTATCGACCGCTGTTCACTGACCATATATCGGATAGGACCTTCTAAATTGCCCCAACGGGAACGAAGGATTGCCCTAGCTTGCGGTAGAGGTCCGGTAAAGAGAAGCTGAATGATATCAGCCATCTCGGTTCTCTCGATGTCTTCTCGTCTCTAAACCTTTTTCCCAGTTTTCGGAAGGATGCTATGAAATGTGGAGGTCGAGTGGAGGCGCTGGGGAAAAGGGAAAATGCACAAGTCTCGAAATCAAAATCGTTAGAACGAACCATCTGACACTTCTTATGGCTAGTTGTCCATCAGTGATGGATCAATCTTGTTATCGTTCTATTGATGATGTCAGAGCAGTGATATCCTTGAGTTGATTCTAATTTTTATATGGAAATGATGGAGAGGGTGCTCTTGTGGCACTTTCGTCATATTTGCCTCCTGTGGCACTGTCTCTCCTGTGGCACTTGCGCCTGTTGTGGTATACCACAGGAAAGACAGTGCCACAAGAGGGACAGTGCCACAAGAGAGACATTTTCAAAAGCGTTCCCTATCAGATTTTCAAAATGATAATCTTCCTAGGGAATCCGCCGGCCAAGCTCCACGCGCGTGGCTCGCAGTTTTTAGTTTCTATTTTGCCGTTAGAACTTTTTCTGATTAAAATTTATTTTTCTACGTGGACGAAACTTTCCTTGACCTTTCATTGTCATTTCGTCAACTAATCATATCTCTTACTAACAGTGAGTTTTTCCGAAAATTTGGATTCTTGATATCAAGGATACAGAACTTATGCAACTGTTACATTGTAACATAACTCAATCGTCTATTGAAAGTTTAGTCCACCCAAAAAATTCATGCAAATCGAAAAAAGTTATCAAATGGAAAACAGCGAGGCGCGCACATGGAGATGGCTCGGTGGACTCCCTAAAATTATCATTTCCAGGATCTGATAGTTGAAAATGTCTCTCTTCTGGCACTGTCTCTCTTGTGGCACCGTCTCTCCTGTGGTATACCACAGCGGCCGCAAGTGCCACAGGAGAGAAAGTGCCACAAGAGAGACAGTGCCACAGGAGCACCCTTCCCGGAAATGTTATAGAACTCGCTTTCGTCAGACTCTCTCGTGCGCCTCTCGTCATATAAATACGTCTTTTCGTAAGTGAAAACAGCTCAGAACAAAACAACAAAATAATGGCAAGAATTGCTATGATTTTTAACAACGTACATTCGCCCAAAATCCACAAAGCCAGGAAGGACCAAAAGAAACTAAACGAATGGGTCTGGCAACGACAGGATTCCGCTTACTATATCTTCATGCCTGTAGCTGAAACGGACAGATTCATGCAGTGCTGCCACATCACCAAGACCGAGCACAAAGGAAAGAACATCACTATCTTCGGAAGAAACCTCTTGCATGACATGAAAAACTGTACAACAACCTATGCCAACTGGCGAAAAGATATCCGAATTCCGGAGGACTCCGAGGTCTCAGTGACAACTTTTGTCGACAAACTTTCCGTGGCTGTATCCATTAGTAAAATTACTCTGCAATAATTCTTTCTTGCAACAATCATAGTTTCTGTTACCCAATTCTGCGAAAATTCTGTAAATGCTTCTATTTAGATTTCATTCACAATCAAATAAAAACCTTTTACTGAGGAACTTGTTTATTGAAGAGCATCGTTTTTGAACAGGTTGTTTAAAAGGTACAGGTAGCAGAAGTCAGTACTAAATTTCAATAAATATAAAGCTACAATCTCAATTGTTGCCAGGCTTGCGTCTGTGACTGCATTGGGTTGTCAGCTTCTTGTCGGAGGAGAGCTTCTTGAGGGCCGATGATGGTGTCCGATCGGATCTTTGGATTCACAAGGTATTTTTCGTTAACACGAAGTAAATCAGAGCCAGTCACGCTTTTATGAGTTCAGCAAGTTTTCCAAACAATAAGTAAAGTATATGCCGAGAATAAGTTATTGCAGTTACAGAACCATTCCTGAGAAGCTCATGTCTTCTTTTAGCAATGTCGTCAACCGAAAGATAATTTTTCCAAATTCCGACGCCTCGGCTGCTGTGAGCGATTGGCGCGTCTACTCCCTACAATTTAATTTTATTAAAGTTATGCAGTGGTCACGGAACTCATACCTGAAAGACCTTCAAAATTGCTTCATTAACATCTCTTTCCGTCCACTGCTGTTTCTCGACCCATTCGACTGCGTCAGAGTATTTAGCTAGAGTACGCAAACCGGAAGGATCTCTGTAGCTGAAGAATCTGAAAGCACCGCCAGTATGATTAGCTCCTGCTCCGTAAGCGCCGCCGAACTCGCGAATTTCACGGAGAAGATATTTGGATCCCATCATTGCCGAAAGCACTCGCAGGGAGGCAACATCTGGATGAGAGTCGTGAACAGTTGAAATTGCTCGGGACACGAAATTGATCGGGAAACCAAGATTCCATGTAGATTTGCTCAATGATTCGAATGTTGCGGCTTCTGGAACAAGAGCTGCTTTTCCGGATCTACTGGCGTCAAAGAGTGAATCAAGTTTGCTCGTTTTGTCGGAATCAGAATGTACCAACGTCTTGAGATGTTTCGAGCTAAATATAGGATGTACGTGTATTCACATGATATTACCAAACAATAGCGTAAACTCAAAGAAGTTCTTTATCAAAAATAAAATTCATGACGCACAATTCATCAATTTATCCATTTTCGTCAATGATAAAATATCAAATACGTAAATATATCTATTTAATTTGGATCGCAAATCTACGTTTTATGCCTATTGCAAATTCTCATGCTCAACTGTACCAAATTTTAGCATGAAGCTGTTTTAGCTCATTTGACAAGCTGTCGAAATCATTTTCTTCGACTGCTTTCTTCATCGTTTTGATGGCTGTAAGACCAGACAAGGTCTCATTCAATTTGCCATACGCCGTTACATTCGAATGTGAATACTGCATTGAATACTGATGTCCGACACCAACAATGCCGCCATTTGCATTAGAGTATGCTTCGTTGAGGACAGTCTTGATGCGCTCTGGGTTGAAATCTGGTCCGTTTGCGTCCAGAAGAGTTTTGAAAATTGGAATGATTTCGTCCAGTTTTTCATCAAGTCCGTAGGTGTAAAAGTCAAGTGTTGGTCTGGCAATATCAACATTATCACGGTCAGTAAGAATACCAGTTTTGACACTGAAGCCACCAGAAATCAAGTTCTAATCGATGATTTAAAAAATAGCTGCTCAAGAACATGAGTAGTATCTATTAAGATATATCTTTAAATCCCTTCCTGAGCGATTCCAATCTGTCTGTAATCGTATTCTCCTCGTCCAATTCTAGTTAAAACAGACTCATACAGTGGCAATAGCTCAATTTCCCTTTGAGACAAGCCATCGAGCTCAACCATTCCGCGCAAGTACGTCATTCCGGATCCTGAAGTCTGCAGCCAGTGAGTGTTTTCTCCCGTTTGGGATGGTACGAAAGAGGTCTTTTCTTGAGGAATGTCTGAAACTGACAGTGTCGGCAGACAGTCAACGTTCGGTGTGGCTAGCTGCTCTTCTTCAAGTTCCATTTCTAAGTCCAGTAACTCGAGTTTTTCCTTTTTCGACAATTTTGAGACTTTTTCTTCTGTAAGATCTTCTTCCATCTTTGTTTGAATATCTTCGTATTCTTTTTGTGCAATCATCTTGACCTTGTTAACGTGCTGATTTTTGAAAAACAAAGGTTCGATGAAGTCAATTAGGTATGAGGGATTCTTCGCGAGTTCTTCTTTCAGCCTTTTGACGTAAGATAAAGTTTCAAGGGAATCTTTCATATCCGCTCCGTGGAGAAGTCCCGGATGAACTCCGAATGTAAGATTTAATCCGAATTTCGGGGTCTGATGACGAGTGGAAAGCTCAATCTGGTGAAGAATCGCATCGATCCTGTCTTGTGGAAAGCCTTCCTGTTGGGCTCGTCGCAGTCCGGAAAATACTAGTTCATGAACAGCGTCAAGATCCGCTTCCGCTACATCCTGAAGTCCTGCAGCGAAGATAGAGTCTTTTAAATACATCCAGAAGCCTGTTCCAGGAGAATACTCTGATCCGAGTCCCGATTCAATCAGCTCTTTGTAAAGTGGGCTGCTCGGGCCATCGGAAAGAAGAGAGCCAAGAATCTGCCCGATGAAGTTCATCCATGTGTCATTCCGGTCGCAAATGCCAAATCCTACTGCGGCCGTAGATTGCTTTGTTACGTCGTTTGCGGACTCATTCCAAGGCCCATACCAGGTCGTCTCTCGGGCACTGGGGAAGCTCGATTCTTTGAGGATTTCCTTGGCGGGGGCACCTTTAGGGACTGAAGTAAGGGTCTTATTCATGTGGGCAGCGGTATCTTCGAGCACAACATCGCCAAAGGTGATGATATGAGCATTGGCAGGACTAGAAATGTTTAAATTTTGGAAATTTTTGTTGCAATAACCTGTAGTGATCTGCGTGGAATTTCTTCAATTCTTCGTATGTAAGCGATGGAATGGACATCGGTTCACCTCCAGAATTGTATTGATAGGTACCAGACGGACACATAGCGGCAATAAAACGGCGGAAAAATAGCTGATCACGATCTGCCATTGCACCTTTCATTTCATTGAACACGACGCCTTTCAGAATAAGTTTTTCTGGATCATCAGATCCGTCATCTCCTTCGCCCAGCCGCCATGCCTCCTGATTAAAATCAATGTATCTATTTCACGGTCAAAATTTGCTGAAAATTGTTTCTCAAATAAAATTCTTATTTTGGCCAAAGTTCCTTAATTGAGGTTGGAAGACAGCGTCAAGATAAACGGCAAGAAGGTTTTGAAAGTCCTGCTCGTTTGACGTTTGAAATGGATACATCGTGTAATCGGTTCCAGTCATTGCATTCATGAAGGAGTTAAGCGAGCGGTTGATCATTTTGAAAAATGGATCCCGGACGGGAAAGTTCTTTGATCCACACAGAACAAGGTGCTCTAAGTGAATTAATCATAACATGCTCTAATTGTTCAAAATTACCTAGAATGTGGGCAACACCGTTGTCGGTAAAAGGAACGGTGCGGAAGCAAATGTTAAAGACTTTCTCCGTTTCGCCCTGTTTATCAATGTGCGTCCATTTGGCTTCACTTTCTTGGTGCAATCGCTCGGTAACTTTCAATTTCAAATCGTCTACTTCGAATTGGTTCACGACATGGAATCCTTGAAGATTCGACGTCAGACGACGAGATAATGCCCGACCCGCCCTTAGCATTCTAAAAACAGCCAAAGTCACACATTTTTTTTTTTGAAAAATGAAGAAATCGTCGATTTCTGATCAATTCAGAGTTCGATTATGAAAGTCATCGCACTCTTCTATGTCTCCAAATCAAAGAAATTCTGAACAGCGGAAAAAGTTAGGGCCTAGGGGTCTCGTTTTGCATTAGAATGGGTCCACTGCGGCTTTTTCTTCTCCATGAAAGAGTTGATTCCTATTTGTGTGTCCGCTAGTTGAAGATTCTCGTACATTGCGTTTTCCATCAAATCTGCGGCGCCTTGAATCGGTAGATCAACTTGGTCATAGAACTTTTGTTTTCCAAGTGCTTGGACGCTTCGAGAAGTGTTTTCAATTTTGTTGATCACATCTGAAAAGCGTCATGTATTTTATTATCGTAGTTATGTTCGAGATAAGCTCGATACACGACAATAAAACGAACCTTCCACAGCAGCAACACACGCATCATAATCGCCGACTAATCGGGAAATCATTCCAGCTCGATACGCATCGCTTGCCTCCAGAAAATCTCCAGTAACAAGTAAATCCATCGCAATCTTTCGAGGTACCGCGCGGGCAAGTTCAACCGCGGGTGAGTGGCAGTATAACCCGATGGTTTTTGCGCCGGGGACGCTGAACTTGGCGTTTTCAGATGCAATCGTAATATCTTCAAAAAATCATTAAAAGTCGAAGACATGAGTAACTAATACCTGCTGCGATTGCAAGTTGAGCTCCAGCAGCAACAGCAAGCCCTGTAACTTGAGAAATCACAGGCACATCCACTCCCCTGATTTTCTTCATAACTTCTTTGCATGTTCCGAAAATCTCCTGATGAAGTTCGAAATTCTTAAGTTCCGCTACATTATGTCCCGGCGAGAAAATTTTAGGATGAGCTGATTTTATCACAATCGATCGGTAATCGCTGAAATCGTCACTAAAAAGTATTGACATAATAGTCAATAATATTTAGACAAAAATACCTGAACGCTTCGTTGAGCTCTCTAAAAGGATTTGGCTTGTTTATAGAGCTGAATGCTCATTCTATTTTGCGATTATAATCCTTTCCTGAGCATATCGATTCCAAGGGCATTTCGGCCTTTTAGGTCCGCTAGCTCGATTATTTTTGTGTTTCCAGTGCGAGTTATGTTCAGTAGATTACGACAAGCAGATGTAACGCGCATTTCAATCAAATATCTTAACCCAAATTTAGTGTTCATAAAAGTAAAGGTACTGAAGTCTTCAGTCTGAAGATAGCAAAAGTTACTAAAGTAAGTTGAGTGCACTCGACCTACAATGCTGAGCGAGAAAATATGGTCCTAAAGTTTTCAGTTTTTTCGAACTCCCAAATGTACTTTTGGAACATATTAGTAGGATGTATAAAACATCAAGACGTCCATTGAGAAATCCAGCCTCCCTGAATAAGACCGGAAGTGAAAATTAACAAGAAATACTACTATTAATCTACCCTATCGATCGAAGATCTCCGTGTGAAGGCCTTTTTTAAGCTTGGAGGCCCAAAATGTTGGCGCAGACTTTCTAGCTCGAACCACTTCGTGCAGATTAGGATCACCAGCCGCCTGCTCGAGCGCATTCGGCGGAGCATAAAATTAAGCTTCAAAATCTACTATAAATTATACTCAATCGTCTTTCTTGAAAACAGAAAAAACATGACCCTAGATTTCAGCAACGTTAAATTGCCGAATAAAGAGAACATATCGCCAGAGATGAATATTGGTAAGACTTTCGAAATAATTAGTTGTTCCCTCGAATCATAATCGAACTCGCGAGTAAAAAAGCTGATGTTTTGTTGAAACTTTAAAATATTTCTCAAGTATATCCTTGTCTATTAGACAATATAAGCTTCTTTTGATTACGCCAGGAGCCGGAAAACTCGAACGTTAGATATTCACGTGTGAAAGTTCTCCAATAGAAAAAAGAGTAAAAGAAACATTACCAGAACGCAAAAGAATAATAAACAAGATATAACGATATCATTTTTAAAGTCGGAATCCTGAGAATTATCGCTCTGTTCTCACAACACGGCCGAGTTAGTATTTTCAAATATTGATCAATCTACAGACTATTAGGACCTTTGTTTTCTGAAGAAACTTGTAGAGTAAAACTCTGTTTCAGATTTATTCAAAATCGAGCCCATGGATTTGGACGTGGGGCCGCTGATCAAGCTCCCGAAGGGAATCGCTGAAGACATAAACGACCCAATTGATGTGCTCAAGATAGACCCGCTATTCATGCCCAAACCGGACAAAGAAACAGAGCCAGTCGCGGAGAAGAAACCGCTGAATTTGTCCACCAAAGAAAATGAAAAATCAAGCTCAAAAGAAGAGCCAAAAAAGGCTGGAGAGAAGAAACTCAGTACTAGTTCTTCTCTTAGCTTGAAGTTCTACAAGTGCAAGTTCTGCTACAAAACCTTCACTTCAAAGGAAGATCAAATGGAACACTCTGCGAGAGCTCACTTGATATGTTCGGAGGTAATTAGCGATCTGTAAAGGCGAGTCTAATTGTATCTATAGTGCCCAAGAATGTTCGATTCTCGTGTCGGTTTGCGAATACACAAGGCCATCGGCCACGGACCCTTCAAATGCGAGCTCTGTCCAAAAACATTCAAGAGTTTCAAGCAACGCGACGCACACCGCCGTGCCCATATGGACAAAGGACCCCTTATCTACTCCTGTCGAGACTGCGGAGAGAAATTTTCCACAGAAGAGGGAGTCATTTGCCACAAATCAATTTACCAAGGTATTTTCGAAACTCATGTTTCCTTATTAATAATATTTTAGGCTGCTGCGAGCACAGCAAAAAACTGCCTAAGCAAAACAACTACCGAGATCGCCGAGCTCAACGAGTTGCGATCAGTACGCTCAGATCTGTGAAAATCATCTACCGCCTTCCCAATGACGCTAATTTACTCGTTGTGTAGCTATTACTATATTTTACTGTACTGTAAGCCTGTGATCTCAAGCTAGAGGTCAATACTTCAAGCTATTCCCGCCATTTTGTAAAATGAAAATAAATTTTTTCAACTTATTTCAAGCTTCTATTTGTACAGGCACATTTTCCTGAATACTGGCAGGGATATGTTCAGGTCGAAATAATTGAGCTTCAGGAGAATTAATAGGTTCAATCTCAGGAAAAGACGCAGAAAGCAATTCAAGTGCTTCGTTTTTTCTTTCATCTTCTTTCCAACCGGAGGCAGTGGATGATAGGGGCAGGGCGAGCTCCTTTATTTGGTGGTCAGAGCAGAGCTTCAAGAGGGCATTAAATACAGTCAGATCTTCGGTCCGCTTCAAAACATTAACAATGGGCATAAGCAGCTGATGGATATTACGTTGCAGATTTTCTTCAAGCTTTGAATTCATCCAGGAAGAGACTAAATAGATCTTGAAACTTTATGTTCTTCAAAATTTCTTACCTTCTTTTTTCTGAAGCAATTCAAGAGCAAGGCTTATGACAGAAATAAGGCCCGTTAGCCCAACTTCCCCCGATTCGTAAACAGGAGGGCAGATAATATGTGACGAGTATCGAGATAGAAAGAGGCCAACTCTTTTAGCTTCATTTTTCTCCAACACTGGCAGGAGCTGAACAAGAGCGGTAGAAACTGCCATTGAAAATATGCTCTTGACGTTTTCATCGTCGGTTAAAGATGGCTCTAACTTGAGGTCTGCTCCGAAAGCGACCGCGGAGAGAAGACAGGAAATCGGAAGGCCGCTCGTTTCGAATTCAACCGGATACAGGTTGTTCACGGACTCGTTGGAGCAAAGTGCAAAAACGCCTCTTGGCAAACATGTTCTAATTTTGATTTAGCTTGCTTCTCCTTTAACTGAAATACCTCGGTAAAGAACAAGTCGTAAGCCAAAATAAATCGTCGATTGAAATCGACTCCGTTGAGTCAGTGACTTTCGAACAGAGCGAAGACGACAAGGATCGGACGCCATAGGGGAAATTCATAAAATCGCGGCAGATGCTTTCATGAATGTCAAGAATAACACCTCCGAGTCTTTCAAACTCGCTGTATTCGATCTTCTTTGTGTGGGATGCGACGATCTCCCAGAACCATTGATTGTCGAAGAACTCTTATCATTAGGTCAATAGTTATTTAACAAAATTGCGTTTCATGAAATCGAGTATAGTCTATACTGTATAGACCTTCCCTATCAGTTCCGAAAGCTCGTCGAAAGCATGGAGAAGTCCCTTTTGGTTGTCCTTGTAAATTAAAGGTAGGAATTCAACCAGTTTGATGATGCAGTTCTTTTCAACTGCGCTTTCTATTCGTCGTTCAAATCTTTCCTCAAATGACTCGTAGATAAACTGAGTAAACGCAGACTGTCGCAAGGGTCAGTAATTTAAAAAATACTTGAATTAATCAGTTTAAATTAAAAGTTCTCCTTTGTAAACCCCGACATAAAGTGATTCCGGAAGAAATAATGCGAGTCGCACAAGACTGATTTTACTCGTCATAATCGCATTCGTGACGAAGTTAAAAGTCCGCTTTGGTGACAGAGCAGCAAGTTTGATCCCGAATTCGTCGATAATATCGTTAGAGTTTTTCCGGAAGATGGCGGCTATTGGAACTTTGAATAAATAATCAGGAATTGGATCACCATCATGAAGAATTTTGTCCGCACTAATTGATTTCTAAGAACAAGTGGTTAAATACGCTGACCTTGGAAGCGGAATCTTTCGAGCTTCTTCAAGGGGTCCATTTAGAACTCGATCTTCTAGGATAGTTGCCAGCTTCTTGAGATTCTCTTCGTCTTTCACTCTTCCTGAAGTAATGATTTCGTGCAGCTCAACTACAGTTAGCAACGAAGAGTTTGACACAACCACATCTTCCGACAGGCACTTGGAATCGACCGGTGCGAGGCCAAACTTAAATTGCTCCTCGTAGGTGAAGACATTCCCAGTTAGTGTTTGAAGCGTTCCGCATTGGAGAAACTTGATATACTCGCTCATATTTCCATCTTTCGTCAAGACGAACTAAAACTTCATCTCCAATTTATTTCTCTGGCTGAATTACTACCTTAGCTGCAGACTGAGCAATAACAAAAAGATCTTCGTCAACATCCTTTCTTGGATAAACCGTTTTTCTATCTATCACAGCCTTCAACTTCCAACTTCGTAAATACGCCTTGAATCTATCAAGCGTTTCCAATAGCTCTGACTTCACATCTCCCTTGCTACCCCAACTGCATTCTTCTCGAAGAGATAGGGTCAGTTTTTCTTTCAGCTCCGTGGATATTTTGCCATTTTGATTAATCACAGACGGATCGAGAAGATGAAAAATTACAAGTCCAGCAGCACAAGGATAAAGCGTGTAAAATCTCTCAAACAAACAGTAATTTTTCCCTTCTAAGAAGCCAATGCAAACTGACTTAAGGGTTATCAAAGAACTTCAAACTCATTTAAACGACGAAAAATTAATAACCCTACACTAGAAGCCTCGCGAAACCGATTCTCAAACTTTTTTCATCGGAAATCTTCCTGAAACCCCCTACAAGTCCATCTCTTATAAGTAAATCTTTAACTTTCACTGACAACGTTTCCGTTGACTCCATTCTGAACGCACTTTTCTTATTTTTCCTGCTTAAAAAGATGGAAAGTGCCGTAGAAGAAGCATAAATAAGACTTCTCCGCTTCAGTTTTATCATAGAACTTTTATGAAAAAATAATTTATTGATTACAAAAATATAATGTGTAGTGTAAAATAAATGGGAGTTCAGTTACAGAAGACCGGAAGCAGTAACAGTAATGGGCTCCGTAGGTCGTTCATTGACGGCTTCGGCCCGTTCGATCGTGTTGAGTGTTTGAGATCCGCGAATGACGCGACCGAAAGCAACGTATTTCTTGTCCATGAAGGGAGTTGAGTTCAAAGTCATGTAAAACTGGGAGTTGTTCGTGTGCGGTCCTTGGTTCGCCATGCCCAGTATCCCTCTGATATCATGCTGAAAGAAAACTAAGTAAGAGTTTAATTTTCAGGCAAAAACCTTGACTGCGAAATTTTCATCGGCAAAGAACTTTTCACTGTAGCTCGAATGTCCACCATCGCCTTTTCCCGCTTCTATATCTCCTCCCTGGATCCAGCCATTCGGAACTACTCTGTGGATTATTGAATTTTTGTAGCTTCTCTCTTCGCTAAAAATCGTCCGTAAGAGGGTTGAAAGGTGTTGAGTTCAAACCTTGTGCATAAATTTTTGAAGTTTTCGCAAGTTTTTGGAACAATGTTGATGAATAATTCGACATCTACTTGGCCGATTTCTTTTTCGCCTTTTGAGAATTTGAGATAGCAGAATTCACGCTAAAACGGTTTCAGTAAAGAATGGAGGTTTGAAAATTACCTTGTTATCTTTTTTATACGTTTCAAGAGCTTGATTGGCGACCTGAGCATAGTCCGTCTCGTCAGACTCCTCGTAGTTGAATTTTTCTTCGCAAAAGCTGTAAAAGTACTGAATGTCCTCGTGGTACTCGTTATCGATAAGCACGCAGCATGTGTTTCGGTCGTCATCGTCCTGCCATAAGTGGTTCATGTTGTCGCGGTTTTCTTTGCGGAATTGACTCCATTGGTACTCGAAATACTCTTCTGTTTCTAGGGTGATCACCCCTTGCTCTGAGAAATGGATTAGTTTATCAAAAATATATTTTAAATGATCAGATAACTTGGTCTACATCTGCGAAAATCACTCATTTAGAACTTACTTGCTGCCCACTCTGCGGCGACCCGATTTCGGTGAAAAATTCCGAGTCAATGATTCCGGCAACTTTTATCCTAGGCGCCATTCTGAAGTGCCTTATTCTATGAAACTGCGCACATGCAAGAGAATAAACAACACAAGAGCAAATGCTCTAGAAAAAAATAATATTCTGAAGAGTTTATTTGAATTTTTTCCCTGGAAGTTTGAAACACATGGCAAAGGAGTTTCTTTGAAGCTGTAAACGTTTATCAACTGATGTTTTCTTTGTTCAAAAACAATAAAATTTAGCTTTGATGAACTATTCAACACATAAAAAATTAAATGAACTGTAAGTCGGGCTGCTACGGGTACAAATAAGCATGAACGAAATCGAATATTTTGCTAATAGAGACAGCTCAAAAGCGTTTTTAAGGGATTTTGTCTTTGAAAAAGGGCCTTTACTATGAAATGTTGCTGCATTATGCAGCCTGCATACAGGTTTATACAATTTTTTTTGTTGAATCTCCTTGAAGAAAGAGGAAAAGGAGGGAAGATATTGCACTGTCTATCTCTCTCGGGATTTTTTTGGAAAATGGAAAAGAAAGATAAAGGAATTGTTGAGCTGAATGAAGATTCTTCGGTTTAGAAAGAAGAAATACCAGGATGAGCTAAACTAGTGTTGTTAGTAGTTGTCTGCGAATGCGACTGATCAGCAGAGCTCAATCATAAGCCTGAAGGTAGAAAATGAAATTGGAATCAACAACCCTTCACCAGCAAAATGGGCTTGAGCAACTAACTTCAAAAATTAAACATACGCAAGGGAGAAGCTGGCGAGCCGAAACCAGGAGACCTAGAAGTCAATTTGTCGTCCATCGAAACCTGAAATAGCTCGAACACTATTGAGCCTTTGAAGAAGTTTCTTACAGTAATTTGGACAGGAACGTATCCATCATGAGTTGGAGCATCTTTTTCAAATGCACTTAAAATTCAGATAATTTGATAATCAGAGTTCGTTAGCTTACGAGTCTAGTTGAAAGAGTTCGGATTTTGGGACAGTTTTACCGTCTTGCTTATAGCAGTACATGAATTGGTTAAAGTCGCTAGAAAAGTATTAAGTCAATCAGATCGTTTATGTAAGATTTTACCAGCACTGCCCGTTCAAGTCTTTTACTAAAAAGTCTTTCGTCGTTTGAGGCTTGAGATGTTGTACAATTCCAGCTTGATTAAAAGCGAACTAAAATAATTTTTAAAAATTTTTATGTTTGCAATTACAGTACCGTGAGTGCGCCAAGCTCGGAATCAGAGAATCTAAGCATAAAAGTACCCGATAACTGCTGACACAAAATACTTTCGCAATCTGGCTTTGAGATGAAGCCAACGATCGCCTGTTGCTGCCAGTGCTTATTGCACTTTCGGTCTTTCATTAGTTTTAGTGTGGAGTCGAACCACTGCCAGAAGGTGAAAGTTCTATTGACGAGGTTTTCCTTGTTGAACATGGCCCATGTGACGATACTTTTGTCGTTGAATGGGTTTCCACGGAAAAGTTTGAACCCGAGGTACGCGAGGCTCCGGTCCGACAGGTCAAAACTGCAGCAGGTCTCTGCTTTCCATTTCATATTTAGACAGTCTCGGAGTCGATGCCACTCTACAGCTTCTATTCTCAAGGTTCGAAAACAATTTTAAAAATATTAACTCTTCGTTGATTCCAATTTATTTTCGAACCTTTCCTGGTACAGCAAAAGGAATTCTCTGTGGCTCCGAGAATGCATTATCCCACAAAATTGACGCTGATGCATTTGTTTCTTGATTTCCGTGAACAATGACAACGATGGGCAGAGAAAGAGCGCGAACATAAAACACCAGTTCTTTCGTTCCAACATGGAATTCCGCCAGAAAGAGGATAGTGAACTTCTCTTCCGTAACTGTATCAGAGCCCTTTTTGTCTGGGCGGCGGATACGTCGGAGAGACATGTTGCGGAAGTTGGCGCTGAGAATTCCGGAAGTGGAATTATACTCCATCGTCGAGACACTGTTGAGAATCTCTCCTGTTGCATAGGACTCGTACATTTTTGTGTTCAAAATGCCATTCCCTTCCAAATGATGGGCACTATCTTCAGCAATAAGAATCTCTCTTGCTTGGGCTTCTGATACGATGATCGCTCGGACTTGCGGAGGGTTCACGTGGATTGATAGTTTGTTCCCAATCAACAGACGAACTTGAGCACCGAAGCGAGTTTGTGTCTTTAGAACTTGTGGTGGTTGTCGTTCGATGACGAAGCTTGAAGTTACTAGGGATGAAAGTTGTGCTGTCAGTTGTGCATTGAATCTAGGCAGTTCGGGCTCTTGGGCTGACGCGTCCGGACTACTTATTGGCAGTTGGGTCTTTTGTAGCTCGCAGCGTTTAATCTGCTGTCTAAAATCTGTTTTAGCGTAACAAAACAGCAGTGGAATAACCTGTTGCTCCATAAAATCTCGGCTAGTTTTTCACAGTACTCTTGAATATTTTTCAACGCCGTGTCATCATTCTGGCCTCCGTTGAAAAGCAAAACTTGATTTTGCTTCCAACCCATCAGTTTCTTCTCCAGAACGAGTTGATGTACTTGATTGATTTTTCAATCACTTCTTTGTGCTTTTCCATAATTTGGCTTCGCGTACGCAGGATATTTTGCGCTCTTGCATTCAACTCCTGGTCGTATTTTTCTTTTTCCTTCATAAACTGACGGCAACGTTCTTGGTGCTCTGGTTCCTGGCTTAATCGACGGACCTCGTGCTCGTATCTCAACTGCTCTTGATATCTTATCACGAAATACTCCTGTGCTGATTGCGCTTCTCGTAAGCACTCTTCAGTCTTTTGCGTGCAGTTGTAAAGATCCTGTAGAATCGCACGAATGGTTTCGTCTTCCATTTGTAGAGGTCCTCTCGCCTCGACGCTAGAACTTTCATGGGCACGGGCGACGACTTGTTTTTCATTCGCTAGCACCTGGTTAAAAATAAAATAAGAATCTTATTTTATCAGGAAAAAAGCAGTTATCGTCGATCATATCGCTCAACTATTTGATATGAACTCATACGTATTAAGATACGTTTCTTTTGTTCGCCGATTAGAAAATTATTTAAAGAATCTTAAGCACCAAACTTACCTCTTTTCGTCGTCGCACAAGCTCCAAAGGTCTTGCCGCGTATTCATTTTGAATAGTATTCATGATCTCAATCAATTTGAAGCGTGTGAGAAAATCTGAAGGTTGAATATTTGCAATCTGGTGTTGAATTGTTTTCAGCCATTCCTGAAGCATGATTTGGGCATTTTCGGCTTGGTCGGGATGGTCTGGGTTGATCCCTAAACTTTGTTCAAAGTTCTATCACTACAGATTTACTAACCGTCCCATTGTTGCATCTCGATCAAATCGGCGAAGTAGTGACGGAACTCGATAGGGAAAAATCTTGAATCGTACATGATCTACAGAAGCAATTGTTCATAATATTAGACAGAGGCAAGATTATTACCCTAATTTGATGCATGCTTTCTGTATCGAGCTGACATACTTGCGCCCACAAGCTGTGGGGCCCCGGGCCTAGGGGCTGGTTCATGATTATCGCCCGTCCAGTATTTTTACGAAGATCAGTCTTTAAAATTTCAGTGTCATAATCAAGGATCTAGGGAAACATGTGTCGGGGGAACATGTGATGGTATTCAAGAATGGACAGTTTTATAGTTGTGCTTGTGAACATGAAAAATGGCCCTCTCTCTATCTGGCGCGAAAGAAAAGAGCTCAGCTTTTCCCATAGTATCCCATGCTCTTATAATACTCTGCCCAGGCAGCTGTGTAATCTGGTTGACTGCCCGTCGCCTGGGCCGCCTGCGCTGTCGATCCATTATTGCTCTGTTGGTGCTTAAGGGACCCAGTTAGGTAGATTCATGCGCGGCTTCAGGCGCTCCCCTGATGATCAGTTGTCAAGATTTTTTTAATATTTTTTCTGCAAATTATATCCTCAGACTCTCAGCTTTCGTTTGCTGTTATCAGAATTTTCATACGGCTAAGAGTTTTGTCGCTAGAGCTGGATGAAGTTCATTTACTTCAAAAGCTATCTAGTCCTACAATTTTGATTTTTGCGATTCGAAATTACTATCAGCTGAAAGCTGAGAAAATTCTCTACAAATCCCACCTAGTGTGCAATTTTCAGGTCACCACTGATTGTAATCAGGAAGCAATTCTCGGAAATACTTAGCGCGGGCTCAGTGGGAATCCCTCGCAAACAAGCCTTTTGAGCGCTGCGTGACACGCTGCGCGCGCTATATTTGGTTCATTTACATGATTATCAGTTCGTTTACGTTATTAAAGGGGACAAGAAAATTGCACATTAGGTGGGATTTGTAGAGAATTTTCTAAGCTTTCAGCTGGTAGTAATTTTGAATCGCAAAAATCAAAATTGTAGGACTAGATAGCTTTTGAAATTTATGAACTTCATCCAGCTCTAGCGACAAAACTCTTTGCCGTATGAAAATTCTGATAACAGCAAATGAAAGCTGAGAGTCTGAGAATATAATTAGCAGAAAAAATATTAAAAAAATCTTGACAACTGATCATCAGGGGAGCGCCTGAAGCCGCGCATGAATCTACCTAACTGGGTCCCTTAAAATAGCCGATAATAGTCCATTTCGTTCGACTGTATTTTTACCTTTTGAACCTTGAAGTACTCTTCCCAGGCTTTTGTATAGTCGGGCTGACTCGCTGCAGCTGCTGGCTGTGGCGTTGGCGTGGCAGGAGCCTGATTTTGCGATTGACTATTCATTTGCTGGTAGTACGCAGCCCATGCGGCATGGTAATCGGTCGACTGCTGAGGCTGGGCCACAGGCGCTGGCTTTTTATAGGTAACGACACTTTACAAATCCTCGGTAAGCTCTTTTTACACTCTCTAACTCCTCTTAGTAATTAGCATGGCGCACTACTCTCACGCTAGATTCTCGTCATCTTATCATGACGAATTAGATAGAAGAGCATCATTGTACTTTGTAATGTTGGTTACCCGTGCCTGGACCGGGGCCGGAGCTGGTGGAGGTGCTTGTTGAGGATATTGTGGAGTACTAGGATGCTGGTACTGTTGGTGTTGGGCGCCATGCTGGACGACTGGCGGCATTCCTGGAGATTGAAACTGGGGTGGACCGGCTTGTGGAGGCTGGGGCATGTGAGGAGGCATCTGAAATCAAATTTTATCGCAATTCAAATCGGATTAGTCTTACTCTTTGTGGGGGACCACCATATGGAGGTTGTGGGTAACCCGGTCGCTGCATCATGTGATGCGGCGGTGTTGATGGAGGAACTCCGCTCAGATTAGCTCCTGGAGGAGGTGGTCCTCCAACTTTCTCCTGGATTAGCTTTTGCGCGAGAGCAACTCCCTCTGGCTGGCCCTTGATAGTAAAGTATCGCCAGGCGGGGTCGTTGCTAGGAGGGTTCGTCTTGTTCTGTGTAATTTGGCAGCCTGATTGGTTCTTGATTGCAATGATGTGCTCGCCTCCCTTGCCGATAACAGCACCGGTCTTCTGAGTTGGAACCGGGTAGTCAACTGTTTGCTCGGGCTGTAGAGCTGGTGGTGGTCTCGGCATTTGGTAGTTGTTGTGCATGCTCCCATTGTAACCTCCGGGTCTATAAGAAGAATTGGTTAATAAGCGGAACGTGAGCTGTCAGCTACCCTGTCGGCGCTTGATTCCAGTTCATCGGTGGCGCGCCGTTGTGTGGCGGTGCCATCATGGGAGGAGCCGCAGATTGGCCGAACTTGGGAATGTTTTGCACGGTATCAACTCCAGTCATCTTCTTACGGCAGATTGACATCACGATTTGCTGCGCGCGGAGAACTCCTTCCATAGTTCCAGTGATGTAGCATCCGCGTGTGGCCGCATCCGGTTCTTCTGGTTTGAATTGAATCCTAAGAACAGTTAGGAGAAGAGAAAGAATTGTTTCGCTTACCTAGTGACAGTTTCCCCTTGAAGCTGTGTAATCGTCTCTCCTTTCTTTCCAATAATAACTCCCACAGCGCCCTGTGGAACTGGGAACTCGCTTTTGACTTGGCCGCCAGGAGCGAGCTTGGCCGCAGTTTTCTCTTCCTTCGGCAGCAGAGTCGTGAAAATGTCCATTCTAGTTCCATTAATCTGTGTACTATTTCCAGTGATCTTGAGTACTTTCGCAACGCCTTCTGGGTCTGATTCTTTTTGAACGAGCTCGAGCGACACCTGGTACTTTTGTCGCAGGTTTTTGAGGTTTTGGCCACCTTTTCCAATTACAACTAAAGTAAGTCTCTTTGAAGCTGAAAAGAACTATCTATTTTTACCTCCGACTTTGTCAGGAGGCACGAGGAACTCTTCAGTGGTTGTCTGCCAGGGCTGCGCTGGATTAGGCATTTGAGGTTGAGGGACAGCCCGTCGAGTATTGGTAAGAGGTTTGGCTCTTGTATCGTTGGTCTCACGTGGAACCCGTCTACCAGGGTTGTACGATTTTCCGTCTCTAGCATTCTGCTCGTCTTTGAGTTTCCCATTCGCGATCACTTCCTAGAGTTTCAATTTATACCGGATTTCTTCATTGATTTTGGGGCGCTGTCAACTTGAGTCTAGTTTTTTTCCTGTACTTGCCTTGAGTGCATTTTTAGCAGCTTGCAATTGCTCTGCTGTTCCAGTGAGAGTACAGGGACGGTTCTCGGTTCCTGTGGACTGGGCCTGTACTTGTATTCCACACTAAATATACCGGTATAAGACGCGGGTTTAATTTTGATCCTAGTTACGTTTGTTTCTGCTTGGATGCGTTGGATGTTCTCTCCGCCGCGGCCGATAACAAGGCCGACTAGCTGATCTGGAATAGGATACTCCTCCACAAGCTTCTCTCCTTCATCGCTACAGGGCTCCAGCTTCGCCGTGTTCGCCTTTTTCGCCGTCGGTCCGTTGGCCGCGTTGACGCTTGGCCGTTTTTGGCCAGTAACGCCGCCGTCGCTATTAAAAAATATAGTAAGGATAGTCGATTGTCATTTTCGCTTCACTGTCAATAAATTGCTGATAGTTTTGACTATCAGTAATTAATTGAGGGGACGTTTATCTGTCTTATTTGAGAGCAAATAACATTGTACTGCGGGGACACCAAGTTTTCATTGGAAAAACATGTGAGTATTTTGAAAAGAAAATAGATGTTTTGGGACAACATTGAGTACGACAATGGTGAGTTGTGAAGAATGTGGAGATAAACAATATCCAACCTCAACAGTTCAGCTTCCAGAGCCTCTTCTTTGATAGACTGCAAAATAAGATGTTACTAAAGATGTTGCTGGTACAGCGATCTTACCATTTCGAAGAGATAGGATTGGTTGAAAGAGCAGTAGAACTTGTTAAAGAAGTCCTAGAATTTGACGGTAAATCAGCGGTTGATAATCAGGCTGTTTTGGGCTGGAGGAACGCTTTTTTGTTTAGTTCAAGTTATGAAAATAAATACTCGAAATGCTAAATGAAAAGAAATTGAAACGAATTGAGACGCTAGAATTTCGAATTAAAAAGAGATGATTTTAAATCTTAATTAGACGTTTACTTTCGTAAGACTGCTGTAAAATGTAATGTAACTTGTTTAGCACTTGTCATTTCTGATCCTTAGTAGACTCTTTAGACAGGTTGAGCGTTTGAGAATTTCGAATTTGCAAAGAGGGAAAATATACTTATACCGCCAGGAGCCACACTTACTCAGCAATCGAGAGATTCAGTTTTCACAGATTGAAGGTTGAAACGGTTTTGAGGTTGCAGAGCTAAAATCATAACGTCCAGGAATAGAGACAAATAGAGCTTTGTGGGACACTGTAATACTATGCCTTAGATTTTTCTGATCTACTGTCAGATTTACAGAAGATCGTACTGTCTAATTTTCACGGAATGTAGCATTTTCTTTATCGTTAAAGTTTCAAAGAATGTCGATGTTTTAAACATAAATTAGCTTTTACCCAGGGCCTTATTTTCGTAGGATTGAAAAAACGAGAGGAGCATAGATTTTGCTGGCTTATTGACTTTAATCATAAAGTCAAACTAAAAGAATTTAATGTCAAGGTTGATAACTGATAGCGTGATAAATGACGCAAACGTTTTGAATATTGCAATCAGGGCTTTTGACTTTGAAAAGCTTTCAATGAATCTTACTGTAAGATCATTTTATTGATTGTGGCAACTGGCATAGAATTATTAACTTTTTTGGAATAAAATGTAATATTGCTGATTTTTGACTTTCCAGGAATTAATTTGACGAATAACAAATCAGAAAAGATTAAAATCAGAAAGAAAAGGGACAAAAAGCATAACTTTTTTAGACGATAAATCACAATACGCAAGTATTATTTGAAGGACAGTTTTTATCCTTGCAGAAATTACTTACATTGGGTCAGGAAGTGTTTGCGCAAAAGTTCACCTTGAACTTTTCGAAAATCCCGAATCAATCAATCTAAAATCGACGAATATTTTTCTCATTGAGTATTTTTCGCTATAAATGAAAGAAAGTGAAACGGGTGGGAATTTTCACGGCTGGCCAAATTCAAACATCCAACCAAAACTTGGCAATTTCAATTCCAAAATGGTAAGTTGAAAAAACACTATCTCTGGGGCCAATTTTTTAAGAGTTTTTTTTCAGTTAAAAATTTCTCTTTATCAAAAATGATCGCTAAAATCAGTTTATTCTCTCCGCGGCGTATCTATTTTCTCCTTTCGGTCGATACTTTTACTTCTCTCTGGTTCGTTTTTTTTTTATATTTTTCGCTGGCGATGACGTCATCTACTGTCAGCCCACTCAAAAATAAAGGCGAAAAAGAAAGAAACAAAAACGCGAATTCGTCGAGCCTGAAGCGCGCAATTTGCGTCGCGTTCCAAAAAAACGCTGCGTTTCGACCCTAGTCCACGCCTACAGCTCAGCTGGAGTACCCTAGAGCCGCGCTTGCCCGCTCTCTTCGCTTTCTTTCTTTCTCTCTTTTCCGAATTATTATTTGAAGAAAAAAAAGATCTATCTTTTAAAATGGGAACATGTCAAAAACAGAAACGAAAAAATTCCCTCAATCAGACGAAAGGGGTTATTTTTTAGCCCCTCTGAGATCTGACGGTTGGCAAACCCGAATGCACCGAATTTTCGTGCAATCGAGTTCACAATTCGCCAATTTTAAAAAATTATTTGAATTTTTTTTTCTCGATTTTACCAAAAAATCCGTTTCCTTGTTCAAAAATAAAAAGAATTATTGATTAATTTTTTAACAAAGATATTTTTAGACAAGAGAATTTGAAAGAAATTGAAACAAAAGAAGAAAGAAAGAAAACTCCGAAAGAAGAAAATTGAGAAAAAATGGCGGCAAGGAAGATATTATTTATCACAGAATATCGGGTCGCAACTTACCCTTTGGGCGGAGTAGGAGATTCCTGCACCGTCAATCAGGTTCAAATACTGTCAAGCCAATTTTAGTCTTAGAGAAATTTCAAATTTGGGCTACGAGAGATTTTACCAAACATGTGTGAAATGTAATGAGTGTTTCAATTTTATTTTCTTTTTTAAATGAAAACTTTCGTTTTGCTTAAATTTTTTAAGAAAGCAGATCTTTGTTTTGAAGTGAACTGAGATGGTGATTTTATTATCAGAAAGAGACAGCTTTCGAAGCAATATTCTTGCTTATCAAGTGTCCCTTTAATTCAGATTCAATCTGAGGAAATATGTTTTTGAGCTAATCACAACAGATCAATGAAGCTCGATAATTAAAACATATGAAACTGCTTCATGTGATTTTATATCAAATCGAATTTCTCATACATCGTTGATTTCGAAAGATTTCGAAACTGTAACTAGGGTAGGAGCCACTGATAAGTAGAATGATAATTTTTCATAGAAAGAAATACTAAACTTTTAATTAAATTTATCAAATAATTATATAATATATGTTATAGATATATTTATTCATAATATGGAAAGAAAAAATTGATAGATCGTAGATATGTCATTATGCGTGTGTTTTTTTTCCGAAAAAAAAAAGAAAATTGCTGGAATTTTTTATATTTTTAAGGCGGCTGAGTGTAATTCCGCCTAGCGCTGCGTGGCACCGTGTAATTTCACCCTTGAGCGCCGTGCATGCGCATTATCGCAAAAGACAGAGGACAACTCAGAATTTAAAATAAAATCCCAATTTTCTTTTATTCGTGAATAATTTATAATGTTGAACACAGACATAAAATTTCTTCATTTTTGCCAATAAATGTTTTTTATTTGTTTATTAAAACTTATCGTTTGCCCTGAAAACGAAGAAGAATCTCTTTTATCTTCACTTTTGTTTTAATTTTATTTATTGATATCTCGATAATCACATTTCCGTGAATATTGGCCTTCTATTTGAACCCTGGAGACGCGCGAATGAATCTTTCATGCGACCCTCTTCTCGTTCCTTCCTTGTAACGAACTGAAACTCAAGTTCCTCTAGAACCCCTTGAGAACTGGCACTTCTTGTTTGACCATTTCTATCATCTTTGTTATTGACTTTTTGTGACCCGTCGAGAAGGAAATGCAAAGAAGCTCGAGGAAGTCAGGCAAATTATGAAACGGATCATAAAATGCTTCTTTGTATGCACTTACTGTAATTATATTTTTGTGATCCGGAAAATAGGCAAAACGCGCCCCAAATCTGGTTATTGATCGAGTCAACATTGACCTTCCCGAGTACCAGGTAAAAAATAACACCAAGAGCGTTGTTCAATTTTATCGTCTAGGGATCAGTGGAAGAAGTAGCGCGAGCGAAATGCATGTCCGCTTGGGAACATTTGAAGAAAGAAGGAAAAACAGATGTACGAGTGATTGTTGAAGATACGGCCTTGTGTTTCAATGCCTTGGGAGGGCTGCCAGGGGTCTATATCAAGTGGTTTTTGAAGGAACTCAAGCCTGAGGGTCTTCATCGAATGCTGACCGGCTTTGGTAAGAAGCAGTCTTGAAAAAGGGTTGAAAACGATTTAGACGATAAATCGGCAAAAGCAATGTGTACGTTTGCCGTAATGGGGGACGAAATGCAGGAGCCCGAACTCTTCCAGGTAAATTTAAGCCGAGGAAAATAAGCAGCAACCGCCTTATTTAATTTTAGGGAATCTGCCCTGGCGAAATCGTCGTTCCCCGAGGAGAAACGAGCTTTGGTTGGGATCCGTGTTTCCAGCCGGATCACGAGTCCGGTCACACCTTCGCCGAAATGGACTCGGCCGTCAAAAACGGAATTTCACATCGTTCCAAAGCGCTGGAAAAAGTCATTAACTACTTTGTCTCAAACCCAAACTAGCGCAAAACCCCAGCAAAGAAACGAAACGCAACACTGTTTGTTTTTAGACTGCGTGCAATATATCGTGTCCCTTTCTCTCAAACCTCTAATGCACAAAAATGAATACAGGCCTCCAGATAGAAGCCGAAAACAGAGGTTTCTCACAGAAGATGAGATCAAGAAGGGCAAGAAATCGAAATGGACTGAGTTAGAAATAACAGGTAGTTACGCCAAAGAGACGCTATTCCCACAATCCTTCATTTCGCCCCTAAATTTTGGCCAAATCTTAGGGGACATTAGGATCATTTGAATGAATATGAGCGTTTTTTCTCTGCTAAAGCTCAAACTAAGGACCTGTGCGTGCCCTAAGCCCAGCACTATGGAATCTTCATCACCTGACTGCTCTTTATTTGAACGATAACTATCTTCAACGGCTGCCAGCAGAGGTAAATTAACCTTTCCTCCATGGACCTAGTAGTGTTTAAGGTGTGCCTTCTCACCAATCTTCTTCATCTCGACCTTAGTTCAAATAAGCTCCGCTCGCTTCCTTCGGAACTGGGAAACATGCTCCATCTTCGTGAATTGCTGCTAAACCACAATCAGCTCAGGTACCATCTTCAAAGCGAGTTTCTTTCTAACCGCGTTTTAGAGTTCTTCCATACGAGCTCGGTCGACTGTTCCAGCTTCAGAAGCTCGGGCTAGACAGTAACCCGCTGCAGCCCGAGATCTACGAAATTTGGTGCCAACCTAATGGAACAAGCGAGCTCATTCGCCATCTGCTGGACAATATGCCGCATCCGATGGAGCAGCCACAGCGCCAATGGATTAGCCTCGAGGAGCCATCTAATCCGTACGTACTCTTTTTGGCTAGCTAACGTTTGAATGCTTATTAGGACATCTTGTTTATTCTCTGTTATGTGTTACAACGTACTGAGCGACAAGTACTGCACAAGACAAATGTACGGATACAGCCCGAGTTGGTGCTTGAGATGGGAGCACCGCCAACGCCTGATTTTCGATGAGATTTACACTTATGCTGCCGATGTCCTTTGCCTCCAGGTCTTCATATAATTTTCCGAGAACTTGATTTGGTAACTGTTTTTTTTCCAGGAAGTTGAGACATGCGAATTCAACAACACTTTCTTGCCCGAATTGAGAAAGCACGGCTACATGGGCGTCTTCTCCCCGAAAAGCCGGGCGAAAACAATGATCGAGTCTGAATCCCAAAATGTCGACGGCTGCGCTATATTCTGGAAAACGGAGAAATTCTTGGTAGGAGATTAAAGTTATCTTCCTGTACTAATCTTTTTTCCACTTTTCAGCTTTTGGAAACGCATACGTTCGAGTTTAATCAACTGGCGATTAAAAATTCAGGCGGCGATCAGGACATTCTCAATAGAGTAATGACAAAGGACAATGTCGCCGTCGCAGTTGTTTTAAAAACATTGAAAGGGCGTAAGTAACGAAGATCCTCGACAAAAGAAGTATTTAATTTTCCATTCAGCGGATTATCCAGAAGAGGAAACGCAAGAAATCGTTGTCTGCAACACTCACATGCACTGGGATCCCGAATTCTCAGATGTTAAAATGATCCAGGCGTTTTTGCTGACCACGGAGCTCGACCGGGTTATTCGTCAAATGGGACGAAAGCCGACCGATGTTCCTGTCATCCTCTGCGGCGATTACAACTCGTTGCCGACGAGTGGCGTTACCGAGTTCATCAAGGATGGCAAGGTCGACCTCACACATCCGGATTTCCAACGATTCAATTACAATAAGAAACTGGTCAAAATGAATCCGAAAAATGGAGAGGTTGATTTTTCAGTCGAAAATGTATCTAAAATGTTAATTAAAAGGTGCGTCCACAGAACGACGCGTATCTGAGACATCCGTTCCACTTCAAAGCGAGCTACCTAGCCGAGTTGATGCCCTTCACGAATTATACTTACGATTTCAAGGTATTTCATATTGAATTCGCTTCTTTCGTTTTCTCTCGTCGAACGGAGCAGTTTATAAACTGGAAATCCGAGAAAGCTTTTGTTTTCCGATTTTCAAAATCGATGTCAGAACTCACACTGCTTTCAGGGCATCATCGACTACATTTACCACTCAACGCCGCATCTAAAAACAATTGGAATCCTCGGTGGCCTGGACGAGACGTACAGACGCAGCGTTGTTGGCTTCCCGAATCCAGTGATCCCCTCGGACCATTTGTGCCTGCTCTCGGAATTCGAGCTGCTTCCCTCCAGTGTCCGTTTAAAGTGAAAAGATCGAAGCGAAGGAGCCTGCTTGGTTAAAACAAACAAAAATGATTACCGATAGTACCTACTAGAAAGAGTTTAATCTGCTGGAAACGATAACACATACATGCATCGAATGTCTGCCAAGTCATTGTTTTTCCCTAATTCTGATGCCCCCATTTTTTCTAAAACAATTAATCACGTTAATTCGCCCCTTCCTCTTCTTTTGCCCTTGATACCCTTAAGGGTAGACTCCCCTTGTTGCGCAGCAAGACGAAAACGGACACGAGGGGATGACTCGATTGCTCAGCCTTTTTGTGTTTGATTTTTTGAGTTCTCTTCCTTGATTTCAATCTATGGATTTGCATATACTTTAGTCTGTTTATAACCCCCACTGTAAATTCTAAAGAGGGTATCAAATATTCTCTTTGCCTTACTAAATATGCCTTCAGTGTAAAAATACTTGTTCTTGTGAAAAATCTGCCGCTGGCGGCGCTCTAAAATCGCGCAAAATTTGAAATTGAAATTTCAAGACTCGCCTTTTTAGAATAATAGTTTTTTCTAGCTTGATGTATCAATTTTGATTATTTTCTGTTTTTGCATTTATATATATCTATTTGCATAATATATATACATTGTAAACATAAATTCTTGTCGATTTTATATATAAAAGGGCTCCTCCTTATTTTCATTTCATTTTGCGGCGCAATGGTGTGTTTAGGGTTAATTTTTCCCAAATCGATTTTCCGCGTTCTCTCCTGCCGCATTACTATCTGAAATTTACAATTACAGTAACCCAGTTTGCTTGAATGCTTTCTGAACCATTCCAAACGAGTTCTGTTTCCAAAAAATTAAGAAAAACAAACTGCGGCTCGAGCGTTCGCTTTGAGATAGCTCAACAAAGTGACTCCAACTTAATCCTGCCTTCTTTACATTTTGTTCGTTGACTGTAATTCTGCTCTGAATTTTCTTCTTTCTTGGGCTATTTACATTTTAATTTTATTCTTCGTTCTCTTATTTACTTCATACTTTAATTTTATCTATTCAACCGTTTGTTCCCGACACAAATCGAAGGAAAACCAAAAATCATAAAATCTTCATTGTGAATTTGACTAAATTTGTAAATCAGATCACACTGCCTTTTTTTTCTTTCACGGACACTTATTCCAGAAATCGTAAAATCAAAAAAACCCTTCTTTCAAAAACCCATTCTTAAAAATGTGCAATCTTTCGAAAAAAAAAGAAGAAAAATAAAAGAAACATTTATCCAGTTTTATTCCTAAACCATTCTTTTTTCAGTTTTTATAATTATTCCAACGTTTTTTGTTTTAAAACTCTTAAGTTACCTACTCCCTGTTTTAAGTTTATAGAGCTTCTTTACGGGCTGCTGATGCTTTTTCGCCTGTTATATGTAGAAATTTTTTTGATGACAAGGTTTCCTAGATGACAACTCAGGGTCTTCAGTTTTTATATTGCATTTCTGATGACAATAATAATACCGCGGCAAATTCTTCAGTAGACTAATAAGTGAGATATTGTTAATTTTCTGTAAGTGATGACTGTAATAAACTAATACAGGGGTCCCCATTTTAACGGACTTAAAATCTCTGAGATGGTGCCCATCTTGGCAATTTTTCTTGCTGCAGGTTAACATTATTTCCGAAATAATTTTATTAAATCCGTTAAAATGGGGGCATCCTAGAGAAACATTTAGAATCATTCAATTCATTCATGATTTTAGTTTAGGTTTTCTTTTTGACTTTATCTTTTGGAGTCAAATTTAGCTTGAGAAAAGCATCAGCAGAGCGGAAATGCAGCTCTCCAGTATTATTATCATTTTTGTCCATTTTTCATTCAACATCCAACTTCTCTTATAATCTCCTATTCATCCCTTTTTTCTTACTTTTTCCATAACTTTCAATCCGTTTGTATGTCTAGTTCAAAGGTCCGTATGGATAAAAGCAAAGTAAAATATAAACAGCAATATAAAAATCAATGTGTCAAATTTTATTATTTACTGCGCAATTCAATTTTCAAAAATGTGAGATTAAGGTTTTATGAGCTCTAGTACCTAGTAGTAAGTTATCGAGGCTACTATTCATCAGCTTTAACCAGAGGTAATTTTTAACAAAGTGATGTTTTTTAGAATGGACTTTTTCGGTTATGAAATCGTCAATAAATAACAGTAAACAGGTACGTCTTTTTACGCAAATTGAAACTTCTCGCAAATGGCAAATTTTCATGGAAGGAAAAATTAAGGGTCTAACCTCAATTAGGGAAAAATTAATAAAAGAAAAACTCGTCAGAAGAACATTTTATTAGCTTCGTTCTATTTTATTTGCCAAGATTTAATTTGAATCGATTTTATTTGACTAAATCCACTTCAAGTCTGTTTTTCGCCAAAAGCTCTTTTGTGACCATGTTATTTGCAGAGTTCGAAATTCTAGTTTTCGTCAGATCGACAAGATACTAATAAATAACAGTGAGTCAGTCGAGCCATCTTCAGAAATATTTGGCATTCTTTCTTTTTTCTATTATTTTTTCTGCACTCCACAGAAAAGGGGGCGCGTGCCTGGGCGATCAAGACGAAAACACATGAAAAAAGTGGATAAAGAACAAAAAAGACTAACATCGAGATTAGAATGAGCCAAGTCCGCCAGAGCAAGTCAGATAACTCCTTGAGGAAGGAAGATCACGAAGATGGAGATTTGGCACAGGAACGACTAATTAAATCGTTGAAATTCAACTCGTAAAAGAATCGTTATGAAGGTCACTCAGACAAGTTAGAAGTTACGCAACCATTATTCGTACAAAAGGTCTGAAAAAGCGAGTTGTCAATACTGACTTTCGATTAAATCAGCATTTTTATGAATTAATATTTGTTCAGAGCTCGCTTTTTCGATATTATCCAATTTTTCTTTATAAATAGCAATAACGTATTGCAATAATTGTGCATCAAAGATGATGAAACCTTTAATCAGAGTTTGAAATTTTCGTGACTCGCGAGCGGCTCACTTGAGAGCGAGCGAGCACGAGCATGATGCTCTTTGTGCTCCCGAGCACATTTATTTCAGGGCTCGTGCTCTTTGCGCTCGCGAGCGCATTTCATTTCGCGCTCTCGCTCTCTTGGCTCTCGAGCACTGGTCGAATCGTGCTCTCGCTCGATCGGCTCTCGAGCTGAAAAATCTGACTCGCGAGCAGCTTTCAAGGGCCTTAAATGATTCGGCGGCCCCGTGACTAATTCCATATGAGTCCCTGTCACAGGAGTTAGCACCTCGCGGTGGGCATGTTTTATCTGTTTACTCTCGGCTTTTCGCATTCTGCTGCCGAGATTACAGACCTAATGAAGCTTACATAAAACCGAAAACAACAGAAATAGATTCTCAAAGAAATTTATTTATGAAAGTGAATAATTATGCGAAAAAAATATTCTTTTAATTTTGCTCGCGAGCCGCTCGTGAGTCAATTCCATGGCGAGCACGAGAGCAGCCGCTCCCGCTCGTCTAGCTCCCGAGCATTGCCGACATATGCGCTCGTGCTCTCTGCGCTCGCGAGCGGTTTCAAATTTGGGCTCGTGCTCTTTTGGCTCTCGAGCCAACTCATTTTCATGCTCCCGCTCCCCTGCTCTCAGAGCAATGATAAATTTTTGCTCTCGCTCTTTTCGCTCGCGAGCATTTGCGAGCATTTCAAACTCTGCCTTTAATCATAAAGTCTTTCCAATTATAGTCATTGGAAGTGGGTTATTTCAACTTTTTTCGTATGATAAATACTGGTACAGTGTTGGTCGAACTGGTATTGCTAGGTTTTTCTTTATATCTTATTGACTGATTGTTTTTCTTTGTCAATCTTGATGACTCTAACAAAAAAGGTCGTTATGTAACTAGTAGCTTGTTTGACTGGGCTAAATAGCGATGATCGCCCTTTTATGACTGTAGCAATTAAGCGCTGCCATTAATTAGGCGAGTATAAGTGCGAGAAGCAAGGCTGGAAGCATGGATCAATGGAGCGCGGCCTCAACGACGGCTCCACGGGATCGACAATCAGCCGCAGTCAAGAGATAGAAGACCTCACGGTAGGAGCATTCTGATCCATTGATGATGCTTGTTTTACATCGAAAATGCGCTTTAGGGCAAGATATTCAACGATCATCTTTTTGGAATTTCGAAATTGAATTATTATTAGTAGCATTTTATTGACAAGAGAATTGCTAATTTCAACTGAGAATAACTGACTATTTAGACGATTCTTCAAACATGTGGATATGTAAGCATCAGTAGAGAAAGCAAAAACAAAAAATAAAACAAGAATCAGAGGCTTTTAGTACCCTAGAAAACTGATAATCAGATCAAACTAACAACTTACAAAAGATTAACAAAGAATTTTAATCCCATATTTACCCGTTATTCGTGTATATTCTCAAATATTTGGCGAACACACGAACTGAGCAGGGGTCAACAGTTGACTCAACTCAAAGCTAGTGTATTTTTGTAAAAATTTGAACGCTAGTTTTTCAGAAAACCGACAATTCTTCACAAAACCGCTTGTCCAGCTCTCTTTCTGACTCAGGTAAGCCACTGTAGTAGTACGGGTACTGACTGACTTGAAAACATAAAAATCTAAACATGGCCTTAGGCGTGTTGCTAAGCCTTCTTTGTGTCATTAGCACCCCTTTTTCATTTTCCCATTTCTCTCATTTTTGTATCCTGACCTGGCCCAACTTTCAAAAAGTCTCTTCTTTTTCTATAAAAAGAGCCACTTACGAGTATTACTCATGTCAAAGTGATATACAAGAGGTCTTCAGAATCCACAAGAAAGACAAGAATAATCTTTTGATAAAGAAGTAGAGCGCGAGAGCTTTTTTTCATAATCGCGCAACAGAGAAAGAGAAAGAAATCGAAGCATGAAGTCCATGCTCAAGTTGCTGCCGCATCTGAGGCCTGACAGTCAAAGGGTAGGTTTGAAATCATAAAGGAGTACGTCTTCTTCGGGCATTCAAATTTACTCCGCTTTAGAATTTAACTAATATTTACTTCGTAAAGCTTAAAGTTCATTCTGAAAGTAACATCGTCTAAATTTGCCAAATATGATTCTTGCAAGGGCGTGAAGGGTGAGTAAAGTGCGAAACAAATTAGACTTTTGAACCTTACGGCCCATTTTTTCGATCATATGATCGTTTAAAATCAATTCTAAATGTCAATCCTTCATCAGAAACTCAATGAGTGGCTCGCCAAAAGAATCGAAAAAGAAAGCCAGATCAGTTTCGGAATCCAACCACAGTCACGTTTTAGAATTTTTTCTATATTTTCTGTCGTTGATTTTCCTCTCTAAAACACTTGAAACAGACGGCGACATTCCATGCGTGAGTCTGCCTCCTCCAGCGCTTCTTCTTCAAAGTCAAATACAAAAGGCCTTTTGGGTTCATGCTCATCAATACTTCTGAAGCATTCTCGGTTTTATTTGTTTCAATCTTTTGAATCCGAACAAGTGCGTCCACGGCGAATGTCAAGTTCAGAAGCAGAAGGAGTTCCTCTTATCATTCCGCAAATTCATCGACTGACATTACCGACTGGAAAGGCTCCAAAAAGTATCTGAACAGATTTTTTTCAGTCAGTCAGTACCGAAAAATTGATTCCGAGCGTTGATTTATCGAGTTAATGCTTCATTTGTAGAAAACGAGTCAGCTGATGAAGTTAAATCAAGCACAAGTTCGACATATTCTGACCACCCACCCACTCTCGCTCTGAGCAGTTCTAGCGATAATCTCATGTCAAGTAAGTCTGCGTTAATTCATGCTTATTTTTATCTTCGAAATAAAAATTGACCTATCTTCAGAATCTCCCGATGAGGACATCCATGTCTACGCCAACTTCATGAAGGAGCATGATTGCTACTCACTTATTCCTACTTCCTCAAAGATTGTCATTTTCGATACTCGCTTGCCCGTCAAGAAGGCCTTTTTTGCGCTGGTTGCAAATGGTTTGAGGGCAGCGCCACTATGGGACTCTGATCAGGGTCAGTTTGTTGGCATGTTGACTATTTCCGACTTCATTAGGTACTGTCTTATCGACCCCATAACCCAAGTTTTTTTTACCCTTATCTAATTGGTATTTTTAGTATTCTTCAAACATATTACCGATCGCCAATGCGCAGGATGCATGAGCTCGAAGACCATTTAATCGAAACCTGGAGAAAACTTCTATTAGAGCGTAAACTCGCCAAACCAGACGAACGGCCCACTTTATCAAAGAATATTGGCATGGTTCAGATCGGACCTGATGCTAGGTAATCAGTTCTCCACTAACTAGACTGTAATTGAGTTTCAGCTTATTTGAAGGATTGGAAATGCTAGTAAAGAATAAGATTCACAGGTTACCGATCATCGACCCCAAATCTGGAAATGCTTTGTATATTTTAACGCACAAGAGGATACTGAGATTTCTTTCATTTTGCGTAAGTGCACTTATACATATTTCTTGGTCAATCCGTTAAGTTCGAATCGCCCGACGTAAAAATGCCCAGCTTTATGAAGAAAACGCTAGAAGAGACGCAGATTGGAACGTTTGGCAAGATCCACACGATTCAACCGTCGACGCCAGTTATCGCAGCTCTTTGCTTATTCGTTGAAAATAGAGTGTCAGCTTTGCCAATCGTAAATGAAAACGGAGAAGTGATTGATATTTATGCCAAATTTGATGCAATCGTAAGCCACAAAATGAGTCTAACTAGTATTGATTTTTCCCTAGAACTTAGCCGCAACGCGATCGTATCATAACCTCGATGTCACAGTTCAAGACGCGCTTAGTCACAGAGAGGGAAGACCAGAAGGTGTTACTACATGTGTCCTCTCAAATACCGTAGAAGAAATAACAAAGAAACTTGTAAAAGCCGAGGTAAGCGGCCCACCAACTTTGTCGTTTACCAAAATCTTAGGTTCACCGCTTGGTGGTAGTCAACGCAGAAAAGCAACCGATCGGTATTCTATCGCTATCGGATTTACTGTCGAAAATTGTCTTGGCGCCAGAGAAATTAAACTAAAACGAAACTTTCTATAAATACTGCTTTCAATGTATTGTATCTTGAACCATTTGTTGAAAATATACTGATAACTTCTTTCATTCAAAAATACGAAAGTGTTTATTTTTTTAGCAGTGAAGGTATTACTGGCAGTTGTTGAATAAATATCAAATTTGCAAGATTTAGGTTTATACAAAGTCGTAGAATTCTTCTGAAATTGTGTAGCCAAATGCATCGAAATCAGTTTTATATAGCGTGTAAAGGTTTTCTAGCGTATCTCGGCCGATTCCCTTGTAGTATTCTAGCAGGGAGGCATAACTACAGATACGGATTGAATCAGACATTTCGGCATCCCGGTGTCGTACGGTATGACTCATACCTTTTTGTTCGGTACCCAGTCGGATACTCTGTTAGCTCGGAAACATTCATTGCATTCAACACATACTCCACATCGGCATTCAGCGTGTCCATCTTTCCAATAAAATCATATTCAACGGAGCAAAAGTCGCAGAGATACATAAACGAGGACCAGTGCCTTTTTCTTTGACCAGGTTGACGCGGCAAACCAGACTCTTTTGTAAGGCTTATTTTCAAGTCGAGAGGTCTGAGCAAGAAATATTTTTCAAACATTTATTGAGCCTGTTCCTATGAGATTTCTCACAAATTTGTGAAACTGCTCATGTTTCCAATTTTCGTCCTTGAACTCGGGCTTGCTCTCGTACAGTTTTTCGACCTTTAGGAATGATGAAATCACGTCGCCGCTAAATGCCAGCTTTGAGGAATGATGCTTACCTTGTCTCTATACGCCGAGAGAAGTCGCTCAAGCGGGTGCCGAACGAACGAGAATTTATAAAATGTCTCCAGATATTCGATTTGCTTCTCTTTCGGATAGGTGTTGAGATATCTATAGCCATTGTCACCCTTTTTGCCATGAGGAGAGTGGATATTTTCCCATTTCATTTTTCCAAAAGTATCGGGTTGAATAAGTTTCAGCAGCGTCTTCTTCCAATTCGTACAGCCAGTTTTCGGTAGCTCGCAGTATAAAATCTTGTGTCTTTCATCCACCACGAATCGAAGGTTGTATGGCCCGAGTGTTTCTGATTCTACTTTCTCTAAGAGATGAGTATTGTCTTGATGATCTTCCGGTAAAGAATCACATATTCTTTTCTTTAGCGCTTTTCTTTCGGTATAAATTTTCTCCCAATCGAAGAGGTCCAAATGTTCAGTCTCTGTCGACGTTCCAAGAGGGTCTTCTCTAAATAAACTTAAAAAGAATGCAAACTTTCACGAATCTCCGATCATTTACAAAATTAACCGGTGTTTTTAGTCACGGTAAATTCCCCTCCAGCGCACTTACAAAAATGATTTTTTCTTCACGGTGACCGGGTTTCTGAACGCTTCATAGCCGAGTATTTTCTCTAGGTCCCCGATGTAGAAAAATGCCACAAGGAAAAATAAGAGGCCGAGAAAAACGTGGATTTTATCTGCTTTTGACATTGTGAGGAATCTCTGGTTTTGTTGAGGAGCGCTTGTTTTGACCTTTCGGAAAGGGATGAATACCGACCAGTTCACCCTCTGGGCATTAGAAGCGTAACGCATCGTGTTATTTTTCTCCGAGGAGTTTTCATGAAATTAGTTTGTTCCCTTCACGCAATAAGTTTTATATTTTATCTGCATCGTTTTCAAATTTCTAGTCAACTTCGATTTTTAATCCTATTTTCCGAATACCCTTGAACACACGTGACGCGCAGACTCGTATAATTTCATTTACTGGATTCCTTCTAACTCTGAAGAAATTCACTTCTACGCGACTTGATTCTGTTGTTATTTCAAATTGAAATTTGGAAATTCCAATTGTTAGAAACAAAGTTCGACAAGTGAGCTGGACAGAAGAAAAAAGGTTTTGTTTTACTTTTGTGTCAGCTCCGGATATTTTGCAACAGCTTATCAGTAGCTGCCTGGAGTACTGGGCAAATACACTTGAGTAATCATGGTCGCTGTTTTAGAACGAGGAGTTTCGCGAAATTTATTCTCAATTTCAGAACACTGACAGATCAGAACCAGTACATGTAGTCACTGGGGTTGCCCCTCACTTCCATCTGCCGCTGGTAAAAATTTCTTGGTCGAGCGGAAGGCGGTGGACTTTTGAGACTCACATCTTGTGAGAATGTAGCGAGTTCTGGTTGGGAGAGAAATTTTTCAAGTGCTTCTTGTAGGCTTCCTAAAGTAATAGCTTTTTGAGACGTTCAAACTTTTTGTATTTTTAATGAAAACTTCTTCTATCTTACCATGGACTTGAGCCCCAATTGCAAGAACAAATAAAAATCTCATTTCTTATTTCGTTTCCTTTATCTTAATTGGAAAACGGTCTGGTCCTTTTATAGTCTCCAGACATCTTGTGGCGATCCAGTGAATAATAGTTGCTTATTTATTTATAAAAGAAAAGTATCCCTACTTAGCCCGATATTGAAACTTTTGACTTGCTGAATTTAAATTGAATTTGGCGGAGACCGAAGCAATTCTTTAGCTTTCAATAATTTATAAATAATCTTAAATTTGAAGAAGACACATACGGCGGTGTGAATTTATTAATTTTGTCTGTCAGGCTTTTCTCGATCGCTTTTTAGATCACAGATTCTGCTTCTTCGTCTTCTAAAATTTCATAAAAATGCTCCGGCGGGGTCGCCTGAAAACAGCTGCCATAATGTCTTGCTATCAGCAAGAAATTGAACATCATCATTGGAAGAAGCCAAAGAAAAATTTGGCTGATTTCTACTCCCCTCACGCGCTTGTTGTATCTTAATTTTTGATTTGGTCGTGTTTTTTGTATAAACTCACTGATTGAAGTCATAGTCGGAAAGAATATTTATCTTCCGGAGCAGCAGCATCAAACTAGAATATTTTTAATTAATTAGAAAGAGAAAAAACTATGCTTGGGTCGACAAAGGTCATCATTGAAGCTCCCTTTGGGCCGACTAATCTTTTCTTTGATTCACAGACTTACCATAAAATGATGCAGACAAAATACCACAATGGGATGATCCAACTTTTCAAATAAAGAATCTCCCCGTTCGGAGTTCTTCTAATAAGCACAAAAATAACGAGCCCTAGAACCAAATGCAACGAATAAAGAACGCATGTAAAATGCCAGAAGAGTAGCGAGGGCGCGAGATCTTCTGGCGAATGGGAAATCTTGAGCCCTTGGAATTCTATGAAGTGACCGACGCGGCCTGTTTCGAGGTTAAAATGACTTCAGCGCGGGTTCTAGCCGTTTTTATGGTAAAAATTTATGTTCCGATCTAACTATCGATAATATCTTTGGACGAACAAGGTGTTCAGAAAAGACGTCTTTTCGTTAGACAATTATTCGAAATCGAATTATTTCTTCTTTTTTTAATTCAATGCGCCTTCGATTTTCAATGCTCTTCCTGTTACCACTGCCAATAACAAGGATAATGTAGTGTAAGGAAACCATTTACGCCAATTGGCCTTGTAAAAATCCATTCTGCACTAGTTCTCTATTTCGCTGAATAATTATCAGATTTGATTTATTCCGAAAGAACGCGTAATTACGCAAATAGAGCGTAAACGCTCCGTTTGTTTGAGCCCCAGAAGTGTCCATTTCTACTTCTATTTTCAAGTCTGGTACTTTTTAACGCACTGATCCAAGTGTCGATTGAAATATGAGCTGTGGAAGTTGTCCCACGAAATTGAGATCGCTGACTCTCGCCGATTCTTCATAAAAATCAAATCTTCTTTTTCTCCGTCAATTTTTCGAGGATCGCGGCGGTGGCGCTCGCGAGCAATCATGAAATTTTCCACCTTGAAAAGCATAACATCCTGGAGGAACTGATCACTTACAGATTTGCTTCTTTTGTATGATGACTGGAATGTTTGTAAAGTATTTTTGTATTTTCTCGCCGGCAATAGCTTCGTTACAGGATCGAATTGCCGTTGACAGATTCATTTACGAGAAACCTCACTGCGAATCAGTTAATGCGTGTCGCGGAAGAAATGGTACAGTATCTTTTAAATTGTCAAAATACACTTATCTGGCTCAGAATTTACAGTTGAAAAGGGACAATCGAAATTATGAATTTATTCTGAGAAATGATTGTTTCAAAAATTATTCAAAAAAATCATGTATTTAGGCTGCGATGGATCAATCCTGTACAACAGAGTAGGTCAAATCAACCTCGCAAATTACACAAACTACTTCAACTGCAGATGGGAAATCCGCGGCGGTCTCAATTCGAAGATTCGAGTGAAAGTGGAAAGCGCGGGAAATTTCGGAATAGAAAATCACCGTTTCTGCGGCTTCGACAGGCTAAATTTGCAAAACTTTGAAGGAACCAAGAAGTTTGGTAGAATTTGCTCGTCACCAAGAGGTAAGAAAATTTGTTTAAAATCAAGGAGGACTTCTTGCTGAGTCAAGCAAATAGATCACTGCGGCTTTTTTGACAGAAAATTTTCCCATTAAAAAAGCCGCGTTTGGCTTTTTTTCTGATATTTTTTTCCTTTTTACTAAAGATGTCTTCAAGAAACCTAATTTTTTAAAGGAGAGACGATCCCCTACAATGGAATGGACGCAGTTGAATATGGAACTTCTGCGAATTCAGTGGCAACCAAAATAAAGGTACAGATTATGATATTTAGCCTAAACGTGCACATGGCGCCGGAAGGAAATATTTTTTGAAAATCTTTTAAGTCGTCGGCTTTCCGGAATGGAGTGACGCTCGATAGCTCTGAGCTTGTCGTGGCCTTCGATGCCGACAATCAAAACACTGGTGCTGGATTTGTGCTGCATTACGAAATTAGTAAGGAGTGAACTTGGAGTTGATTTGATGAGATTTTTAGTTGGAGACATAGATGATCTCGTCGAGGGAGAATTGACGGATATTGGAGACAACTTGGAAGCTGGGCTACTTCATCTCACGAAGAACATTGCTTCAAATCAAAGACGAGAAGCAGTCAGCAATAGAATCAGAGTAATTTTGTAGAGAAGGATTGACCCCTTAAATTCTTGTTGTCCTTTAATTCAGGGGCAAAGAATGCTTAGATGGGTTAAATCATGGATAAGTAGGTTAAAAAGCTGTTTTTAGAAGCTCTTCGCGCTGTATTCAAAGAAAATGTCGCAGTGCCGAAACGGCGATCTGTCCAGTCTGCTGCTGAATTTCAGGTAGTGTTTTTTTGTGCAAAGCCGGTTGCAAATACAAAATCTAGCGCCGCTGGATTCGAGGAAGAAAATTTGACCAAGGTTCACGATGAGTGGTACCAAATATTCGAAGCGTCTTTTGAAAAGTGCGACTTGCCGATTATGAAGAAACATGGATCCTTTTCGCAAACGAGTTGGCCAAGGAGAATTGAGTCGGTGATCAGAAGCATGGAGAAACATTTCAGTCAATAGTAAAACTGCCACTCTCTCTTTTTTATAACGATAGATCATTTCACTGCTCTTGATTTTTTCATATTCCCAAAGAACTGTACGAACTGTAAAAACTTTTTTGTAAATAAATTCTTTGCTTCAAAAAGAACTCTTTATTGCTTCAGTCATTCCAAATGTCCTCATCGTCTTCAGATTCGTCTTCATTTGAGTCTTCTGATGCAGAGATTTGTGCATAAACTGTCGTGTTGTAAGCATTCTCGTCCTCAGAACTAGCATCATCTTCTATTCCGCTTTTTCTTCTTGCTTTTCTCGCACATTTTACAACCAGCAATATAACGACAAGAAGCACGAAAGCTATGAAAGAAAGTATTATCAGAAAAACTTCGATGTTCATTTTTTTTTTAATTTGGCTTTTTGTCAAATTTCCTGTTTGCTTTCAACTCGAATTACCATTTGCGTTCTCATAAAAATGCGTTCGCCTCACGTTCGCAATCGAGGAAAGTTCAAAAACACGGATGGATGGAATACTCCCAAATTGAAAGCATAAAAACGTGTCTTTCTACGATGCCGTATTTGCTTCGTATAGAATTGTCGGAAATTTTCTCGCTGCATACGCGTTGATTGGCTTTGCGTCAATGGAACGCCCGATTCTTGAACCGAGATCAAGAACGTTTCAATTTGCATTTCCAATGCAAGAATTTGCCCATTCAGCCACCCAAGAAGGTTCTTCCTAAAAGTGACCTTGTGAAAACTGAAAATCCACTTTCAAGTTTCAACCCTTGCAACTGCCCGGGGCGCTTTAGTAAAGCCTCACCGCTAGAAAATAAAAAAGGCCTAGTTCCCAAAAAATAACGGGCTTTATATTTTTGCTCAACGAACATTCTAAAATCGGATAAGATGAGATCGAGCCTTCTCGGAAAATATGTGTTCATAATTTTTTGTAGCGCTGTAATTATTGTTTTTATAAAGAAAAATCATGCAGTTCCAAAATTCTTTGAGAGAAGATCAGACGACGAAATTAAATACAGAAGAAAATTTAAGAAAATAAAAAGAAAATTCAAGGAGTTTCAGGAATTAGGTTTGCATTCATTTTCTTCAATTTGCCTAATATTTGTTTGCATCCTAAACTAAAAGACATCAGAAAGCGCTGAAATTCATGAGCTCAAAGAAAATAATTTTGAGCTTCAGCAAATTGAGGCAAAGTTGGCGTTGGATCTTGAGGCCCGTGAACAAGAAATTGAGGCCCTAAAACCGAAGGTTCCGGTCAGAAAGCCAGGAGTACGGAAATGGGATCGAAAGTCAAAGCTGGTCTTTATCCACATAGGAAAGGCGGGTGGTACCTCCTTCGGGGCGATGATGACTGAAGCAATGGGCACGTTTGATTTTGTTGGAGCAAAGCATTTCGACTGGACTTATGTTGACGAAAAGTACCCTTTCGATGAAGTGCTTACGCTCTTTCGTGAGCCTCTTTCAAGGACCATCTCACATTTTAATTTCATGAAGAAGTTGTCCTGGACGAAAGGGATGAAGATAAAAGACCAAAGCATGGATGAGTTTTTAGAGGACAAATCTTCGATGATGGAATTTCGAGGATGCTGGCAAGACGGACAAGCAGGTGTTTCCTGGCTTACCGGAACCCATATTGCTGACTGGGTCCACAAAGGTGCCGAAGCCAACAGAGACCCGGATACTCAAGAACGAAAATTCTTCGACTTTGAAAACCAGCTCACAGAAGCAGCTGATAAAATAGACAAAATGTTCTGGTTTGGTATTTTGGAAGACTACGAAAGGTCTTTAGAACTCCTCGCGTATCAACTGGACAAACCATTGAAAAATTTCAAGCGTCTGCAACAAAAGATTGGCCGCCAGAATTTGCATAAACTAGAACCGAGCTTGCCATCAGAAGAATCAACAGAGTTTCTCAAAAACTTGATGCCACAAGACATCTGGCTCTACGAATACGCAAAGACCGTCTTTCAAGCGCGATGGAATTATTACAAAACAAGAATTTATCAACATCCGAAGCGACCTGCTTTTCCGAAAATCCCCTGTCAGTCGACGAGATTCATCTTGAAATGCTCTGGTACTGATAATGGTAAGACACTTTTGTTTGTCCTGTCTGAAAATCGAGTTTTAGACTTCATCTTCAAATGGGATGAGAAGATGCCCGAAGAACATGCTAAAAACTTCAATGATTTACTGCAATAATTTGATAAACTTGTTTTATTTATGAAAAAAAAGAATAAATTTCAACATATGCTCGAAGATTCTTCTTGCAAAAAGTTGGGCCGCGTCTGTTTGCTCAAAATACGTGTGTTGATTTATGGACTAATAGACAAGCTGTGTGAAAAGTGTAACAGTTAAAAATGAAATTTACACGGAAGAGAGTTAGATTTATTATTGAAATTGGTGCTGTTTGTGCTGCTATTGCATGTCTGGTAATAAATTTGTGGCGGTTTGTTGTCATAGATTTGTAGGGAGCAGCATTGGCAGGAAACGAGTGGTTTGATGTCGTTGGCGCTGATCTATCCGAATCTGGATTTGGAACAAATTTATCCCTTCATGGAGGAGTATTCGAGAGCTGCGGGCCACCAATCGACCCAAATTCTACATTAGAAGAAGAATGTTTCAAATTCGAAGAAATTCTAGGGCCTTACACGCCTCTGCAGTTGCTTCAAATCAGAGGATTCCTAGCATTTACCTTTTTAAGTAAACAAAAGTTAAATAATATTTGCTACCGAAATTTCAGTGCTATTGATGGGTCTTTTCTGTGGTTCAAAATTCGCAGTTGAGTTTTATTTCCTCGGATTTGCTGGAGTCGTTTTGGCATTTTCAATCGCCGTTGCAATGATCACTACGACTGGTATTCTCGTTTGCAACTGCTTGGACGAACTTGGCGTTCATGGATGGCTCGCTACTATCAGTTTACCGTGCATCATCATCGCTCTCTTCGCGGTTGAGAGCAAAAACCAGCGAAAAATGCCACTTAATTATATTCCAACGCTGATGTCTTTCGCTGTTTTAGGAAAGTTTTGAGAAAATGTGAATTTTTAATGCATCTGGTTTTTTAAATCAAAATTTGGGATGAGTTTGGCTACACTTGGCTTAAATTGGTTCGATACGTCAAAGTACTTAGGATTCGATTGAAAACATAGAAGAGAGATTTTTTAAAAACTTATTTCAATCAAATAATAGATCCCCGAGAAAAATACGCTCCCGAGGAACCTGCGCCATTTCTACCAACAATTTTCCCTCCTGCAGAAACATACAGCGAGTGCGAAAAACGATACTCGTTGACAGTGTATTGCGTCGGCTACTGCAGCGATCAAGGCGGGTTCAGATGGGAGTGCGAAAAATGGGAAAACTTCCTAAAATTTGAGAATAGCTGGAATACGGCGAATTGGAGGACACCGACGCCATTCGCTATTCGATTGGCATGGCTGTATATTGGACTGGTTATACCTGGCTTGGTCGCACAAATTGTCATTCAACAAAGGACACAGATAAATCCTGTGAGTGACATTAACTCTTACGCATTGTATTGATTTTTAGCTTCCCATTGCCCGCTTGAACTTAGTCACGATCGCAGGTCTCTTCCTTGTGGTCACTTCTTTTAGCAGTCTTCAAGGTAACGAGCTCCCCTCCAACAAATAACATTACGAATGTTTAGATGGATCTAACATCATCAAAGCCGACGAGGTCATCAACTTCGGCACAAGAATAGACAACGGTTTATCCGCAACTCTTTGCTATTTAGCAGCAATTGGACAACTTTCAATTTATATCATGAGCATTGTTTTCACATCTCAAAACAACTGTTACCATGAAGTTTCAAATAAAAATCCAGATAAAATTTAGTCAAGATTACCCAATAAGATCGAATTTGTCTTCAACTTGAACGTGATGGAACGTGGGGGCGGATTTCCGTTAGCGGCGGCTCTCGTTTATCCTGTTCTTTGCATTGAATTTCACTGTAGTTTGCGTTTTTGCTCGGGTCAAGGAAGATAGTAACACCTTGATTTTTAAGTTAATTAGACTAATTTTTTCAATATCTCATTTTTTAGTTTGCCCTGCACAAAAAGATCGAAATCTTCTCTTATTTTCAAAGAAGTTGTGATTGAGAGATGAATTCGAAAGTTTACATTTTATTTAGGAAAAGCGCTAAATTAGCAGCAAGAAATTGCTCAGATAGGTAAATGAAGAGGATAGTATTTGCAGTTGACTTTGAGTTACAGAAGAATAAAAGTTGACGGAATATTTAAAGAATTACATTTGAAGCTCTTTCGTCGTCTAGAAGTGGCGAGTAAGAAATATCTCTTTGCTTGGTGCTTGAGCCTGCTGCAGAATGCGGAACAAGCCATTTTTCTTTGGGCAGATTCTGGAGGTAGAACAGCTTCGGCGTGAAAATAACGAACCAGAGAACGCCGAGAATAGTGCAAATGATTGACAGAGAGAAAACTGGATCCCAGCCCTTGAGTTATGTTGATACACTTTATCATAGATAGCAGCTACTTACATTGAAATCAGAGAGCTGCTGTTCCCCATTTTCTAGTTTCGTTATATTAAAAGCTTCCTCGATGGGACTGTCCCCCATTTTATCTTAAATTAAGTTGATTCAAATTATTCAATGAAAGTTTCAAACTAACCTAGAGTCCAAAGAGCAAGTGTTTCCGGCCAAGAGCCGCCGAAGTTTGCCGCCGAATTGAGGAGAGTCATATAGACACCACCAAGAACCGGGTCGGATATTTGAGCATGAAATGACATGGTTGAAACAAAGTTCACTGTCCCGAAGATCGAGTCTGAATGAACAATAAAAACTTAAAGTTGTTGAAGACAAAAATACCGAAAATGCTCAAAATAACGATGATGGTAATTGCGCTTCCGTCAAATACCATTTTCGGCATATAATGAATAACAAGAGGGGAAGTAGCGGCGGAAATGAGGCCATAGATTGCTGTCACTGTCCAGCAGGTTAAGGCGCGTTTGGAAGTGAATCTTTCAATGGCCATTGGCAGTAGGATTCGGATAGGAGCTAGAAAGGAATAAGTTTGAACTGGATTCAAATTTTAGATCTACCCAAGTAGGAACTGAGCAGGGCAAGAGTAGAACGAGAAAGCCCCCTTTCGGTTAGTTTGAGCATGCTTGCTTCGCCAGCTACCGCCGAGCCGATATTGCAAGTGAACCACAGCAAAATGAGCGTTTTAACTGAGTGGAGCTTGAAGATGGCCAGCATCGTCTTGTAAGTCTCTTTCAAAGGTGGCGGTTTCAAGGACTCGTCGTCTTTTTCTGACTTGAGCGCGGCAATCAACACAGTTAGAATGATAAAACAGGCTCCCCAAAACGCGAAGTAACCGGCAGTCGTGACGAGAGGAAGAGGAGAGCTTTAAAAGTGGTTAAATTAAGACTGATAGAAAGGGCTGGTTGCCAAGGAGGAGTAAAATCAATTGTAGCATACCTGTTTTCCGCTGAGCGAAGCCATTTGTTAACAAAATCGGCGTCAGAAAGAGCCATGAAAAATCCGTACCCGAAGAAAGCGCCTAGTGTTTGTCCAGCAGCGTTGCAGTTCGCCGCAGCGCCGGCGTTTTTGCGAGAAAGAAGGGTCAGCGCCCACCCGTCTACGACGATGTCTTGGGTGGCGACGAGAAAGTTGAGAATGAAGAAACAAACTGCCAGTGGAACGACCTGCTTGTTTTCCATAAAAGAATCGATTCTTGCAGAGAGGAAGAGGAGAAAAGTGCCGATCAGGAGCTGGACTGGAAAAAGCCAGGATTTGCGCCGCCCAATGCGGTGAAAATAAACCGAATCGACCAAGCCTGCCCAGAGAAATTTGAAAGAAAAGGGATAACCCGCAAAGGTGAAAACGGCTTGCTGCGCATAGGTCACGCCCGCCTTTTGCAGGAGAAGAGGGATAGACGCGCCAAGACCTAAAGGAACGCCCTGGAGAAAGTAGAGCAGGAGCAAGAAGCAAACTGCGAATAAATCATTTCGAATAAGGCCCGACTTTGGCAACATTTTTTGTCGCAAACTCATTTTCTTGTTTTCAATCCCATTCTGTGGATGAAAAAGAATCAATTTTTGAGGCAAGTATATATGATATATTGAAAATTTCGTGCATGTTCGGCAGTACAGTAAATAAAGGAATGTGGCCAAGTACAGTGAGTGTTAGAGAGAACAGAGGAGAATGAAGAAGTTGGGAGTTTAGAATGATAGTTCCGAGCGATATCGGACATTAATTAAAATTGAAAAGCATTAGAAAACATTAACTGAACAATAAAGCTACTACAGAAGTTGCCTAGATACCTAGGTTAATACTAGAATATTAAAGCTGAAACGAGTCTTTTTAAAAGACTACTTGTAATTGATTTTTGCAGGCAGTCCGCGGTCCCAATTCTCTGGAATATTGTAACAAGCAGGAATGAGTCCGTAATTTACGCATGCACCAGCATTTGCAGCTCCAAGTTTACACGCTAGAAAAAAAACCGTTATACCGTAGCTTCTGTTTATCGCAGAAAAATGCAAACCTCGAGCGGCTTCGTTTATGTATCGCGATATACAGGGTCCAGGCTCTTTGGAAGAGTTGCGCACGCCGGAAAACCAATCTGCATAAAGTCGAAGGGTGAACCGATCGATATCCCTGTCAGTCACACTCCACAGCATCGCCAGAACAGATTCGCAACCAGAGTCGAGGATTCTTGAGTTTCGAATTTAAAATCTTACTTTACTTTGTGTCTTACTTGGTGATGGCGCCCCTGGGCTCAGTTCGTCCATCATCGCGTAGTCTACCAGATCCACATCCGATGAGATGCATGGTGCTAGATACACCTTTTCTGACGACTCTTCCCCAGCCGCCGACGCAGTCAGAGCCGCTGCCATGTCCTGCGAAGATGTAGAGCGACTTTTCGTTGAGCTTTTTGATAAGCTCGTTTGAGGGAGGAGCCATGGAAGTGTATCCATCCCATTCTTTGACGCTCTGGAAAAACTTGCCAACGGTTTCCGCCGAGCCAGCGAGATTGGTTTGACTATCGACGACGTAGAGCACGTCGCAAATGTCAACGCATCGATTTTCTGGCTCCGTGCGCAAAAGATACTCTGCATGACGCATTGACATCATCCTTGAAAAAGATTTGTTGGGATTTTGCAATAAAAAGCGTGCTTACCTGGATATTCGAAGACCTTTACAAATAGGCATTCGCTCAAAGCAAAGAGTCTGGACAAGTCGGCCGAGGACAAGATAAGTGGATGTCGTTCGCTGATATTGCATTTCCACGAAAGTATGCGCTTTCACAAGCTTATCTAACTCAACTTTGCGGATGTTGACGATTCCGGCGACATTCGTTTTCGCCAGAGTATTCATGAAAGACCATGCTCTTACAGCGTAATTTAAGTAGAGAGCTCTTGAAGACTTCATCTTTGGCTGAGGCGCCTCTTTAGGCCACGTGATCGCTTTCGAAAACGTAAAGAGAGGAAGGGCCGGACCGAGCACGTCTATAATTCCTTTCTGCGAAAAATAATTATTCCCGATTTGTTACCGGGTAATTTGGAAGTCCAAAGCTGCTGACAATAGTCGTTTCGCTTAGCCCGCGTCTCCCACCACTGATTTGGATCGGTCACTTCCTTGCTCAGCTCCTCAGAAATTTGGTCGACAGTGTGGCGCATTTTCAAGGCCTCTGATGCAAGAGCAGTGCCGTCAAAAGCGACTGAAAGAACAGCTCCGTTTGGCTCCATTCGCGTAACCAGCGCAAGACAGTTTTCGTAAGAACAGTGGAGAGTTTTCGAGACCTCTTTTGATAAAATTTACTCAAAGTTATCGATATGGGCACTACCTGGAATCAAGCTGACGATGACAAGGACATCTTCAAGGTGCTCTCGGAAGAAATCGTCCGTTGCGTTCACCGAGCTTATCATGTCTAGCGCTTTCTTTTGATTCCTTTCTGGCACTGCCGTAATATTGTTGCTCAGTCGCAACTGACAACCAAACTCCGTGTCGATGAGTGCACCAATGCCGACCACATCACCGTGCAACTCGCCCAGTTTTGCAGAATCACTCAAAATTATCGTACTCTTTTCTGCCACTTGTTGCTTTCGAATTATTTCACCGATTCGAAGATTCAGAATTGCGCGAATCGTCTCCATATCCCCAAATTCTCGCGCAGTTATCAATGCTGGAAAAATTAATGAAAACGACATAAAGTGACTTTAAGCCAACCTTCATCCAAGATCGCCTCGTCTGAAGCGGAAGGAGCAGACGGTTCGATGGGTGTGTGTGTGTTGAAGACACTGTTGACTTCGGCTGTGATAGGCGAGACTGGTCGGGAGTGAAATCGCTGAAGACGAACACTCTCGGCATTGTCGTTCTCCTCATTTTTAATTGGAGAAAGATCAAGAAAGTCGCCGGCTGGGCCCGATTGTACAGCTTCTTCGGGCTCATCATCTGAAGCCGTCGGCGCACGATTATCTTCAACGGGTTCCGCAGTTTTCATCGCTCGTCTTGCCATCGCTCTCGTCATCCGCGTTGCGTGGACCGAAGGTGCAACTGGAGTGTTAACAACAGCGAGAGAAGGTTCCTGCGTTTCGCTGTCTTTGAAAACAGGAACTCTTTGCTTTCTACGAGTACTCAGTTTTGCTTCTGATGGAACTCTCATGGGAGTAATCGTCGGAGTCGCTACAATTAAATCTTGTTTCAAGCGACGTCGCGCTGGTGTTTTCATCTCACTTTTGACTTTCATTTTTGTGAAAGGCTCTGTTAAACGATTCGTCAACTAATAAGGTTAAATCTTGAAAAAATGATATGTATTCCTAAATCGTTTCCTTCTAATTCTATTTGATTGTTGATTGTCTTAAATGTTCTATCGTAAATGATCTGGGCAACCTGAAATCGAGCAAAACGACGACAATTTTTTGGGTTGATTTTTTCGCAGTTGTTCATTTCAGCCATCTTTGCGCTTATAAAGTCGATCGCCTGGGATGGCGATATTAGCTCTAATGCTCGGAGGATAACGACGAATGCCAGCTACAATGATCGAATAATCAAAAGGCGATTAAATAGAAATTACCTCTGAAAGCCATTGCGAAAAACCGTGTCCCGCGATCGCAATTTCTTTGAAGAGACACAATCCAGCATTAACGGCGCTTTGAGGATCAGGTTGAACTCGCAGCAATGAAGTCAAGGCAATTGCATAGTTTCGCGCGATATCGATGTCTAGATCCGTCATTTTCGGAAGAACAGGCAATTTGAAGTTGAATTTTGACGTTTTGGGCTGGTGTTTCTCCGCCATGATTTTCGTAATCGGCGAGGCGGAACAATCAAAAGCAAATTCTTTCTTGATCGCATTGGACTTCAGACCGTCCTCGCTCATTTCTTCAATATTAGAAGAATTCCGTCTGGGTGGGTCAAGTGAGATTGCCGCCGCTTTCGCCTGTGGATTGATTCCTCGCATAAACTCGTTTTGAGAATCAAGTTTGAATATTTTGAGCAACGCCGGCACCTCCTCACGCCACTTGCGAGTTTGACCTTCGAGTTCCAAAGCGCGAATTTGAAACGATTTCGCCAAAATGTAAGTCGATTGGAGCCCCCAAATCTCAGAGAGGACGAGCAGCTCGTTTGCGAATTGCCTCGCCTCTGTGGACATTCCCCGAATGAGGAGATCTTCCACGTGCTCTGCCGATATCCAAATCGTCTTTTCAAGTGATCGGAGAGTCGATAAAATCTCGCGGCCGATCTTTTGAATTTTCAGTGCTCCCTGGCTCTTTGCAGAGGTTGAAAAGAGAGTTGAATAAAAAGACCGATCGCAGTTGAGAGAAAGCACGGTAACTAACAGTTGGATCGCGTAACGAAGTCCGCATTTGTGATGGTCAGTCAACATACTCCCAACGTGTCCAAGGGCCTTGTCATGATACTCACTCCAAGGAGAAGCAGAAGAAAGAGGCGTTTCACGCAAACTAGTCACCATATCTAATTCCTCTTGTTCTTCGAAATGGAATGATTTCTGATCGCTGGGAAGAATGTCTTCGTTCATCAAATTTCCAAAAACGAGCCTTTTCTCGTGCTCTGACTTGACGAGGCAATCACGCGCTTTATTCAGTATTTCTCCAACTTCATCGTCAAACTCAGCCTGGCTGGAGTATATCGAGTGTTTGTAGATGACCCACATGGAGGAGCCAAGATCCATCGCCAAATCTGCAATCAAGGAAGACACCGCCTCCTAAATTTTAAGATTAAATTAATCGATTGCTTTTGTTATTTACCAGTTCAGCGTTCTTCTTCGGATAGTACCAGTCAACAATCAGTTTTAATAGCTTTTTCAGTAGCGAAGTGCCAGCTTCGCGTTTCCCGACGATAAGCAGCAGTTCCGCAGCAATGTAAATCGTGTTGACATAATTCAAAACAGCGGTTGTTGTTGAGCACTTACTGAATTGCTCCCGCACTTTTATGTTGCAAAGCTTCTCAATTTCCAACCTTATCGGTGGCGAGCTCTTCTTGGCCATATTTGCGCTCCAAGCCGTTTGGAGATCTTTCTGCCAAGAAGAGAGGATCTTCCAGACGCAAGTTAATTCTTCATTCGGTACTTCTTCATTTTTTGAGCACTGAAATGTGAGTTTCTTCGTTTCCTCTGGAAAAACCTCCCTCAATTGAAAAATGACGAGCTTGAGAAGATCTTGTTCGCCTTCTGGAAGCTTTCTGTACTCGCTGAACTGATTCAAAGTCGCCACAAGCAACGCGATAGATTCAGGAAGCTGCGGAGGACCAGATTCAGTCAGCAAGCTGATTAGGATCGTGATGAACTGAACTTGCGCTTTCTTCTCGATACTGAACAGTGTGAACAAATTTGCGTGCAAGGGAGAAGGGCTTCGTTTAAAAGACTGGCATAAAAGCTGATTTAAAAACATCTTCACCATAAGCGTCTCCATCTTCGTGCAGCTCCGGTGTCCAGATACTTTGATTGCTAGCGCGTTGTAAATGTCCATAATATTCGTTCGCTCGTAGCTGCACAGTCCGTGCTGCTCAAAGATCCAGGAGAGCTCGTTAATCGTCAACTCGACCAAGCTCCAGTGCTGGTAGGTCGAAAATTCGTCGTCGTTTCGCGCCGCGCTCATCAAGTAGCTGAAGCAGCCTTTAACATTCTTTAGCGCCGTTTCGACCAAAATAGCCCGACTCGACTTTGTCAGCTTTTCCCGTTGTTTCTCGACTGTTTGGATGAGACGGAGAAAAGAATAGACTGCGAAACAAGGATACTTGTGCTTGATGTCGTATTCCTCACTGACTTCCGCTTGTTGTTTCAAGCTCGACAAGGCCAGAGCCATGCTACCGATGGACTGGTTGAGAGGGAGCAAAACGCCGTCCAAGGCAAACCAAAGATCTTTCGTCTTCTGTTCATTAGCCTGCTCCTTTGGAACAGGAGTGAGGGATTGACAGAGGTTATGTGTGATCTGCGCGAAGCCGTAAATTACTTCTTGAATGTCGTTCTCGTCGAGGTTCTCTGTCATCAAAATGTGGCCAGACGTGAGATCTAGATTTTAATTCCCAAAAAGTCCTTTTCCAATAAAACTTACATTTCTTCAAAATTTGGGCAATTCGTCCCATGCAGATAAGATGATGTGTTCGCCAGGACCGGTTTTTTGCTGAAATGCTTGGAAATTCAAATACGATCGCCTTCAATGCATTCACAAAGGCTCGAATCTCTTTGAAGGTTTCTCGAGTGGGCGTAACAATCTGTTGCTGAAGAAGGTTTTCCGAGGTGTCTGCTTCCTCTGGCTGATACTTGTCGTTCATCAGGATGAGCAACTCATTAGTAAGGCAAACGCCAAAACCAGGAATGCTGGAGTACTGAACCACTTCTTGCCGAAACTCTCGGAAGAGTGTTATCATGGAATCGAAACGGGCGAACTCACAAGTGTGGAAAAGCGCGCGCACAAACTGAATTGAGAATGAAAAAAAAACTTAAATTTGGATGAAGCGATTTACTCTTTTGGAAAGCGTGAACTTGTCGAGAATAAGCCAGGCTCTTCTTCCGGCAACCCAATCGGCCTCACGGTCTTTGGATTTGAGAACAGCGTGAGAGTTGTTATTGTATAGCGCCCAGAGGTCCATCTGTAATCGGCCAGCGATGCTTTTCATCGACTTCTGGTACTTTGGGATTTGCGCTATTTTGGGGAGAATGAGGAGCAGGTGATCAACCACTTGAGCCAAAGTTGAATGGTCAGGATTGTACTTTGTCGAGGCAGTTTTTGTGATGTAATTATAGATCAACTACGAAATTTTAATATTGAAATAAAGGAAGACTCACTTTGAAAGCTGCAACCGCGTTCCCGTCGATCTTTAGCTTTTCCAGGGTGGCGAAATCGATGTCACCCATTTTAACTTTCTGAAAGAAATGATCACTCTCTGCTTTCGCTTCGTGAGTAACAAAAGCGTGTCGCCAGGCGGGTGTTTTGTGCAGTTACCAATTAAAAAGTAACCATTCAATAATTAATTGCGCCCTCGTCGTCAAGGCCAAAATCATAAAAAATCTGCAATGGGTACATTCGGAAAAACGCGCTTACTTATAAGCAGAACAACGAAAGAAGATTTCTAACAGTGGCAGTTCACTTTTAGTAGCCACCCTTCTGATAGTGACTAGTCAAGAACTGACTCGTAGAAAAATTTTCTACATCATCAATATTGCTCGTATATTTTCTGACCTGCAGTATTTCTGACCTCCAAGAATATTGATGGCTGATAAACTGAAGCCGATAGATTATAAATTTCAATTTATAATCATCAAAATGAATTGCCATGATTTGTTTATTGAAAGCAAAAATCAATTTGTGTTGACTGAAGTTATTATTATTTTCTTTTCAAATTAAGGCAGTAGGTAAGTTGAACGAAGGAACAAGATAAGAATTGTCACAGAATTATCTAACAGAAGGAATTTCCTTAAAAATCTTTTTCTGGAAAAGCAAATTGAACAGAGTTAAATGCTTGTTTTACTGATGGAAACTGCTACGGAGAGTTTGTCAACGAAGGTCGTCACGGAAACTTCAGATTCCTCCGGGATCTCGATATCCTTCCGCCAGTTAGCGTACGTAGTCGTGCAGCTGTTCATATCATGGAGAAGGTTTCGCCCGAAGATGGTGATGTTTCGCCCCTTAATTTCTGTTTTGGTGATATGGCAGCACTGCATCATCCGGTGAGTATCAGCCAAGGGGACAAAGAAGTAGTAAGCGCAATCCTGCCGCTGCCAGACCCATTCGTTCAGTTTCTTCTGCTCTTTCTTCGATTTTCTCGGTGAGTGTGTGCCGCCGAAAATTGTCGCGATTTTTGCCATGTTAACAAAAGTTATTGATTTATGTTATGATTAAGATATTTTGTTGAAAAGTTTCTAAGCGCGTATTTATATGAGCAGCGGCGCACGAGCATCGGCCTGGGCGGTAGAGAGTGGCAACGAGCGCAGAAGAGGGAAATTGTCCGTTCACGTCACGTACCTATAGAATGTGTAGATAATCTGCTTTACACTGGTACTTTGAAAAGTTGAAGATGAAATGATCAAGGGTTGGTTATTGAGCGATACATGCTTATTCCACGGAACTATCACTCAGATATGAGTATGAGTCCATAAGATCAAAAGGCATATTAGATACTGATACACTGAATAATAACAGATAACGTTCAGATGTTTATGAATTTCTGTAATTATGTTGCGATAAGACTTACTTGTGCTCGAAGACATTCACTCATGCTGTCTACTTTTCCATCCTATAATCCTCCACCACATGATCTTTTAGCTGAGTTTCCGTTTCCGTTCAGCCTTGTCACACTCATCTTCTTCCGGAAATATATTCTTATTCGCTCAATAATTGAGCCTCAAAACTCTGAAGAAAAAATAAGACAACTTTTCTTTAACATGGGAAAATTCAATTTATTGTGGCAGTTAAATTTTTTCTATCATTTTGTTTAAAAATAGGTCTATCGACCAGCATGAGATCGGGAACGATTTCGTCGTCGTTCATATGAAACGGATCGTGATTTTGTGCGACGGCGGTCTCTGAAATGGGCACATTAATTTCTTGAACAATAGTGAGAACTTACCGTTTACGTCCCCGGTCCTCATGGGACGTAGACCGCTCGCGTTTTCTATCCGGAGAGCCTAGAAAACAGGATCAGCTAGAAAATATAAGAGTCGAGGCGGGAGCTATTTTTGAATAGAGATTGAACTAAAGAATATCAAGGCAACTGTAATATTGCGAAGTTGAATCTTCCATAAGGTAGAAACTTCGGGAAGAGATTAAATCCGAATGACTGCGTCGGGCTGTCGGCCACAAAACTAGACCAGCTGTATAAAGCCCATTAATTGTCATTAGATATTAGCTCAGCGGATTCTATATGAATAGGGCCGACGAGCAAAAAATCAACCCCAAGTACCCGTTGATGGAAACGCCCGAAACTTTGTAGAAGTGTTTATTTTAGCCCAATTGAAAAAATTGTAATTGAAAATTTTTTGATCGGATCACGTGATCGCGGGTTACAGACGCTCTAAAAGCTAGAAAAGCTTGCCGAGCTTGATCCCCTTATGGTATCATCTTCTCGTTAGGCTAGAAAGATAGGTCTTAATTTGTTCTAGTGGCTTAGTTAAAAATTCTTGGTGCCGTTCTTACAGGAGACGCTAGAGACTATATAAGGACCCAAAACTAGCTAAAATTGAGGTAAAAATCCAGGTTTCGCGGGCTTTTAGGCCAAAATAAGTTGCAAAAGGGCCTTTTGGACATTTCAATTCCCTCTAGCAACTCATGTGATCTTGGCACCAAAAATGTTTTGGATTCTTTAGAAATAACTTTTGTGCTCTTTTATGTGAGCTACATTATGATCCACTGAGGTAAGGGGATCGAGGTTGGCAAGCTTTTCTAGCTTTTCCAGGGTCTGTAACACGTGATCACGTGATCCGACCAAAATATTTTCAATTACAATTTTTTTAGTTGGGCCAAAATAAACACCTTTACAAAGTTTCAGAAATCTACCTTAACGGGTTCTAGGGGTTGACTTTTTGCTCGTCGGCCCTATATATGAATGCTTCTCAATAACAACATGTATCTGAGGCCGTGAATGAAATCAGCTACCGCATTTCTCAGAAAATAACCGAGGTAATCAGAATAATTTGCTCTTGTAAAATAGAACCATTAATACCAAGCACAAAAAGCCCCTTGGTAGAATAAACTAATTACATAATAGGTTCACTAAAGAACTTAGTTGCCTGAGAAGCTCTACTCTTCTCTATCAACCCCCACATATTTTGATAAAACCGAGGATTTAAATACTTGAACACTCTCAGTGCAGGCGTCTATGTTCCCATGTGAACATATCACTCTGACAAAATTAAAGTTATGCAGACGTCACAATATCAACGTGGTAGATCTGACATACGGTATCATCCTATTGCGTTAAAATATGTCTATAAGAAATACCGTCTTTCTGACGGAGATAAAAATAAAACCAGGATTTCTTGCTCAAGAATAGAATTTTTCATGGCGTCACAAACATGACTGTTCCACAGATGTCCAAAAATGACGTAGAACTAGCATATGATTGAATATTGGTTCAATGGATTACATCACTTAAGATATTTTAATCTTCGTTGACCACAATCAACCCTCGTGTTTGTCTCGTGATCTCCAGTCACGCGACAGTAAATATATACAGAATGTGTACCGTGCTTTCGCTTTCGCATGCGCTCCTTCATCGCCTCAGCTTCTTTCTTGGCGCGTTTGAGTTCTCGCTCTTCGGATTCCGTAATCCTCTTGGACTTCTTTGATTTTCGCGACTCTTGGCGAGAGTCATCGCTATCAGATCGAGATCGTCGTCTTCGCGATCTGCTTCGCGTCCTCCTTGACTTCTCTTTTTTCTTCCTTGATTCCTTGGAGGCCGAGCGGCTTCGCGATCGCCTCTCTTTTTTCATCGAGTCTGATCGTCCTCGACGGCGTTTATCAGGAGTCCTAGATCGCGATCTTGATCTTCGGGATGCTTTTCGACGTCTTTCTGGTGTTCGTGATCGACTACGTGAAACGGAATGTCGAGAAACTTTCCGACGTTTTTCAGGAGTTGGAGATCGACGGCGCCTTTTCTCGGGAGTTGGTGATCGTCTTCGTCGTCGTTCAGGAGTACGAGAACGTCTTTCTTTCTTAATCTTCCTCGAAGAATTAGACTTTTTTGTAAGAAATGGATAGTTTACCTCCGGTTGTTGTTGCTTTTTGAAAATGGCCTCAATATCTTCAGGTTCAGACTCGCTCGAGTCGCTGCTACTGGAGCTTGAGCTAGAATCATCGCTGGATTCGGACTCATCGCTCGAATCCATCCCCTTGACTTTTCCTGTTTTCAAGAAATCGCGAAGGCCGTCAGTAAGTCCACCGAGACCGATAGAAGTGAAAAAATTGATCGCAAATCGAGTGTTCTTTGGATTATCTTTTGGGAAGAGACCTTCGAAGAAAACCGCCATTGTGTCTTCTTGAAGCCGCGTATTGAGCTAGATTCAATATATTAACACGAGAATTTATCAAATTGTTTCAAAAAACGACGCAAATAAAATATATAGGCAGGAAGATCAAAGACACTATGACGGGTAAGTCACCCTTCTGGAACTAATTTGACTGAAATTACCTTTGGAAGACCCATGTACTGGGAAAGCTCCTGAAACAATATTTTGATAAAAATACGGGAGGAAGAAGTAGTTGTATCTTCCGTGATGGCAATTGTAGACATCACGCTCCACGGGATCGCGTCAGCATACAAGAGTTGGGCAAAGAACTTCGCAACGTTTCTTAATTTATTCGTTTCCAGCCGGTGGATCGTTTCGTAGGACTCAACGAAGATCAGCTCGAATAATTCCATGTATTCTCGCTTGATTAAACACAGGCGAGTTGCCGTGAGTCCGAAGAACTTTTCGTACGTTCGATTTTGTCCGCAACAATCCACGATCATGTGGCACATTTCTAGGTAAAAATTTTTAAGCTGTCTTTAATTATTTTTCTTTTCCACCTTTCCACATTGCCTCCGGAATCTGCAGCTTCATCAATTTATGGCAGCACTCTTCGAAGTCAACAGAAGATTGAATGGTTAGATAGATCGTCTTCCTGAGCTCGACTGTATTTATCTCGGTTCTATCGATAATGAGAGTTTGGCCCTTAGGATCAGCAGTTGCCTTTGCAGCTTCCATGGCCGCTGTTTCAGAGTCTGCATCGCTGTTAGAATCGCTATCCGACGAATCAGAGTCTTTTTCTGACTTCACTATTATTCTTCCAAGAAATTACTAGTCTATCAAAGTGAAAAGCCGTTCCTGAAGAATCATCAGAGCCAGACTCGTCACTCTCGCCAAGGATTTCCCGTTTGATGTCTTCATATTGCTTCTCATTCGTAAGGAAGTCATCGTCTTTTTTAAAGACATTGAGCATCATCTCCTCCTTGTATTCACCATCAAGTCTGATCATGTGCGTAAATTGGTCATCTTCTTCTACCAAATCTAGCTCCTCGATGACGATAGGGTGCTCCTAATAAAAGTTATTAAAAGACCTCGAAAGCATCAAATAAAAAATAAAACTCAAAAGGTATTCGCTAGAAACCATAAGCTGAAAGCCTACTGTGATTACTGATAATTTTTAAATTGGGTAGTAACAGAGACCGTTTACACCAATTTTGTCCTGAAGCTCTCTGTCTTCTTGAGAAAAGACCTCGGTCTGTAAGAAAACGTTTGACCAAGTGAGCTGAAGGGACCTACCCTTGTTGAAAGCGAGCTGAATGAAACAACAGATTCATAAATCAAAATAATTATCATAATGTAAAGTACACAATCGTACCGAGAATCCATCCTTTCGGATGGCGAAAAGAACTTCAATCATATACTGCGTTCTTTTATCAATGGAGGCTTCGTGGAGAATATTCCTCATTCGTTCGAAAATTGCAGCCAAAGCTCTGCTGGAAACTTCAGAGAGTTTCAAGCCAATTTCTTTGATGAAGCCAACAGCCACTTCCACAGAATCATCAGTAGGATTCTCAAGGAGCAAGGTGAGAATCTCGAGTGCAAGAATTTCGTGGCAAACTTGTTGGTTAACTAAATGTGCGACGAATTTGCAGGCATTCAGGCACAGATCTTTTTGATTGCGGCGGAATGAACGTCTTTTTGAGAGTTTAAAATTGATAATGAAAAGTTTAACTTGAAAATATAGTGTATGTAAATAATTTTTCGCTTTATAAGTGTGGGATCATTGAGAACGATCAAACAGTTTGATATTTATAAATTTTAAGTCCCTGCCTAAAGACAAGAACCAGACGAGAGAGAATGAGTTCTCCTATGGTCGGAAACTTAGTGTTGATAATTGCCACAAATGCTGCGTAAACATTCGTAAAGGTTGGCGAAGCACCTTGCGCTTGCAAAATCGATCTGGTGAGCAAACCTCGTCCGCGCATGATGTTTTCGGAGAAGAGCTCGCGAATGATGAGACTAATATTCGAAACATTGACTTTGTTGACGATACCGTGAATGGATTTCTTCAACGCTTCCCACGAAATTCGCTGGTATTCGACGGAGCTTTTGTCCGTAATAGCTGCTTGCATCGCCTTAAGCTTCGCAGGTGGAATGTAAGCGCCACCTGTTCTGTTGGCCAAGATGTCATCTTTCTTATTCCTCGGATTTCTCGGCTGTCTTGGGTCGTTTACTGTTGCTTCTTCGGCTTTCTTTGGCGACTTGGATCTGTTCCTTTTGGGGGGAGACTTGGATCTGCTCTTCCTAGCTGGAGATTTGGAGCGCGACTTCTTCTCTCGCTCAGGCGACTTTTCCGTTTTTAAGACCGCTACAGTCGACTTTGGCCCACTACGCTTTTCTGGCGACTTAGAGCGACTTCGGGATCGTCGGGATTTTCTTCGATCATCATCGCTCGAAGAAGAGCTACTAGAGCTCGAGGAGCTGCTCGAACGACTTCTACGCTCTCCCATATCTAGACGAACGAACAAATTTTAGGACTGTTTGAGAAGATTTTATTATAAGTTAAATGGTTGTGAACGATTGTTTCAAGAAAAAATGTCATGTAATATCAAATTTTTGCAACTTGCAATTTTGAAATGGCAATGAACTTGGCAAAGTTGATACAGAATTGGAAACAAATAAGATAAATGAAGATCTGTTAGAAATTGAGAACATGTGATATGCTTTTGTTGAACGAAAATGTGAACTAGAGTGCGATGAAAGTAGTCAGACAGATTAGCCAGAAATGTTGACGAGTCGCATGGTGTTGGTAGTGTTGGATCGTCCCTGGGCCCAGCCAGAGACGATGACTGCGATGCGGTTGTTCTTGATGAAGCCGCGATCCAAGCCGCACTTCATGGCAAACTTGATTCGCGCTTCGATGTCCTCATCCCAATTTGGAAGGACATCATCTGTAAACAACAATGGGTGGATTCCCCGGTGAAGGTAGCATTGACGCGCTGCTTGTTCAAATCTAAGGGCGCGTTACTCTTTTATTTTGAAATAATTCTATACCTGGTGACCGCTAGAATAGGGCATCGTGGTCTGTACTTAGCGATTCTCATCGCAGCTCGGCCACTTCTGGTGAGGACGATAATGCAATCGGCGTTGCACTTGATGGCAGCTTCGACGACAGAGATGGCGATGATTTCGGTCCAGTCCTTTGAGACTCCAGTGTTTTGTCTGAGATCAGAAAAGAGCTGATCGTGGAAGATGGCGCTCTCAGCGCGGAGGGAAATACTCGACATCATTTGGACGGCTTCAACTGGGTAATCTCCCTGGAAAGAGAAGTTATAAACAAGATGGATGAAACGTTCAGACCTTGGCAGTTTCTCCTGAGAGCATGACACAATCAGCACCGTCGAGGACAGCGTTAGCGACGTCGCTTACTTCCGCTCTTGTAGGTCGAGGCTTGGTCGTCATCGACTCCAACATCTGTGTAGCACAAATAACCGGTTTACCAGCAGTGTTGCATCGGCCGATGATCATTTTTTGAGCAAGGAAGACCTTAAATAATGACTATTAACAGAAATTATTTCTCTTTGAACCTTTTCCGCTGGAATTTCAATTCCCATGTCGCCTCGAGCAACCATGACACCATCGGACGCTTGGATGACTTCATCGATCTTTTTGACTCCCTCATGGTTTTCGATTTTGGAAATGATCTTGATCCCTGCTCCCTCTTCGCCGAGAACATCTCTGACTGCCATCACATCACCAGCTTTTCGGATGAAGGATGCAAAAATCATGTCGACGCCCATTTCAACGCCGAAGAGAAGATCCTTCTTGTCTTTCTCAGAGACAGCTAAAACCAAAATATTTTCTTTCAAGAAAGCTCAAACCGTACCTGGAAGATCTACTTCGATTCCAGGAAGATTGACTCCCTTCTTTGAGCCAAGCTCTCCGCCATTCAAAATCTCACAGATCACTTTGTCATTCGCGATTTCAACAGCTTTGATAGAAATCAACCCGTCGTCAATGAAGATTTCGTCGCCTTTCTTGATCACTTTTGGCAAGTTTTTGTAGTCGACATAGATCTGCTCTTCGGTGCCGGTTTCGAAGTCTTTTTCATCCAAGGAGAGGGTGATTTTGTTGCCTTTCTTGAGCGTAACAATGGCTGATCCACCACCAGCAAGAAGACCTGTTCGGATCTCCGGACCTTTTGTGTCCAAAGCGATCGCGACGGGTTTGAAGAGAGTCTTCTTTTCGCGAAGGTTGTCGATCGCGGTTCTAACCGATTGAAAAATCGTTTATATGGAGTCTTTTACCTAGCATTTTCGATTGTTTCCCGGTGGTAATCGTGCGTTCCGTGGGAAAAGTTGAGTCTAACAACGTCCATTCCTGCTTCAATCAACTCAGTGAGCTTTTCGACAGAGCGAGACACTGGACCAATGGTACAGACAACGTGAGTTGCTCGGTGAGTGCCAACATCAGCGTCGATGTTGAGAAGACAGTTGTGCGAAAGCACTGTATTTGCTTCCTGGGCGGCCAACTGAGGAGTCGATTCAGACAACTTTCGATCACGCATTTTCTCAAAATCTCTAAAAATATATTTCATGTGCCAGGTCTTTGTATCATATTTTTTATGGATAATCACTGTTTCTCGTAAAATAAAATTAAAAATAATATAAACGTCAGTCGATTTCTGTGAGATTCTGGTTTTCACTTGGCGCAGCGCTCAGGCCAATCAGCGCCGCATTCGCGCTCCGTTCCCTTTTTCAACTCACTCAGAGGAAAACCTGAACGCCTTAATTCTTGTACCATGATTTTTTTTCATACAAACAGTTACAGTTAATTAGTGTAATCAAATGATATCACCAATGATAAGTTGATAAACGATTGATCAAGGTCTTCCTTAGAGTTATCGTTAAACATTAGTAATGTCTGTCACTAAAACTTATTATTTCACTGAAAAGAATACACAATAAAGATCACTGATGTACCAAAATCTTCCCTAGAATGGTTCTCCTCGCAGAGAACGGATCGAAAGGTTTGCGCGTTTTCGATCTGTCGACAAACTACACGGAAGTGGAAGCTTTCAAACCTGAAACTGGAAAAGGACCTGGTCCAATAATTCTCATTTATTAAAAACGAACTCATCTATTATCATAAAATCCTACCCACCAATCCCTTCTGCAGAAACTCTAAGATTTGTTTTCATAAGAATATCTACAGAAAAAGGAAAGACAAATGAAGCTAGCTTTTTTAATCAGAAGGACGCGACCCATTCGAGTTATTTTGGACCCAATCTAAAGGTGTTAGACTTTTCGAATGGAGCCACTGTGGAAAGCTCTTCGCTTACTGTAATAATATCGAGACGATTGTGATCAACGTTGCTGACTGGTCCGTCGTTTCAAGAGTAAGAGAAGTAAATTGGTTTACTCCTTCTATTTTCACCCTTCAGCTTCCAATTTCCCGCGCTGTTTTCTTCAAATGGTCACCGAACGCCGACCAGTTGGTCACTTTCCATCAATACTACGAGACAAAAGACAACCCGAATCCAGGCCCGAATGTGAAATTCTTCGCCATTCCTTCTGGTGAAGAAATGGGTGGTTTCATTCACCGGGGGTCTGTAGAAGGTTGGGAGCCAAACTGGACGTCTGATAGCAACTTCCTTCTTAGAAAGATCGGACCTCAACTAATGACTTATGCTCGCTCTTCTCCTACAACAGGTAAAGTCGAATTGTAATCAGCAGACTGTCAAATGACGGATTTCAGTGCTGAATAAACTGAAAGTGGACAACATCATGACACACTCCGTTGCCCCTGGTCGACCCCCATACAAAGTAGCTGTCTTCGGAAAAAGCTCGAAAAAGGAGATCCTGCTTTTGTAAGAATTCATCGTCTACCAGAACTGAAAGACAAAATGGCACAGAAATGTTTTTACAAGGCCGATACTTGCGGTTTCTATTGGTCACCAAGGAAAGGGATGAAACTTAATTGAAAAGGCCTTGTTTTTGAAGATATAATTTTCTCCTCCCTTATTCAGTGGAAAAGATCTTCTAGCTTTGACGGCAACAGAAACTTCTAGCGAGTCGTATTATGGCGAAAATACGCTGTATCTGCTGAATGCCCAGAAGGGAGAAAGCCAAACTGTTGAATTAAAGAAAAAGGGGCCTATTTATCACATCGAGTGGTCTCCCGATGGTGATTTCTTCTGCGCTGTTTATGGATTTATGCCGGCCAAGGCAACGTTGTACGATAACAAGGGAAATATCAAATTTGACTATGGAACTGGCCCTAGAAATACTTGCCATTTCAATCCACAAGGTAGGTGTGTGGGAAAGAGGAACCTTTCGAATCCTTCTTAGGAAGTTTGCTGATGATCGCCGGCTTTGGGAATCTCCGAGGGAAGATGGAATGTTGGGATGTAAGGAAAAACGAGAAGATATCTGAACCTGAAGCTCCTGATACAACGAATTTCCACTGGTCACCAGGTCAGAATCAATACGGGATTATCTAGGGCGGGCCGTTTCATGGCTTATTATTTAGATTAGACTTGCTAATCAACCATTCTCAGTTGTTAATTTACATTCGAATTATAAAAGAAAAAGTTAATTCAACTAAAAGTAGAGTCTTATCCCTTTTCATCAAGGCCGTTACCTGCTGTGCAAATGAATGATCCTCCATTTAAATATATTCATTTTTCGTAGATGGGGAGCATTATATATGGGCTACGACAGCGCCACGACTTCGCGTTGGCAATGGCTGGAAAATTTCGCACTATCACGGAGAACTAAAGCACGACAGCCCCTACCCGACTGGCGAAAAAGTCGAGCTGTGGTCGGTCGGTTTCCAGCCTAGCCCTCGCACACGTCAATTTGAAATAACGAAGCCATCCAAACAGCTGATACAGAAACAAGCGGCCGAGAAGCCGAAAGGATACGTCCCGCCCCACGCGCGAGGACGCAAGGATTACAATGTAAGTCTCGTGATGTATTAAAACTGTAGAAATAATCCGCACGGCCTTTTGCCCCATCTTTAGCCCTTGACAAATTGGCATTTGAGTACTGATTCAAACGACTTTTCAGGCTAAAATCCGCGAAGACGAGAAACCCTCAGATCCAAACGCCGCCATCCAGGCGGTTATTGACGCAAAAAACAACCCAAAGAGTGGACAGCCGGCGCTGACCGCATCGCAATTGAAGAATAAAAAGCGAAAAGAGGCCAAGGTAATGCATCATTGATACTCGCAGAGAGGATATTTTGAAAAGTTCGAGTTTTAATTGATAATTCATCATTCAATATTATTGCATCTTTTTGCTGCGGAGAGATTCCGACACAAACTTTTAAAAAGAGAGTTTATCTGAGAACAGTAAAGTGAGAACTTAGACCTTTTATTGGTAAACAATAATCTGAGCTTTAACAGTAGACAAAACTACAATATCTTTTATAAGTTATCTATTATCAAAAATTCTGCGATAGTACTCATATAATATGAGTCATATTATATGACTGAAATACCTGAATTTGGTTGTCCTAGACAGGGACCATTTTCTGTCGTTTTGAATATTAATGTGATTGAAAAAACGGCTCTATTTGTAACTGAAGATTAATATATGAAAATGACCAATTTTCGCTGACAAAGAAAAATCTCTAGGTCTGTCAGTTTAGCAATTAAGCCTTATGCAAGGTTGGCGTAAACGTCTCTATAAATCAATTCCGCTAGAAACGGCAAGCCGAAGAAAAAGCACAAGCAAAAGAAGAGGAAGCCAAGAAAATCTCGGAACCAACTGCTCCAACGAGCGGCAAAAGTGACGCCGAACGCGAAGCTCGCAAAATTCAAAAGAAGCTGAACGCAATCGAGGGGCTGAAAAAGCGCGTGGCAGCTGGAGAGACACTGGAAAAGGATCAACTCGAGAAGATTAAGAATGAGGAAGCTTTGAGAGACGAATTGCAGAAATTGCAAATTTAATCTTTCAACTCTTAATTTAGTTGAAAATCGCAAGAAAGATTTAGTTATAATTTTGTTAAAATTGAAAAGTTAACTGCCGTTTTCTAAATGTTCAAACTTTGAACTTCAAAGTTCATGTTCCATCCATTGATTCATGCAAACAGAGGAAATGCAAAATTGCAATCAAGGAAAAGAATAACCAACGAATTCATTTTAGAGGATGCAAATGCTGCGCTGTCTAAAGAGAGCCAGCTCAAGTTATATTCTATGCTCGCGGCTTCCTTGCGGGGCGCTGCAAAAAGCATCGTTTCAAACCGAGAAGATGGGACTCATGCCTAATGGAAAAATTGACACGTCAAAAATTAATGTGGAGATTATGGATTCGCAAGGAAATGATGCCATCGCTAATATTGCTGGAGCGGCGAGCAGACGGGTCCAAATAAAATTATCTTTGTATCTTTTTTATAATTATTCACCAGAGTCCTTTTGTGAACCCATTAGTAGAGTTTTAATAAAGCGTTCTTATGGTCGGGTTACTTTTATACGAAGAGACAGCAAAGGACAGATTCTCGAGCAGCACGGATGGATGAAGGACTCGGCGCTCGGACACTTGTCTTTTTACTACCTTCACAATCCGATTTTCCAGGAGCTAGAGAAGGAAGAGATTGAAGAATCGATCTTTCAGTATGACATTGTTGAAGCGAGCCATTTGGGAATGCACATTGTCAACGCTAGAATTGTGGATAAAGGATCAGGAAAGTGGTTAGGAAGAGTTTAAATCCGTCTAAGTACCATTTCGAGACCAAGGAGATCGTCTTAAGCTAAGACTCTTAGCTGCTATTAATCCGGTCTAGCCCAATAATCAGCCGACAAGTTATAATTTATCGTCTGATCTCAGTCTGACACGATTTTAATTGCCTTATAAATTGTCCATAAAGTCAACCCACAACCATTTCGCAAGAAAACACAGAGATACTTGAGAGCCAAGTAGAAATTCTCAGCGAGCCAAGAAAAGTGAACCGGTTCAAACCGAACAGTTCGCCCTTGAAATAATTGCCGCAGACAATCGATGGATATGGGTGCTAACAATGAAGGCTGTCAAATATAAATATTCAGTGTCAGAAAAAGAAAAAGCTGCAATAATGACTATTGTTTGACGCACGAAAGAATGGTTGCGTTGCGTGTCCTTATTTTTATTTTTTGCCAAAATCTTGAACCGATCAAAAATCTTATCTTTGTTTTAAAAATAAACAAAATTTAAAGAGATTAGAATATAAAGAGACAAAAATGGGTCAAAAGAACAAAAAGAAGAAGATATTTTTGTTTTATATCGGTTTGATTTATTTATAGCTTGGTGCAGATTATCATGTGGGGCAAAGATTGACCCCCGTTTTTTATCCGTTTATCTTGAGTGGTTTGCTCAGAATCACTATAGTGAGAAAAATCATTGCTGAGTTGATTATTTTGCCGCAGCCAGTGGCGTAATCTTATAAATTTGCTTTTAGAGAACAAAGTTGTTTTCGGTGAAATCGGAATTGAAAAAAAGGCTTTCATCCTGTTCCTTTTTAGAGATTCTTTAGAACATGGTCCAGGTACTATCTTTTTTAAAAGATCTTCTCGGAGATATTCCGCTTTCAGGACTACAAGAGCCCGGTTAAGGAGTATGAATACCCCTTTGAATATGTCATGGAAGCGTACCAGAGGAGATTTGGAGAAAACGGATGCCCAGATATTCCGATTATAAAAGAGATGGATGTGAAGGAAGAAACAGATGAGAATGGTATTCATAACATTTTGAGACGATGCAGGTGCGCAAAGAATTAACGTTTTAGCCATAAAATTTTTAATTTCCAGACTACAGCCAGAAATCCCCGGAATGCTGCGGCGAATGATGGGAATCGATTCAATCTTCTTCTGCCAGAGAAATGTGCTTGATCGCAAGAAACGGACGCTCACGATCACTGCATGGAACGAGTCATTCGACAACAAAGTAAAAGTCGAAGAGACTTGCAAATACTGGGCCGATGGGGACAATTTAACCAAGTTTACTCAAGAAGCGAAGTTGACAATATCTTCGTTTTGGGGCTTTGAATCGACGGTGGAAAAGCTTATGATTAGGCAATATACGGTAAGGGATCATACTTCGAGAATATGGCTATGTGTGGATCGTGACGCTTCCGTTTAATTCTTTTTCAATTTGTTTTGTATTGAATTATTATGTCACTAGGTCTGATGATCGCAGCATCATAAAAATAGAATAATTGCTTTGAGTTGTGAATTTCCCAAAGCGTCATGAATATTTTGGGAAGTTTTTTACTTTTTATAGAAATAGATGGAGTTTTTTTGTATTTTTTCCACCCGTTTAATTTTATTTGTTCAGTATGTCATAAATATTGCTCAAAGAGCATGGTACGATATTAAAAATTACCTTTGATTGTTTGATTGATATCAACTTGTGACGCTTCTGAATGGAACCATATTCGTGACGTTTTGGGCCACATGTATAAAAATTCGTAAATGGAAAGATATAATTTAGATCTGTCAGCTTGATCTTGATGCTATTTCCAATAAATCTAATACAATATTTAGTCGAGCATGAAACAAGGCAAGGAAATTCTTCAAAAACATTTGAAACAAATGAATATGGAAAAGTCGCCTGTAGACCGGCTCAAACCGCTTCTCCCATCCGAAATAAAAGGTAAAGCGAGTAATCTAGATGAATAATTAACGCAGTTTGAAGATATTGACAATATCTATCTGGAGCGTTTTATCAATTCACGTGACGGTAATGTGGAACGGGCTGCCAGTGCGGCGAAGAAGTTCAACGAGGCGCGGAAAACATGGAACGTCTGCGAATTGGAGAAAAAAGAGTGCCCGCAAGAGTGGTCAAATAATTTCGATGGCAAATGGCTTGGGCTCGATAATGAAGGTAAAAATCCACATTTTGGCGATGGAATGTTGACGGTGTTGATATTTAGGCGGACCAGTGTTGGTGCTGCCCCTGGGCAAAATTGGTGTTCGCACAATTCAAAAGAGTCTAAAAGAGGAAGATATCATCAGAGAGATCATCAAACTCATCGAGCATCGACCAAATCCTCATGTTCAATTCTCAGCACTTATTGATTGCGATGATGTTTGTCTACGACAGGTACAAGTTTAATCAAAGATATAGAAAAGTTCATTTTTTTCCTTGTTACGTCACGTCATCTTTGGACAACTGTTTATAAATTCAACTATTGATTAAAGGGGTTAGCTTTAATTTGTATTCTAGGGATGGGTATCTCGACCGGTGATAGACACAATGCTCAAGCTCTCAGAAGTTCTGGCTCACCTTTTTCCGGACAGTTTACGACGCGTCCTTCTCGTCCGAGCTCCAGCTCCGTTCACAGCTGTTTGGTCCGTTGTTTCACCTCTCATCGATGAAAAAACGCGCGCCAAAGTGTGGCTTTACTCCGGAAGCGACAACAGCAAGAATCTACGAAAGTTTTTGCAGACAAATGCTATTCCAACCTGGCTGGGTGGAGAAGCGCCGTTTGACTCGTCTTTCGGAAACAAGAACAAAGATACAGATAGTGGGTATGTCAAAGTGACTTTACCTTACGAAGAAACTGTAACTGGATTACCGGGCTCGATGGTCCACTGGGATGTTTCGCGGAACGAACACACGGCAATTACTGGTATAATTTCATTTCCTTTTATTTTTATTATCGAAAACGTTTAGGCTTTACGGTTAACGGAAAAACAGAAGTCGGCGATGTCTGTGGAGCCGTAGATCTCGACAAAAAATCAGGTAATTAGCACTTGTTACTTTTATTTCGTTGTTTTGATGTTTTTCTTTTGCAGTAGCAGATTTCGGTACACTGAAGTGCAGCCAAAATAGCAGTGAGAAAAGTAAATAAGCACACACTTTTTGAACTTGGTGAAATTAGAGAACAAACAAGGTGTATTTTTAAAGAAGCACGCTAGAATGCATGAACTAATACTGTTATGAAGGATTTACTAATAGTATTATTTCTCGTGTTTCTTCTATGAATAAGCTGGTGATCAGAACACTAATGAACAAAACATTTTCTTAATTTTTACGATTTTTTAGTCGTTTTCAAATGGGAAGGCAGCGGAGAAATGGGACTTTTCATCGCCGTCTTGCCACCAGAAGATCTCCGCGGATCAATTAGCTCGCTGGACTCCTTCCAATCGGGCTTCTCGTTATTATCAGTCTGAATATTAGAAGTACTACAGTTACTGTAAAAACTCTGAAACAACTCAAACTTCTACTAACAAGCCACCATATCACCTCACAGAGAGATCGCTCTGTCTGATGCAATAAATCTCACAAATACCTTCCAACTGATCTTGCCCCTCTGTCACTAACCATTTTCTTCTTCTTCTAACAACAATTTCTTCTTCTCAAACTGCTTGTCTATAAAACGAAATATATATTTATCTGCAAAAAATATTTATCGTTCTACTCATTTTAATGCATTTTCGAAACCCCCTTAGACATACATTTATGGATTGATAGATATTTTTTGCTCACAAAGATAGACAAGTAATTCAAAGCCCTCTTTTCCAAGCCCTTCTTTACCTGTTCGAATCCTTCAAGGTTAAATTTGTCTATTTGCTTATTAACCTATTTATCTTCCTTTTGCTAGATAACTACTTATATCTTAATTATAACGAATGACGTAAAAAGATATATTAACCTCGTTGTCTTCATATTATTTCTCTGAAGTTCAACCTTCCTAGTTTATTTCTGGTGTTTCTCTTCTCGTAAACGTTTTCTACTTTACCGAAGTTTTAGAACCTACAGAATATTTTATTCAACAACTCGTTCTTCTTTTCTTAACAAATTTTGTTCTGAATAAATAATACCTTCTTGCAATACTTCTTTCTCATCGTCTTTGGTTGTAGATGAGATGACGACCTCGAATCAGGCTATTTACAAAGAGCCCAGAACAGTTGTACTAGTAAAGACAGATACAGGCTTTGGCTTTAATGTGCGAGGCCAAGTCAATGAAGGTAAAATGATCAAACCTTCCGTCAGGTTCTTACATTCCTTTTTTTTCTTGAAGGAGGTCAGTTGAAATCTATCGGAGGAAAACTCTACGGGCCTCTACAACATGTCTCCGCGGTGCTACAAGGCGGTGCAGCGGAAAAAGTCGGCGTCCGGCCAGGCGATAGAATTATTGAAGTTAATGGAAATCGAGTGGAAGGAGCTACCCACTCGCAAGTCGTCAATTTGATTAGGCAAGGAGGAGATTCTCTTTCGCTGACGGTATGAAGCCATTTTTATCTGATAGATTGCACGTGTTTTTTTATTTAGATTCTTTCCGTTCCGCCCGGAGAGGCATCACGACTTGATCCAGATGATGATCAGTTTTACGACTACACAGATCGAGCACCACTAAATATCAAGATCCCTTCATATTCTCATTCAGCGGACGGCAGTTTTGTTCAATTTCACGTTCATCTCAATGATGAGCTTGTAGCTCTGAGGTATGAGCGAGTAAATAACCTAATTCCTAAATTAATCAAAAAGGCGTTACTCTGAATTCGTCGCGTTAGGCGCACAAATTCAACGATTATTTCCCGATCTTCCTCTGCCACCTCTTCCGGGCAAGTGGCTCTTCAAAATGAATGCATCACAACTTACAAAACGTAAAATGGGCCTAGAAGCTTGGCTCAACGAGGTTAGTAGAAATGATATTTCTAGCGCCCTAAGAATTGAACTACTCAGGTTCTCGCTGTGCGAGTTGTCCACAACGCCGAACCAGTGGAAAAATTTCTTCAAAAAGATGGAGGCAGTAAACAGAGCTTCCAGCGATACGTAGTTCTGCCTGGTAATCAAAAATGTAGTTATTGTTGTTTTGAAAGAGTTGTTTATAGACGGGAGCCACTATCCAGTGACTGGACAAACAACCGTCGGCGATGCGTTGGAAAACGCGCTCAAACGAATTGGCCTCGGTTCGGAGTGGTCTGCCGCGCTGCAGCTTTTCTACAGAGATCATGATGGCGTTTTGTGTAGATTCACGAAGCCAGAAGTCATCCCAAATCAAAATGAGATCTTCCTGAGGTTGTTTTTGCTCTCTCCAGAACTTCTGCAAATTCTTATCGAAGACAAGAGCTTTCGAAAAGTACAGTTACTTGTAATCGACAGTTAAAGATGTGCATTTTTTAGATTTTGTTACAACTAGCAGCGCAAGAAGCGAATCCAGTAGCAAAGGAGCGGCTGAATGCAACCCAAGAGCATTCAGGCAAGCTGATCGAGGAAATCAAGGATTCTGAAAATGATTTGCGTCTTCAAGAAGCAAAATTCCCTCCAGTTGGATGCGATCGCCGTGCACCACCAGCGAAAGTCGGGATTAATTTGTTCCAGTCGCAGCTAGAAATTGTTGCTTATAACGGGGATGAGGGTGAGTTCAGGTCTCATTTCTACTGTTTAACCTTTTCTACAGCTGAGGGAAACAAAATTGCTCTTGATTGGGCTGATGTGACGGAGTTTTGCTCTCACAAAGACGGTCTAGCGATCAAGTACAAAAGAAAAGAGAGTGAAAAAGGGCTCAAAGTTTTCCTTGTTCAGTCTGAAATTGCTGTTGATGTTTACTCAAGAATACAGGTCAATTCTTCTTATCGAAAGGGAATTTTCACGTCCATTTTAGCTTGAGAAAAAAGTCGAGGAACAACTCGACAGTCAGCCGCTTCCAGAGTCCGTCTTGCGTTTGCTATCTACATGATAGAATAAAACAGAATCAAAACAGCATTTTGTGTAGCAAAAATTGTTTCAGAAGCCCTTATTCATTCTTACATTCATCCATTTCATCCAGATATCATTTATCACTACAGTTACAGGTTTCCTCCGTGACTGACTACAGAAATTGTCTTCAATGCGTCCACGAGTTCAAGCTTTTATACAAAATCGCTTTAGTAAAAAAAAAAAAAGTAATTCTGCTCGCTCTCCCCACTCTCCATCACACAACAAATAAGAAATACTGTTACATACTGTTAAATGAGTACCTTACCTATTTCCATTCAATACGTCTCTGATTACTTCACATTATCTCTTTTACCAACTGTCAGAATGCGAAATCGAGGGGGCTACAAGAATTACAGAGGTGGTGGAGGAGGTGGATACAAGGGCTACAACCGCGGGGGAAAGTTCAACAACTACAACAAGAGAAGAAGATCGAGTTTTGACAGAGACGACTATCAGAACGAAGAGCCGGAAGCACCCTTTGAATCTAGTGGCGCTCCATTAGGTATAGATCTTATTTGATTTCAACTGCTTTAACACGTTGAAGGGAACTTCAAAATCGTCCTCGGCGGCGGAGACAATCGAGTGATCGCTGGAGAAGGTGAGGATGTCCCGTCTATTCAAAGTCGCCTTGGTCCAATCGCAAAACTACGAACCCGTGTTCATTCTTCGGAGGAAAATGACTCTTCCGAAGAAGCGTTACCGAAAACTATCTCAAGCAGAATTGTCAGACCCCCAGAAGATCCTAAAGAAACGTCAGAAGCTTCAAAATCGGGATCTAAATCGAACAGAGTAATCACTGTCGGCAAAGATGAAGAGACAACCTCGAGAAAGTCTTCTAAGGAAGAGAAGAAAGTCAATGGCTCATCGAAAATCGGACCGAATCATTCTCGATCAGCAAGAATCTCTAGTAGAAGATCTTCAAAAAGTCCAGAGTCTAAGAAACGCCGTTCAGCGACCCCTAAGCGTCGAAGATCCCGATCAATTTCTCCAAAAGTCTCTAAAAGGTCCCTCTTTCCCGATCTCCCACCCCCAAGCGCAGCTCTCGCCGAAGCCTGTCCAAAGAAAAATCGAGGAAGATCTCATCCGACCGTCGAAAGATCGAACCCGCTAAAGATCGTCCAAGATCGCCCACAAAGACCTCTAACGAAAATCGACCCACTGAAATGAAAGAACCCACAGAAAATCAAACTGCTAAATCGCGCCCACTAGTGCTCGATAACCCACAACTGACTCAGATTGACATTGACGAGCTCGTCGAGCTCAACTTTGATTTTTTCAAAAAGCGGCTGAAAAAGATCGTTAACCAACGCGATCGGCTTGGTCGCACGCCACTCATGATCATATTGGACTTTACCGCCGTCAAAGCAAACGTAAAATCCTTCGAGGAGAGCCAGTTCAAGCACGTGACAAAGGCTACACGCGAATTGATAAATGCAGGCGCTGATTTACGGGTGAAAGATATCTTCGGCGATACACTTATGCAATATCTTGCACGATGGCGATTTGGAAAGGAGAGCTTCAAGGTTAAAAATTGAAAAATAGCGATAGTGAAAAAATCGCGATTTTGATTCTGTTTGTTTCTCTTTGGGAATGTATCGTTTCAGTCGAAGAGTGAGCAACATCTGCCCCGTCGCATGAGGGAAATACTCAAGGAATTGCCTTTGAAAGAAACCGGTCGTGGAGCTCTTTCTATTGCTAATCTGAAGGATGCTGACGGACGAGCGTTTTATCATAATTTATTCTGGTCCAATTTTAGAGGTGCGTCCACTCAAGAGTCGTCGCATCCTAAAGCGTTTCCTAGATCAAAGCCAAGTGGAGGTTGATCGCCTTGCTTCTGCGTTTGAAATTATCGCTGGCAGCTTGAAACTATCCGATGAAGATTGGGAAATCGAAGACGGAGAAGGAAATACACTTGCAGATACTCTTCTTGAGTCGGAGCTGTTTTCGAAGGCTGCTTATAGAGCAATGAAAGAAAAATCTGGACGGGTAATTGATCTCCCGTAAAACTGGTGTGAAAAGTTATTAGGTCGAAATAAAACCAGTTGAGCGAGCGCCTGATAAATTTGGAGAAAATCCTTTCAAGCCAAAGGTTTGTTTATTTTTACAAACATTTCTCGATTCTTCTGCTAGAAAAAGCAATCTCCTCGCCAGTCAATTCAAGAAGAACAACGACCAAAACGAAGGGACTCTCCATCGCCAGTTAGAAGAAAGAGATCCAGTGAATCTGACAATCAATCAAGACAAAAGTCAGTTGAAAGACCTCCACCAAGAAAACAGCAACAGGAAGTTGCTTATTACAGTGATAGTGATCATGTAAGTGTCAAATATGTCGTCTGTTTTTACACCGGTCATAGGCAGATGAAATGGATATTCACGCCAACGCGGATGATTTTATTGACGATGTTATTCAAATGATTCCTCAGAAGAAAAAGAACAGAACGACATCCCGAAGGAGTGAAACGTAGTACCAGTCCTTTGAAAAAAGAATTAAATTTAGTTTTAGTCCGAAAAGAAAGAGATCTCGTTCACGAAGTAAATCAAAGCGAGTTGACCAAGGAAGAAATGGAAGACGAGAACCTGAAACGAGAAGCTCCCGTCGAACGCGACGAAAGTCTCCTACTCCGATTCAAGAGGAACAACCAAGGCGATCGGATTCTAGAACAGGAATGACTAGGAATCGAAGAAATAGCGATGCTCACCGATCTCCTGTTCGACGAACTTCAAACGATGAATCAAGGACAAGAAGACGAACGCATCATTCTCCAGAAGCAGTTCATCGAAATGAGTCTCGTGGAAGAAGAGAATCTCCTCAAAGAAGACGCCCATCAAGGCATGTTTCGAAGTCTCCGGAGCGAAAAAGGCCAATGCACGCCGAAGACAGACGGCATAGAGATAGAGGCTCGCCCGTTAGAGTTATAGATTCAAGGTTGGTTCCAATCAATCGCTCTAGATCCGAATGCTCTTTTAGAAGTCATAGGAGACGAGGAGACATGAGCCTGAAGAGATCGCGTGATCGAAATCAACGAAGATCAATGTACTAACTCAATCGTAGTTGAATGTTTGATTTATTTTTAGCTCCAACTCGCCGCCTAGAAATTTTGAACTTGCTGGCTCTCGTCACTCTCCGCTAATCGATGACCGCCGCCGGTAAGTTCCTCCCGTGAATCAATCACAATTTATAAACTCTGGTCGGGCTAATCAATTGGACTGATTGTTTTATTCCCAGCTATTCACCTGAGAGAAGAGGATCGCCGGAGAGAAGATCGCGCCGCGAGTCCAAGGATCAATTACTGCGCCTTGCAAATTATTGAGCTGAAAAATCAACAAAAACAAAATCCTTGGGCAAAAATCATTCTTGCTCTACCAGTATTAGCCTCTAAACATATGTACGCCGCAAATTGATCGAATCTTTCAACTTGTACGCGCCGTGCTTTTCCCTGGACACACGCGCCCAAGGACAAAGCGGTTTCTCCCCTCTACGTAGTCAAGAAATTACACTTCCTGCCTGTCATCATGTCATCATTAGTAAAAATATAGTTGTGGTTTTAAACACTCCGGAACAAAACTGAGAAACTGGCGGTTTCAGAAGGAAAAAAATGACGTAGAAAATAAGCTCACAATGGACTCCGATGTTTTCGTCGATTTCTTGCTTGATAACGGTCTGTATAAAACTGCACAGGAGCTGATAATCGAGCTAGAAGCGGCTGGTGAGCCAGTGCCAGCAAAGTTGATAGGTTTCTTTGGTAGAGCGGACAGTAATTCGGTCAAATCTGGTGAGAGTGGAATCAAGGAAGACGCTGGTCATAGACTTAGCTCTGAACAGCTCGCGTTGTATGATGTTTTATCCCAAATCGCCCCAGGAAAGTGTTGATAAATCAAAGCGTTATCAATCTATGGATAATAGAAGAAATTTTTCAAACCTTTGTTGAGAAAGCAAAGGCGGTCCCGAAGAAGAATCAAAAGCACTTCTTCGTTACAAGTTAAAATTGGCAAATGAAGAAATTGAACGATTAAAAGCTGCACCGTCTGAGCCGAGAACTTGTGATTCTTTCAATACTGTCTTAAATCCGATGAATGAAAAAGTCGCGCCTGTCGATAATCTTGACCAACTGGTGATGAAATATTTGGAAGATAGAGGGCTTGAATATTCTGCTTCCACCTTATGCGACGAGGCTAATCTTGGTAAACAGTTTTTCAAGGCCCATTTCCCTAAAAATACTAAGATCCATCTTTGGACCCGCAGCCAACCCTTGTTGAGCTTGTTAACTCAGCATCCTCTGAAGATTCTGGACCTTCATCGATTCTACTGGAGAAGAAACTCAAAGAGAAAACTATCGAGCTTGAAAAAGCCAAGTCTGATTTGAGAGCTGCTCATGTTGAAATCGAGCGTTTCTCGCAAAGTCTTGTCGACAATATGTTGACAATGGATACTCCTGTTCTCGCAACTCCAACCATGCCCACTTTATCCGGATCTATGAAAGGCAGTGTCGTGCAGGTTTCAGAAGCAATCTGGAAAATGATTCAAGAGAATGCGAATATCGTCGATAATGAAGACAACAAGGACACATTTATTGCCAACGATATGCCAAATTTATTGGGAATCATAGAAGACTGTATAGAGCCGCTTCTATCTGGAATCCTACTCAAACATAGACCACTACTAATTCCACTACTTTTGTCAGCTGCGTATCTCTCATCATCGCCTGAGAGCAACGACGTTTTCCTCAAAAAATTGTTTAATTTGATCAAGGTAAAATTTCAATTATTTAATTCGCCAAATATTTGCTTTTCTAATTAGAGTCCACGCTTTGAGTTAGTCATCCTTTTTAGCACTTTTTAATAGTCAGAAATGAAAAGTAGATAATCTATTTAGAGATGATCGATTAGCGAAAAGTTGTTCATACGCATAATATTTAATGAAATCTAATTTAGAAACCTGATGAAGGACAAAGAGAAATTATCGCTCGGGGCTGTGCCGCGTACGCGAAATTCTGCGGAGACACGCGATGCGAGGCTGAGTTGTTTCCGCAACTGTGGCTGCAGCTGGATCACAAACACCCGGAGAGAAGACTTTTAGTAGCGGAAACCGCTGCGGCTCTAGCTCTGGAAACTGGGCCCAAATCGCATCCGTTACTGATGTCTATTTGCCAGCAACTTCTTGAAGACAAGGTTTCTGAAGTGAGAGTAGCAGCTGCGAATTCATTCGCTGTTCTTTTGTCGTATTCTGACGATGTCGATAAATTAAGGTACCGAAACCGGGTTCGAAATTATATTGATTTTATTTCTAGTTCTATCCAAAATAGCAGCATAAAAATTATAAACGATGATAGTATACCCATGGAAACAGCCTTACTTGTTCTATCTATCATTTCTAAAGTTTCATTCGAGGTAAATAAATAACAAATTTCGTCTAGATAAAGCGTTTTTAGGCTGAAAAAGAATCAAATTTGGTGCATAAACTGCTAAAAATCGTCGAAACTGAGCAGGACTCAAAGCGAGCCCTCAGAGCTGTAGCTGAAATTTTACCTCATTTTTATGCCGTCCTTGTTATTGATTCTTCTTGTTCATATTCGACAACTTCTCAATCGAAGGAGTGTTTTTATGTTTCCAAGTTCAACGCCATATCGAATGCTTATCCTGAAGCCGCTGAATTACCCGCTGACAATAATTGGAAGACTGCTTCAAATCAGGAACACAGTCGTTTCAATGTCATTCTCACTCTTCTCACAAAGCAGATGGTCCCTCGTCTAGTCGACTGTGCCCTTGAATGCCCTGTTATGCCTGATTTCTGCGAGATTTGGACTGAAATATTCGCAACCCTTGCCCAGCTCTTTGGCCCTTCTTTTATCAAGACCTATGTTAATCCACTGATGATTTCCGAGCTTGGATTGTTTACCGATTCGACTGAAAAAACTGCCTTGCAGACGATTCTCGTCTCCTGCTTCTGCTCTGGGTGCATTGCCACGCTGATTGACGACAAATATATGTTTGAGTACTTTTCAATGGTCCTGCGCGAGATTCTTTTTAAAATAACGCCACTGTACATGAATGGATTCGAAATTACGATTGAGTCGCTCCTGCAACGAGAGGGAAAATCTGATATTGTTGCAAAGAGAGTGAATGAAGCAACGATGGGAGTTTTATGGGAAGGTGTGACGAACGAAAACGAGGATATTCGGAAAATCACTGCGAGAGCAATCACTTGTGCTGCGAGGAAGCTTTCCCTGACGGATATTTCCCGTCAATTATTTCCAGCGTTGAATTCAATTTGTCTAGGTATGAGTTTTCCTATGCCGTCGTTCACAAAAATTAGACTCGTCACAAACGATCAGGAAAGAAGCATCGAACTGCGTCGCGGTTGTGATTCAACGAACACAAGTTGAACGTCACGACGATCTCGAAAAGCGCCTTCAAAAGATCGTTATGCAGCTGATGGTGGATCAGTTTTCAGATGTAAAGACGAGCATCATCAAGACTCTCGTCCCAATAGGTTCTTAGTTTAATCTTTCTTTGATTTCAATCATAAATTAGCTCTTGACTCCGATCAAACGTACCGTGAAGACTTTTTTCTCCCCCAAGTCGCTATGGTAGTAACGAACATCACTCCAGCTTCTGTAGATACGTCACTGGTTGAAACGATCCTTGATTTATATGATCAGTTGTTGAGGTGATTCATCGATATATTTTTATCATCGAACAATAATTAAAATTAGTTCCAACACGATGCTGTCAAATGGGTGTTTAACAGCAAACGTCATACCAGCATTAGAATCACTGGAGCCTATCTGTAAAACAAAAGTATTTCATCGGATTATACAGCTGCAGTCGCTGATTAGGACTTCGATCAGTCGTGTGGAACCGAAGCAAGGGTAATTTACAACTACGTAAGAGTAATTAATGCCCTTATGTAATTTTTCAGATCACCGCCTCTTACTACGTCGAAATCGGCTTATAGTCTTTCATCTGTCTTGCGAAACCCTTTCTCAAAGAAACAGTAATTTTCCAGGAAATCAAGGAAAAAACAAACGACAAAAATTTTACTGAATAATAAGTAGATTAATAATATTAATTAAATATTTTATTAATATTTTTACTTAACAAACTTCAACTTCTCTTCTGTCATTATTTCGCTCTGTGCAAAACTTCAGTCAATCATTTCTTCAGCAACACTGCATTAAGATATTAGTTCTCCATCTGTACAATCATCTCCAAAAGCTTCATTAACTCCTATTATTCACTGTGACGGGTTACCTATTATTTATACTTAGAAATCAGTTATGATTATCAACCAACTAGCAGTAGAATAGATACTTCTTCAAACGAATAAACACCAACATTCTGAATTTAGTAGACTGGTTTCGGCCAAAAGAGCGTAGAATGACTTCGGAGCAGCCAAAAGTAGAAGGCGTTTCAGAAGCCGAGGCGAAGGTTGCTGAGCTCGCCTCAAAAATGAAATCCATCAATAATATCGATATCGAAGCTCTCAAGCGCATGAAAATGATGCAGGTGAATATTACGTGCAGAGGATACTCTTATAACAATTGTTCTAAGATTATGGAAATGCAAAAGAAAGCGGACTCAATGCCAACTCTCACGCCTGAAGTCAAGTGGGCTCAAAACCCGGACGCCATTTCCTTGTCTATTATGATCACTCAAGTCGCCCGTCCAAGTAAGCCTTTAGCCATGATTTGATTTCTTAAATCCGAATTTAGACGTGACTATCAATGGGGACACCTTGGAGTTCGCTTGCTCCGCCATTGGTGCCAGCGGAGAACGGCGCAACTACGAGTTCGAGCTTAATTTTTATGACCACGTGGATAGAGGATTCATGGTTCGCCCAAGTCAAAACTGTCTCCAGGTCCGTTACTTATATACATTTTTAATTCAAATACTTATCTGCGTTTTAGCTTATTGTGCGAAAAGATAGAGAATCCTGCACCATGTGGAAGCAGCTGACACGCGGCAATAAGCCGCAATTTCTCAAAAGTAATTACAAAATGCATCCTAAAGGTATAACTACACGCATTTTAGTCGATACAGAGAGATGGGTTGACCCAGACGATGTCAAATTCAGGACCCCGGAAGAAATGGAAAAAATGCGCCAAGAGCAGCTTTCCGAGAGAGAAAGAATCATCGAAGAGCGCTACAAGCAAGTCATGTTTGCCGAAGGTAACTCAGCAGTGTTTATACCCGTTTCAAATTAATTGAAGATGTGAAATCGAAAGAGGCAGAACACTCGCGTGAACTCACCAAACGAGTTTATCTCTTCTTGTTTTCGTTTGCTATGTTCCTCGGTTTCGCCTTCGTGTTTGGAAAGAACGTCTTCGGAATCGTTACTGGTGGAAAAGCTTTCCTCGCCGATTCTTACAAATCTAGCGGTAAAAATTAATAAAAAAAATCTTTCTATTTTTTATTTAGCTCAACTGATCAACGCTCTCCAGACCTTCGCGTTTCTGGAAGCCCTTCACACTTACTTCGGACTAACTTCTGGCAAAACAATTACTTCAATCACTCAATGCGCTGGCAGAGCTATTATCTGTCTCTACCTTTCCCAGTATTCTCGAGCACAGACATCCGAGTTTGTCTTTGGTCTCTGGATGGCTTGGTCTTTGTCTGAAATTATCAGATATCCTTACTACATGAGCGCCGTAAGTCTCAAAAGAAGGTGACAGCTTTTCATAAAGTTTAAGATCATGAGAATGCGAATGCCAAAGCTCGAATGGCTCCGCTACACCGCTTTCATCCTCCTTTACCCGATCGGTTGTGTTTGCGAAATGGGCGTCATCGAAGCTGTTATCGGTCACTTGATCAACCCTTGGACTGAAATTCTAGAGCCAGAGCCATTGGAAGGTTCCGGTGAGCCTCCAGTCGAGGAAGGAGCTGAGATTCCAGAAGCAGAGCCTGTGATCATCGAGCATCCCGGCGGAGAAAAGACCAATTTCTTCTGGTTCTTGCGAGTTCATCAATGTGTTCTTCCCGTTGTTGTGATTATGCTCATGTATTCTATGCTCAAGCGACGATCAAAGGTAACGATCATAAAAGAGATTCAACAATGAATTCATCAATTATTAAAAAGGCCCTCGCTGCCGGCAAAAAGGTTGACGAGAACATCGCCGCTCAGCGAGCTAAAAACGCAGAGCGCATGAACGAGCTTCAAAAGAAATTCGTCGCCAAGCAACTTGAAGAGATGAAATCCGCCGACGAAAAGAAGGATGATTAATTAATGCTCCTTTGTGCAGCGAATTTTTCTCTTGTTAGCTTCTGAACTAGGCCTATCTTTATCAACTTATTCTTTTTTATTTCACGAATTGGTGAAATCTGTGGTGTCATTTTAAATATTTTCTCAAATGCAGAAATAACGCGTTAGCTTTGCAATAAAGCATTGATGGCTTTTCGAGCACCTATCAATGTGGTACTATCGGCGTTTTAAAGATTAATTCTCTGATTATCCTTACGTGCCTCCTTTTTTCTAAAACTCACAAAAGTGTATCACAAGAGTCTTTATTTCCCACTTTACTTTCTGTCTTCTTCCTGCTTTTACTGTTACTATCGCAATTTTTTAATTATAGAAAAGATGAATTTTTGGTCGTTCTCCTCGTTGATTTCAAATTTTCAATCATCGCTTCCTCGCTCAAAAATTATCCAAATCACCAAGCAAGTCACAAAACATTTACTATCTATCCCAACTGTTGCCAAATATGATTTTCTTTTGCTTACTTTTCATTTATTCTAGCTTTTAGGACCATTAGAAGTTCATTTTGAAAAAACAAAATACTTTTACTGTAACTTTCAAAATTGAGCTTAAAAACTCAATCGAGTGAAAATATAGTGCTATAAATTATCTATTGTATGGAACATATGTTTAATTAAGCAGTAAGGGGAGCACGAATGACATGCGTATTGATTCGTGGATAATGACTTGAAATTGAGGGACTCGCGCTCAGATTCCTTTTTGTATTGTTCACCTTTGCGTCTCGGGTCGTAAATTTTTAATAGCGTTTACCATATCCGAAAATCCGATCCTGTGATGTCTTAAGTGAACAGCGCCCTTTTTCACGGGACAAGTTTGAGCGAGAGGTTGAATTCTCAGGCGGTAAAAACTCTTTTTTTTTCGTCAAAAGAGAAAAAAGTTAACCTTCTTCAACAGCAATAAAATTTCAGAATGGCCTCAAATGAGGGTGAAGAAGCTTTGCTAACATGGGTCCAGTCATTCCCAGAAATCTCCGTAAAAAGTCTTGTCGATCTCTCGACCTGTGTTGACCTCGCGCTCATCTGTACAAAAGTAGACTCTGAATTTTTCGGCCTTGAATGGAAGAAGAACTTGTCAGACACGTCATTAGAGAACAAAGACCTCTGCAAATTGAATGCAATCAAAGTTTGTGAGCGAGTTCTTGAGTATTATAAAGAATGCCTAAAACGTGAGTCTTTCAATTTTCCTCCAGTTTTTTAACGATTTACTTTAGTTTCTTTTGTAAATATCGACACGCCAAAATCCGACGAAGTCGCCACAGGAAATATCAAAGAAATCGCCTGTCTGATACAGTTCATCCTCGGCGCTGCTGTCAACTGTGACAACAAAAACGACTTCATCGGGAGCTTAATGACCCTTGATGAGTACGTTCAAGGCGAATTGATGGCGTACATTCAAATTATCCTCGATTCGTGTGTTCCTGTTGGTGAAGAATCATCGAGCATGGACGAGGAAGATCTGAGGCAGCGTCTTTTTGAGCTTGAAAAAGTTAGTGGGATTCAAACGAGCTCGATTGAATCATTTTCTAGGAATTGGCTCTGAGTGCCGAAGAAAATCAAGCTCTTAGATCAGATCTTGAATCCGCGAAATCCTTCATTTCTGACAGACAGAACGGCAAGTCTAACGGCGAAATCGACCTGATGGAAAGAAGGGCGATCGAAACCCAACGCAGACTGGATGAAGTGCAAGAGGAACTCATGATGATGGAGCATCAACGTGAGGAAGAAAGCATCCGACTCGAAGTCGCACTAAGAGAGGCGGATGATTGGCGACAGGTAAGGCTGTAGATAAGGTTGCCGCTCATCAAGTGTCTTAGAGAACAGAAGTCGCGGAGCAAAAAGCAGACGAAGTCGCAGTCCTCAAAGACGAAGTAGACTACCTCAGAGAAAAAGCCGACAAAGCAACTCGTCTTCAAGCCTCTCTCGACTCGCTCAGGAGCAAAGCAGAGGAATCAAACGAGCTGAGAAAAAAGCTTCGCGACGCAGAAGAACTCTCGGCTCAGGCAACAAGGGAGCGCGACGAAGAACTTCGAAAGCTCAAAAGTTACAAAACGCAGCTTCAAACGACGAAACAGGCACTTGTGGAAGCGCAATCGAAAGCAGTTGATGATGATAGAAGAGTACAAAGGTTAGAGAATGATCTGCGCGCGGAGAAGGAAAAATCGAAAGTGTCTGAAGCAGCAGCGGAAAGAGTTACGGCAGAGTTAATTTCTCTCAAGGCTCTCAATGAGGAACTCAGGTAAAGTTACACTTTCATTCTATGTTCCTATGAATTTAAGTTTAAATTCTGGCAACATGGAAAGCCTTGGTGAGTCTCTAGCGGCTGAAACAGCAGCCGGAGACGACATGAGTCTCATGCCTCCGCAAGTTCGCGAAAAGATGATCCGTCTCCAATCGGAAAACAAAAGACTATCCGAGCAAGTGGACCGAGAAATCAGCAGAGGCCGATCTGACAATGTCGAGCTCAATGATACCATCGAAAACCTCCGATCCGAGAAACAGTCGTTGACAGACAAGATCAAGGAACTCGAGACGAAGCTCGCCGAGGGAGGAGTGAAAGAAGACAGTGAATCTGTTCAAGAGCTCGAAGAGAAGGTCAAGTCCGTCACAGCTGAAAACGCGAAGAAGAAAGAAGAGTTCAACTCGGTTTCCGCTGAGCTCAACGCGGCTAAGGAGAAAAACAGCGAAGTCGAAGCGTTGCTCAAACAGAAAGATGAAGATATCAAGGTTTGATACTATGTATAGCTTTTGATAAATATTCTTATATTTTAGGCGATGGAGACGCGATACCGCTCGTACCTAGAAAAAGCTCGTTCGGTCATCAAAACTCTCGATCCAAAGAACAACAACAACACTGAAGTCGTCGCCCTCCGCGCCCAAGTTGCCGAAAAAGACCGACTCATCCGCCGCTTAGAAGCAGAAAAAGCCGAAAAGGGCAAAGCTCGCGACCAAGAAGAAAAGCTCTTGGTCTCAGCGTGGTACAACCTTGGTAACAAAACTATCCGCGGCGCCGTGGACGAGCGAGTTGGTCGCTCGCAACCCGGTCAAAGCTTCCTCGCCCGCCAAAGGCAACAGACTCAACAAAGGCGGAACCAACAGAGGTCAGTGCAAAAGGCGCGCATTAATGCCGCCGCTGGTGTTTCTGGAGGTGCTGGTGATAAGAAATTTTTCCCTTCACGATCATGAAAATGTAGCTCCATCCATCTTCATACAGCCATGTGTACATATGCTGATGTTTGTGATAAAATATGCGATTGTGAAATGAAAAATAACTTGTGATATCCTCAGCTTCAATTATTGAATTGATGAGTGAGCTCTTCCTATGACTCATTCTCTCATTCTTGAGCTGTTACGGTGCGCTTTCGCAGTCTGTTCCTACACCTCGTTTCAAAGTAGTTTTCAAAACGCTTTCCCGTCCGCTTATCTATTGAATTCAAATTGTCTCGCTGCTTAAATTTATTCTAGGCATGCCGAATCTTACCCTCTTTTGCTCCTTATCAGAGCCACGCTTATTTTCAATTATTTTTTTACCTTTTATCGTCCAAAGACCTCTAACGATCCTACCCGTACATCTTCAAAGCAACATTTAACAATTACACTTTTTAAAATTATTTTTACGTCCGAAGTCCACTCTTTAACGAATCCCTATCAACAATAAATTTTAATGGAACGTCTACGTATCTTTTACTATTTTGACGATTTAGTGCGAAGAAATTGCATTCAAGAGAGCTTCAATTTGAACAATTTAAAACAGCTTCTGCACATGGAAAATCCACTGCTGTTAGATTTTTTCTTTTTCTTTTTGTGCTGTCAAGTTGGCGGCATGTCGGGAAAAATCGAAAAGCGCGTTTTAATCGTCAAAGTAATTATTGATAGTAGACGATATGATTTTATTTCGGAGATTTTACGAACACTCGTGAAGAAATTTAAACAAATTCAGTTTGAAGTTAGTAAAAATTTTGCTTGAGTAGCTTTTGGTGGCTAATAAAAAAAGTAGTTCGCTTGCTATCATTGTAATCCGAGGTGTCTACTATCTGATTATGAAGGTAGAGCCTTCCACTTGAGGGAGTCTTCCGTTTGTAATGATTATAATCTCCAGAACGTCGCAGCTCTCGTTTCTCGACAATCTGACTAATCTATTGTCTTGGTCGAAGTTGCAAGATTTCACAGCTGATGACTCTCTCAAGTAGGTAGGAACCTTGATTGATGATTTTCTTGATTGATTCCTGGAAATTGACACTTTTGAATTTGCAGCTTTGGAATCGAGCAAGGCAAGGGTTTGTATAGCATCCACGACCTGACCTCGAAGCTGGACAATCGAGCGCAAAAGTTTTACCGCAACCTCCAGCAGCGAGCATCAACGCCAAAGTAACAACGCGGAGAATACAAAACTTACAGTAACACGAATATCCATTTATTACATAATAACCAACTTAGCTCGCTTTTGCATCCTTCAAGCTTTTTCTTCTAGTCGTAGGGTTCAGATAATGCTCCTACCTCTTGATATGTAACTCAAGAAACTAGAACTCCTTGACTTTGGGCACATTTATCCCCGAAGAAGGTGATTTGTGTTGCCCACAATGCTATCTGGCAGTGCCAATCAGATTCTCGGATTTAGATCATTAATTTATTATTGGTCAATTGAAGATTTACTCGAATTCGATTGGCCAGAGGTAGTTGTCAACGGCAATTCTTTAACCATATGAATCATATGATATGATACTTTCTGTATCCAAAATCTTGTTTTCGCATATCACTTCACGAGACATGAAAAATATCAGTCTATCGAAATATTTTCTTATTTTCCTAAAACTGTAAAATACTAATTTAAACATTTAAAAGTATTTGGGTGTCACCATTTCCATACCTTTTCTACGAATAAACAACACTGAACCTTACCTTTTTCTGTACGTCAATTTCAACCCAATTTCATTTTGTTTATGAAATAATTTATTTTTCCCTTTTTACTTGTCATGTGCTTATTTTTATTTCTGAAATCCCGCTTCATAACTTAACAAGTTCCATGTCCTTCGAGAGCTTCAGTTGACGAAAACAGTTTTGTTGCTTTTGCTTTAATAAACGATAAGGATGAATCAACTTAACCCGTTTAAATAATTTACTTTTAATTTTCTCGAACTTTGACTTTCTTGAAAATAAAATTTCAAACTTGCTGTATAAAAAAAGACAATGAATAGGCGCCTCCGGAACATGGATTCTGCCAGGTTCTTATTCTTTCTTCTGAGCATTGAATTTTCTTTAATTTTCTCAGGGCAGGAAAAATGAAAATTAACTGAAGAGTAAAAGATTGAGAATTGAAAAAAATGTGGCTCGGATATGATGTCAGGGATAACTCGACCGCGGTGTTTGCTCCGCCACAGAGGAAATCTGCAGATGTCTTAAAAATTCGGAGACCACCAGTTGGATGCTCGACTAACCGACTGATAAGAGTTCGAAAAACCATCCGCAGGCTTATATAATTTTCACCAAAAGTCGAGAGTGCAGTTGTTTGCCTTATCATCTTTTTCGAACTTTGAATTTTGATCGTCGATGTGGAAAACGATCCAAATGTGAGCATTACAACTGCTGAGTACTTTCCCCGCGCTGAAATCGTCAATAAATCGGACTTGAAGCCGATCACTTCTCGTCGTACCGATCTCTACCACCATGAAAAAGTCAAGCTGTTTCAGGACATTGATAGTGCTATCAACAAATCTCGAGCGCTTGTCGACAGCCTCGAAAAACTCCCAGAAACGGGATCGGATCTGATTGAAATCGACTTTGACGAGGATGGCCATCGAAAATTGACGGAGGCGAGTTACACTGCGATGCCGTACAAAGTTTCGGTTCGCTCAACGCTCCCGCCAAAGATTCGCGTCAATGGCCAGCGACCGGAGATTACTAGAAAGTCTCTTGGAAGCAAGGAATACCACTTAGAACGGCGCCAGCCGGAGGTGACGCTGTCTTATGACGATAGAAGGCCGTGGAAAGTTGCTTTTCACGGGGAAATCTCGAGTATCCGAAGTATTTGGAAAAGAAACACGGAGAACGTGGAATCAGTAAGTGTCAGTGGAATGACCTCAGGAAGCTTATGGTTAATTTAAAGATAGATATTTCCGCACGCGCAAAATGGAGGAAGCTGAGGAAAGTCTACGGGCGGAGAAACGAGTCGGATGGGACGATGTTTCGGACGAATACAGGAAGGAACTCAAGAGGCAGTCCGAAATGAGACGTCTCCAAGGCCCATCAGAAAAGGTCAGTGATTCACTCTCTCTCTCTGTAGACGCATTCCTTTAGTAATCTAAGGTAGTTCTTGTCAAGGAATCTGGTCTGTCCCACCTTTTCTCGCTCCTTTATTTCGCAGCTTTATGCGCTAGAATCCAGTTTCAAGCTTGAATTTTCTAGTGGTGGGAGCTGACAACACCGGAATTTCATTACAACCACCACAAAGCCCTGGACGCTGAGCGAAGATGTTCCAGCCAGGCTGAAACTTACCGCCGTGGGCTCAAGAAAAACTCCGACCTTTTCTGGACTTACTAAACTATTTTTAAAAGTTCATTTCACTTTCTCTCATTTATCGTTTTAGTTTTCCGAATCAATCAGTTCCAAAATGTCAAATCTTCCAGTTGCCTTTTCCAGATTCTTTTTATTCAAATTGAGGCGCTAATCCGTAAGGTGCACACCTATGTTTTTGACCAGATTATTCTATTTTCCATTTACAAAGTACTTTTGTAGCGACAAGTCCTAGACACGAGTTTTGTCTCTTTTCCGAAAAATATTGCTCTCTAATGTAGATTTGGCAGATCAAGCAGATTCTTCAGATACATACATTTCATTTTTTGATAAAGAAGATAAAAGAGAGATTTTATGCTCGCAGTTCGAAAATATGGCACAAATGCGAACGAACAGGCTTTTTACTGGCTAAGTAAGGCTTTCGAAATCAATTTTTCCTAATAGAAAGGCATCCTCAACTGCCCGGAAATTCAAGCGGAATTTACGATCAAATTGATGATAAAATATCTTGTTTTTCATAGTAAGAGTAGATAGATTAGAAGACTTCAGGCAAAATGATTTTATCCAGAATGAAATTTAAACCCGCGGATTATCGAAAAAGTAAGTTTTGCCCAATAAATATGCTGATTTGGTTAGTTTTTGAGAGTTCTCCTATAAAGGGCCCCTTTTGACCAAATTATTTGTCAGCATTTCTTAATAAATTTTCTTTATTTGCAAAATTAGTGTTTCTTTGTTTGGAGGAAATAATTTTTTTGATCTCGAATCGGCTCGAACATAATGAGTCTTCGAGAAATCTGCCCATTAGGAGAGAATATTTCCCCCATTAGAGAGCTTTAGTCTGGGAAAAGGCGCAATACATTTTCTTGTCTAGACATCCTTTTTCCTGCTGTTTGAATCATTTTACTTCATATATTACCCTTTCTTTTTCTATAAAAATATTATTTTTGTATTCCAATGTTTGGCGTTTTTCGCTCAAAAAGAGATTTAGACCGGCTGATCAGAGAACCTATGGATAATGAGGAGGAGGAATTTTTCGACGACAATGACAGCGATGTTTTAGACAATGAAATCGGAAGTCGACACAACTTTCAAAGGTATTTTATCATAATCAAGGAAGCCCCCATGTTGATTATGCTTTTAGCATCAATGTGTATAGCTATTTGCTTCCAAATGGCGAAGCACTCTTGAGCCAGGCCGACCAGCTCTTCAAAAAGCTTCTTGACGACTTTCACCGATGCATCGCGGTGAACGAGATCCGACCCGGTCTGGTCCGCTGCGACCGGCAGCTCCGGGACTACATCGCCGAGTTCAACTTTCGCTTCACCAAGGAGCAGCATCTCCTATTGATCAAACTCTATTACAATCTTATCACCTCGGACAACATCGATCCCTACTTCATTATGGTAAGCAAGCATCCTCCCCTCCTTGTCTTTATCAAGCAATTTAGGTGTTCTGTTCGACTTTTACTCGGCTAATGCGACATCCAGCGCTAATATCGCGAAAAGAACTCGAACTAGACTGGCGACCGATGCACAAGATTTACAAAAATGCGACCCACAATCCAAAGGCTAATAGAATGCTCATTATTTATCCCTATCGATACACCTCTTCTATCAAAGGCCAGTTTTTCACAATTTTATTCGTTTTCCAATATTTAACCAAGTTCAACGCAGTCAATTGAAATTTAATTTTTCATCAAACATTTGTCTATCTATCGTTCTCCTCCAAAAAGTTTAATTTGTTGAAAAACTCCTCAAAAGCGGCCTGTCGCGTGGCCCGTCGATACTATCCAGGGTGGGTTACACTGTTCGCCTTTCAAAGCGCACTCATTCTGGCCTCACACCCGTGCTCCTGTGGCGCAATCGGTTAGCGCGCTGTACTTATAGACATGAGAAATGCGGAGGTTGTGAGTTCGAGCCTCACCAGGAGCAAAGTTTTTTCACCGTCTAATTACAGTCAGATCTTCGCGTTTTCGGCATTTTTTCCCTTGAAAACCGAGTTTTCCCCTTTTCATTTTTAATTTTTTGAATTTAATTAATTATGTAACCACAAACAAGCAAATGTGACTCAAGCAATTATCGATGAATTCATGCCCATGTTCTGCACCGCTTCTTCGGACGGAGGAACTGATGCAAACAACGAAGACGCACTCACAGGTCAGGGTTCTTATCACCATCGCCGCTGGGGGCGCTATTTGAATTATGTAATATTTACGCCGCGCGCGAGCCCTCGCTTTTCTGAACCCTTTTTGCCAGGTCTTATGACATTCCTTCCTATCCGCCTGTATCCCGAAGAAATACCTCTGTCCGTCGACCTCTGGCTACCGAAGCTTATGAACATTTGGATGAAGCTAGACCAGAGCAAGCGCTGGGAAAAGTCAATAATCGCGCCTCTTATCCAACAGGTGTCCCTTGCAAATATAGGCTACGTGAATCTGCAACCGTGGTACCCAGAAATTTTCAACAAGATTTTGCGCTCCTTCGAGCTCCAAGTCGGCGAAGCGTGGTCGAAATGGCGGCCAGCATTAGCACCGATTTCCAGCAACATTGCTCCTGGTTTCATCATCTCTTTCATCGGCGGAGAAAGGCCAGAAGCACAGGAAGCATTTGCTTACTTTGAACAAATGCTTGATGCTGTGGCAACTTACGTCCATCCTTCAAACCATGGAAAATGGACAGAAAAGCTCCTCCAATTCCTCGACACCACCACACAGCAGCTCATCAAACGAATTGCTAACGAACGACACCGAAGAAGACCAAACTGGATCCCCCTGCCACCAGAAGATCGTCGAATCACCGACGCAGACATCGACCGCTACGCTAATTTGATCCAGCCACTTGCCATGACAGCGCTTTTCAACAAAGCAGGACCGCACTTCGCTGCGAATATTTTGCAGTTTTTGGCGATCGCAAGGCCAAAGAGGATTCTTCCCGATTTGATCAGTCGCTGCCAGATTGCTTTCAATTCTCTTACGGAGCCACATCAAGCGTCGAGTTGTATTTATGCGCTTGTTTCTCAGATTTCGATTATTCTCAGCCACGATGTGTCGGATGACACTCGATTAAGTCTCATGCCGCTCCTGCAAGATCTTATCCCCAGTATTGACATTAACGATCAAGCAAAAGCAAATTGGGTGCTCTACCTTTTCGACTTCGTGTTCACCAATTCCTTCCTGGAGGACTGCTCAAGTTTTATCGGCGACGATGGTTTGAGCGAGCGAGATGACAAGCTCATTCGACAAAGTATGATGATCGAAGATCTCTTCTGGAGCTACTGGGAGCAGAAACTCAAGTACATTTCCGCATGCAATTCACAGAAGGAGACTTCCGGCGAAGGCTCCCAAGTGCAGTTGATAAAAGCAGACTTGGATACAATCATGCATGTTGGCTACACTCCCGCTATTGCTGCTTGTGGCGACGCTCTTTTCGAACCGCTTTTGCGCAAGATTTTCCACTATTGCAAAGAAAATGTATATGGAGACACTACTGCCGCTTTTATGACGACGAACTTGGTCCAGTCTCTTGTGGTAAGAGATGCGGAGAAAACTCTCTCGCTGTTCTTTCCTTGGCTGTATAAAAAGATAAAAGACATCAAACGAGACAACCCAGAAGTCATCGTCGACGAGTTCCATATGGACATTGAGCTTCAGTGGTCGCTAATTCTTCTTGTCGACCTCATCGTTGCTGCTGGAGAGTCAATCTTGCCTTACATGGACAAGCTGACTGAAATACTCGACATCGTTAAAGACATCCGTATCGTCACTGGAATGAAACTTGTTTGCAAACTCCACTCGTTCATCATTACCACTCTTGCTGGAACACATATTTACCGACGAAACCAACGCTTAGCTACTCTCAAGACAGAGGATCGATCCATACCATCCGTAACTCGCTGGGGCTCATTGTATCGAATTAAAGAAGCGAAAGAACTTCTTGGGTGGCATCGTCCGACTCAGCCCGAGCTCGATATGGTTGTGAAAATTTTCGAAACACGGCTCCAGCCTTGTATTGACAAGCTGAATGAAATGGCTGAAACTGGAGTGGATCTTGTCGTCATGAAGCAGCAGATCGCCGTGATTATCGGTTGCCTCGCTGGAATCATGAATTCAGTTAGATTCAACCACGGTGAGCAACTGCCAACAGTAGAAGGATATGAAAGTGTTCTTTCCGAAAAGATGAACACACTCAACACCACTCAGGAGCCCTATTTAACGGAAAAGCTTGCCCACGTCCCTCAAAAAGTCTTTCACGCCTTGAAGAATGTCCTCTCGAAACTTGAAGAAGAAAAGAACATTTCCGACCACAGAACGATGCATTGGATTCTATTGGCAATGAATTTCAGTTTCAACTTCCGACCAAAGATGTTTGTACATTTTCCCCATCACGTCGACCATTATAAACGACTATATGGCCTCTACCGCTTGCAGCAACATAAACGATACCCATTCGCAATTATTGAAGTTCGAGTTTACAACGACCTCGTTTGCAAAAGACCATACCAGTACGACTACAATTATTTTACGCAAAACCATTTAGGTAAGCTCAATCATATATACTCCTTTTTATCCGTTTTTCTTCAGATTACCTCAATATTCTTGTGAAGTACGCACAAAGTCCCTTCACGCGCATTCGAAAAATTGTCCAAAACGAATTTTCCAAGCTTTTCAAATGCAAAACCGTGACGAACATATGCGGGCAGCACATGCAAGGACGCCACGAAATCTTCCTCAACAACATCACTTCCACCCTCGAAAGCCAGAGCTCCGAGAAATACCAATCCATCGAAGAGCAAGGTAAGCCAGAAGAAAATGGCACATCCTCAGGCGATGATGTGGAAATGCTCGAAGACATTACGAATCTGGACGACGCTGGATTAATAAATCTGCTAGCTAATTTAAAGAAAGAAGAACTGGCGGACGCCAAATACAAGCCCTTCGTCGACAAGCTGCGAACTGACAAAAACCTGCTAAAAGCCTTTCAAAGTGCTACGACTCGCAACGCGCGCGCCTCCGAGTCGGAGAAAATGGATACGACCGAGCTGCCTGATCAAGCAACAGAGCTGGAAACGCACAAAACGCTGAAAGGTGCTCTTTATCTCCTCGACCTCTCTAAAAATGGCCACTCGTACACTTTCCTTGCGCATTCCCATGATTACAGCCTTTGCAAGAGAATTTGGCCCATGGTGCTAAAAGTACGATGCGACAAGAAATCTGTCAACGACTTGGTGATGCATGTGTTTAAAAATATCATGGACAACTACTCCACAATGCTCTTTGACAACAAACTCGACAACGACGTCATCGAAACGATCAGACAACTTTCATCCCTTTCACTCACCGCCGAAGAAATTTCCGCATCAAACGAGCGCAAAGTTCGAGCTGCTGAGAATCGTAAAAACGACCACCAAGCGTTGAAACACGAGCTCCGCGAGTTGTGCTCGGATGAACGGCTCAGCTGGACGCGACGCAAACTGTGCTACACTTTGTTCGCCAAATTCATGGTTCGGCTTGACGTCGAGATCGAACCAGCCGATGTGGAATTGCTCGCCCGTGAGCTGACAAATGAGCAACCCAAGTGGCGCTTGGGAGCTTTTACGTACGTCCAAACTGCCCTTCATAAAATTAAGCGAGTGCGACCACGAGAATATCTAAAAAGGGATGAAGTTTCGGGCCTTCCCACGATGGAAAAACTTCTGTACCGAAATGCTTTTAGAACGGAAGAAGATTGGAACAACGAGACTTATTATTCAAATAGAAGTCATCTTGGATACACGACCTGGACAACAACGGTGAAAAAATACGCTCCCATCGATGAGAAAAACCCTTCTACGTATCCCAAGAACTCTGAAGACGTCACTGACATCGAGATGCCACTTTGGAAGAGAATCACAGATCCAGTTTGGGTAGCCACTGTAGCTGACCAACTTGCCCATTGGGACAAGAATGAGAAAAACCACGAGTCTTACATGCGACAGACCAATTGTTTCTTCATCAATTTGTTCCGTAATTTTGGCCCTGAAGCTGTCGAGCCTTGGATTGCTTGGGTAGAAAAGCTGATAGTTCACACAGAGACGCGATCAGTTCGAGTTGCCATCATCATTTGGGCGGCTATTGTCACTTGTATGAACCATTGGCCGGCATCGAAGGCGTTCCATTATCAGAGATGGGCAGTGTCCATTTTGGATAGAGCTATTGGTAGGTTCTACTCATAAATTCGAGATGATAAGACTTTTATAGCTGGTGTGGCGGAAGAGCTGAAACTATTCTGGGAGCGAACGATTGAAAACTTCACGAGTTCAAGGTATTTCAAGAACGCTTTTTCCCTGTTTATCGTATATTTTAGAGATATCCGCCAGTACGCAATTATCTACGACTATTTATTGGATACGTCAAGGCTTCTGCAGGAGAATACATCATTATCGAACGAATTCAGACTCACACTGGTGCGAAAATGTGTCTCTCAAGGAATAAGTTGGAAAGCGCCAGAGTTCAGGACAAAGTAAGGGGAGATAACTGTAAAAAATCAAATAATTTCTTTCAGGATCTTTGAATGGATAATGACGAATCCATCTGTGTTGGCCAACGACTACCATATGATCCGTGCTGCTGTTGGCCAGCTGATCTTCTCGACCCTCATTTGGAAAGACAGAGAAACCGCGAGCAAAGAGAATCCATTTGCCCATCAAGCGATAGTCGACATTTTCGAAAAATACCAAAATGCTGATACAGAAGAAGCAAAGAACATCTTTAACACGATGCTTTTTACGCTGAACAAAATTATCGCTTTTGGACTGCCTGGAACTTGGAAGTGGCTTGGAGTTCTGTTGAAAGAAACGGGGCAGGCGGAATTCTCAGATGACTCCGATCGCGATAAAATGACTCGCTGTTTAGTTGGTAAGAATACTTTTCTCCCTCCTCCAAAACATTATTCTCTTCAAAAACAACCGCAAGCATTACTTTTTTCTAGCTTTGGCGCAGAGTTATCAAAACAGAGAAGTTGTAGCTCATGGAATCGATGTCATGTCACAATGTGCTTCTAAGGAGTCCTGGCAAGTTCGTCTGACCCTTCTCAAGTAGGCATTTTATGATCAACATGTTCTCATGATATTTGAAGGCTTTTGCAACGAGTTCTCTTCCGAAACTTCTTCCTGAATCAAGTTCATTCTGCAAAGATCGAAAAGCTCGTTTTTGGCATGTTGGATGATGCGAGGACGGAAGTAAGAGAGTGCGCGGGCCGTACTCTCAGTGGTCTGTTCCGATGTAAAGTGATCAAGCCTGGTGATGAACAGAGAATTTACTTTACCAAAAAGCTAAAAGAAGGAAAGACGGATATTGAGAGAGATTCAGCTGTTCTTGGTCTCGAAGCTTTGATTGGAAGCGCTCCTTACGAGTAAGACGAAAATTTTCAAGGATTTTTTATTAAAAATATTTTAGTGTTCCAACCTGGCTTCCAAAAACTATAGAGCCCCTTTGCCACGCGGCTAGCACGAGTAAAAACTCTCCATCGAAAGTTAGCGCCCAACGAGCACTGAGAGAATTCAAACACACTCATCACGACCAGTGGGAGGAGCATCAGCACAAGGTGAGATTCTAGATTTCTGAGTGCCAACCGATTTGCTTACATCTCATTTTTAGTTCAATGATGAGCAGAGGCACATGTTAACGGATATTCTTGTTTCACCGAGTTACTACGCTTAGTCGCGTATATGACTCTTTCTTTTCTATTTTATTTTCAATTACTATTCCTTTATGATATTAAGAAAATTGAAACAATTTCTGTAAAGTTCCTGAAATTTCAAATTTTAATTTTTTCCAGAATGAAGTTTATTTTTATCAAATCTTACTGTTGATGTTGGTGTTCCACGCAATCAACCACTAGTTGATTCAGCTAGTTAAAAATAATATTTATAAAAATATACAGTTAATCATTTATTGAAATTTTTACATGTATTTGATTTGCAAAAACTCCTGTTTTGTTGAATTTAATTTCTTCAAGTTCATCCATCAATTTCATGTTTACTGGAAAAGAAACTATCACAGACACTTATACCAACTTTTCTCAAATACGAAAACCTTCAGAAATGATAGATGGCCTCAGTTGGGATAAAAGAAATTGTTCGAAACGCGGAAAAACGCTCTCCAACCGAACATGAGAACTTTCTGGTCTCGAACTACGTCTCTAGGATTATTCAAAACACCTGGAGTGCAATTGAAAAAGCGGAATCGAAACGCGCCAAGCCACTGCATGAAAACTCGAGCTTGAATATCAGGTAGTTCTCTTTCTTGATTTCGATTGTTAAACAAGCGTTCTTTCAGCAATAATGTACCGGACATATCAAAAATCTCTCCTATCCCATTTCACTACAACAATTCGAAGAAAGGGAGAGCATCGCCAAGGTGGGTTTCGGAATTGGTTGGGAAATCTTGCTCCCGCTCTCTCTGATCTTGAAAATATAACCCCATTGTATCATACATGTATGAATAGAGCTTTTAAAGGTCTAGCAACTCTGCATTGGAATTCCCAATATATGAAATATTATCTGTTTTATCGGAGTTTTACCTTCAAAACTGGGTTGCATTTTTGAAAACTGAAGAGTGCCAGGCATGAATTTAGATTTGATTTTAATATTTTAAACGCCTGAAAACCGGCAATTTTTGGATGATTGGACATTTTCATGCTGAGTTTATTTATCTGAGGTAGATGTTAAAAATCTGATTGTTAATTTTGGTGAAAAACCCATCATTTAGATAAAAATTGGTAAAGAAAAACCGGAAATTTCTAGAGATATCGAAAATTCCAATGCAGAGTTTGTAGAGCTAGAAAAGCTCTTTCGATACATGTGTTATATGATGGGGGTTAATCAGAAAAGTTCGGAGCTATAGCCGAAGCAAGATTTCCCAACCAATTCCGAAACCCTCCCAAGAGGCCCACGAGTTTCTTCGCCACTCAAACAAGCTCGAAGAACTGGAGGGTGAGCTTATTTTTATCGACTTTTGTCGACTCAATTGTTCAGAAATGTTTGGCCAAAGCAAAATGGCAGCGTCACCGAATCGGTCAGCTTGTCCGAGTTTATCATCACTAAGAAGACCAAAAACAAAAAGCACGAGCGTAAAAGGCAAGAATAGGTAATCGGTTAACAATTGACCAAAATTTAGTGTGCCATTAAAAACAACTGCCATGAGAGCGATGAGCTTCGGTGACTCGCCACCAAAAGCTCCAAGCTCGCAGCGAGGGCTGTCCACGACACTCGACAGATTTGATACCCCTGAGCTACCTCCCCAGGATCGCGATCTTCTTGACCAAGAACGCCAGCTCATTTTACAGATTCGTGGCGCTCAAAACGAAGTTAAAGAGGTCAAGACGAAAATAAACACTGGTTCTCTTCCAGTTATCTTGCCAAAAGAAGAAGTCGATCGGCCGCCTATTGAAGTCTGCTCATGTCATGGCTGTTTCGTCCAAACACTTCTTCAATCATCTGTTAAAGTTTCTGCAGATTGCGACCGAAGGATTTATTCTACTGTACGAATATTCGCCAATCATCTCAAGTCATCGATAAACTTGAGTTTTATCTCTACTTTACAAAGGCCGGGGTTCGTAATATATTCATTTTGTCTTCCAGTAGAAGACTTCCACCGAATTCAATTTTCTCAACCCTATTCAAGTATTTTGAGCTTTTTCATAACAAAAGACAACGCCTCGCTTAACACCTTGGAACTCTCCAGCTTTGATCCTGAATGCATTGTGACTACTATCGAAGACATTTTTCTTTTGGTGCTATTTGTCATCTCCGACTTACCACAGACCCTCATCGCCGTCCTCTCCCCTTGTACCGCTCGTGCCTTATCCCGCAAAATCGAAATGGTTGACAGTTCAAGCAATACCACTTTAAAAGAGAAGCTCAGGATCTTTTCTCAATCCCTCGACAAAATTACCTCAAAACACGACGACTCATCTCAGGAATCTAAAAAATACGTATTTCGCCATGTTCTCAAGCCCAGCACTGTTGATCACGATCAACTTCAAAAGAAGGAAAACTTTCTCAACACGGACACTTTTGCTGCGCTTAGGAAGCAGCGAGACGAGATTTTCCACATTTTTCGAATTTGGCAGAAGAATCATTCAGATCCAGATTGGAACTGTGATTTGCATATTGGCTCCAGAATTCGCTGCTTGGTGCACTCTGTAAATGTTTCCGGCAACACCATGGCCTTCAGCCGACTTTTTATGTTGATCCTTCTTGATTCGTTTATCGAGCAGCAAACGGAATCCAGCCCTAGTCCAGACTGCTCCCTAAACAGCTCCCAGCTAGACTTGTTCAAGCTTATCTCTGACTTTGATGTTATGACTCTTGTGAAAGAAGGCAATGCAAGAAAACTCGCAGTTCTTGAACAACGGTTCTATCAAAACTCAAAAACAAACGCCTCGAAACACGCGACATCAGCTGACAACCAGGAAGACGGATCGTTTTTCCCTGGTTCCCAGTCATTCTTCCAAAGCTTTTTGGTCATTTCTGGCTGCGCAAGGCTTCACACACATCTTTTGGACTTGATGTTCGATTCGCTGGGGAAGATGATCGACCAGATAAAGCATTTAGGAAAGGTTTTTATGCAGCGCAGAAACAGTAAAACTTTTTTTGCAGTGAAGACTCCATTATTTCTTATACAGCAGTTTCTTTATTTGCCCGAGTAAAAGAAACTGGTAAGGGTTGTTTCCTTATCAGTTTCTGTAGTAAACTGCGCATGAAAATGTACAGTTTGAATTTGAACTCGGGTACATCAAAGCTGCACATATGCCGTCGGACTCATAACCCGCAAAACTCCAGGGTTCATGTTCCATGGCTTTACTTGATCTTATTTGATCCGAGTGAACCACTGATGTTCTCTTGGAAATGAGAAAAGAACGAATCTGAATGGCCGTGATGATTTCGGTCGGATGCTACATTTTCCCAAATTTTAAACTTGACAAGTTTTATTTGTCCCCAAAGTTCGCATCCGTTTCCGTGAAATTCGCATTGATAAAATTAACCGCGCAATAAAAATCTTGACAGACTTTGACGATACCGAATGTCCCTTGCGCGGTGCCATTTATGAGAGTCGCGTGGCGCATTTGATCTCCAAGTTTTGCGGCTACCTCTACTTCCTCCCCTACCGCGATTCCCATGTTCATGAGAATCTTGCCTGTCGCCCGTATCGATCAGCGCCCGTCGATTTCTGTCGCCTCTTGAAATCCCAGACGGATGCGCGCAAACTCCTGCTCATTCTCAACGTCACTGCCGCTTTTATATCTCAGGATAAGATTAAAAATTTCATCACTGATTCACAAAATTAAGGACTCTCCTTGATGAGTCCTCCTTCCTATGAAAATATATACCATATATTTTCATCATTCATTTATTATTATTCATCAATTTTTTATCTTGAAAAAGACCCAATCCGCTGAAACGAACACTTTCCATGCACATCTGCTCGAATTCAGCGAGCTAAAAAGCTGGTGTCACCATATTTCGCATACGAGCACTGGCAAAGACATGTTTGCCGCGGCAATTCGACACAACTCAAGTGTGGTCACTCAAGGTAAGTTGCAATACTGAAAGCACTCTTTATTCTGTATCGTGTTTTAGCACTTCCGATAAGTCTTTACCAGGCGAGCGATGTTGAGGGTCGCCGGCAGAGCTTGCCGGCCTGTGGTGAACTTGGCATTGATGAGTTCATTGTTCTTTGCCCAGAGCTCACTAGAATCAACAAACCAAGAAACGGGTCCTTCGGTGCAAAAGTTGAAAAGCGGCGTCGAGTAGAAACAACGATAGTCAAACCGCAAGTCAGACAGGATTCAAAATCGCTGAAGACGCAGCTGGAAGATGCGTTTTTCAAGGCTAATCCAGCCTCGCTCAAAAGAGCGACCGAGTTTGTGATAGAAAGAGTCACATCTAATTGTGTCAAGCACTTTAGAAATAAAGGAAGGTTGAAAACAATCTAATCAACTTCAAATTCGAAAGTCTAGCTTTATCAAGTCAATTACTGTTTTCAATCTGCTAAAGTAATACCCGACACGCTGCGCGATTTCAACGCCAAGGTCAAGGATCACTTCAACGCGACACCCTCGGATGCAGAAGACGATGTCATCGCAATTGCTTTCATCAATACAATTGTTGAAAAGTGTCTCAAAGCATGCCTCGACAAGTGTTTGGCCGAGAGCGTACCGTTTTGCGAAAAGAACTCCAACGAAGCGCTGCCTCCTATTCTCGGTCCTGATGTGCCCCGTGCGGCTGTGGCATTCGCGGTCAAGATCACTGAGAGGGATACAAAGGCAAAAACAGCGGAATGGTTTAAAGAAAAGGTGCCGATTATTGTAAATAGAGATGGAAAAATGGCTTTTGAGCGATCAAGAATTAACAGGCACGAGTTGACGCTAAATAAAAGTCTTTAAATCCTAGAAATCCGAATGATCTGTATGGTAGACTCATTGAAAGAACCAAACAAAAGGTTTACCAAATCTCGAATGAGGATTACAAACCGCACTCGGAGCTTTTGTCCTCTCTTCGCGAAGTCGTCATGCGCGACCAGCTCGGCCAGGCTGATGAATCAACTCAAATCATGTCGCTTGGTAAATTACTGCCTCAGTTGCTGGAGTCAATACCATCAATGGACGGTGGATCAATCAAAACGGCGTCATTTCTTTTGACTCAAGTCGTCTTCATCGCTTTCAGGTCAAGGTTACTCCATTTCAAATTCTTTTACATAAAGGAAAAACTAGAATTTTACAGTCGAGTAACTTTTTTGAAGATTTCCAAAAGCGGAATTTTCCTTATTGGTCTCAATGTTCACCGCTGAAATCGTGGAGCAACTATCATTCCTGCCCTCTTCAGTTCTTATTTGTGCCTTGCTAGAGTCATTTGTCTTGCAACCAAGTAAAAGTGCCAACGAGAACATACAGTTATTCCTGACGACTATGCCTGGCTGGGAGACGCAGGACATCGAGCAAGTCCTCGAAACGTATCCTCCGGAAATAACTTTATTCGTTCAAAACTGTTTACAGTAGTCCTAGCTTTTTTCTATTTCCCAAATTCGATTCAATGTGTGTGTATTTATTTATTCAAGCATCTTATATTCAACAAATTTCTGTACAGGCTTTTTATACTTACAGTGATCGTTCCATTTTCTGTTATTTTTAGTTACAGTATTAAAATATAATTCCAGATATTCTAAATTTTTGTACTTCTTTTTCATTCTCTTCTATTATGATAATGATTCTTTTTGCTTCGATTTTTCTGAAGAAAAGTTGATTTTTGGCTGCAATTTCGAGCTACCTTTAATTGATAGATTCTTTTTTCAAAATTGCTCATTTCTCTGCAACCAGGAGAGTATTTCGGAAGCACCCAATGAGCATTTTCTTCATCGTTAATTTTCTTTACTCCAAAGCGGCATCTTATATTTTCAATCTCGAATTGCGTCAAGTGAAGACAAATTACCTAGCTTGATATGGGCTTTCATGCCACTCAATGCCTTTATTACACTCATATTGGCAATTTCTCGTATAGAACCAACGATTTTCCCCTTCCGGATGTACCAAATGTCCGACGCAAGAGCCCTTCTTTAATCTGACATATCCACCTTCCTTACTTCGAATAGTCTTTGGCAATTTATGAATCGAGCAACGATCAGCTGCCCATTTTTCATCGGGGCAGTTTGGCAGCGTATGCGGTTCTTTCCATTTGCCCCGAGTACATGTCGTTGCTACGCCTAAAAGTTAAGTACGTTATAAAGCGATCATAAGGAAATGTTTATTTACTTGTGCGGTTAAAGTCTTCACAGGAGAAATAGCACTTCTTTATTTTGGGGTTCCTAGCCTTGAGCTCGTAAAAATGCTTATTGAGAAAGTAATACACAAGTAGAAAGATAACTGAATATGAAGTTCAGTCTATGAACCCTATTCCTTGTCACCAAACTCATCCGCCTCGCAATCACCCCACGTCCCTCGCGGAAATCCCCATTTCGGGATATCCCACGGATCGCAATCAGGCTCAACACTTCGTAGACTTATGCTTTTATACGTGGCCAAGTCCAGCGGTCTACGCGGGTGGCGAGTTTCGATTCTGATACGAGGACAGCTCATTTTCTTGCGCCGGGAAAGAGCTGTCAAGAAGTCGGAATTGGCATCCAAGCTGCCATGGTTTCGGCAGAGGCAACCTCGTGTCAGTTTCAGCCAAGAGCCCCGGCAATACGGAACAGTTTGCGGATCAGCTGGGTCTTTTTTTGCGACACAATGTCGTGTTTCTAAAAATTCTTTGTTGTTGGAAAAGATTTTCCGGAATTTCACGTGAAATCGACGTAATTACGTAGATGAACACACTCAATGACCTTTATCCGTTGATTCCTTCGTCAATTTTCCCGAAATGAGCGTAATTGGGCGTTATGTCTGTATTACAAGAATCGAGCGTTTTTATCTAGGTAATCTGGCGTTCAAATTTTCACTCGGCCTATTTGCTCAGCAGACATGTGTTTACATGTAGATATTAAGTCCTATGAACTTGCTTCGTTCGTTTACCTTGCGAGTAAAATTCTTCCCACGGTCTACAGGGGCTTGTCACTTGCCAGTTCGTCCATTTACCAGGAATAATCTTTTTCTCAGTTGAGCAAACAATGAACATATCTGATGTTCCAGCTTCACAGTCGCCTCCGTGAATTCTGTAATCTTTGATCGCGCACTCTTGGATATCTCCCTGTCCTTCAGGACAGTTGACCCCGCCAACGATGTACTCAATCGTTTCCGGCAAGGAAGTATCTTCTCCCGGCATGTATCTTCGGTACGCCTCCTGGTTGCCTATAAACAAGTTCCGACTAAAGCCCATCTGCCAACATGCTCTTTGTCCAAAGCTCTTAGCATTCTTCCCTGTCAGTCCGAAGACACCACTGTTCTGACAGAGACGACCCCAGTTTACAGCCCCGTATCCATCATTTGCTCTTTGTTGGATATCTCAAAATGATCAATTAAAATTCCAAAAGCAATAAATAACTTTTCTCAAATTAAATAAACACGAGTAAATACAGTATCCCTTGCCCAATGTAAACTCTTCCATGACTCCAATGTGCGGCTTTGACTTCCCACCGACTAATCCACGCGGAAATCTCGTTTATTTTCAAAAACAGTACGATAATACTGTGTACTCTCATTTAAATTCAGGTTCACTCAAAATTTTCAAATTCTAGTAGTTTTATCTATTTTCAGTTTATGTATGTTTTGCGTGACAGAAATATTCTTTTATTTTCTTTCTTCAAAGGCAGACAAGCGCGATCCCCACCTAGTTTGGCGCCCCATCGACTACTCGCGCAGTATTCTTTGCGCCGCAGTTTGCGCATCGCGCGTTTCTTTCCCGAAAAGTACACCAAGCAGCATCAGATTAATTTGTCTATTTGTTCAGATGGATGTTGACGGACTCGTTTTTCTCATCTGGTCGCTGTACTTTTCAGTTGTAAAAGGTCACGTTGACATGTTATGCAACAGTATTTGCGCTTGAACATCGAATTCGGTCGATTTTTGACAGCTTTTGACCTTTAAGTCAAGTTTGTGTTGAAACATCCCACTGTTTCTCGTCGTTTCTTCTTCTTTCTTTTGTCAACCTTTTCAAAGCAAAAATAATTACTTTTTGCCCATGTATGGGCCGATATGGAAATCAATTAGGTCCGGGGCTCAGAAAATCAAATTTTCGAGTCCAGAAGTAAGGTCTGTGTTAAAGAACAAGTAGCGAGCCAAACTAAGACCACGTCACTTCCATGTTGCATAAATCAAAGGAAATGAAAACGACTCTGTTACTTCCCAGTTTCATTTCCTATGAAGAAAGCCCATTAGCGCTTATTCCGTTTGAAGACGTCTTCCAGGTCAGGAACGGGTGCCTTCTGTATTTCAAAACGCAAGAATTATTGCCCATAATCTCGTTCTTCAAACTTGCTTCCAACAGCGTTTTGTATCCGAGAATAAATATTAAAAGACGGAAACTTGTCAAAATACCATTTTTATAAGTTTAATTATCTTCTAGTTTCAAAAAGAAGTAGTGGGGCTTGAGTTTGTTCTAGATAACGGCGTAAATATCGAAATTGTTCTGTGAATTTTCAATCATGAGAGCACGCAATTACTATTTTTTAACAGAGACGCTAACCCGCTGAAAAAGTCCTTTGATAGAGGGCGGCTTCGATGTCCTCCCCGCGTCTGGCTTTGACTTTGATCAGCTAACAACAATTCTTTGTCATAGCTCACGCATGCGCGACTCCACCGCAACGGGGTCTTCCGGTGACCACAACGGAGAACCGAGTTGCGATCTGAGCGGAAATCCCCGCGGTACTTACTGGCGACGCCTTGGCGTTGAATTCCTCAAGTCTGATGTCGTCAGTTCACTTGACGCACACGATGAGCCGGTCGCCTTGACCGGGGCGATAACGTCTTTTCCGGCTCCGGAAAGTGTCAACTATGTTCATCAATATTTGCACTTTGCCCCAAACATCCTCCAGATCGCTGATGAGATTCGAAACAGGATGGGCGGATCGTTTCTTGGAATTCATCTTAGAATAGGCACCGATTTCACGAAAGCCTGTGATATTCTTGACCGTAATGACAACTTGATGGGTACAGTTATGAAAGAACAACTTTATGGGCATCTTATGGGCGTTTTTACATACTTTATCAACAATTTTTGGGCCGAATTTTATTACTAATTTCGCTCATCCTATTCGTAACTTTTGAAAGCATCTCCTCAATGTGGAACCCCTCAAGTGAAGCTGGAAAAATCAAAACACTGCGCCCCATCTATGGAACAAATTCTAGACGAGCTCGATTTCTTCAAAGACAAATTCAACACGCTTTACATTTCTTCTGACAAAAAGATCGACCGTCAGATCTTTGAAGAACGCGGGCATGGGTTTATATTCAATAAGCTTCTCTTACTTTTTGTACTTTATAAACCGAAAATTAGATTTCGAGTGGCTACGCTGGACGATTACCGTGATTTGCCAATTCCAAAATTTTTTGACCCTTTGATCGATTTGTCCGTGCAAATATTAAGTGACCAGTTTATTGGTAATTGCATTTCAAGCTTCACGGGATTTATCGTCCGGCAAAGAAGAGTTAAGCACCTTCCAGTTGCTTTCTGGGGTCTCGTTGACCATTCTGACGCACACGAAGAGCTTTGATTTACGATTCTTATTCCTAGCTGGAATCAGATGACCTTTTTTCAATTTCTGTATACTTCTTGTAATTCCCATCCAATTGCGAATTCACCAATTTCCTTTTAATGCCTGTGATTGGATAATCCTTCCATTGATTCTATTTTTCTACTTTTTCAACTTTTTATCGATACTTTTTAACCGGTTATTCAGAGATTTAGAATTTTGCTCCTCCGAAATGTCGCTCGGAATCCCAATCAAAGTCCTCCACGAAGCCGAGAGCCACGTAATCACCTGTGAAACCTCCACCGGCGAAGTCTTCCGTGGAAAGCTCGTCGAAGCCGAAGAACATATGAACATCCAGGTACAATCAACCACTTTAATACCTTCACAAAGCCGATTCTAGATGCAGGATGTCACCGCTACCTACCGAAACGGATCAACCGCCCAATTGGCGAACATCTACATTCGTGGCACTCAAATCAAGTTCATGATTCTCCCCGAGATGCTCAAAAACGCCCCAATGCTCAAGGTAAATTTGGAATTGGATTAAACCATCACTCTCGTTTCTTCTCAGGTCGCAACACGAAACCAGGCTCAAGGCCAGAAGCAGAATTTCTGGCAAGCTGGCCGAGGTCGTGGACGAGGCGGCGGCTTCCGCGGTGGTCGAGGCGCCCCAAGAGGCCGATATTAGGAAAATTAGCGAGGGTAGACCCGCTGGTCCCCTGAGAAGGAAAATCTGCTACCGATTTTAGAACACACATTTACCGATTTATTAAATTCTCCAGTTATCTCACACTCTTCTTGCTTTTAGCTACTCAACTTTATCATTTTAGTTGTGTCAAGCTCATTATTGAAATTTTGAATTACTGTCGCACTCGACACCACCTAGATATCATGTTATAAACAACTGCCCTAAACTGCTCCTGGTCACTTTTTGAGTTTTAGAATGAGTGGAGTCGAGGCGGCAAAGCGTCTAGCCGCGAGGTCAGCCGTCGATGCCTTTGTCAAGAATGGATTCAAGCTGGGAATCGGCTCCGGTAAAGAAATTTTTCTTTGACAAGGGTTGTTAAAATGCCTTTTTTGTTCAGGATCGACTGTAGTTTACGCGGTGGAGAGAATCGCGGAACGAGCGCGAGCGGAGAATCTTCAGGTTCCGATCGTTAAGATTTTAATGAGTCGTATTAACTTTAATTTAGCTCACTTGTGTACCCAGCAGTTTCCAAGCTAGACAGGTGCGATAATATGATATTTACTCATGTCTCAAATAACTGGCAGTTTGCGCAGATGCGTTCTTCACTGACCTCTTAACTAGTTATAAAAAATCAGATTTCAGTTCATTCATTCCTTTAATTTATCTTTAGCTTATTATCGAGCACGGCTTGCTTCTATCCGATCTCGAGCGAACTCCGGAGCTCGACTTGGCAATCGACGGAGCTGACGAAGTCGACGACCGACTTACCCTGATCAAGGGTGGCGGTGGATGTCTCCTCCAAGAAAAGATCGTCGTCAACGCGGCAAAGGATTTCGTCGTTGTTGCTGATTACAGAAAGAACTCGGCCGCCCTCGGGCAGCAGTGGAAAAAGGGAGTGCCGATCGAGGTGCTGCCTCTTGCGTACAGGTAATTTTTCGTCTCTAGAAACTGGGGAGCTTCTCAGTGAGTTGAGAAATACAATTTTCGTGGTGAGAAACACCCGGATTTCTAGAGAAATCAATCGATTTTCACTTTGAATTGAAATATCTCTGGTATTTTTGCTCTTTTTTAGACCGGTGCAGAAGGAAATCGAGTCCCGTTTTGGTGGTGTTGCAAAACTGCGAATGGCAAAAGCGAAAGCAGGACCTCTCGTCACTGACAACGGCATGTTCATCATTGATTGGGAATTCAACGAAGCTCCAGCTGAAGGATGGACAAAGATCGGAATGGAGCTCAACAATATTCCGGGCGTCGTTGAGCACGGATTATTTATTGGCTGCGCAAAGAAGGCATACTTTGGAAATGAAGACGGAACGGTTTCGGAACGATGAATGATGATCGAAAATGAAAAATGATTAAAAGTATTTACCTTCGCTGGCTTTAGATTACTATAATTTCTGCCAAGTTCAGTATTAAAAATACAACTCGCTCAAGAAGGACTAATAGTATTGTATCAGACCATATGACCAGGCTCTGATATACTGGTCCTCTATACTGTATAGACTACACAGCAAATTAGAATAAATTGCTTCAAAGAAATCGACGCATTTTAAGGGGAAAACTTTTGTTAATTATTCTGGCAACGACGAATGAAGTAAAATGATTCGATGACAATGAAAAAAGTAAAAAAGTGAGAAAGGGTAGTCAGTTCCATAGCAGTAAAATCGTTTCATTGGCTTTCAAAATTCATGCCGTCGAAAATCCTTCAGGGGCACTTGCAGGCACCAGAGACTCGGACGTCGACGAGCTTGGTGACAGTGACGATGGAGACTCGGGCATCGAGGACGATGCTAGAATTCATTTTATTTTGATTCTATATTGTGACTTACTCAGAGGCCATGTTGATTTCTGGGGCTTCGAAGCAGATTTCTTCCTTTCGTGGCATGTTGAGTTAGTTGATGAGTATCTGAGATGATCTGAGCTGGTCGATTCAAATCACTTGATTATATGCGGTTTTATTGCCCTGCCACCTAGAGGCACTCACTTCCGCGTCCGGTGACGGCAAGAGCACCATCTACCCGGTTAATGATGATAAAAGCGCGGATCTGAAAGCGTTGAGCATTAGAATTGATCATAATACAATTTTAACCATGCCACGATCCAAGAACGAAATCTGTGTCCAAAGTCCCGAAGTCGTCATGCACGGAGAGTAAGTCTTTTTCTACCCTAACAGAGCTTTATTTGTCTTTTTCAGCATCAACCTCCACGCTCAGGTCGCCGTCGTCACCAAGGCTAAGCTCGATGATATCTCTATCAAGGGCGATTGCAAGTGCGATTAAATTTTTTTTACAGTTCTGATTGACTCCTTTTTTAATTTTTCTGGCAACACGAATAAATAATGCTTTCAAATAAAAGCTGTTTGTATTTTGATGCAAGAATCGAATAGGCTAGGGAATTACTTTTTTATTGAAATTTCTAAGTAGGAAGTTATGAATGTTTATTCCAAGAGAAGCAAAACGGTTTCTGGCTCTTCCTCGTTGGCTTCAGCAATTGGCTGAATTTTGATCTCAACGCTGCTCCAGAAGGAGTCAACATCATCCGTTGCGTTGACAGCATCATTGATCGCTTTGGATGCTTCTTCGTATTGTTTCTGCAAAAGCTGAAGATACCCAGCATCCTGGGCGTCTACGGTTTCAGAAGACTCCTCCTCGGGTTTCTTTCCCATGCATGCTGAACAGCAGATTTGATCGACTAGTAGAAAATATTTAAGCTTACCTGCAAAAATTCCTTTCAGTTTTTCCTTCACTACTTCTCCGAACTTCGCAAAAGCAGCTTTAAGCGCATCGATGAAGCCTGCCTTGGCTTGTTCTAAAGCCTCAACAGCACTTTCCTTCAAGTCATCAATTGCTTCAGAAGCAGCTTCTTTTACATTTCCAAGAGCATCAGCGGCCTGCTCTTGCAAATCACTAGCAACTTCCTGAGCCTGAAGCGTGACATTCTCGAGAGACTCGGTAACTTGTTGGGTAGCTTCTTCGACTGACATATTTTGAAAAAATAGATATATTTGTTAATTCTGCCAAGAGAAGAATGATTATATACGACTTCCGGCCGGAAATTGAATAATCAAAATAGAGGAGCAGTTACTTTTTTGAAATCTGTTTATGCGGCATATTTTGTTATAATCTCGTTTTATTTGTGACTTATTAATTATAGGCATCATGAAGTATAAATATCAATTTGACCGAAAGTAAATTCTAAAGCCGGTGGGATTTATTGCCTAGGAAGTAATGAAAATGAAGATGTCAAAATGAGAATAAAATAATTAGACACTTGATGACAAGTCAATTGATGATAAAGTGGAGTTATTATTGGTCCAAATGAAACGTTTCATCGTAATCAAAATTAGTTAAACCGCATCGTAAATAGTCGTTAATCCAAAATGTACTTATGTTGCTATTCCTTTATTTCGACACTTTCGCATATCTTTTGCAAATTGATTCTTATTCTTCTTCTTCCTTGATTTCAGAAACTAAATCGATGTTGTTTTTCGATGTCAGCGGAAGACTATTCTTCTTATAGACTTTAAAACTGATTACAAAAAGGCATTTTATTGAAAAAACATAATTTTGGCCAAATGGAGTTCTTTCTTGGCTTTCCGCCAGATCCTTCGTTTGTCGCACCATTCTCAATTTGTCCGTCTGCAATGGACGCCAGGCTTTTTCGATTTCCAGATGGGCCAGATCCACTTCCAGAGGACTCGTTCTGATCGACTACGGTTTCTACTTGCTCCTCCCTGTCTATTTCTGAGCCCTCAAGTCGATCGTACTAGATAAGATTTATTAGAAAGAAAGTAAAAATTTCACAATCGTACCATTGATTGCAAGCCCCAAAATACTCGAAAAGCATCCCATGCTCGTCCAGCATTGTACTCGAAGCCGATGAAGAGGCAAACAAAGATTGAAAACATTGGAACAACTCCCCACAGGATCAGCATGTGAATGATAAACCAATATATTCCTAAAATGCCAAATAAAAAGTTAGTCTTTTACTTTCAAACCGGGTGTTCCGAGAAAAGGTTTGTAAAAGATTGCTCCGCTTTTCTTAATTTGAGATGTAACTAATCTGATCTCATCCAAGTAATCTTGGTATTTTTCTTCATTTAAAATAGAATCTATAAAAGACGTATCCTCGTCAGCCATGATGATTTCTCTTCTGTTTCCCGGAGAAAGTGATCAGCAGTTTAATTTTTCTTCGCATATGGGGAACACGGAGCTGTGTATAAAGATATTGCGCGATTGCATTTAAGATATTGCAATAACGGGAAAGAAGAGTTACAGTACGAGTCGAACCCAACTACCCGCCAGCATGGCGCCGTTTCCTAGCCTGATTCTAGCTGTGCGAGAGTACTTTGGCCAATTAAGCAAACTCATCGAAGCTCTCGAAGCGCCAAATTCCTCACCATCTCTGACTCCCGCACGGGACAACATGACAAAGTTGTAGAACGCGAACTGTTAGGCACAAAGTGTGCGAAGGTTAATATTTACGAATACCGCACTTGAAAAACTTGGAAATTTTAATTGACAGTCGCAATAATAACCTGATATTTTAGTCAGTCAATTATAAAAAGAATTTTCAACTGAAGAATGCAGGCCTCCTACAAAATGAGAAATCCCCTTGTTTCGCTCGAAATAATCACAGAAAATGCTAAATGCTTCATGCATATTTGTTTCGAGCAATTTGAATACCCAAAAAGGATGAATACTCGCGCGACATGTGCATGTCAGTGTTTGTCCGGCTGCCAAAAAACAAGACTCCCGTCTAATTCTGGCTTGGGCGCTAATTTCAACACTGAAAATGTGCAAAATCGCTTGCTTGGTATGTTTGCACCAATTTCGCGTGTTCCACCGCCGCCACTCCGTCGACTACAATCTCGACCGCGATGCGTACAGCGCAAACCAGGCCTTCATGGCGCCACCGGATCGCCCGCTAATTGAAGGGATTACTAGGGATTATGATATTTCAACTTGTTTTTTTTCTCAGATGTTAAAGTTTTCAGTAAAAGGAAGTAAAAAGATTATACAGTAACAAAGGAGTCTAGTCCGCAAAAACGGAACCGGAAGAAATTCAGGATCTTCCATATAAATAAACTCCTCAACAAAACGCTTTGTAAACTCGAGTCACCTGAACCTGTCCCCTCTTTTGAAGCAGTGGGTCGAGTGTGTTGAGGCCCGGTCGGTTTGTATTGTTTGAGATGGTTTTGGACATTCCAACGGCGACCAGGCACTTGACGTCGCCTTCTTTTAATTCAAATTCGCCACCGCCTCAAGAATTCCACAGATGAACCAATTAGGCCTTCTCCTCATATGAGATTGTACGAGGATTTGTACTGGTGAACTTGTACTGGGACATTCTTGTGGCTTTCTTTATTAGCAGGGTAGATTTTTATACCACGAAGATGATAAAAGACCATCCGTTAAAAGCGAAGAACTTTAGTAAAAGAATTAGATTTTATTAAAATTTGACTTTTTTCAACTTTATATTTTTTATATCAATCAAGAAACTACAGGAACAGTGCTAGTAATTTTCAAATTGGTTTGTTACGGTAGAGCAATTTCTTGGCCCGTAATTACAAATGCTTTGGCGTACTGGCGATTCTCGGGCTGGTGCTTGCCTGCGTGGTGGTGGTGCATTCCATTGTGCAGTGGCGCTCTTTGCTCCGCCAATGAGCAGCCAGCCATGGCGCGTACTGTACGACTGATTAGAATACCGATGGGCTCAGCAGGAGCTTATCGCTTTGAGTAAAAAACGATTGAACTTCGCCGGGGGAAAGTTACTTTGCGAAATGGAATATCCGCTGTGGGCGGAATAACCTGCCGATTTTCCAGGCACAGCTTATCGACAATTTGGCTTGATTTGAATCTAGGCGATAAAATTCATCTCCGGTTGGTGGTGGTGACTTTTCAAAGATCAAAAAAGAATACCGACTCAAACTTCTACTTGTAGATCGATCACTTTTTCTTATAAACGGCAGCGAGAATTATTGTCATTTCTACGAAAACACAATCAAACGGCAAAAGATCGTCCGATAGACAGAGCAAACTTGGAGGACCCATCTCTTTGGCGACAATTTCGCTGCCGTATTAATCGCTTTTCACCGAACGGTGACTTATTCTGCAAGAATATTTTGAGAATAGCATTTCGAGAGATGAGCAACGCTGAGCACGCCCGCCGATCCACCCCTGTCATGCTCCGAGATGGCAGCGTTGAAAAGGGTGGTGATGGTCTCGCCCCTGCTTTCAACAGCAAGAGCGAACGAGCTCCGAAACTAGGAGAGCTGAAGAAGAGAGAGGCCGAAAAAGGTAATAGTTGATATGAGGACTTTTTCGTAAATTCTTTCTAGGTGAAATCTTCATGTCGACTGATGTCGACGAAGACAACAGCTTCACCTTTGGCAACGCTAGTCCGGTCGAAAGAAAATTTACACCGGCCAATGTAAGTACCAAAACGTCCATCTCAAAAGCAGTGGTTCAAATTATTCTCAGAAACGCGCCCCGCGTCTCGGTGATCTCCCGAAGACGCCGTCGATCGCGAAGGGTGACAAGCTTGTTCTCATGTCGATCGAGATTGACGAAGAACAAAGCTTCGATTTTGGCGAAGAAAGCTCCATCGAAGGCGAAGCGAACAACGCGACCGCCGTTCAAGCTGGTGACGTTTCGCTCTGAGCAGCTGCGATCTTCTGCCAAAATCACAATAATAAATCAGAGTTCAACTTCTGTTTTCTTTACGAAACCTGTTTCTTTTAATTTGAAGCAAAACGCTCATGAAAAAAATATTCAATTAATTTATAACAAAAGAGTGCTTCTTCGGAATGAGTCGACATCCGGGCTTGACACCTTTTTCGCGCTGATTGAAATCGCGCACTCGAGGTGCAAGAGCGGTAAACACAATCAGAAATTGCAACAAGGGCCCAAATATTATGACATTGTCGAGCTTGGAAAACGATAAATAAAAACACTTCCACTTTCTCATAAGGAAGTCGGCGGCGAGTTTCAAAGGCAAAAAAGGGGCGAATTTGTAGCCGGATTCAGAAAACAGGTTTTAGAGGACCATCGAGAATTCCTTCGACAAAAGAAAAGTTTGTTGAATTTCAAATTTGCATCTCAAAGCTTTTGAGACTTATTCTTGGCATTTTTGCTGGAGGTTTTTATGGTCTTTTTAATGCATATTTATCAGAAAAGACTTGTTTTTATGAACATTTTACTACCTCCGCAATTTAATATATACCACATTTCCTAGCCTAAATCAAACAAGCGTAAATTAATCTTCAGAATTACTAACCTTTGGCAGATCAAGTTTACCTTCTTACAAGATTTATCTGACAAAGAATGCAATTAGTCACATTGAGCCTTCCCTGGCAATGTTATCTTGAATACCTTGACGGAACTATTTATCCATCGGAAGCGCCAAAACTGACCCTCAACGTGTTTCAGAAAATCTTGGCATTTGGCTGGTTATGAGAAAAAATGTGAAAAAATTTGGAGCACATGTGCACCGGGCGTTGCATTGAACGTGGAATGCCATTTATTTAGGAGTTCGGAACTGGAATCTCGCTCAGAATTCCCAAAAGCATACCGACCTGCCGCAGACATCGCTTTCTTACGACACGCGCCTCTCCCAATCCATCAAAATTCGCCCAGACCACGGCCTCTAAGTGACGAGATTTTATGACTACCGGTACCTGACCCAGATAGAAATGAGCTGCAGGACTATTTTTGTAGAAATACCTCAGCCTAAAGTCTTTAGGGAGCTAAATTTTTCTTTAACGCTCTATTTCTCTCTATTTTTTTTTTGCAACAGTTTGCCTATTTATGAGTTTTGAGAACTTGAAAGCTAGTTTGTCAATGTCTCTTTTCCAAATAATCTTCGAATTTCTCCCCTTGGGTCGGTAAGAGATCTGTAATTTTGGTTTTCTGATGGTATCTTCTCCGAAACGCTCCGTTTCTGAACTTTGCCAATTTGTTGCTTGATGTGGTGACCACCCAAAACGCCAATTTTCAGCTCTAAACAGATTCGAGACTGTTATTGTCATGTGATGACTGGTGTATTCACACTTTTCTTGGTAAAACTGCGGATCAACAGTCAATTTGACGGACTCAAAACTACTCTTCACAAATTCATGTGCTAAACATTATTTGGAAATCTCTAGAGCTGAACTGTTTTCTTCCCAGCAATCCGTATAAAATTCGATCGCTTTTAGGACTTGAAAATCTAAAACTCCCTTTTCATCCTCTTCTCTAGAAGCCCGCAGTGTTTTCTTCCCACCAATCCCTATATAAATCCCCGTAAAATTATTTTCCTCATTCCGGACAGACGATGTCCTCCAAGAGTGGTTGGAAACATCCAACGAAGAAACCGCGCCTGCTTGCCTGACCAAGCTGTTCCCAATTTCTATGACAAAAGTCAAGAAGGAACAAAAACCGATTTGATACACATCAAACTTATCCTATCCTCCTGACCGAGCAAAAGTTTTCTATTTAGCCCTTTTTAGGGCTCTAAATTCAATCTAAAATTATCAGAAAAATAATCTTTGTCTTCACTTGAAGTTCACGAGAATTCTTCTGTCTCCGAAGCAGGCCCCTTGTCAGGGCGCGTTTTTTGGGCAATACTATCTGCTAACCCCCAATTAGTGCCTTTAGAAGTCGTTAATGAAATTCCTCTGCGTGTGTAAGCGGGTTCATGAGAAATTTTTGGGAAATTTCGCAAAATTTTTCTTCACATTGTGAGACATTCTGGCATGCAATTGGTGCGCATTCTACGTGCAAGCGCATCCAAGGTCAATCGTAATCCACCCGCCAAGTTATGCACCAAGATTGACACCTGGAATCCGCTCAAATTATTATTTTTGCGCAAGGCGTTAAATATATTTCACCGCTGCTTTTGCGCCTTCCTTTTTTCTATCAGCCCTGAGAATTTCGCACGGCCGATAATGAGCGGGAATCGATCATCCCTCCTTTTCGTAAATGTTGAGCTCGCTCAGATGCGAAAAATGATGGATGGCGCTGGACGCGCACGCAGCTGCTCGCGACCAACCATTCGGCTGAGCAGCCAGAATTCGCACCAACTGTAATCTCTTTTACTTTCTCTTCGTGATGGAATAATTGGAGGAAGGGTTGAGCTACTGGGTGGTTTCTCCGATTTAGCGGGTGATTATCGCAGAACTAGCCAGACTCGGCGCCCACCAACGAAGTTATGATTCAATCAGTCTAGATCAAAGTTAAAATAAATTCTAACTGTAAAAATAATCCATTGAACTTAATAAAAATTAATGGTCCTCCTTATATATTCAAGTTTTATCAATAATAATCAACCTTTTAAGAATCGTCTTCTTTTCAGTGTGGCGCTAAATTTGATATTATTTCATGAAATAATCTTCCGAAGCTAAACAGTATTTCCAATAAAAAAAAGTTATAATCACCTTCATTAGACTCCGATGACGACTACTAACTTTGCTCGCTGACCCCACCGCGCGGCGTCGAATCGTCAACCCCTTTTCTTGCCTGACTCCGTTTCGTGGACAGCGCCACCTCTCGGCGCGGCGTCCCCATCCAACAGTAGGCTCCAGCCGCCCTCACCACAATTCTCCACTACAGATTCCTCAAATCTTTTAAATTCAAACAAAATTGTTTTTTTTTTGATCATCCTTTCGCAAACATACAGATATCCTTACTAACAGTCACCACCAGAGATTGCCAAAAAGATTGAAAATAAAAGCTCAACCTTTTAACAAGAGCGAGATAAAAAAGATATGATGAGCGCTCCAGAAGTGATGCCACAGACGATGCAAAGTTTCCAGTACCTCAACTACGCTGCCCAATATCAGCAACAGGTAATTTTTGAGATCGGATCTATATTGAAGAGAGTCTGAATTTTAATAAAAGGCGAATTTGCTGGAATTAAAAAATGTACTCGGCACTCAAGAGGCCGGACCGCACTTGGTGGAGATAGTAATTTTGGGCTTGGGATCAGTATCTAGAATAGAATAAACTCTTCAGATTCATTTTTGGCGGATTTTATCCTAAGATTTTATGTGAAAATGTCGAAGGGCTGTCACTTGTGGGTGAATTTTTTTGAAAAAAGAACCCTTGAAAACTAAACTCCTGTAATTTTCATCGTAATAAGCCGAACATCGTTGAGTTTCGAAGGAGATAGGCAAAAATCAAAGGTCAAAAAGGCGAGTTAGCAAAATTTTCTCGAGAAATTATCATCTACCGATAAGCTCCCCTTATTCTCAAAATAAGATAAAAGGTTTTTTCCGCGTGAATATTCCATTCACCAAGTTGAGCATCCGATTCAGCCCGATCATCACTTGATAAGGCAAATGAATCATCAGTCGTTGACACTGATGATGCTCAAAAGAAGTTGTTATCGGACTTCTACGTCGGGGGCCCACCCAATTTGAAAGGATCGTTGTTGATTCATCACATAATTCGCACCACCAAATTGTCCCTTTGTTCTGTTTTGGCAACTGCCGGGTTGAACTCGAAGGTGATAAGTAAGCTCTGCAAGAATTTGCGAAATCGTGAGCGTTCTATCTTCGTAAACATTTGCAACTGAAAGCTAGAATTTTAGAGCTTTCTTGCTATTTCATTAAAAATTATGTTACAGAGGATTAGAAAACGTTTTCAAACTAGGAATTTATGAAAAAGATTGTAATGAGCAAAATTACTCAAAAAATGCCAAGCGCCTGGGTCTCCAAATTCTTGCGCTCTAAGAAAGCCAAATGAATGTTCTCCCGACAACCCGAAAGTATTCGCCTTATGTGGATCCGCATATCTCACTAGATGCAACAATTTCCACTGAAAATTCCCCCCTCACACGAAAATTTCACAATTTCCGCTTCTGAAAATATGAACCCAAAATAATTAACATGAAAATTCACTCAACTGAATCTGCAATCATCAATCAAATCAGATTCTTCTCTTTTTGACAGCAGGAAATGAAAACTGCGAAAAATTCAAGTTGCATAAACAATGTTTTTAGCAAATTCACAAACTAAGGGTATCACTGTTAATTTTTACAGAACCCACTGCGGTTTGATTTCATGAGCCTAAATTTCACCAGAAACGATGATTTTTGAAGGAGCTAGACAGCGCGGCGTGTCAGAATTTGTAATTCGCAGTGTGTGCCCCTGTCGTAAAGGGGACCATGGGATCTGGTGAAACTGGCTACCTACCCCTAAACTACCAGTATCCGCCGCCTTTGATCACCGCGGGAGAGCAACTGAGGGGACGAGCTTATCACGTGTTATCAGGCAAACGGAACACAAGAATACGAAATGCAAAAAGCTCGTGTACTTCCGCCGGGAAGCTCGTGTACTTCCGCCAAAGTTTGGAAAGCTCTTCTTGTGGTCGACTTTGAGTTCGATAAGTTTTTATGATAAGTTTTGAACATGACTCAAAGTATGAGTAAAAAAATTATTTCGAACTATTTCGAAATTAATTTATTGATCGGTTCAAGTTATATTTACATTTAAATATTCAAATCTTGCGCGAGTACAAATGACTCTCGGATTCCAAACATCTATGGAAAATTTATTCGTCTGAGGCAAAGGAGATTTTTTCGAATACACATCGCTCATTTTTGGGTATTCGCTCCTGCATGTATAGCGCCTTTGATCCGCCCATGTCTGCTCAATTTGTCCCGGCAGGGGCCGCCGAGCATTCCACCAATTTAACCAAGGCTGGCGGAAATCGACCGACCACGACCCACCGCTCAGCAACCTTGCGAACAACAAACACCCTTGAAGCAGGCAGCGCCACTCTGAACTCTTTTGACGCCCCTTGACTATCAACAAATAAGAAATTGGCCAGTCAAAGTCGCCTTTGAACAAGATTCAAGGCGTGAAAATTCCGTTCCACTTTCTTTCAAAAGGCCCTTCAAAACCATATCCTAATCATTTCTCTTCAGCGACTGAACTTTGCTAACGGCTACCATCAATCCGGACCGGGTCTTCACGATACTCCATCAGTTTCCACAATGAATCCAGTATCCGTCAGCGCTCCTTCAGTCCTCGACCCAGCCACTCAACTCGGTCATTTGAACGCTGCTATCACGAAACTAGAACCACAGTTGCCAGTAGCTCCTACAGGCCACAGTACCCCTGCCTCGACCTCGCCAAATCAACCAACGCAAGAGCAGAGTCTGCCAATGACTCCACCCCGGCCGAATGCGATGGAACCGCTGGTAGAGAGTTTTTACGAAAAAGATATCGAAGAAGAGCTCGATGAACATTTCAAGAAGTCACAGTCAGAAACGAAAACAAGAAGAGGTAAGAGATCATATTCAAATGGATCTTTTGAACTTCGGAAGGCGGAAACGAAACCAATTTGTCATTTTTTGGGTGGAGGAGGCGCCCCACTTAGTAGAAACCGGTCGGTTCATTTCAATATTTGCGGCGGCGGCGCTTTGATAGCTATTAAACAATACTAAGTGCATAAAATCTCAAATCAGCGTGGATACTCATTTTTGAATACGAATTTAGGAGTTTCATAAATGATGATTAGATTTGTAAGTCTTAATTGGAAGGCGCTTCGGACCGCGCGGTTTATTTGAAGAGCCCACTTGTTGGTGATTATGGCGGCGTGGTACATTCCTTGTGTGAATGATAATTTACTTTTTTTCAATACAAAAGGGTCCGATTTGGCCTGAGCGCTCTATGTGTCCGGCGTGGAATGTTTCAAAAATGCGCCGAGCACCGTCTCAAAACGGCCGCAACAATTCGCAAATGCCGCTCGCCCGCAACCAGTGAGCCCTCTCTCTTCACAAAGCCCGGCTGGCCCTGCCAATTACGCTTTTATATAAACTACTCGATTTTTCTGTTCTTTGGAATGTCCAAAATACCGTTTTACTTTGGCTGTTTGTCAACACGCGCCATTTTGAGTACCAGGGACAATACCAGATACGCAAGCCTTGGAGACTAAGACTGACAGCAGGAATGATAATTGCCGGTGTTGCTAGCGCGGGGTAGACAACAACGCTAGAATTAATTTGTCAATCATCGTTCACAGGGGCATCGAATCCATCCTCCGTCCCCACCTGGCAAAGAACAATTGCTCAAGATTTTAGAATTCCTTGCTTTGCACTTTTTGGCAAGCCGAAACAAATTTTCTAACTGATGATTTTAGGACTCATCTTCCCCGCATCGTACTACCAGCAACAGACCTCCCCCGGCCGCCCAAGCTCCGGCATCGGCAGTCTCACATCTTCATCACTGTCGACCACGCCACCGTACGGTCATTACAGTGGATTCCCTGGCTATGGCACGGGTCCAACGTCTTTCTCTCCGCGCACCAGCGCCACACCGACCAAGCTACAATTCTTCCCTCAATCTGACGGCAGGAGTCGGTACTTACAATCAGAGCAGTCTTTTCCCTTCGACTGGACCAACAGCAGCAACAGGACTCGATCAACTTGGAGCAAATCAGTCGCCTTTTCAAGCCGCAGCAGCTGGTAAGTTTCATCTTCTTTAAAACAGCCTCTCAATCAAAAATTTACTAAAAGAATTCCAAACTAAGGCTATTTATTTCATCTAATTTAACTCTTTAGGATTCCGGAGCTACTGAAAATGAAGCCAATTTCAATATCGAAAGAAACGATCTGACGATTCGGACGAACTGTACATAAATCAATGTAAAGCTATTTGTCACTGCTCCTCAAAAAATAAAATAAACGCTCATTGGAAAAAATAAACAACTCGATCTTATTTTGTGCAACTTGTAAACACGTGATGAAGATAAACGCGCAGGGGTTGAAAAAAAGGAGCAGGAGTAGTACTATCTTATCATGGAGTGGGTGAGCTCTCGAGGGTTCAAGCTTCAGTGACCTCAGCGATGTCAAGCCCCATCGTGAAGGAATGGGCTCTGAATTCCATCCCCTAAGTATTTAACCACTACTCACTCTTTGTGGAGGTTTTTGAAGCTCAATTAGATTATATGATAGACCATCATTGATAGTTAATCCTCGAAATTAAATAAGTAAGTGCACTGTAGAGTTGTAAGTTTATTTTGTTTACAAACTGTTAGCTCTAAGCGCAATCAACCCTAATTAGCTGATAATTATCGACCGTGGGAAGCAGACTTCTTGCCCGAAAGAGCGAGCACAAGTGGTGTCGGTGACCTTCCACTCCCTGCTCCCTTCCTATCTTGAAAAAAGGATGAATCCGTGCGCCAAAAATATACGACACAATTTTATCAGTTGTGATAATTCGGCGACCGCTGGCTGACCCACGCTCGAATTCCTGAATCTCAATTTGTGACTTTAAAAATGCGTCAATTTTCAAAGATAGGGGATAGTTTGAAATCAGGTTTTTTCTCCATCTAATTACGTAAAATGCACAGTTTATTTTCAGACAATTATGAGATCACGTCTTCAGTTGTTTTTAATCACTTAGCACGTGTAAATATTTGCTTTCATTTGTCTACGAGTGCTATCATTATCAGCTAATTGGGAGGTTACGTTTAACTCTGGGAGACTCCCAGAGGATTAGACTTGCTAACTACATCGGATAGCAGAAACAGCCGGTGAGCTTTTGCGCTAAAAAAGAACGCATGAAAACCTACAGCCAAATTATGAAAGTGAGCGGCTCTTCGGCAGGAATGCGCGCCGCAACCGGTCGGGCAGCGCGGTGGGAGACAGAGCACCATCAAAGATTCGTTATTGTATATCTCCGCGTGGTTTTGTATATCCTTTACTGGATCTGGCTGCATTCCCCAGGACGAAGGGAAATTCCGATTTTAGAATCAAACAAAGCACCCAGCAGTAAGAGGTAATTGGAAACAAGAAAAATAGAGAAGAAAAAAGAGTTTTTTTTTGCAACAATTTGGTTGATGTTCGGCTTCAAAAATGTTCTCTAATGAGCTTCAGAATTCCACCTATGCATATTCTGGTCTTGAATTGGATCAGTCTCTGGCTTGAATGTGTATATTGTGGGCAACGGTAGACCGCAGGTGAGAGCTCGAATGAAATACTTTGAAGGAATCGGAATGCGGAAGTTCGGTTTTTGGAAAAATTTCTCTCTTCGGAAGTTCCCTTATCTTGAATGCCTCTTACTGCGACCGTAAAAAAGTAAAGAGCTGATAACTCGCTGCAGCATAGAGATATCCGTTAATACGGGGATAGCACTTCCCTCTTTGAGGCGCGACTGGTGTTTTACTAAGAGCCGCTTTCCGTTGAGCTGGGAGGAGTGCTTTTCTTTGGCACTTTGTGAGCACCATCCGGGTTTGTTGCAAGAGACGAGAATTTTTTCTAGTTTTGAGGGTGTTAATGCGCAGAAATCTTCAGGAAAGACTTTTTGAATTTAGGAAAGCTTGTTTGAATACAAGAAAAAATGGAAAAGGTGAGCTTGGTTCAGTACGAAGAAGATTTTCCGGCCCGAGCGTGCCAGACATACTGAGGATCGCCCAACCACAATGGTATTTATTTGGCTCCTGTGCAACATTCGGGTTTAATTTTTGCCTCAGCCGGGGCACGATCGGCATTTGTGTCTTCCTCGAAGAGTTTGCCATTAGAATCCGGCAGTGCGGTCGTTGGCAATTATTTTGCTGCGCGGAATGCCGATCGTGATTCGCGATTTTGGCCGGAGAGCTGCGTACCTTTTGTGGCTCCACTTCTAGGTTTTTCTGTGTGCGTTGTTTTCTACCTCGAATTCCGACGGGGCATTCTTCGTCCTGCGCATTACCTGCACAAGCGAAATTGGCATGATTCAAATCGTAAATCCCTGAACCGCCTGCATAACTTCGATTTACCGCCTCAACCGGTTCAACTAGCGTTGCTGCACTTTGGCAAGAATTTACACAGTGAAAAATTAGACACAACTTTAGTGATAATCTTTACGATACATCTTCCCGCCATGTCTGATATCTCCCGCTGAGAAACCATCAGTGTTGCGCCCTCAGTTGGACCCGGACAATCATAAATGGGAAAAATGAAGGCTTTGCATATTATTCAAAACAATTTTTTGAAAATGAAACTCTATTCTATCTTTTCATACAATGGCCAAATATTACATTGATTTGTAATTTTTTTTTAAATAGAGGACTTCCTAAGTCAGGAATCTTGACTGAATGACTCTTACATAAAATGAAACTGTTTCAAAATCGGTAGTTAGATATTTCATCTTTACTTAAGTTTTGAATAAATTTTAGTTTAAATTATATTGTTTAATACAAATTGATGCCTTTGATTTTCAGATTTTTGAGATTTGTTCCGTTGTTGAAAAATTCCGATGTTGAAGGAGTATGCAACCCATTGTCAGCGTCGGAGGCTTTGTGTCTTCTTGTGGTATCTAAATAACGTGGTGATAAGGGAGTCGCGTTCCACCCGCAGCTCAGGAATGGCTGCTGGTGATGTGGGAATGTCGGCTGTATTCGTGAAATGTGTTCAGAAATGTCGCCAAAATTTCTCAAAAATATTCGACCAATTCTGAAGGCCACAGCGTATTGTGACATTGGCTCGCCTGTGGAATCCGCTCAACGTGTTCAAATATGAGCAACAAATTATTATTCAAACTCGTATATTCAAAAGGCTCGATTGGAAGACTATTAACATTACCAGAATTTGAACGAATCGAAAGATTTTCGAACTCTACGACTTCACTACTGACCGCATAGTGTTATTATAGTCACAAAGAGTAGCTTTAGTACTTAGAATTCTATAACTTGCGATTATTCGCTTATGCGAGTTTGCGTTATAAACCTCCCAAAATGAGCATCCTTCGCTTAGCGTCATACCGCGTAGAATAAACCAGTTCTCGTCCGATCACTGAAGTCAAACTACGACGGGCGGGGTTAGTACTTACATGGGTGACCGGTTGGGAATACCTCGTGCGCTAAGCATTTTGCCTCTTTCGGAGTCATATTTCAGTTTTATTGAAATTTTGGTCCATTTGCCTCCTTGAATATTGCTCTTTATGGAATGTAAAGCCGACCAAAATTTCATGAAACTGAAACCTAAGTCCCAAAAAACAAAATGCTTAGCGCACGAGGTATTCCCAACCGGTCACCCATGTAAGTACTAACCCCGCCCGTCGTAGTTTGACTTCAGTGATCGGACGAGAACTGGTTTATTCTACGCGGTATGACGCTAAGCGAAGGATGCTCATCTTGGACGAATTATGTGTCAATTTTTCAAAACCAAAAAGTCCCTTTTTGCAATTATTTCCGCCGTGAAGCCAGAAGTAGAGGCGAAAATAGGACTTTTTCGCTAGATTTGAAGCGTAACAAACTTCCACAGCCGCTGATTGGGTGTTGAGCCCGCGCGCCAGAAACTCTCCAGACCGAACCATGTTACGTCATTTTGCCTCATCAGCGAATGATCCCGTCGATTTTCGGAGTAACCGATTTGGACATCAACATTTCTCCCTCACATGCTCTTCTCGAAATTTTTGAACCCCCTAAAATTCTGAAAATTTCCTCGATCGTGGAAGCAAAAATTGAAAAGAGAAAAAAGTATGAGTATCCGCCTTGATCAAATTACCGAAGACGATGTCGGCAATTCTCGCCAGAAGAAAAAGTCGAAGGTCACCAAGAAAGAGGTAAGCCACTCAAAACTGTTTTCTTAAATAATTTCAGTCAACTTTGTTCGCTCGTCTGTATTTTTTTTTTAGGAATCTGTCGATCTCGATGCCCTGCTCATGGCTGGAGAAACTCTCAACAAAGAAAACACTCCTCCATCTTTTCCAAAACGCTCCGTGGGCTCAGACTGGAGCGATTCGGAGGACGAAGCTCCTCCTCCACCAAAGCGCTCCACTCGAGCCACCAAGGCTAAAGCTCAAGATCCAGTCAAAACCAAGGCTCGTGGAAAGACTGCTTCCAAAGCAGAACCCAAGCCTAAGAAGAAAAAGACAGTCAAGGAGCAAGTTTCCGAGGAAGATGAAGAACCACGGTCGCCGATGAAGAAGAGAACTAGAGCCGGTCGCGCGAAGGCTGCAGAAGCTCCAAAGAAAGAATCAAAGTCGAAGAAAGCCAAAGCCACAAAAGAGGTCAAATCGAAATACTTCAAGGCCGAAGCTGACGACAATCAGAATGACACTCCTCAGCCAGAAGAAAGCGATGAAGAAGCTCCTGCTCCTAAAAAAGCAGCGAAGGGGCGAAAGAAAGCCGCGCCGAAGAGAAAGAAGGTGAAGGAAGAAAATGAGTCGGACTGGTCGGAATCCGACAAGGAAGAAGAAAAGCCCAAACCAAAGGCTAAAGCAAAGAAAAGAGGTGCTAAGAAAGAAGCAGAGGAGAAAGAAGACGAAGCTCCCAAAGGCCCACACGTCGAAGGCACCTATCTCGACGACGGAACTCTTCAAATTGAAATAACAGAGGCGAAGAAAAACCGCTTCAATGAAGAATACAAAGAAACTCCGGAAGAGCGACAGCAGCGCGAGTGGGCAGCCTACATGAGGTCGATTATTAATCGTGAGAAGCGAGAGCACTCTCAAGAACGACACCGAATCGATCTTTTGGTCCACTTGTGGCTCGGTCTCAGCTGGGACAAACACATTGATTGCAAATTTCTTCAGGTAACTTTATTTCCATCAATATAAATTTAACCATTTCCTTCCAGGCGAACATCCTATCCATGCTGCCCATTGACGCCAACGTCGATTCTGAAGCTGACCTCCGCCGACTCACAGTCGCGATGAACAGCTCCTTCCATTTTCCCGCCGCTCCAGCCGATTCCGGCATCCCTAGCCCCCACGGCGGACTTCTCCTTCTCGACCGAGCTCTTCAGCGATACAATTGCGAAGACCCTTGGTGGAAGAACAAATCGATCACCTATCAGTACTTCCTCCGAACTTGCCTCTTCGTCGCTGCGGTACGATCTGTCGGTGGAATCGCTCGTCTTGTCATCGACGGACGAATTCATCACCACAAGCCGCAGTCCGAAAAACAGCTCAAGGAGGGAAAAAAGAAGAATGAAGAAATCCGCCGAATGGTTTCCAAACACGAGTCCTCCGTCATTCTCAACAGCTGGTGCGAAGTTTTCATCGGAGAAACCTGGCTTCCGGTCATTATCAAGGAGAACAGATTCGCAGTTGTGGAGACGAAAAACGTCGAAGGGTTCCTCTACTGGCCAGTGAAGTATTGCATGGGCTTCGACGGAGGTGTTCGGGATGTTACTGCGCGATACGCATCAAAGTGGCTGGAAGACACCAAGAAGCTTCGCATCAAATATGTGGAGAAAAACACCAACTACTGGAAGGAAACATGTGAGATGTTCCCCTCGCGAAATAAGCACTTGGAAACTGCAGAGACAAAAGAGATGAACAAGAATCTCAAGTCTGCGCCAATCCCGAAGACGATTTCTGCCCTCAAAGGTCATCCTCTCTACGTCTTACGTCGTCATGTCCTCAAATACGAATGCATCTATCCCGAAGACACAACACCTGTCGGACAGATCGAATTGAAATCAAAGGGAGAAATCACATACGAAGACATCTTCCCTCGAAAAGCCGTCAAAAAGCTTCACACCAGAGGAACATGGCTCCAAAATGCTCGAGTCGTACGCGACGGAGAAGTTCCAATGAAAATGGTTGCCAGCTGGATGCAAAATAAAAAGGCTGGCAACGACGCTGGTGCTAAGAACTCTCCTCTTTTCGGCGAGTGGCAGACTGATTGGTACAAAGCTCCTATTGCGAAAGATGGTCTTGTCCCCAGAAACGATTTCGGAAATGTTGATTTGTATCAGATGTGCATGCTTCCAATTGGAACGGTTTTTCTCGAGGATTTGGACGACTTCGGAGTGTGCTCTCGAGTCTGCAGAAAGCTTGGAATCGACGCGGCAAAGGCCGTTGTCGGATTCGATGGGAAGAAGGGATACCCTAAGATCGGCGGCTACGTCATTTGCAAGGAGTACGAGCAGACAGTGCGAGATGCATATGTTGAAGCTGCCGGTATTTCGGAAGAACGCGCTCGACAGAAATCTCGCAGTCGGGCGAAGAAGAACTGGCGAAAGCTACTCGCTCTCTATTTCGCGAAAAAGAAGGTTGAACGACTCTTTGCTGGACGAGAAGTTGATCCTCAACTTGAACGCGTTATTATGAAGGGCCAGCGTCGAAAGATGGATCTCGAGGTAATTGAATACGCTGATCGTAGAAAGCTAACTTCGTTTTAGGACGAATCATCCGATGAAGAGATTGAAAAACTGGAGAAAAAGGCCTCCGCAACGACCAAAAAACGCGCTCCAGCGAAATCAAGCGGGCGCGGACGAAACAAGGACGATGACGATACAATTGAATCGATCGAGTCTGAAAACGAAGAGCCCGAAGCCTCGTCTGACAGCTCCGGTGAATCAGATGACGACTCTCCGCCAGCAAAGTTGACGAAGAAGTTGAAGCAGCAAGTCGCAAAGACAGTTATTCCACGAGAGAGAAGCTCTCGCCGCGCTAAAGCTGCCCCAGCCAAACCGGTATTTTGATGACCTTCTGGTTTTGTTCCTAATTATTCATATTTAGGTCAAGTACGAATTCAGCGGTAGCGAATCTTCTGAGTTCTCGGCTGAGTCGAATGATGAAGACTGGGATTAATCCCTGTATTTTTGTACATGCTTGTACAAATCTAGCTTGCCATTCCCCCATTATCACCCTGACATCCACAATAGTTCAGTTAAAGTTCTATCTGCTGCATATTTTCGAAAATAGAGTCAGTTAAAATTATCTAATGATGTTTTTATTTGCAAAAGGAAGAAAGTCAGGCTAACATCATCTAATTAGGCGAGGAGAATCGTCCAGCAAAAACGGTCTCTCCTTCGTATCGGATGAAAAATAGGAATGGTTTGTTGGCTTCGATTAGGATTGGCATCATCGGCATCATTCTCATCATGCCGATCATCCCAGTGGCAGCAGCAGCTTCTGTTCCTTGCTCGTCGACGATGATTTTAACTTTGTGAACGGCGGCGCCAATGTGAAGTCCCGCGTGCGTCATTTCAGAAAGTGGGTTCACCTCGGGGTTGAAGATTCGCTATAGAGAATTTACGACCTCAAAGAAATAATTGCCCTCTTACCGTGAGTCCGCATTTCTCAAGAGTGTCCTTCAAGTTCATGCCAACTTCAAGCTCGAACTTTGGCATTTTCACCAGAACTTCATCTCCGCCAGATCTGTCGAGATTTCTGACAAGATCATCGACGACTTCGGGAGTGATCTTTGCTTCGATTCCGTCGAGTCCACCAATGTATTGTGGGACGACAAGAAGCATTGAAGCTCCATTTGAATATGGAAGCTCAACGACTTGTGCTTCCAGCTCTCCCGAGTAGTTAAACGCAAATCTGTGCTGGAAACAAATTAAGAAAAAGAACGACGGGCATTTTTACCTTTTTCTGCATCAGCTGAGTCTTAACTGTTTCGCTCTCAGAGAGATGGAAGTTATCTTCAAAAGGAGCATCGAAGGGATACTCCCAAGATCCCTTGAAGTGAAGAGCGGAGCAAAGTGCAATCATGGTGTTTGCATCGACGTCAGAAGCAGAAAGCAAATCTTTGATCATTTCCTTTGTCTCCCCAGCGACCCATTTGTTAATTCTATAATCATTATCGTTATTTACCCGCTGAGAGATTCAAATATTTGAGCATAAATCTGCATAAATCACATATTCTGACGGTGATTTTTAGCTATACTCTGACCGACTTACGTTCCAACTGACGCTTCTGGGTCGGCGAAATCGACTTTTTCAGCTCCGGCACCGTATTTTTCGAGGCATGCCTCTTGGAATGGCGTTTTGACTTCAAATCCTCGCTGGATAAAGAGTTTAGCAGCGATGTTAGCCACTTCTGAATTCGGTACATAATTAAAAAAGTTACATTCAGTCAACTATTTCTAACTGATGCGGTATTGATTCGACGCTGTACCTTTAGATTTCATCGAGTCAAGAGCCTTCTGTAGGACTGAATGCGTCTGAGCATGATCGCCTCGACCGAGAACAGTTGCCAACTCGTCTCTGGTCTCGTCCGTAGTGCCAAGCATCACCATTCCGAGTGCATGTGAAATATTAACGGGTGAAAAACATTGATTTCCCTTCAAATGCTTGAGCATTTGGAACACGAATTTGAAATCGGACATCTTGTAGCTTCCTTTCTCCTTGATCTTTTAATCTTTGATTTTGAAAGAAAGAAGATTGCCTTTAATAGTTGTTAGGTTAATTTTTAACTCGACGCTCCATTACGTACTCTGTAAATACGGGTCTCTTCGCAAAACAGTGACAGAATTCGTTATGTTTAGTTTGTGACAATCTAAAGGGAAAGCGCACTCAGGGCAGTCAGGCTTGAAGATTGAGTCATCAGATGATTGTGCGGAGTTGTGGTACTTCTAGAGCCTTAGGGCTTGTTTATAAGACCTGGTTTCGAAGACTTTATGAAAATAGAGTGACGGTTCTTTTGATCTCGATTTTTAATTTGAAAGTCGTTGGCAGTTAAATTTTCAGCAGTTTAGAGGAAATTATTAATTAAAGTGATATTCTATAGATGAGTAGAAGCAGAGTTTGAATTGAGGGCATTGACGGTAGAAAGTCTAAAGTAGGTTGGCTTTCGCCTCGTCGTCGAAGCACGTGATAGGCGAGAAACATCTGAACTTCTCGACAGTGTTCTTTTTGAAGACTCAACAAAAGGCAATGTGATTACCTTGCTATATCACGTGATTTTTGATCTCATGAAGATCGAGTTAGAAGCTCAAAACCTGATTATTGTAATTTTGTATAGGAAGAATCTGAATTGCTGAATCTGTCCTAGAGCGGAATGTTTCCGATGTGATTGTAGCATCTGAGTTTGCCATGGAAGTTCTTCGCGTTGATGATTTGCTCGAGATTGCGGCAGTGGAATGTTCAATCATTGTTTGCGATCGAGTAAGACTGTTCTTCAGCTCGTTTTGAAGCACTGTTCGCTCGTTGTACAGCGTCTCCGCGGTTTTTAGCACACCTGAGAGACGCTTCATCAGTTCCTTGTTCTTCTGCTCTGAATTAGACATTATCAACCTTGTCCTACAGACATGACCCTGAAGGGGACATTTTTTCATTGACAACGGTGTATTTTAGTAACATTTGAATAATTAATGTCAACGCTCTCCAATAATGTCGGTTCTATTACGCGTCCACATTCAAAATGAGTGTTTTTGAGGGGATAATTCTGGACATTACATTCCCTGCCGGCCAGATGTTTAAATTATCTTGTCATTTAGTATTGATGAGAACATATTGGATCGCACTTAGATTTTACGGTCAAATAGCAAGATATATGATATATACTGTATATCTATCCTGTACCGTATATATTACGAGGTTAAATATATGAAAGGTTATACGGGATATTTATTAACGTATATCCAGCTATTAAATAATTCTTAAATGATGTAAATATCCATATTCTATAGATTTTCTATTGATTACAGATCAGTCCGGTCTTAATTGATTCAATACAAGATCCTTCAATCTTGTTGGCCTCTGGGGTCATTTAAGGGGGTAGAACTAGGATTTTCGAAAATAGCCAATTCTAGACCGGCGCTCAAAGCCAGGCAAGCTAAGATATTCAAATTATCTCTTCAGCTGAAGATAGAGCAAACTTAGATCTAACAACATTTTTCTTAAAAAATTTTTCGTCAACAAATTTTGGCGGTAGAGAGCGAAACACCAAACTATCTCATCGAAAATCGCCATTTTAGCCTATTTGCGTCCTCAAATTTCTCGAGTCACGTGATTAGCCGATTTTTAAAATTTCATTTTTTGATAGTTGAATGCTTTTTCTAGCAACATCTCAAAGGAAATTTCGTTAACCTTTGTAAAAATAGGTTTTTCTTATTTAAAGGGGCTCTCAAAAATCACTTATTTTCGGAAAACCTAGTTCTACCCCCTTAATCCACTGTCATTCCCTTCTGATGAGCCCGGGTAATTCAATTAACTGTACCACAATTTTATACTGTACCTAGCTCTTCTGCGCGTTTTCTTTCTTGTGTGTAGCTTTCTCTTGCCTGACAGTAATCTTGCCTAAAAAGCAGTTCAGTAAAACCCGGATTGTTCTGTTATTGACAATGTAATAGTAAAAACTTATTATCAATAAGAAATTACCTATTTTTCTCACAAATCATTGCTACTCGGTGGATCTTCTTTTCGATGAGCTCATATTTTCTAAATCTAAGCTGTCAAATTTGTGCCCAAGAATCACTTCGCATACCTTATATTTTCCTCTTCTTTCAGCTGTTTCGTTATTTTCTCCAGTTGGAGTTCATGTTCATCTCTTATTTCGTCAATGGTGAGTTCTAGCTCCTCAATCCTGCTGAGCAATTCTTCTTCTGAAAACATGGTCTTCTTTTCATCAATTCTCTTCGTTGATTTCAATGATTTCTGAGCTCTACTGAAAATTCTAGCAGAAATATGAGTACGTCGTTGTGCTGGTATGGTATGGTTGGCCTTTCTCTGGTCTGAGAAATAGGGATTGATTTTTTCATTCTCCGGCCCCCGCTCAAAGCGAGTGGCAGCGCGCCACATTGCCAATTTGACTCTCCTGGCTTATTAAATATAGATATGCCGAACATGTCTCTCGATTATTTTGCGGTTTTATTTTTCCACCTTTTTTGATCTATCTTTTCACTCTTTAATTTCGATAAAGAAATAACCCCTTTCGAACGGACAGCGTACACAGGCAAATGAATAAATAAAGGGATATGGCAGTGGGGGATTAGAAGCAATTACAATAAATGAAAAATGAAGAAACTAAAAATTGAAGAATTCGATAGTTTTGAAGTAGACTAAAGCAGCTCATTCTTGGCGGCGGTGGAGGTTGAAAAAGTTCTTCGAAGCTTCAGCAGTGCCAGTAAAAGTCCTTTGGTTAACTGTTATCAGCGAAATTCGAGGAGAGTCTTACCCAGAAGAAAGGAACAAAGCAAACACAAAAATGCTAAAATGAACTGCGTGTACTTTTGCCAATATAGGTTGAGCAATGGGCAGTTGAGAAAAACTGCTTTGAAAAATCCAGGTGAACTTGACAAAGCTTCGAGTACGTTTTTGGTTGAGGTCGAAAAGTAATTTCCATCGAGGATGTAGTGAAAACACCTGTCTTTCTGTCGACTGGGCTCTATGCACCGTCTAAACATAGCGGTTTATTTTTAATCGGGTAATAGAAATCAAGAAAAACATTTTAACACTTACCCTTCCCAAGATGCTTCGACAGAATTCATTGTTGGAAAAATATTTTCATATCGACTTAGATCTTCTTCGCCAACTTCTAACACGGTGTTTCTTGACAGTTTGATTCCAAAAACCCGGTCACTAGAAAGTATAATAGATATGATTTTATGAGAAGGAAATCAACTTTTCACAAGTTATTTTGAAAGTCATAGAACTATCCGTTGGATCCATAAAGAGCCTTGTGCATTGCCGAGCATCCACATGAATTGTCGACATTTCCGTTTGAAATGAAAAGCGATAGCCATTGTAGACCGAAATTATATTTTGATGCAGAAATATGAAGATTCGCTGGTTCTTGTCATAGACGACGGAGGAGATTTGACGCTGTTTTGACCACCGCTGAGAGACTTTTTGATGTTCGAAAATTTGAAGAAAATGGTTTTTTACGAGAAATAACAAACAGTTCCTAAAACGAGCAATTCTGACTGAGAAGAATTTAGCCTGAGAAATTGTTCATTCGAGTAGTCTCGGTATAAAACTGAGAAGCGCGTTCGAGAAAAGACAATGAGCTCTTCGTCAGTATCAACAACGCCGACAACTCGCTCCAGACACATGTTTACTCGAATACTTTCATCCATTGAGCTGTCGGCCTTGAAGGACTTCTTTGGCTTATACATAAGCGCCGTGGAATTAAGCGTCGTTGAAGGCTTCTTACCATATATTTTGTGAATGCCTTGGAAAAGGGATGAGAAGCTCATAATGTGATGAATGCTCAATGACATCTTTTATTCATGCACAACTGCGGATGAATTATTTTCGCCGCGTTACTGTTTTTTAATCAAAGAAGAAAATCTCCTTCCTATTTCCTAAAATATCATCCATTGGAAGTTGAAAGTTCTTCGTATTGTGACTTTGATAAGTTGCGAACATTATGGAACTCGGGTCAGTCGAATGAGCAAGTCCAAGTGCATGGCCAAGCTCGTGTATGGAAACAAGAAATAGATCGTTGCCTGAAAACACGAGTTCAATTATATTCGCTGATGTCGGTCAAGTTAAATTATCGCAGTAAATGAATAACCAGAACAGGTGGCTACCCTGCATAATGATTTCATGATGATGGAAATTCAATTCTTCTGAATTAACTATCAAGTATTCAGCCCCAAGATGGCCTATCCTGGTCTCATCCCAGGGGACAACCTATTAGACGGAAAATTGAACTTGGCAATAATGCGTCCAACGTAATGCTACAAGGATCCCGATAAAAGCTTCTTCCATGGATTAACCCCGCTCACCTTTCTTTTCGGGATGACCGAGATAAGTCCACGGTTCCTCAGCGTCAAAGTGAGTGTCTCCACCAAGGCCTGGGCCTGGATAGAACGCGTGCGCGAGATAGTTTCCAGGTCCATCAAATGGCGAATTATCACCGTGGCCTTCATTTCTAATTAGATTTTAAAAAGACTGAGCCACTTACTCGAATTGACGAATTTGATGCGTATATCAGCGGAATCCTTCCACTGCTCATCCTGTATCTCCACTGACAGAAGGGGTCATTCCTCATAAAACATTCCACGCAAATATAAAACGAATTAAAAATTTACGCTGCGAATTATTTCCGCGCTCTTAAGCCAAGCAAAATGATCCCGAACTAGAGGGATCGGCAAATATTTCTTCCAATGTGATATCGCAGAATTGATCGCTGTCCTGTGCAGGTTCTAATATCATTCTTGGCTTTTTGAATGACTGATCGATTTAGCATCTTAATATTCTGCATGAAAGATTGACAACTCGCTCAGGATCCGCTTCTATTAAAATTGGAGTCTCTCTTCCATGATTTCAATCAGAACCTTCCTTGTCAAATTCAAGCCAAGTCTTGGCGTAAAATTTAAAATTGAATACGTTATTTGGTCTCCAGTCCACTTTTGATCGGATTCTAAGTATCTCCGACTTCTCGAAGCATGTGGTAGTTTTCTGTCTGTATTGCAAAACTCATCTCCCTTTTCATCAAATTATTTTAAAGGCTATGAGAAGTCCTTACCTCGTGAATTCCTGCCGTTGATTTCAACAATCCAAAATAAATTAAGTAATGAAACATCAATCTTCAATGTTGATCCGTCTCTTCTATATTTTCTCTTGAATCTTCTTGGCGATTGAAATCGTTGTCCGTTGTCGCACAGTGCTGTGAGGGTCCCTCGAGAGTTTCAAATTAAAATCCCAAATCTTGGCACTACTGGTGTCCATCTGAACCTAGCATTCAGCAGCTTGCAAATTTATGCTATAAATTGTTATAAGACTCGAATCAATTCCGAAATTGACATCTATGAGAATCAAAACCAATTTTTAATTGGACTGGAGGGAACAATAACCGTATTGATCTCGATCTGATGATTACAGGATAATCTTGCTTTCGAAAGATCTTACTGTTGACTAGACAAAATTATGATTTAATAATTTGCTGTCTACGCAGATAATATATGTTAATTCTGAATTTCAGAGCAATATTATGGTGCTTTATAAAACTTGCGCTTATTGTGTGAGCATAATTTTTATTAGCTAAACTCGTAATCATGACGTTTCCGCGACAATTAAACTACTCAAGTCGTAATCTTCCAAAGCATCTCAGATTTCAGATATACTTCCTTTGAATCTAAATTGCATCTTTTTACTTACAGAGGTTTTAAAAGAAGAAATGAGCTGGAGAATGATTCTACTGTCTTCGCTTCTCTTGTCAGAGATTACCGCTGATTACTTAGGCTGCACGTCGTCACAGTTCAGGTTCGAAGCTCAGCGGCGGATTTTGCAATCCAGCCAAATGAAAAAAGAAAAGACGGGGCTAATATTGGTTGTGTTTGAGGCTTTATTAAAATAAATTTTAAAGCTGTCAAGATGATAACACTGCTGAAAGCCGAACGTGCGTTGATATGCGATCGGTGTGCGATTGTAAGAAGGAACGTGTTAATTAATTTTACAAGAAAAGGGAGTTCGGACAGCCTCTGACGCATTCCCTTTTAATAAGCTGAAAATTATTTAAAAACGCGTTTAAAAGGATTGCCCTAATAACAAAGATGAAATAAATTGCCCAGCGGAAGTTTATGATCTACTTGAGGAGCCCTGCATTGCTAGCACTATCGATGAATGTGCGAATTTTAAGGAGTCAACGGATTGCCAGTGCAAAGGTAGTTTTTCGCTGCTGAATAATTCAAGCGAAGGAAATCCTTAATCATTTGATTCTATTACAACTAGGCGTCGACGACCCGGACCTCGTGTGCGAGGATACTTCAAATTGTACATCGAAGAAAAAGTGCTGTCCTGATCCTTCCTTTTTCTACTGGTACAGTAATAATCGTTTTTTTCTCAGCTTTATGCGTCCATAGTCATTCGAAATCGGTGACAGAGTACTCTCAAGCGAGGTGTTTGCCGAAGGAAATTGCTTGCGACAGCGATTTATTGCGATTGATGACGGACTGCCGAAATTCGCCCTCAGAGTTCTATAATGTCAGTGACTCCTGATCAATCTCTTTTCAAATATTTATAGAGTACCTACTGCAAAGAAGAGCCCGAAGAGGTTTTTTGCGCTGTCGATGAAGTTTGCTCGGTGCAAGATATGATCGACAAGGATAAAAACTCTGCATTATTACCATCGGCTATTTCATCTCTCAGTTTACTGATCACTGCTTTATACTTGTAAATAAATAACTTTTATGTAAGATTGGGGGCAAGTTTTTATTCACAGCTCGCGACTGAACTTTACAAAATATAAAAATTCTTGTCAAATGTGGTTCAGTGACGCGTTTCATTCTTCTTTTCGTAACTAAGTTTCTTAGGCTTGGAAAACTTCGTTTCCGGTTGTAGGATCTTCGAGGCCAGTATGATCAGTAGTTGCCTAAGTTTTAAATGAAATTATCTGCATGAATTTTTCATTCTTACCCTCCACCAGTCCAACTGGCCAGCCCATGTTGACTCAACAATACTGAATGTATTTTGCTGATCATCATACATTTGAAGTTTGCCATTTACATCAGTAAAAACGCTTGCAGCAGGTTTCGATGCGCTCTCATATGAAGCAAAGCAGTTGGTACAAACTGAGGACATGTCGGATCTCAAGCTTCGGCCGAATGCGGCTCCTGCTCGAAGTTGAGAAGCTGTTACCCAGTTGGCTTTGCATTTGTCAAATCGGGAGATTTCTAAATATTGATTAATATAAATATCTCGAATTTCATTCCTTACTTTGTGGGATATTGGAAATCTGGAAGTTCTGCTCCTTCTCAGCGGTACAAGCTCGATGTTGTTTGCAGCCAGCGTTGACGACCTCTCTGCCGCTTTTTTCGGGTCAAGTATGAATTTATCTTAGAAAACAAAACATTTTTTACAAGAAAAATAGCTTTTCAACCGTTCCTTGAAGTGAACTCGTATTTAACGTAGCAATCCCAATAGTCACCCTTAGGACACAGTTGAACCTGGGTACATGCTGCAAGACTATCGGTATTGTGGCAAAGTGGGCACCATCTTGCGCTTCCAAGAGTGGTTCCTGCGAGAGCAATGAATGGCAAACCAGCGTTTTTGATTTCTTCGTCTTCTGAAGCACCTGGTCGATTACCGACGGACTTAAAGGAATTAAAGATTCAATAGCAAGATTATATCTTACCTGTGAGCTTTCTCGTAAGTCATCATCAACCTGGTCAGATGCAACAGCAGAAGCACCTCCGATGATGTTTGGTCGATTATTGCTTGGTGCTGGGGCTGATCCAAAGATTGAGGTGAGGTCGAGAGTGCCGAGAGAGCCGAGGGCAGATTGAATACTGTCCAAGTTAGAGAAGTCGACGACTTCTTCTGCTGTTGTTGTGGTTGTGGTCGTGGTTGTGGTAGTCGTAGTAGTTGTTGTAGTTGTTGTGGTTGTTGTCGTGGTGGTAGTTGGTGGGACAAGTGTAATAACTTGATCTCGGAGGTTAGTCTTGACATTCATCGTATTGTAGTCGACGTTAGCGGTAGACAAGAGGCCTTCGAAAAGTGGGCCAACAATTTCATCGCCGGATGGCTCTGGAACGTCACCGGTCAATAAATGGATGAGAGTAATCTTAACTCGGTGAGTAGGATCGACGTCTCGTCTTCGTCGTCGTAGCGGTTCAACAGCGACTTGCATTCCCTTGATATCAAGTGGTCCAGATTGCATTCGCTGCTGAACTTCTTGCTTGAAAGCGTCCTCGGATGATTTGAGCTCGGCAAGGAATTCAATGTCGTTTCGCATGAATCTGTTTCTGATAGGCTCTGGCGTTGTAGTTGTAGTTGTGGTGGTTGAGGTCGTTGTTGAGGTAGTAGTGGAGGTTGTTGTGACAATGACGGGTGCCTCAGTAACGACTGGAGCATTTCCACCGAAAAGTGCATTCAAGTCAAATTGTCCAAGGTTATTGAAAACCGAGTTGAGATCGGAAAGATTATTGAGGTCAAGGATCTGGGCTTCTGTTGTTGATGTGGTTGTAGTCGTAGTTGTAGTTGTCGTTGTCGTAGTAGTTGTCGTTGTCGTAGTAGTAGTTGTCGTTGTTGTTGTAGTTGTGGTGGTGGTTGTAGTGGTGGTTGTCGTTGTCGTTGTCGTTGTGGTGGTGGTGGTGGTGGTTGTCGTTGTCGTTGTCGTTGTGGTGGTGGTGGTGGTGGTGGTCGTGGTGGTGGTGGTGGTGGTTGTTGTGGTGGTTGTGGTGGTGGTAGTGGTTGTGGTGGTGGTTGTGGTGGTGGTTGTGGTGGTGGTTGTGGTGGTGGTTGTGGTGGTGGTTGTAGTAGTGGTTGTTGTAGTCGTGGTGGTGGTTGTAGTTGTAGTAGTGGATGTTGTGGTCGTTTCTTCAGGTTCAGCCGGGGCAATGTTTATTTCTTGCTGTTGCTGAGGAGCTGGCGCGCCAAACATACTGAAGATGTCAGCTGGTCCATTATCACTGTTTCCGAAAAGACTGGCAAACATTGTGTTGAAATCGAAATCAGCTCCGGCAGCTGGTGCTGCAGGTGGTGGTGGAGGAGGTTGAGCTGTGGTCGTAGTAGTTGTGGTAGTTGTGGTAGTTGTGGTAGTAGTGGTTGTCGTCGTTGTAGTTGTAGTTGTAGTTGTTGTTGTAGTAGTAGTTGTTGTGGTCGTGGTAGTTGTAGTCGTTGCCGTAGTTGTGGTTGTAGTTGTTGTTGTCGTCGTTGTAGTTGTCGTTGTAGTCGTAGTTGTAGTTGTAGTCGTCGTTGTGGTAGTAGTTGTTGTAGTAGTTGTGGTGGTAGTTGTTGTCGTCGTGGTAGTTGTAGTCGTAGTCGTTGTGGTTGTAGTTGTTGTTGTTGTCGTTGTAGTTGTAGTCGTCGTTGTGGTAGTAGTTGTAGTAGTAGTTGTGGTAGTAGTTGTTGTCGTCGTGGTAGTTGTAGTCGTAGTCGTTGTTGTAGTTGTGGTTGTAGTTGTTGTTGTCGTCGTGGTAGTTGTCGTTGTAGTCGTTGTTGTAGTTGTGGTTGTAGTTGTTGTTGTCGTCGTGGTAGTTGTGGTTGTAGTCGTTGTTGTAGTTGTAGTCGTTGTTGTAGTTGTAGTCGTCGTTGTGGTAGTAGTTGTGGTAGTAGTAGTTGTCGTCGTTGTCGTTGTTGTGGTAGTGGTAGTTGTGGTTGTAGTTGTTGTCGTCGTAGTAGTTGTTGTAGTTGTAGTTGTAGTTGTGGTAGTAGTTGTTGTCGTCGTTGTAGTCGTAGTTGTGGTTGTAGTTGTTGTTGTAGTAGTAGTCGTACTGGTTGTTGTAGTGCTTGTTGTTGTTGGAGCCTCTGTTGTTTCTTTTTTGTTTTTATTTTTCTTATTCTTCTTTCCCTTCTTATTGGGTGCCTTATTCGAAGAAGGAATTTGAATATCTGCGTTGTTTCCTTGTGTGTTTGTTGCAGCAGCAGGAGCCCCGCCTCCGAAATTCGCGAATGGGTCAGATGGAGCAGCGAAATTAATTGGAGAAGCAGGGGCGGCAGGGGCTGCTGGGGCTACTGGTGCAGCTGGGGCTGGTAGCCCTGGTCCTCCAGCACCAGGTCCACCAAACATGGAGAAAATATCTCCTCCGCCTCCAAACAAGTTTGCGAACATTGAGTTGAAATCGAATGCATTTCCTTGCTCTGGTGGGGCCTGCTGTTCAGCTGGAGCACCTCCTCCGACTGAAAGAATTATCTAAAGTCCAGTTTATCGTTTTAACTTACATAAGTTCTGGCCAAGCGCCGCTGTGACGAAGAATAATAAGTTGAACTTCATCGTCTATTCTATCAGCTGGTTTCACCTAAAAATGTTCTTTTAAAGTATCCTGAATAAGTACGTTAATATTATTTTGTTAAAAAAATAATTATAGTTGAATTTCAAAGAGGTTTTCTAATTTTTATTCAAAATAAATTTTATGTTGACGAATAAAATGTCAATTATACGAAAAAATCTTCGTTGTTCTTCATTTCAGGAATCTCTTTTTCGATAATCAAGTGCTTGTACCTCTGATAGTTTTTTTTTTCTTTTGAAGGAAGACAATTAACAAAGTTGACAACTCTTACTTTTGCAAGCTGGAGATGCTTTTTATATCATTAAATGCCATCTAGAGGCGGAATATAACCGCTGTGACAAGAGTTCTAAACCGCTATGTCAGGTGTGATATTTATAGGAACTAATATCAACAGCAAAAAGTAATCTGCATTGAAATACCGATTCGGTGACTGTGGTCATTACAAATAGACATTGAGTTGAGAAATTTATTTCAAGACATGACAAATAACATTTAAAGGCCGATCTCATCAGTGTACCACTGTCGTCCTTCTGGGAAAGCGATGTTGGTGTAGACTCCCGCAATATTGACGTCGCATTTGCCACTTCCCCATGAGACAGCACCGAGAAGAAGGTTGTCGCCGCTCTCTGGATCCTTGACGACCAAAGGTCCACCAGAATCGCCCATGCAGCTAGTAGAGCCCTGACCGCCGCAGCACTGCATTCGTGGGGTGTATTTGCCGAGGATAGGGTTGATGGTTGGGTCGCCCCAGAATCCGACGCAGGTATCCCAGCTGTTAAGTGGAAGCTCGACAAATTGCATTCGGTTGGGAATGTTGATTGGTTCGCCGCTAAAAAGTCATATAAGAAGTTATTTGCAAAAGTACAGCTTACTTGGAATCATGGGCAGAATAGCCCCATCCAGAAGTAGTAGCAGTCTCACCGTAGAGCAAATTGTTGTTTTGCGAAGCAGAGTTAGCGGGAACAAGTTGGATTGGCTGAACAGTCTCACTAAAAGAAAGAGCCTCCTTGAGGATCATGTAGGAGTAATCGTAATCGATCGCTCGGGCATCATAGTTGGGGTGTCCTCGAAAAACCTCCACCTCGGCGAGGTTATCGTTACTTCGCCAGTCGTTGGTGCCATAGGCAACGATGACTCGGGTGGCGTCAAGAACGCAGTGAGCTGCGGAGATGATGTATTTGGAGCCACCGATTGAACCACCGCACATGTGAGAGCCAGGCTGGCCGAGTTGGATTCGTCGCTGGGAGATTTGCCAGGGGAACTGACCTTCAGCAGCCTAACAGTTTATTTACTAACAGTCTCTTTGAGTTTATAAGTGTACCTCGGAGCCTCCAATAATTCTGGGAGCATTGGTGTCGTATCGTGGGCTCTTGAAACTTGGAACAGCCAAAGCCGAGCCAACTAAACCGAGAATCTTGACCATAATTGCAAAGGACTAACTAGCTCTCCCTGACGCAAATGTGACTTTAGAAAATGACCGCGGGGGCTTTTGGGCACAAACACGTGTGTTATTCCCACCAACTTTGGCGAAAATGGAATCAAATGATTGATTATGCAAATTGCGCAAGAAATTAGATGATCACAGACAATTTGGCTTGGCGCTTTGCAAAATCACAACCCTTCCAACTGTCCAAATGTGGTCAAGCTTTGGACAGATCCCTTTCTCAAAAATTTCAAAGACGCCCATTTAGTTTCAGAATTAAATATCTAGCAAAATTTTTCTTGAGAGTTCAAATGATTTTATTTTTCCTATTTTTCTGGTGGACAGGTCCAGCGGCTGCTTTAATATACGGCGAAGATATACAAAAAGTGAAACTAAGAAATTTCAATCCAACTCTACCGAAAAATCTCCAGTGCAAGGTATGATCATAATTTCCTTCCCTTCCAATTAGTAATTGGCAATTACGAAAGAACTAAGAGACCCCTCCCACTTTCACACCAAAATCGCTATCAACAATCCTCTCGTATCATCAATGGTCAGCGAGCTGATTGGAACTGGCCTTTTATCGTTCGAATAAAAATTCAAAAGAACAGATCTTACTGTGGAGCTTCAATTATCAATCCTGAATATGTCATTACGGCGGCTCATTGCGTTGCTCATGATAAAAAGTAACCCTGACTTTTGGCGACCAAGTTTTACATGAAAAAGAGACGAGAGAGCTTTCTATGGATTCAGGAAGGAGTTTGAGAGGAAACTGCTCCAGCTGGAGCGTCTAAAAATAAGCAGATTATAGTGCTATAGTGCGCATCATATACGGCTGTAGACAGTTACTGTTTGTATATAATGCGAATTGTGAACATCTTCACCCTAATTTTTTAATCATGAGGAAAATAATTATTCCGAGGTTATTTTGACTTTATTATGGTTTCCCTCGAAATCTCTAGAAACAGCCGAATTCATCATTCACCCAAGATATTCTCCAACAACCGGTCAAAATGACATTGCTCTTATAAAACTGCCACGGCCGATCGCCTATTCTTCCAACATTTCACCCGTTTGCTTACCGTACAAGCAAGAATTTCAACCTGGAACAGATTGCTTTATCGCCGGCTGGGGCGCCCAGGACGAGAGTCACAAGAGAGGAGTCGTTTCAAGTCAGCTGATGGAAGCTCGAGTGCCGCTGCTTTCTGGAGAAGGAAAGGGGTTGAGCTCGAAATTTTACTGAAGCAAATTGTGAAGTGTGTATTTTCGAATGCGCAAGATAACCGGACCTAACCCCTTTGAAGTGTGCGCACGTGGAACGTCATACGGGACTTTATTCAACCCGCAAGTGCATATCTGCGCGGGTCACATGCTCGGCGGGCGCACTGATGCCTGTCAGAATGATTCAGGTGGACCTCTTGTCTGCCTCGACAGAGATAACCAACCGGTTCTCGTCGGAATTGTCAGCTTCGGCAAAGGATGCGCGCGGCCGAATTACCCAGGCGTTTACTCAAATGTCGTTAGCTACACAGAATGGATTCACCAGCAAATTTACGATAACGACTGGCGAAGCATTTACGACCAATACAAGCCCAACTCTTGCGGATCCAAAAACATCGGAGCCACAGAAATGAGCTCAAGGACAGAAGCGTCCACTATTTTAGTAACAAGTGGTGAAACGAAATGCTTTGGAACTGTAATTAGCGAAAATTTTGTCATTTTCGCGATCGACTGCGTTACAGATGAAAAATTACTCAAGATTTTCTCCGTCTACGATGAATTGACAATCAAGAAAATTTTGTACGATGATTACGGTAAAAATCAAACCACACCAATTGTCGTCATAGTTTCTTTTTCAAGGGAGCTTGGCAATGGTAGAAACAGTGGAAACTTTAGAAGTGCAAATGTGCGTCAGCGAGTCAACACCAGGTACGAATGAAGAATGCCTCTCACTTGATTCAGAATACTTCCCGAATTTTTACCGGACGTCGCCCTGTCCAGTCGGCAGTACTGAAACAACTTGCTTTGATAATATTCCTTCCAGGTTGATAACGAACATGCTAAGGTAAAAAAAATTCTTCAATGAATTTGCCATAACTTCTAATAGTGTTCCTATCATCTGCGGCAACCGACTGGTCTCATTCTACCTGGATACCGAGTCAATCCAATTCATGAGTCTTCAACAATCGCAAAAAACCATCACTGCCGCCATTGAAAAAATTAAATCTCAACAAGTTTCTGAAGAAGACGACAATCCCTTCATTCAATCATTATTCATGGGTCGTCGGCAAGTTCATTCATTGGGGATGCAAATTAAATGCCTGATTATCTCTTTTAGAAAGCCGCAAATTGCTCCGGAAGAAAACGTTATGGTGACATATGAGTATCAGTATGATTACACGGAGGTGGACGGCGAGGAAACTGCGGAGGCTTTCCAGGACTATGAAAGTCGCGGATCCAAGAAAAAATCGAAGCCTGAGAAGACAGCTTCTAAAAGCCCAAAGAACAAGTATTTATTTTAAATAAATTATTTATCAATTATTCGGACGCAAGTGAACTAGACCTAAAATGAGTTCTTAGACTCGGAAAAGAATCTGCAACGAATCTTCGTACATGTGAAAATGTCGAGCAAACATACGACATTCTCCCTGACGATGTCATCACAGCCTGCGAAAATACAACCAATTCGTGTGAATTTTCATGCTCCACTGTCGGTCACATCCCAACCATCGCAAGAGCAACGTGTAAAAATGAAAAGCGCAAGAAATGGGAGCCAAAACCAAAAAGAACTGGCTCTGTCGGTTGCGCCAGACCAGAACATCAGACAAAGTGTGGCCCAATAACGCGCCATTTCGAAGTCGACTTTGATTCCGGCGTCAATATCGACTGCAACAAGAATCGATGCTGGATCAGTTGCCCCGAAACGAAAGTCAACACTCTTCCTCGTTGGACGAAAGAAGTCATTTGTAGAAATTCTGTGAGGAACATTTGGAATATCAAGAAGTCAATCGACATCGCCTGTGTCAACCCTTCTCTTCGAGCAAGAGAAGAGAGTCTCAAATGCGGCGCTTTAGAGGACTTCTATCCTTGGTACAAGAAATCGGACATAACTGCTATTTGCTCTGGAAGAAGAGAAAAATACGAGCAATGCGATTTCTACTGTCCCGATGGAACCAGACCGAAAAGAAAAGGAGAAGTTTTTGATTCTGTCATTTGCCATCGGGGAAAGAGGAAGTTCGAGCCAGCTCTAGAAGAAGCTCCGGTTTGCGGATAAAAACTTTCTTTCACTGTATATTTTCTGTAAATATATTTTTTTACGATTCATTAGCCGATTGTTTCCGAGAAATCAATAGCTGGTAAAATTCTCAGTATTACACCTGCGGTCGAATTTATAGCGCTGGAATGTGTTATGTGAGCGTGTCTTTGCAGAATCGACCTTTTTGCAAAATGGCTATCCTCAGCGGTGGCTGATCCGGCACAACATGCGAAATAGGTAAATTCCACATTTGACGGGGCGATGCCATGAAGGCTTACCGCAACCTATTCAGATCTACTGGTAATAAAAATAGTGTCAGCCGTTTTCCAAAAGGTCATTTAGAAGCTTTCCAAAAGCAGTGAGGCCATGTTTTTTGGCAGTTAATATTATGTAAATCAAACATTCTCGAAGAGTTCATTTAACATCGATTTCAGTAAATGCTCAGCAATTAAAGCGTCGTATTCAAAGGCAAGACAAGCTAGAATTTAATCCCACTGAATTTCATGTCTCAAAATTTCGTCTAGTGGCCGTAGTTGACCGTGACGCCCTCAAGTGGTGCTCTTCTGATAAGGTACGATGCTGTACTCAGCTAGTTCAACACTTTATCGCCCAGAAAACTTAGAAAGGAAATGCTTCTTTTGAAATATTTTTTGTTCTTTGGCGAGATTTTCGGCGGTTTCAATTTCGAACTCAAGAGACTATTCTATCCAGATGATAAACTGAACCCGAAGAAAGAAAAGCGGCTCAAACGAAAACAAGAAAAACAAAGACAACTGAATCAATGTCTCGATGTTCCGAATGGATTCGTAACGCAATTTGCCGATTTGTTTCTGGTAAATTGCCATCAGGGCTTTTGCTTGGGAGCAAATACAGGGGGCACCTTCAATTGCGATAATGGAGAGCTCAAGCCAAAAGCCGAATGCACATGTTGTTCAAATAGCTGCGATGGAGACTTGCCAACTGATCCAGAGACAACTTTTAGGCCGCCTATTTCTACTGCGAATCCTTTTGCGCCAACAAATGGCCCTGCAAGCACGACTTCAGGACTCGTTCTCGATTAATTTTCCTACCTATGATTTTGGACAATATATGAACGTGAAACAGGGCCCTGTAAAACCTTAGAAGGGTTGATATCAGCGCAATACGTGGACGCATGGATGAGGCACGACAAATTTGGATTCGCTGTCGAAATAAAAGTTCCTGCAAATCTTCTTGATTTCTCGATTTCAATGGATTTTCAGGGCAGTAATTCATTCAACATTCAGGTTGTAAAATGAGCTCCGGTCTCCGATAATTGTTCAATTTAGACTTGGAATCTGGAATACTGGAACTTCTATCGTGGCAATACTTTTGTTGTGCTTCATTCAAAACGTAGCCCAGAAGATTTAGAAGATCGTTTTTCAAAACTCATCGTCGTTGAAGGCCTCAATCTTCAAAAATATCGTATGTTCATCTTCACTTATAAACGTTCTTAAAAAATTCTAGCGATTATTCAATTCTACGGAGGAAAAGTGAAGAATCACAATTGCTTTAATCGCAACGGTCTTAGTCGAAACAATATTCCTCAGATAGGAAGAAGCTATGAAGAAATTTTGGATAGAAAGAAGTTCAGAAAACGAAATCTTACGAAGGCATCAGTTCACAACGTTAGAAAATTATACTTTCCACATAAAAACTATTTTAGGTCGTGGTACGGAACAACAAGCTCTTCGTCAATCCTATTTAAATGAATTAACTGTACATGCTCAAAACTGTAACTAAGAAATATATTTTTACAAAAAAGATATTCTGTTATTTCTGAGACGTAAGTTTTGATCAGGAAAGTTTAAAGGAAGCACACGAGCTGCTGAATTTGATCAAATGTCAAGAAACTTCGGGCAATTCATTTGAGGTTCTTTTTTGTTTTCGGTTTTTGGTTGTCTGCTATTTAATAAATTTATTCCACTGATAAAGTAGAATAAACAAGAGATTCGTTAATATGAAGATTCTTACGTCAGTCTTTCTCGCTTCAGGATATGTAGATAGAGCAGTTTTTATGAAGAAGTATTCTTAGAGCCTTGAATATCTATTTTTAAGTTTCATCACAAATTGGAGAAGTCCGCAACGACCTGAAATGTGGTAAATCAGCAGGCTTCGCCATTTGTTCTTCTGACAGTGACTCGTCCAGTTGCTGTAATCATGCTCATGGCAAATGTCGTTCTTCTCAGTCGAACACTTGCGACTGTCCCACTTGTGTCGATTTCTCGGCTTTATCACGTGGCCTCCTGCAGATAAGGTCCAAGTTAGCGCAAGGAAGGGGAAACAGACTGTCTAAATATAATTCTTGAGCTTTGAGTTTCGCTGAATAACCCGGACAAAGACTACGAGCCGACAATTAAGGGTCTTTTGCTACAAAATGCAGACCTGTCGCTAGAATGGGCAATGACCAAAATCCCTCACAGCCCAAATATCAAGAAGATTCTCGATCGAGTCAAATTTAGAACCTCTGAGCTGATCAAAAGCATCGAAACAAACGATTGCACAACGGTTGATATCACCGAGCCAGTCAGGAAATGAATTTCGATGCATGTGAAAAAATTAAATGTGAGAAAAAAAGAATTTTTAAAAATTTAATGAAAGCACGGAGCTATTGACTCAAGTGGCTAACATTCAAGTCAACGAGCAATTTGGAGCGATCTTTGGCCCTGTGATCGATGAGTACTTTGCCAAGTGCACTTCGGCGAAAAAAGACAAACTTCTGAAAAGAATGAACAGGATTAACGCAGTTGTTACTCAGTCCTGTAATGAATTGAATTTGGTTTGCCCTGGGTTTCAGAAAGCATCGTTCTCATCGGAAGAAACTTCGGGTAAGACAACTAGAAATTCACCAAAGTTAAATTTTTTTATTTACCAAATCATTTTCCAAGAAACCGGGCTAGCGCGTGCTCGTCCAAGCTTTTCGTCCTCCTGGTCATCCATTAACAATATTCCGGGTCCTGTTAGCTGGCAACAAGGCGTAAACAATATCGCTCATAATTATCCGAACGCCTCTAAAAACCGACCATACGGTCGCCCAACTCACACGCCAACAAACAGTCGTCCTCACTCGTCCAATAACTGGAGTACAAATCAAAGGTTGAACCTAGTTGTCAAAATTAATACCATGAATCTTTGAATAGGCCTCCTCAAAGCGCATGGATTAAGATTCCAAAATTCAGTGGAAAATTTTCCGGAAGAAATATGGAAGAGAGTTCAGGTAGTAGGGTAAAACATAAAAGAAAATAATTATTTTCAAGGTCCCTTCGTGAACTTGTACAAACATCGAAAAGATGGAAGCTACAATATTCGCCGTCACTTTGAAGGATAACTCTGTAATTTGTATGTAACTTTTTTTTTTAATAAAAGACAAAAAATCAAGTTCAAAATTTATTTGAATTTACAGAAAAGGAGAAAAGTGCACAGTAGAGCTACTTTGGAGATTGTTTGCGTTCGAGTTTCTTCAGATGTCCTCGAATAAATGGCAGAAGTTTCTTTGCTTCCTGTACTTGTCGGCTGTAGCGTTTGAGTTTCTTGTCAGTTTCCCAATCTTTCGCCTCTGCGTTCCGAAGAATCGGGTTTGGCCTTCCATCATCGTCGTGGTGCCCGATAATCGTGTGGAGCTGGAACAGAGCTTTGTAGATCATTCGTTCCTGAGTAGAAGCTGCAGGAGGATCCCCGGTTTTTGGGCGGCCATCGAGGGGAGAGTTGCTGCTTGATTCTTTCAAGAGTTCTTTGAGTCGCGTATCCAGTCCTAACGGGCTTGACTCTTCAGCTGGTTTTATCTTACTCGCTGGCATGTTGAAAATATCATCTGATTTGCGCTTTCTCGATTCACTGGTCTTCTTTGGCTCAAAGTTGATTTTCTCGGTAGCTGGCATAATTCGCAAGTAGAGGTACAATTAGTGTACTGGTTTTATTTTCTAGTAATGCCTAGGGGCGAATTCAATTATGAATTTCAAAAGTCAGATTGCTCGGTATTTATAGCGCGCGGTGGGTTTGATACAGCTGGTGCTAATTCATAGCTGCAGATGGCGCTTTTTCTCGAAAAGGCCGGGTGCAAGGCCAGCTGATTCTCGGGCCCTTGGGTCGTTCGGAACATTGGTTTTATTTTTCTTCACAAATTTTATTTCATAGAAACAGGCATTAAAGAAGTGCTTTGATCTTCAAACATGTTTGTAAGTTCGATTTCATATTTACGCGGCTTGTCAGATCGGACATATCGAAGAAGTTTCACTTCAAGTTTTTTGATTCTCAAAATGCTAATTTAAATCATTACCTGATCCAGCATTTCTACTTTTTCTTCGAAGTCTTTCCCGCTCGGCCGTTTCTTCTTTCAGTTTCGCCTGGTCAGCGAGTTTCGGCAACTGTCTTCTGATCAAATTGAACTTTTCTGAAATACGAAAAAATAGTCGAAGTGTGTTTCCGCCATGTCAAACCGATGATAGCTTTGTCGGAGTCTTGATCGTGACTTTCGTCGTATTCGTCTGGGTCAAGGATGACCGGCGCGACCGTTGGAATAAGCAAATGATATTTGTGTTGGGGCTTTTCTTATCAAGAAGGTTAGTACATAACCGGATATTTGCAGATTAATACCAACAAATTTCTCGCGGAAGTTCCTCAGCAGGCGGCGCATTTCTTTCGTTTGGATTTCTTCCTTTATGTCTTCAATTGACTTCAAGTTTTTCCGCCGCCGTTGTGGCAGACTGCGGAAGTTGGAAGGACTTCGTCGTTCATGATCGATGCGTTGTCGCTCCAACTCGAGATAGTTGACGCTCTTTAGAACGGATTATCTTTTTCGATTGAGAAACTTCCAATTTTCGATGAGCAAAATTCGATAGGTCAAAAAAGCTATGGCAACAATGGCAGATAAAACCATTTCCTGACCAACTATCAAGCTTCTACTGCCAAGGTGTCTTAGTTTAGCTCCCAAGCAGTATTTACAAATTAACAGATCAGCTAATAATTGCTCTCAACTTTCAAGATAGAGTCAATACTGTTCCTTTATGTGCGTCATGAAAACCGCCGCTGCCGAAAACCGTCTCATCTAATTGCCGTCGTAACCGATCGTTTTTTACATGTGCTAACAAATATTTTTAGAAAATTATAACTAGTAGTTATTTTCTTGATAACTGGCACCCACGTTTGTCTTGTCTATAAAAAGTATTTTGCTTATCTTTAAAAAGTAGACATTTCATGTATGGCTAAAACTCAAGAGAAACTGTTTTTTTTATCAAAAAAGTCATATCTAAGCTCAGGATGACATTTTTACGTGCGAACTCTTCAAAATTGCGTTAATCCCTGAGCAAATTTGCATAGGTCGATACACTTTAAAATTTATACTGTATCTTCCTTACCGATGAAGGTTCGTTTCTTTTCTTGCTCTTTAGATTTCTGATAGTTTCTCTCGGTCTTCGACGGACTTCTTAGGTCGTATTGCATTTTTGATTTAGATTCAAGTGGGAGCGATAGGCGCCCATCAGCAGATTATTTGCTCGGAAAGTCAATTTGTGTTGATCCAACTCCTTTTCCAGATACTGTAAATGTCATGTTCGCCTGTAGCAGTAGCTCATCAGAGAAGGGCAATAAAATTTTACGCCACCATGTGAGAGGCGAAACCACATGCGATCATAAGAGCGCACTTTGCATTGTCTGAAAACTACTGTTGGTGTAGCACAGGCGTTTCCCATCGCGATCGTTGAACTCCACCAACTGACGAATTTTACGCTCCGTCAGTTCTCCGATGCCTCGGGGCGGTGGAGGAGCATCTTTGCATCTATTATATTTCTCCGTCCGACTTATTAAAATATGGAGCTATTTTTAAGCTCGTTAAGATTTTTCGTCAAAAGCTTTACAGTAGTAGAGAAATACAAGTATTTAATTTGGTACACATTATGTTTCTGGACAGGATGGAAAATGGTTTCTTCAAAAGCTTATTCAGAGAGTCTTTCGCATCGTTACTTACCGAATTCAAACACAGTAATTGGATTGCATTATTATTTATGATTAGGCTAAAAATTAAGATTGATGGAGAATACACAGACGCAAAGAAAGCAAAATTCTTCATGTGGGAGGGAGAAAATCCTGTCGCTCCGGTAGAATCTGATGCGCAGAAGCCAAATTACTCAAAATTCCTTTCAAATTACAACGAAGAACAAAGATCTGGGAAAGTCCCTTACGTATTTGACTATATCCCGTCAATGTTCTTGAAAAGCCCGTCTCTGCAGAGATCCTATAACGACTTTGCGATAAAGCACGGCAGTGGGTTACGGAAGCAAACGAAGGGGACGGTTCTGCTGACGTACTACCGTTCCGGGTCAAGTTTTCTTGGACAGCTTTTCAATCAACATCCTGATGTGTTTTACCACTTTGAGCCGCTCTTTCCGTACTCGAGGGATTGCTCGTCTGATTCTCCTGCTTTCAAGGTGAAAAAATCCGTTTATGTTTTCTAACTTTTTGTAGAAAGAGAAAATCGAAAATCTCGAAAGAATACTGTCATGTGACATGCCAAACATGCGAAATCTCACCCAAAAGATTCAACACTTCAACCCAAACCTTTACAACTCAAGGCTCTGCCTCTTGACTGGTGCATGTTTTCGTTTCAACTCCCTTAGTCTTTGCGATCCGCGGCTGTGCCCGCCAATGCCTGGTGGAGAATTGAAATGCTCGAGTTGTGGGCCTCTAAATTTGGAACTGACGGACGACCTCTGCAGGGAGAAAGAAATGACGGTTGTGAAAACCATTCGAATATGCAACGGTTCCTGGTTAGACTCAATTTCTAAGTCAATGTCTCTCAAAGTCGTCCATCTCATTCGCGACCCGCGAGCCATCGCTAAGTCCCGACTATCAATCCCCGATGATCCAATAACAGAAGCTGAGATCGTCAAAAATGTTACTGATCTATGCAAACAACAAATGCTGACCCATGAAAAATACTTTGGAAGCGATGACTACTCAACGGTTCTTTATGAAGATCTGAATCGAATGCCGTTTGATAAGACTCAGGAAATTTATGATTTCGTGGGTTTGACCTTTCATCCGAAAGTGAAAGGCTGGATCCGACAAAATACAGGCGCTTCAAGGTTAGATCTGATGGATATGCAAATCTTTAATAATGTTTAGGGTACGGCGCGAATCTCTCGATCTCAAAGATTTCCACGTCGCAAAACGAACCATGATCGATGACAAAGAGGTGATTCTGTACGAAGACAACGCTGGACATAACTACACGAAAACGAAGTTCAAGGTCAAAGAAACTCAAGATATGCTCCTTCAAAACAGCATGCCTGACATGTCGAAAATAATCGTCCAAGAAGTCAACTCACCCGACAGAAAGAGGACCGTCGTCCACAATCAAATTCTCGAAGCGAGAAATCCCTTTGGCACGTATAGAAACTCGGCGACGGTTTTGGAGACATGGCCAAGCAAACTCCCGTTTGAGATAGTTGACGGGATTCAGAAGGGATGCAGTGAGCTTATGGAAGAATTCGGTTACAAGTTTGTACGATCAAAAGAAGAATATGAAGATAAGAATCCCTCGTACCTGCCTGAACTTCAGTGAGATAGATTTCGTTACTGTAAATAAATATTCCCCCATCGATTAGTGGCTGAACGCGTTCTTCTTTATATGGTTTGTTTTGACTCATTAACACGGACCAAATTGTCAGCCAGGGACCGGTGAAGTCTAACTGAGTTGGTAAAGTTTTTCATCATCGCCTAAGAATTTGATGCAAAAATAATTTTCCCACGATAAAACGAATATTTAGCTTATGGTTTCTTGAGTTTTTTTACTTGCGGACAAAGTTTTGGTAGACATACCACTAGAAAAATATTATAGCATACAATAAATAAGATACACTGTATTTTTTCACAAGAAACTTCTCAAGTTGATGCTGAAGATTGAATGATGATGAATTTATTGTGGAACTGAGACAACTGTTTAGTTGAAGGCCTTTAGAAAAGGTAATGGGCATTGTTGAAAGGATCAAATGGATAAGGGCAGTATCCGAAATTAGGATTGACGTTTGGATTCTGAATGGCTGGCTGAGCAGGGAGACCCCGGGCGAGCATTTTGCAGCGCCACTCGTTCAATCGCCATCGCGCTGGGCCGGGCTGGTTCACTGACTTGTCGCTCCAAAGCCGCTCGGCTAACAAAACCCTTAGAATCGGAAGAGATTGAGGACAACTTACCGACAGCGCTAGCGCGGGGCCAGATTCGCTGAAGAATGTTTGTTCCGTCGACGAATTCGCCCCACATCGCCGCTGAACCGCCCATGACAAGTTTGTTCTGCTCAGCGGTGCCGTTGAAGTCAGTTGGTTCGATAACGTAGTAGCCTTCCCAATCAACGCCGTATGAGATGATATTGAGATACCAAGGGGAGGCGAGAATGGCTTTGTGGCCAGATTTCGTGACCGCATTCATGGTGTCCTTCCATGTTCCAGATCTTCCCTTCCAAACTTCAACGACGGTTTCATTTGAGATTTTCACTCCATTGACGAATACTTCTTCCCAAACAACGTAGTTTTTCTTCAAGTCGTGTGCGATGTCGACCATTCCTACCGAAATAAATCATTAGAATTTGAAATTTTTCTCTATTTTAATACCTTGAACCCAAAGTTGTTCAAGTTGCGCGTACGTAGTCAAATTATTCTTCGCCATATACGCAGTTATATCTGCGTTAGACTTCCAGCAGCCAAATGGAACTTCATCGCCGCCGAGATGCAGGTAGCTATCGCGAAAGACTTCGTTGACTTCTGTGAATAGTTTTCGCATGAGATCGTAGTTTTCTTGGTAGATGGGGTTGATTGGCCCGTGGCTTCCGTCGGGCTCGCCATTGTGGTAGCAAGGAGTCAAGAATTTCGGGCCACCGCCGGGTCCCCAAGCGTCGGTATGACCGGGAGTGTCGAACTCTGGAACAACTCGGACGCCTAGAAGATGATTTACGGGTTGCTTCTCGCTGATAGAATTTACCTCTTAGGCGGGCGAATTCGATGATGTCTTTGATTTCGTGAATGGTGTAGACATGGAGTGGTGTGTAAGATCCAAGGAAGCTGAGTTCCGGCAACACTTGCGATTCATAAGGGAAGCTTTGCAGGTCGACAATATGCCAGTGAAGAATATTCATCTTATTCCAAGACAGGGGTGTGCATTCGGCCCGAAATCGGGTGTCGGGCTGACCGAGGGCCGAGCCGAAACGAAAAAATCAGTGTTGGGCCGGCCGAAAGCCGAGCCGAGCCGAGGTGCCCGAAGTGCCCGAATCGGCTTCGGCTCAACTTTCGGCTCGGGCAATTTGGGCAAATTTTCGGGCATTTCGGGCAATGATTTTCGGAAAATTAATATTAATCTGAGCTCAAAAAACAACCGATTTTGAGGAAAATCGGCCAAATCAGTCGAAGAATCAAGCACAGATCTCTGTAAAATTCTTTCTTACTCTCTAACTTTGGCCGGGTGCCCGGTTGCCCGAAGATTGGGCCGAATTGCCCGAATGCCCGAGCCTGCCCGAGAGAATTTCAGGTCACCGGCCGACCGAGAGCCGAGCCGAACCTGATTTGCCCGAAAAATTTGTCGGGCAGCCGAATGCCCGAGAGCCGAATGCACACCCCTGTTCCAAGAAAGAGCGCTAGAAAATGCGAGTTATTGCCAAATATATATTCTAGGACTCACGTGATCTGAGCTTTGATGACGGAAATAGGAAGATAATGTCGGGAAGTGTCAATTAAAAATCCTCTGAATGGAAATCTAGGCCAATCGGTAATCATGGTCGAATTTACACTCGGTCGGTAGTCAATATTGTGAATCATCTGCGTGAAGCTCTCCAGTCCATGAATTACTCCCCACTCGGCACTGGCTGTCAATTCAACTTTCTCGGGCGTTGGAGAGCCGACTTGAAGGGTGTACGATTCGTTCATATTTTGAGAAGGGTAGTTTTCGCAGTTGATGATTTTGACCTCAATTGTCTCGATGATTCCAGCGGCAGAGGAGGCTGAGAACTTGAGCTTTTTGGAACTAGAACTGGCGATTTTGAAGTGGGAACGGATCAGATCTTGGTATCGCTGGAAGATGTCGGGGATAATGTCGCATTGGGGCGACTCAGGAGTCAGAACGAACTGGATATTTGCATCTGAAAAGAAATTGAGTGATTGAATACATTCCGTTAGTGTAAGGGCTTGATTGTTTTTTAGACTCACCTAAAATTTGAAACTCTTGCGTCACCGTCATACTCTGCGGCAAAGGCCAAACCGTGCCATCGTACTGCCACGGCGGCAGAAATCTATCAGCTGCATTCGTTAGCGCATTTCCAAGAAGAAATGCGGAAAGAAATTTCATTTTTACATTCAGTTACGATTTCTCTAAAAAAAGAATTTGAGCGTATTTTCTGCCGGCGTTTCGATTTGAAAATGGGAGTAGTTCACACTTGAATGGCAAAAACAGACAAGAATCGATAAAAATTTTATGCTCTCGCGCCCTGACCTAGAAAATTAGGGAAAATCGTTTTTGAGCTTTATTCTGAAAGTTTTTTCAAAAATTCCAATTCTGGCTGTTCATTCTGCTTTTCGATTTCTTCAGGGAACATCGTTCCAACTGCATCTCTCGCAAACTCGGCAAATATCGGCTCTTGCATCGCCTGGTCGAGCAAGAATCGAATATCCGTCGAGCTTCGTTCTGAAACAATCTCTCCTAGCATCGGCCGCAAGTGGGGATTGAACAAGTGCCGTTTGATCAAGTCTGTGTTCAATCGTTCCAGTCGGTGGACTTCTACTTTGTCTTGAGATATTACAGAGTCGATTTCCTGAAGAAAGGGCTGATTAGAATGTTTGAAAAGTGGAAGGGAAAAACACCTTCAATCCAGGTTTCTTGGCGGGTTTGCGCTTTCTCGGGACACAAGTTGTTTTGTGGATCTTGTAGCATTCTACTTTACAGTAATTTGACAGGCAGGCAGGGCATCTGTACTTTGGGCTTTCTATCTTTCAAAGAGTTGAAAAAAATCGGATATTTTAATTTGAAAATGTGAGAAAAAGGTGATTTTCGCTAAAGAAGAGGATTAAAATTGATTGAATTACTCTTTCCTTGCATTCCACGCAGATCTTCAACGGTTTGACTTCCACTTCTGTCGTTTTCACTTGCTCTGGCTTTTTGAAATTTCCATCCCTTTTTGAATTATTCTGATTTCTGCTCCCTCCACGGCCTCCTCTTCCTCGACCTCTTCCTCTTCGGTGATTTCCTCTGTGATTACTCCTTTCTCGTTCGATCTGTTCAGTCATTTTCTGAAAAAGTCGGGATCAGCAGGAGAAACTCTTGAAAATTGGAGATTTGAAAAGAGAAAATCGGGCGGAACATGCGCGCTTATTGGCCAGCGGCGCTCCCGACCGAGAGATTGAGCCGCAATTTTTAATGCATTTTTTCTCAAGAGAACAATAATCAGCTGTCTTTTCTGCCACTCTTTAGGTTTTTTGAGTTGAAAAAAGTATTGAGAGATAACGAGAAGACACGAAAAAATGAATTTAGTAGAGAATGTTATCTGGAAATCATTTTATCATGTATTAAAAGTACCTGGCTTTAGTTATGAGTCTTATTGTCTACGATACGAAGTATGAATCAAAGTAATTTGTCTCGTAAATCTGAAAATCAATTTATTAAATATCCATTATTCTTAAAAAACAAGTTGTGGTCTTCACTAACAGAAAGAAAAAATCAACTGTCAAACAACTTCACTTTCAATTTATTTCGATGCTTGTCCATAATTATTTCCCCGGAGGAAAATTTTTGTTTTCAGAACAAAAGTTCGAAAAGCAAGAAAAATGCCGCTGGAAGAGCTGAAACGATACGCGTCACAAGTCAAAAAACTCTGCGACAAGGAAAAATATGGCGATGCCGGTCAGCTACTCAATGCGTTGAAGGAAGAAAAAATCACAAAAGAACTGCTCGAAAGCTCGAAAATCGGTCATGTCGTCAATGCACTGAGAAAGGGGGCACAAAATGCTGGACACACGGAAATCGCTGCTCAATCGAAATGTAGATTTTGATTATATAAAAATGTATATTTATATATAAACATAAAAATTGCTCTGAAAAAGAAGTGATTCACTTCATGTATCTATATTTATGAGATTTTAAATTGATTTATTTATGTCTTAGGAGGGAAACTCTCTTATTTGCCCGCTGAAATCGAAACATAAAGAGTCAAGTGTAATAAAGATTTACAGCTACTCGCCAGAATAAATATCAATCCTCAATTGTGAATTGCCAATTTTCAATTGCGCATCGATTTTATTCTTGAATTCAAAACAGAGACGCTTTTTGAGAAATTCCTATGCCAGGAATTTACGTTTAAGTTTTTCCTTTCTAGCTCTGATCAAACAATGGAAAGCGCAAATGGCTCAAAACGCGGACAATGGGGGAACGCCGAAAGTACAGAAGACAGAGAGCAGCTCACAGAAACGCGAAAAAGAAAAGGAAAAGCTGCCTGTCGCGAATGATTCTTCTCCAAATCTTGGCGCTTCTATTCAACCCACTTCGGATCCGAGCAGAAACAAATGCAGAGAACTTCTCCAGAAAGCCCTGATGGTTGATAAAGATAAATACCAACCGCAGTTTGTTAGCCTAATGGCCGCTAAAATTGAAGGTATTCGACTGATCCTTAGATTCAGGGTAGAGGGGGCCTGTAAGTCCTTATTCTTGATTTCAGAGGCAATCTTCACCTTCCACGGCTGTTCAAGCTCAGACACGAAATACCGAAACAAAATCCGCTCTCGCTACTCGAACCTCAAAGATGCCAAAAACCCGGAGCTGCGCGACTCGGTCATGAGCGGCATCATTTCTGCCGAAAAACTAGCCAGCATGAAGCCAGAAGAAATGGCTTCAAAGCAACTTCAAGAGTTGAGGAAGAAATTCACTAAAGAAGCGATTAATGACCACCAAATGGCGCAGAATGAAGGCACAAAGACGGATATGTTTACTTGCGGAAAGGAAAGAGGTTCAAGATTCTTCTTGAATGCAGTTTTCTTTTTTGAAAATACCAGTTGGCATGAGTCGCCCAAAGAATAAATCGAAAGAGCATAAACTCCCGTAAACACGCAGTTACTGCAAGAGAGTTGGCATTTTCAGTTTGCTCAGCGCATCTGTGACATCATTACGAGTAAATATTTAGCGAGTGAAATTTCATTCCATTTCCTTTCACTTTGTAGGATCACTCGTACGAGACCATTGATAAAGTAAAAATATGATTTGATTAACATTTTTATTGAAAAAAAAAAATGGAAGAGATATAAAATGAAAAACTTAAAGTTCGTTTTTGCGTAATCGCAAATACAGGAATATTCAATGAAACTTCTTTTTAATTCAGAAATGTTCTAAAATGAATCCGTATATCATTTATATAAAAATATCCCGCTCCACCATAAAATATCTTTAACCTCTCGAAAGTGCAAGGGCAAAGAATGCACATACACCCAGCTCCAAACCCGATCTGCCGATGAGCCGATGACGACCTTCGTTTACTGTATGAGCTGTGGTAATCGATGGAAATTCTGCTAGCTCCTTTTCTTTTGTTTTCCCTATTTTTAAAATTTACATTTACATTTTTTCCGGCCATGTTTAAATTTAGCCTGTACAGAAAGAGAAAAAACTAGAACTAAAAAGGTGCTTTTTAGCTTTTTTGAAGCATGAGCTTTCTTTTAGCTAAAAAAGAAACTGGTGAACAGAAACAGAATCTACCATATTTTCAATCTACTAGTAGTATATTTATATGAGTGAACATACAACTACATGTGAGCAAACACGAATTCATAAATACAGAAAAATCCTCCCTGACAGTATCCCAATCTCAAAGATCTATCAACTTAAAACTTGTATCCAAAATATTTTGCGATAAGGTTATTACGTTACTATAATTTTTACTGCCCAAATACTGTCAACTGAAAATCTACAAAGTCTTGTTACTGAAACTTACTCTCACTTTTACTTACACTCAGGATGAGTCACTCATATATAACTTTACATTACTATTCTTCTTTTCGTAAAAATAAACCTTTGCCCGGCCAATTTATCAACCCAAAATATTCAGAAAATGGGCGGAAAGGATCCGCAAGATCTGTTCAAGCTTCAAGAAAAAATCGGCAAGGGCAGCTTTGGCGAAGTTTGGAAAGCACAAGAGATCAAAACGAAGAAAATCGTCGCTGTAAAAATCATCGACCTCGAAAAGTCAGACGGTAAAAACTCAAAAGCAAATCGTTTTGAAAGAAAGATAATGACGTGAAGAGCAAATAAACTGTGACAGAGACAAGTCCGATAAATTTTGATTTCAGATGAAATTGATGATATTCAACAGGAAATCGCGATGCTTTCTGAATGTTCCTCTCCCTATGTGACTAAATACTACGGTTCCTATTTGAACTCAAAGGAACTTTGGATCGTTATGGAGCTGTTGACTGGCGGATCTGCGAATGATCTGCTCAAAAGTAAGATGCACATACTTTTCCTTGATTTCAACAGCTTTCCTTTCAAGTGGGTAAGCTCGATGAAGTCTACATCGCTGTTATCCTCCGCGAAGTCTGCAGAGCACTCGATTATCTTCATTCAAAAGAACGCAAAATTCACAGGTGTCCAATTTTTCCTCTTAAAATTTAACCCCGTGTGTGCAGAGACATAAAAGCCGCCAACGTCCTTCTCACGGACACTGGTGACGTCAAACTGGCCGATTTCGGTGTCGCTGCGCAAATTTCAGAAACGACGATGAAAAGAAATACGTTTGTAGGAACGCCGTTTTGGATGGCGCCGGAAGTAATTAAACAGTCCGCCTATGATTATCAAGCTGATATTTGGTCCCTAGGTAAACTTTGAAATGTCGCCTGGAAAGTTTATCTTCTTTCAGGAATAACTGCCATAGAACTCGCCAAAGGCGAGCCTCCCAAGTCCGACCAACACCCGATGAAAGCTTTGATGAGCATTCCAAATGATGCCGCTCCAGAACTTGACGGCGATTTCAGCCGAGGTTCGCTCCGATTTCTTAAAAGTTTCCATTCAATTGCTCCTTAGATTTCAAACAGTTTGTTGCCAGTTGCTTGAACAAAGAACCTCAAAACCGCCCATCACCAAAAGACCTTCTCAAAATGAAATTCCTCAAAAACGCGAAAAAGAACTCGATTCTTCAAGAGCCAATTAACAAGTTCAAAAAGTGGAAGAAACGCAATCCGACGGAAGAGGACGTAGAAAATGAGCTTGATGCGACAATCAAGGTTGGTTTTCTTGTTTTTCTCGCTAACCTTCTTCATCATTTTTTTCTCATCAAAGGGAGCCTTCAATAACTTTGAAAAACTTGAGGTTATCAGCTTTTACACCAACGTTTTTTACTTTCTTTTAGTTGGAACGCTTCCCAACTTGCAATACAGATCATGTCTTTTTTGGACTTTCCAAAATATGACTTCTTTACATTTTCTTTTGATTAAATCTAAAATTACCATTAGTTGATACCAAACTGGGACTTCGACACGGTCAAACCTGCCAAAACTCGTCCTGAAGCGTCGTTCATTCAAAGACAGCCATCTCCCAAAGAAGATCGCCGTCACGCAAGCCCAACTCGCGCGGTCAGTCCCCTCGCTCCCGCGCAGCCTGTTCCCGCTCAACCTTCCCAACCCGCTCCGACAAGGCCACAATCTCACGTAACAGCCGCAGCAGCAGCAGTTGCATACAGTAACAACCGCGTCCCATTGGATCCTCCCACTGATCCTACTCCAGCTCCACCCAGCGATCCAGCTCCAGTACCAGTCATTCCAAAGCAAAAAACGTCCCCTCGACAAAACGACACGACTGTTGAGAAGTCGGCGTCGTTATATGATGTCGTGGCGCCAATTCTGTCAGAAATGAAGACGCAGCATAAATATCAAGATTGTGTAAGTTCGAATCAAGGAATAGAGTCCCTTTGAAGTCAAAAGTTTGAACTTGACGAGTCTTATTTACTTTTTTAGACTTCTGCGCTGGACGAAGTGCGAATCAGTCTACTCAAGCTGGAGGAAATCCGCCCAGGAATCACAGACAAGCTTGTAGCCGAACTAACACAACTCGTCCGCGACCCCTACTCTGTTAATAATTAACTGTGTTTTTTATTATAACTGCTCTCCACCACCAATTTTTCTCCAGTTCAAAAACTCCTCACAATCGCAACTCTTTTCTCCGCTCTTTTCCGCAGTCCTTCATTCCTGAAATCTCTTCATCCGCACAAGCAGCTGTCTAATTGAATATATTGCTACTTTTGTAAATATAAAAAAATACAACCGACAATCCACTTCTTTCCAATTTCAAGCATCGTACGAGAAAAATGTGAAAAAAGTTCAAAAATCCTTGAAATTTTTATTTTTAATTCGCTCCTGAAAGAAAAACTGATTACTCAAAGTGTAATGAAATTGTAATTCATTCTACCTCCACCAAAATATACTAGACCTACAAATAGTCACTTACGGAGCCGATTTTCTAGAACATCGGGATTGCTCCTGTTATTACTGATAAAAGGCTCACAGTGTAAAAGGAGTGAGCGATGACGCAAAAGGCTGCTGCAAATCCTCATCGCTCGGCGGTGGTCCAGACGGAACGCAAGCATGACTATTTATACTCAAAAGGTAAGCTCTCCAGACTTATTTTTCGTAATAACAAAATTGGCTAGACTATCATGTTTCGGGGCCAAGGGATCACAACCGCGCCATCTATCGGGCAAAGACCAATACTGATAATGTTAAGAAAATGTTCAGGTAAATCGCTTTAACTTTCATACCTTTTAATTATTTTAAATTTAAGCCATGAAAAAATGTTCTCGGAACTTCGGCATCATCCTCGGTTTGAGACGGTGCTTGTACAAAAAGACCCAGTACCTTCGTTTATCAACAAGAATTACCAAGACAAAGCTCAAATCGACCGCCAGGAGACGATGTTCTACGGAGCTAGGGATGTCGGAGGCGAGGACAGATACAAGTATTTCAGAAGGCCAAATGTTCCATTCAGTCAGGTATATATCCTCTTCAAAGGCTCTTTTCTAGCGTTTTCAGGCTCCAGCAGACGTAATTCTTGAGCCACCACGCCAAGTTGTCCATACAAATGATTCGGTCGTCCAAAGAACTCGTACACTCGCCACACAAACCGACTACCGCGATCAAGAATCTCAAACCGAACCATACTCTCCCGACTACACGGTCGCCCCTGGTCAAAATCCCGAGATCCTCTCTCTCGCAGGGCTCAAGTACAAACGTGGCCTGCCAGCGGGCGTCGCCGAAGTGACGATGATCGAGCGTGCGCGGGATAAACGTCGCTGGGAGGAAAGTCTCCCGCCGCTCAACGACCCGTCCCAGATTCACAAGCGGCGGCTGATGATGGAGCAACGCGAAAAATTTGAATGGCAACAGCGTGACAGAGAAATTGAAGAAATCCAAAAAGAAAAACTTGACGTATGTACTCTTTTCTAACCCGTTTCCTTTTCTTATTCCTTTTGTAGATAATGAAACAAGAATTAAAAGCTGAATATGAAGAATTTGCCGGATTATTGGAAGAAGCACTTGAAGAGACTGCTGTCAAGCTCGCGAAAGAAGCTGAAGTAAAAATAGATAAAGTAAAGAAAGGTACTCTTCGTCTCTAAAACTCCATTTTCAATCTTTTCTTTCAGAACACGTCAAGAAGCAAAGGCGAATAAAAAAATATGCACACATAGATACGCCATATCTAGGAGAAGATTACAAGCGAGACATCGTTAAGGATTATATTGATTATGGGTCGGAGGTGAGCTTTTTTAGCCAGCTTGAAATTTTAGTGTTGTTATAGACATATGCACCGATCGCTAGACACGGTCAAATCGGCGATAAAACGAGCAGCAAGTACCACGTGCAGAGTAAATATCTCGACACTTATGAAGGTCTATGCGCGCTCGAAAGATCCATCGGGAAGAGTCTCACAGAAACGTACATCCGCGCTCCTGCACCAAAACAAGGACCTGGCAAGGACGGCTTCGTTCGACGCAAGGACAGGATGGACTGGGACCTCAAAGAGTCTTACGACATCATTCAGAAGCAAAAGGCCGAACGAGAGCTCAAGCGACAGCCGCGACTGCTTGTTGAAGTTCCTCCACCAGCACCTCGACCAGTTACTCCTACTTGCGAGGCGCCAGGCGAGAACTTCCAAAAGAAACAGATCGCAGCAACTCTTCTTCAAAAACTCCTGCGAGGAATGGCTTCGCGACGAGAAACTCTCGCCGAGTTGGATAGACGACGCGATCTCATCGAAGAAGTCAGATCTACTCACATTCTTCTCGAGTCCGAAAAGAAGGCGAAAGATGCCGAGAAGCAACGGGTCATGGATCGAAGGAAGGTCGAAAAGGACATGCGAGCAGAGCACAATGAGGTCTCAGAGATTGTCCACGGCGTTGCTGGAAAGAAAGCGCAGAGAATCTTGGACTTCTTGCAGAATGAGCTTATTCGACTTCAGGATGAGCGAAGGTAAGATTTTCGATGAAATTCTCTCCTAAGTTCTCTTATTTAGATGCCATGCATTCGCAATTCTAGCAGAGCGAAAACGACGCATCCGGGAAGCCGAGGAAGCTGGACTTCGCCAAGAAGAAGAGCGCCGCCGCCGAGAAGAAGACGAAATCTGGCAAGAAGTCGTCAAAACTCGCCACCAGTCCGTCGACCAGTACTTGCTCAAGATCGCTAGCGAGGCAACCAACTTGGCTGCTGCTGAGCTCGCTGAAGAGCAAATTGAAAAGATGGTCGATGTTATTGACACAAACCCTCGTGGCCTCTCGTCACGGTGAGTCTTTATTTCTTATTCTTATAAACGATTTCACGGCATATTCTCGCCTCCAATAGAAATTCACATGCCTGAATTTTAATTTTATTCTTTTCCTAGCGACCAAGCTGCGGATATGGTTCACAACTTCTTGATTCCCGAGGTCGTCCGACGAGAGCATCTTGAAGAACCACATCGAGAACGAGAAGCTCGACTCAAGGCTGCTCGAAATCTGCTCTTCCCGATTGTCGATGGAGACGAGAAAGAGTGCCAGACCGAAGAATAATCCTCCGATTTCTTCAACTTTGTTACTATTCCTCTGAGTCCATATATTATTCAATCTCTTTATTCAAATATTTTTCTATTCAACAAATCTTTTATTTATAATAAAGAACTATATTTTTATACAAAAATTGTGTGTCGTTTACTAAAAAAAACGTGGATAAATTTGGATTTTTTCTAGCTTTTCTACTTTAATTTCGTAATAGAATGGCAGCTCCACTTTCGCCTAGAAGTAACAACACTGGAAACATAACCAAGTCTTTCCAAAAATGCTCATTATCCGGCGAACTTGTCAATTTCCAGATTTTATGTCAGTCAACGAATCTCGGCTCATTAACCGAAAAACGATACGACAAGGGATTGAGTATCCGGGAGCTCAAGGGCAAGCTTGAATTAATAACAGGTAATCTACAGCTGAGCCGCTGGAATTTGATTTTCTGATTGCTAGGATGCTCGCCTGCTTCGATGAAGCTCTCGCTCGAATCGAGAAAGGGCGAGAAGATTTGCGACATGGACGATGATGAGCGACTTCTTGGATCGTACCCAGTCGAGGACTGTTGCGGGATTAGGGTCATTGACCCAGAATCCTTTGACTGGTCCGACTTGAACAAGATCGAGAAACAGGAAATGGACGATGATACCTACGATACTTTTAAGCCGACTTCAGTTAAGCCTACTGTTCGCGAATACAAGGTACATCAGTAAATCTAGTTCATACTCATTTCGTTTTCAGAGAATTCACAAGCTGGGCATGTTTAATCCAGAAAACCAAAAGAAAGCGCTTGAAGATATGGAGGCACAGGAGAAAAAAGACAAAGAAGCAAGAGAAAAGTAGAATTCACTGCCTTTTTCGCCTTATTAATTTTATTTTTTAGCTTCAAAGTTGGCCAGCGATGCGAAGTGACGTTGAAATCAAAGGGCAAACAACGCGGCGAGGTCAAATTTGTTGGAAACGTGTCTTTTCAGCCCAACGTCTGGATCGGAATCCAGCTCGATCTTCCGTATGGCAAAAACAACGGAACAGTCGAAGGACAGAAGTATTTTGAATGTCCGAACAATTTCGGTGTGTTTGCCAAACCTGATTCGGTAGAAGTCGGTGATTTTCCAAATGAAGAAGATGATCTCTTCTCGTCTGAAGATGAGATCTAATGAACGTTTTAGTTCCTAGTTTTTTGTATTGAATAACTTTCTGTAAAACCCTCTTTTAGTATGTAAAGTTTATATCTCTATGTTCCTAGAACAAGCTTTCTGCAGTACAGTTTTTTATGGAATTTTTGGACATCAAATTTTTGGACATTTTTGCAATTTTAAGGGGTTTTCTTGGGACACTTTTCAAAAGTGCCTGTATCAAATTTTTGGACATTTCCTGCGCCAAAATTTTAAATTTTCTGTTTTTTTGCCAAAGATGACGTTTTTTCTTATCAAAAATCTTACTTTTTCTTTGAGAAAGATAAGATTGAAGGTTGATCTCGTACCCCTAGATTATTTTTTTGTCTTTAGAAGGAGGATGAAACAGAGGATAATGGAGATTTCCCTCAGAAAAAATTTTTAAGCGATTTGGATGGGACATTTTTTTTGGCAGCGTGTATCAAATTTTTGGACATTTTTGCGAAAATCTTGGGACAAAAAATGTCCAAAAATTCCATAATTAACTGTATTCCCATTTGAAATTTTCAAACATGTCATGAAAGAAACAACATTTCCATGAAAACAAATCTTCTACCAACTTTCAAATACTTCCCCAAGTTTCACCTCTGCTCATATCCCGAAGCTCTTCACATTATTTTTATTTGATTATATATCGTTTTTTTTCAATCCATCTCCAAAAATTTTTTTAGAATGACTTGGTGATAAAATGAGGCTTATAACTTCAGCTTGAAGACGCGGAAGCCAGCATCAAAAATATGTGGGATTTCTTATTTTATTTGTCGATAAAAAATGACGCAAAAGCTATTTCGTTTATGTATTTAACAGTTAATCTTAAAATAATTTAATTGTACTACATAATGCTGCATCAATCTTTAGACTGCAGTTAAATTAAGAAAAGAAATAAGTAGGCATATAAGATCAAAATTCGCTCTTAATCACGCAGTAACTTAAAAAGAAATTTTTTAGACGTAAGATGAATAGAATAGTCGGATTTCGTCGATCTTTGACAACTTCCTATGCCTTGTCATGGCGTAATCGTCGGGGCCGAACGACTATCGCCGGCTACGGTCCAGCGCATTTCGTGAAAGATGTCGACACAATGCTGAGGAATCCTTTCGAAGGATCAAAAGCAAAATATAGAATTTTCGGCTCATTAGTTTGGGATTCAACAACATTTAGCAAAATTAAAATTTGCTAGAGAAAAGTGAACGGTGCTTGAATAATCCTTGCGAAAGCTCTGTTTATTTTGATCGTTAATGGTATTATGCTCGCGCTGGAGGATAATTACGGCATTTCGAAAAGAAGTAACGCGCAATTAATGGACTTCTATCCAGAGAGAATGGGCGAAAGATATGTTTATGAGGAAAATAATAAACGGCGGCTGGGGGATTTGCATGCGCACGAGCTTGTCATGCTCGAAAATGACGCTAAAGGAAAGGTTTTCAAAAAGATATTCGCCGCTTCTTTGAGGCAATATCTTTAACAAAAATTATCAAATAAAAAAACCTCAAATAGCAATTATTGAATTGAAAAGAAAGATGATTGCTCAATCCGATGCAGTGAAAGAATAACTTCTCTCTTTGCTTTTTTCTGTATATTAAATCTAACTTATTCAAATCCAATCTTCGATATATCGACTTTAGAATGGCAATAGACGTCAAGAACACAATCGCTCAATGGCGTCAAGAAATCGTCATGACTTTGAAGGAGTCAACTAAATCGGCCCGCATTCTTTGCGTTCTTCTTGTTTTCTTCTATGCTCTTAGTGGTTACATCCTGGTAGCTCATCCTTTTATCTATCTTTCTTAATTGTTTCTAGGGCGGGCTCGCGATCACTCCCGGCTATCTCTTCCCACCGAAATTTTGGGTTTGGACGTTGATCACAAGCCCGATGATTGAGAACACATTTCTGATGGTTTTCGGCGGCTTGACAGTGATCCTTGGCGCTTCACGACTTCTTGAGCCACTTTGGGGCGAGAAAGAGTTCTGCATTTTCTTCGGTAAAGCCTTTTCAAGTTTTCATTAGGAACCTGCCCTCATTTTTAGCTGTTGTAAGCGCGATGTCAGGCTTTTTGAGCGCCATTGTCTACCTCGTCTGCTACGCCGTTGTTTTCAATGACGACTTGCTCTTTGCTACGAGTATTCATGGACTTGCCAGCTTCAAGGTAATCTTGTACAGCTACGCTTTTATTGACCACTTTCTAGGCTGGCGTTTTCGTAGCGCTCAAGCAATCCCGAGGAGAAGACACCGTCATTTTCAGACTCAAAGTCAAACAAATCCCATTCACTTATTTGTGCTGTGCTGCTGTTCTCTGCATGACGGAAATCAGTAAGGCCAAAAATAAACGGACAAATATTTACAGTACTCTTTCTCTTTCAAGTTTCTTTTACGTACTTCGTCATGCTCAACACTGGCATGTTCTCAGCCTGGATCTATTTGCGATTCTTCCAGCAGCACTCCCGCGGCAGAGGAGACCTAGCCGAACACTTCGCTTTTGCTACGTTTTATCCTAAGATTTTCCGCGTAAGTCTTCAACTTCCTTTCGTTTCCGCGCTTGATTGAAAGTGTGAAAGAATCTCTTCCTTGGTGGTTGTTTTAGCATTCAGATTCGGTGTTTTACGACCATCAAATAAAAACTTACGATTATTTTTGTAGGGTCCGGTTGGATTCCTGTCAAACATTATTTGGAACATTTTGGTAAAACTTCGAATTTGCCAGAGAGCCACTTATAAATATGACGTTGCTGCTGCTTCCAATATTACCATCAGGTAATAGTCATCATTTTTTCCAGTGCAAGACAAACACGAAACATGCAGAAGAATCATATGATAAACATCCCAATTTTAGTCTTCCTGGAACAAGCGAGGCAGATGCAGAGAGGCGTCGGAAAAAGGCTCTAGCTGCTCTTCAGGAAAGAATGGCAACTATTGAGTCTCCGGAGGAAGGATGGTCGGACGAGGAGGAAACCCCTAAAGGTCAAATATCATTCGGTCGACCCAAACTTGACATTTTTCTAGCGCCAGAGAAAGCGGAAGCATCGGTAAAGATCGAGAACGAAATTGCAGACCCAGTTGCTTAAAATTTCAAGACCTTCCCTTTGTCTAGCCGCAATTGCCTTCCTACAGTTATTCAATAGCTGTAACTGCCATATAATTATAAATAATCACCAGGGAATCCCCCCTGGCTGAAGAGAAAACACCACCTTGTGCAATTATTTAAGTTCATACTTCTTCTCAAAGTACTTTTTTTGAAAAATACTCTTTATATATATTCAACCCTTACTCACACCTTTGTATCCTGTGCAAAAATCAACTTTCTACACTTCTGTTACTGGGGTTTTCTTCCTTAGAAGAAAGAATTTCTGTTATTTCGAACGAAATTATTTCGTTCGTATCCATTTTAGTTCCTTTATAATACTTACAGCTTCACCTATCTTCAATACCTGAATTCTAAAATTATAAATTTTCAGAAAAGAATAAAACATCTAGTAGTCGAGTCGTTAGTCATTAGCATTCTTGTAAAATGGGATGTCTCATGTCAAAACCAAAGCCTCCCAAGGCGCCTGGACCATCGGGAGGCCCATTCAACAATGTAAATCAACAGTCTTTCATGGCGCAAGATGCTCCAATTCATATCCAACCGGGTCAAACACATCGTCAACAACCACCTCCTCATCAAAATCCCTACACAGAAACTAGCGCTATCAATAATTACGTTGCTCTTTTCGACTATCAAGCTCGAATGGAAGGCGATTTGAGTTTTAACAAAGGAGAAAGGCTTATTATTTTGAACAATAATCAAGGTTAAAACTATCAAGAAATAAATATATTTTTATACCAATTTAGGTGACTGGTGGGAGGCAAAGAAGCTAACTACCGGAGAGCGCGGTTATGTCCCCTCTAATTATGTCGCCGAAGCTGACAGTATAAAGGCAAAAGAGTGGTTCTTCGGGCCAATTCGCAGAGTGGACGCCGAACGATGTCTTGGAAACAGAGCTCCAGGCACCTTTCTTATTCGGGAGGCTGAAACCATGGTCAATACCTATAGGTTTGCGGCTACTTCTTTCGAACGGATGATGAGCGATTTTTTAGTCTTTCTGTTGTATCTGAATCGCGAGCTGTCAAACATTATAGAATACGAAGATTAGATAATGGTGGATTTTATATTTCAACGAGAGTAACGTTTGCAACGATGGACGATCTTGTTTTGCACTACTCTAGGACGAGTGATGGACTCTGGTAAATCTTCCTCGAGATGAAAATGCGGCTAAAAACGTTTGCTTTCTAGTTGTCGATTGCTTCAGTCATGCCCACAGGAAATTGCTGATGTTCGAGATCTAGGGCGAGATGTTTGGGAAGTAAATCATCGAGACATTCAGCTGACCGATAAACTCGGCAGTGGAATGTTCGGAGAGGTAAACAGTTTTTTCTGTAAGCCTTTTCTATGTTGCGTTTTAGGTCTGGAAAGGCATCTGGAACGGAAGAGTAGACGTTGCCGTCAAGAAAATGAAGCCTGGATCGATGGATCCTGAAGCTTTCAAAGCAGAAGCGACAGTCATGAAGACCTTGAGGCATCCAAGATTAGTCTCACTATTTGCCGTATGCTCATCCGAGCCGTTGATGATCATTACGGAAATTATGACCAATGGATCCCTGCTTACGTATTTGAAAGATCGAGCAGGAAAGCATGCAACTCTGCCACAGCTCATAGATATGGGAACGATGGTTGCGCAAGGAATGGCCTACATAGAGGTGAATAAAAGCTTTTCTATGTTTTTCTTGAGAATTGATTTAGCGCATGAACTACATCCACAGAGATGTTCGAGCAGACAACATGCTTGTCGGTCAAAACGGAATCGTCAAAGTGGGCGATTTCGGCCTCGCCCGATTGTTGGACGAAAACATTTACAATCCCGATTCTGCAAACATCAAATTCCCGATCAAGTGGACCGCTCCAGAAGCGGCATTGTACTTCAAATTCACTATTAAATCCGATGTCTGGAGTTTTGGAGTATTGATGACAGAGATAATAACGAGGGGAAGGACGCCATATCCAGGAATGAACAACAGACAGGTCAGAGGATCCTTCTAAATTGCGTGTTACAAGATTTTTTTCAGGTATTGGACTTTGTAGAACGCGGAGAAAGGATGACAAAACCGAGCCAGTGTCCGCCCCATCTTTGGGAAATCATTATGTCGTGCTGGCAAGAACAAGCTGACCGTAGGCCGACCTTCGAAGCTCTTCAAAATCAACTGGAGGACTTCTTCATCGGCGCGGAAAAGCAATATGCTGATACTGGCGGCTTCTAAGAAACCCTCTCCTATCTGGAAATATTTTTTCGCTCCCTCTCAAGATCAATTACTATCAATTTTTGGACAACAATGCAATAACAGATCTACCAATCCGCCAAAACGCTTTCAAAATTGAGAATCACCCTGAAAAGATTTTCTTCAATCGTGTCCCCAATTTTCTAAAATATGTGAAAAAGCACCTCTTGTCATCAAACCAAAGAATTTATTTTCAATTTGTAGAGTATAATTTAAGAAAAAACAAATATCAACTTGAAGTGTTTTCATAGACGACCACAATTTTTTTTCTTTTTATGAAATGAGATCAGACCGCTTCCTTATCAGTTATCGATTTCCGCTTTTTAATGGTACCAATTTATTGTTCATATTTAACCCTTATCCTCCTAAAATGCCTTTTGTTCCTTTTATCATTCCTACCATTTTACGTTTATTTCACCTTGAGCGTCTCTAGCTTTAGGTAGGACTCTGAAAAAGACTTTTGCTACACGCCTATTGCTTCCTACAATCTCTAACTGTAACTGTATAAAAACCCAACTTAGAAGAAAAATAATACCTGCCCTTCCATTTCTGTTCCCATTTCTTTCAACCTGAACTACGAGTGATTTTTTAATGTGCAAATACTAAATATACGAAAAAAACATCAAGTCTCTGATCGATATTTTTTTAAGATGAGGTAGGATACAAGTGAAGACAAAAAGATGAATGTTTTGGCAAGTTGCTGTGGCCCTTGTTTTGGCTGGGAGACGCTTGTTGAGGAGCCTGAAGGTGAGAGAGAATTCTTTCTACATTTGCGGTTGAAATAGGATGGGGTCTTATTTTTGATGTCTCCCTTCCTTTAATCCATCACAAGCCTAAAACTATCCTAGATACAGCAAGCCGGCCTCAAGTTAAACTCGATGCCCTAAACATGGGATTGGATGCAGTTATCGTTAAAAATGGCACACGCGTCTGTGGATCTGGTGCAGTTCTCGCTTCCGCCCCGATTATGCAGGACAAGGCATATTTTGAAGGTAGATACAGAGTCCGTATTACAGACATTGAGACAAAACGATGCTCATGTGAGTGTTCTAGTGAAGGTTCAGTCCGATGGGATCTGGGGGTGTGGCGTTGCCGCAGAACAGTGTGACCTTAACAAAGTCCCTACTACTGACAAGTCGTGGATGCTGACGTCGGAGAGGACAATTCAAAAAGAAGGGACAGATGTAGAAAGCGTCGATGAGATTTGCGAGGGAGATGTGATCGGAGTCACTTATGACCACGTCGAGTTGCAGTTCTACCTCAATAGCAATCCTCTAGGTAATTCTTTGTAGAACCTTATCAGTCTAACTTATTATTGTTAGGGAATCCCGTAACAGGAATACGAGGAAAAATCTACCCAATTCTGTACGTCGATGAATCCGCCATCTTAGACGTTGAATTCGTCCATTTCCGAAACATGCCTCCTTCCGGCTTTGGCCAAATTATGTTCGAACAAAATATTTTATAAAACCAATCTAGTTCTGTTTCAAAAGCTCCTCCAACATTTCGATTCTTGACCTAATTTATACATATTCAGACAATTCGCTATTTTTTTCTAAGTTTTTTCTTGTTCCTAACCAATTTTTAAATTTGTGAATATAAATTTTCAGTTTCAAAACAATTATTACATGCCTTCAAGTTACAGTATATCGAAATTATTATATAACATTTTATTCATGTGCTCATTTTTCTCCATTTCCAAACAGTACCTTACAGTATCTACCGGTAGTTCTCTGCAACTCTTCTTTGCCGACTTACAATACTGACAAAATTTGTACAGATCAGCATCGAAAATTTCGATTGTTTCAGATAAAGAGATCGGCCGCCATGGAAAAACAAGAAACTGAAGAGGTCGAAAAAGTCGATGATCTCTTGAACACATTTAACTCCCAGCTCAAGTTCGAGCAAAAAGCAGATCAGAACAAAACCAGCAAAAGATTTAAGCCTTACAAATCGAAGAAAAGAAAGTCGAAGAAATCCGCATCCAAGGTTAGAAATTGAACTCTTCCTTGATTTCAACGATCTGTTTATTTTCAGGAAGAGGCAAAAGCTAGCCAGGAGAAACCTCCTTCTCCAGTGTTTAAAAATTGCTCGATCGAAAGTCGATCAACAGAGTTTTCGCCAGAAGACCTTCATCCTTGCTACGAGGAAGAAGTCAATGTCAATGAACTTTGCGCGTATCTGGAAAACGCCGAACTTATTCCACGAAAAATGTCCAGCATGGCAGAAGCTATCTATGGCTGAATGTTTCTTTGTTCTCTCCTTATACCTCCTCCTCTTTTCTTTTATTGTCATTTATTTGCATTTATACTAAAATTATAAAAACAACAACGACTGATAATTTATGTGTTTCTCTTATTTAAATTGCGAAAAAAAAATCTTTTTTTCGCGATTTTTTCAAATCTCTGGTTCAACTTTTTCTGATCTGTCCTGCTTTCAATTCTTCCGAAAAAAAACTACTCATTCACAGAAAAAAATAAATAGTCCATTACCATCTACTCAATTTTAGAAACTTTCCTCCAGTCAATCCAATTATGCCAGAGAAAGATGAAAAACCCGTCACTGCCGAAAAAGTAAGAGCCGTTTACCGAGGCATTTTTGACGTTTTATTCTAGCAAGAACTCATTGATCTCTACAAGCAAAAAGTTGAGCTACAGAAATGCCTGATGGACTTGGAAAAGCAAATCTATGGTTTCGAAGAAGGATATCTAAATGATACGAGAGAGTGAGTCTTTCTTTGTTTTCCCAGTTGACCGAATTCTGAAGCTTTGGAAATGTTGTCATCGGCTGGGAAAATTTCAACGCAGAGTCGAACAGAAACAGAAATAAAGTTGACAAAAAACATACTGCCAAAAGAATTAGAAATTCTGAACGAATCTTCAGCACGTCTAGGTTCGATATCGCAAACAAATTTTTATATACCGACAATTTAGCGTTACGTCTTTTGAAGTCAACCCATCGCTGAAGGAAAAAGACACAGACGATGAAGGGCAAATCGATGAAAACCCAAAGAAAAAGAAGAAAAAGGCCGCTTAATTTCCTTTTCTCTGTTTTTCCTTTCATATTCAATACATTCATTAAAAACCCAAAAGGCACAAATAAACAGCAGCATTTTCAGGACTTTAGCATATGCATCAGGGTATACCCTGATTCTTTATTGACGCAACTCTGTATCTATATGAACCGCAGAATGACCACTAGGTTGGTCCAATCGCCACCGTGCAGCAGCCTTTTAATAACAAAGAGTAAAAAACGCGACACTTTGAAAAAAGCGAGTAGCGAGTCTTCACCTTTTCAGCCGGAGCTTATTGAATTAGAAAGAGCAACTCATTTTTTATTTTGGCACGAAAAATTTGGAGACTTATTTTTATAGGAAGATTAGTTTTAAGGCAAGAGAATCTTCTACAGGCTGAATGTTGCAGAAAAAAGTGTTTGTTAACAATTTAATTAAAATTGTTTTATTAAAAAAAAACAAATAGATTTTTCAGTGTAATTTTCTTTATAAACTGTAGTAGAGCTAATAAGAGCGTATTTTATTATTTAGAATTCCTCAAAAAATAGCTTCAGTTTCTCCATTGAATCGGAATCTGACAGGGCACGTATTCGTTGCAGTTGGGAATGTTGCAACGCGCAACTTTGATGCTCTCTGGCCGAGTGGTTCCCAGCTGGCTGAGGGTCGCTGTAGCGAGCCGGCGGCAGTATTCAAGCTCGAATGAAAATAGGGAGAATGTAAAAAAGACGCTGAACTCAAGAACGGACTCGGATATGGCGCGTTTCTTCCTCCAGGGCACAATACCGAAACAGATTCCCAGACACCTTCATGACGACTTTATCCAGCTTACTAAATATGAACAAGGGAAGGAGTGGACAACATCGTTTTTTACTCAAGAGCCATACAATGTAACTAAGTTTATATACCAATTTCTAATTGAGAAAATCCACTTGTGAGAACGCATCTACGAAAAATATTCAAAACTTGCTGAAGCAGAAACTTCTTCAAATAGCGCCGAAAGTATTATTTCTGTCGAGTATTTTACTCTGAATCAGAGAAGACAGATCATAGAGTTGTCGCGTGGAGGTTTGTCTGCGGATTTAATTGCCCTGCAATTACGAGTGCCAGTAGAAGGGATTGATGATGTCCTGGAGAAAAATGAAGAGCTGCGGAGAAAGAAACCAAGGTAAGAGAAACACGTTAGAATTTTTGCAGTATTTTATTCTGGCTCAGATCGTGTGAACTTTTTGAGTCTTTGTATATTTCTTCCTGAAGTAAATCTCATTTTCATAAAAGCCATCAAGCTGATGGAACATAAATCGAACCAGTAGAAGTAGCTCACATTTCATATAGAAATATTTTTTTCTCTTCTTGCTTTAGGTTTATACAGGCGTCTCTTATGGTCGAACGAGCGATAATCAATCTTCAGTCAACCGTTTTATTCGAAAATTTTTCATGCACGATTTCATTCTTTTGCATATCCAAGGCATATGCAAGTGCAAACGAACCAAATTTACCCTCAAGCCTTTCCGAATTTTCTAAATATCCTTCTAATGTTTTACTCTGATTTTTAGCATCGAAGATGAAATTTGGATTAATCAGCGAGCAAATAGTCTGATGAAAGAAAGTCCATGGGGATTCAAAACTCCCGACGCTTACAAAAGAGTCCGCGCTGCGAAGAAGCGGGTGATCCGCGACTACAAACAGAGAAAAGAGGCTTATCCTCCCCTACTTGAAAACAGAGTTCAAAAATTTTCGGCTCCCGGGCAGGGGAGCGGCGGCCGGCCGGGCGCGGGCACGCTGCCCGCATGCGCCCCCGGGCCTCGCGGTCTCAAGCGCCCGAGCCCGTCAGAGGCCGCGGCCAGTTTTTATGATTACACCGTGCCCGCGTGAGCCCCCGGGCCTCGCGGCCTCAGGCGCCCGCGCCCGTCAGGGGCCGCGGCCAGTTTTCGTAAGAGAAGAAGAAATTTTCGCCGAAAACTTTGAAATTTTATATAAAAATTGAGACTTTTGTCGGAAACCCGTGAAAGAGTTCTCTTTAAAAATAACCCCTAAAATTGGCTCAAAATTTGGTCTAAATCAAGATTTTCGCAAATTTCCGAACTTTTCGCATATTTTTTGACGGTTAACTTATTCAAGTCATCGAATTGAAGCTGAAAATACCGATTGAAATTTGGTCACTTTGTACTCGCGGGCGCGGCCGGGCGCGAGCAGGAGGGCAAGGGCCCGCGCCCGCGTGAGCCCGCGGGCACCTTCAATTTCTTGCCCGCGCCCGCGTAAGACCGCGGGCACCTTCAGTTTCGGGCCCGCGCCCACCTGAGCCCCCGAGCTTCATCAATTTTGTGCCCGCGCCCGCCTGAGCCCCCGACCATTTTTCCATTCCGAGCCCGCGCCCGCCTGTGCCCGGGCAAATCGCGGGGTTTTTGAACTCTGCTTGAAAACCCAGACCCAAAAGTTGAAAACTTTCATGTCTCTGTCATCGATTCTAAAAACTCCCCAGTTTAAAAGCATCAAAATTACCAAAGGGTCATTTTAGAATGAATATCTCGTCGTTATTTCTTATCTTTCACGCGACGGTCACAGCTCAAGAAGCCGAAATCACCACAAAAGCAAGCCCAGTTGACTTGTCTAACTCGACAGAGGCAGAAGTTGAGCCAGAGGTCGAAAACATGGGAAACCCAGCAACAGAAAGTCCAGATTTATCTCCTAAAAATGGAACGACTACAGATACGCCTCTTGTTCGTCCAATTACCAGGTATCTATGGCCAAATATACGTAGATTCATAAACGCATGATCAAATAGATAGTGCTCTTTGAATTATCCTAATCAATCAACATATCTAAGATATGATATCTTCTTCAATTCATAAATTCTAGCGCACCCATTGAATCCGGCTTCGACTTCGGCAGCTTCATCGGTGGCGCCGTTCTAGCGTTTGGCGTCACGGCAACGGTCTATTTCGGCATAAAATTCTACCGCGCGCATAATCCCGATTATCGTCATATTTAAAAGTCGCTCATACAAATACGCAAATCGTACTCCAACTTTGTATCAATCCATATATTTCAAGAATGAGCTTCTTTGCCGATTCCTACCGCTAGAAATCGACAAAAAAGCGTCATTTTTACACCCTTTTGTTCATAATTTATGATAGTCATTATTTTCCTTCTTCGTATAAAAATATCAAACCGTCTCGTGTTATACAGTCATTTTACTCACGCCTTTTTATTCTTCAACCTTCGAAGGACTTTTTATCATGACACACACAAATACAGTTTACTCGTTCAATCTCTTTTGCAAAAACAAACTTTTAAACCGCCAAAATACGAAAAATAAAATCGCAACAAAAAAAAACAACCGTTTTAAACTTGTGTTACTTGCAGAATGATTGTTTTACTTTCGGGAAAGCGGAAATCGGGGAAGGATTTTGTTGCAGAAAAGCTTCAGGTTTGCTTTTTTCTAGGATAAGGGCTTATTTTAAACCCCCTTTCAAGGCTCTCAACCCTTTTTCTCGGCCAATGAGAATCATCAGACTTTCTGCACCTTTGAAAAAAGCATACGCATCAGAGCATCCTGGAGTTGACTATCAACAACTTATGGTAAAAACCCTTATCTACCCTTAAATTTTTATCTTAGCTATTGTAGACTAGTGGGGAGTACAAGGAAAAGTACAGAGCAGATATGGTTCGCTGGGGTGAAGCAAAGCGAAATTCTGACCCGAATTATTTTGTGAAACTTTCTTTTGCTGACTTGGATGTTCATTTGTAAGTTTGTGTTTTTAACGATTTGAAGGTTTGACAAAGCGCGTAGAAAAAGCTCGTTGGTGGTTGTCTCCGATTGTAGGAGAAAAACGGACATTGAAAGCATCAAGAAGCTGTTTGATGATCCCGGCTATCACAACCAACTGGCGATAGTTACAGTCAGAATCGAAGCCACCCGGGAGGCCCGAGAGTCACGCGGGTTCACCTTTACTGCTGGTATCGACGATTGCGAGACAGAATGTGGCCTGGACGATTACCCCCACGATTTTATCTTCAAAAATGACTCCGGCGGCGATATTTCACCGTTGATCGATTTTCTCGACGCCCGACTCGAAGCACCATAATGCCCCTTTACGCTGGAATTTCCGTACTTTTTCCGAACGGTTGTTCTTCAGCTTTGCGCAGTGGCAGTATCGTAAACGATGAGGTTTATCCGAGTTGCGATTATTGCTAATTGAAAACTATACCCAATACCCCGCCATGCGGACGTGAAATACCGTCCACATAGGCAATTTCTGAAGGAGGCTACGGTCTCCTCGTGTTATCAAAACTCTAAAATTCGGACTTCCACCTGAGGGTTATCTTTGATCTCTTTTCACTAGAAAATGCCCAGCAAATCCACCAAGTCATCAATAAATTATTGACAATAATTCATTAACTTTTGTCTAGATTGCTTGATTTCGCCCTTTTTCAGGCCTTTGAGCCAACTTTTATCTCTGGCCCACCCTTTCCTCCTAAAATACCTCAGAAAATGCATCTTCTTATTTTGATAGTCCCCCATTTGGCCATTTAGAATGTAAAAACCATGAATCGGTGTCGATGAGCATGAAAGAAAACCGGAAAACAACGAGCAATTGGGTCAAGAGAAACTTGAGGCGCTTGATTCGTCGAAACTACGTAAGATGGGCTACGGTTATCGCCAAGTATCCCTTCTGCCTCATTTTCATCAGCGTCGTTTTCACCTTGATATGTAAGCGAAGCCCGTTTTCTATCCATTCTCGAATTGTTCTAGGCTGTCTTTCCTTTTACTTCAAAACTCCTTATTCGATCCACTCACTCCCGTCGGAGAATTTCTCGGAGAACAAGCCAGAAGGATACATCCTCCAGTTTGAATTTGAAAACAAGCATCCCACGAGAAAACTCATCGATGAAACAACGATAGTTATCCGGAATCATGAATATCTGTCGAACAACTGCGTTCACGGAGAATCGCTAAAGTCGGGAATTCCACCAGAGCTGTCAAAAGTGATCCCGAATCATTCCTGTCTCATCTTTTCACCGGCGAATCTTCCTGATTCTGATCACGAATTTCCGCGAAATGTTGAAGAGTTATTCAAGGAAAAGTTCCATTTCTACCAATTATGATACCAGATTTCGTTCTTTTCAGGGGTGATTTTATTATTAGAGCCCTCAGTTTTGATGGCACATCTGTTAGATGGAACGATTCAAGTAGCGTCACAAAAAGGCAGCGCGCATTTTATGGGGGTCCAAGTGGAAACACTATCCACCCGTTGTTACCGTGGTTTTGCGACATGACATTGATCCACAAGCACCTTGGCTTCTCTCTTTGGCAAGGGATCTATTTCCAGCGAGCGCGAGCGAAAACGTGTCAACCCCGCCAAGGTCAGTCCCTGCCAATTATTCTATCAAAGATTTTATTTTCGTATGCAGATCCGGGACCGAACCACTGATCAACATAAATTTCCATTTTGGGTATCCCGCGACGATTGATTGGTTGGTTTATCTCTCAGCGGGAATCTTACTGTACGTTTATTATTACGTTACGGTCAGAAAGATGAATTTTCTCGAATCCAGGAAGGTTTTTCATCAATTTTTAAGCTCAATAGCTTTATTTTTTCTTTTAAAACCGGGCCAAGTATTATCACAAGTGCTGCTGTCTGTGGAACACTGATAATGTCTCTAATGGTCGCTTTAGGATCTTGCCTCGGTAAAACTATTTCTTTGATAAACGAGCTGACTCCTTTCTAGCGCTGGATCTGGACATTTACGTCGAGTCCGGACCGTTCGAGCGCGGAATCGGCTGGATTTTCATCTACTACACTTTTACGTTTATTGCGTTTGAATCTGTACTGATGCTGACGAAGTGTATCATAGAAACGCCTGTCGAAGGAAGCAGTTTTTGATATCTTATGTAATGTTCATTCTCGGGCAGGGAAGGGAAAGCTTGGGGATCAAAGAAAATGATCAATCTACGCTTACTAGAGCCCTGGCTGAGCTCCAAAATTGTTTACGAAACTCGCTTTGAAGAGGGGCCAACTGAGCGGATCGCGCACGGATTGCTCCGCGGCGGGTGCCACCTCTCCAAGTTCTTCTTCGCTCAATTAGCGCTGACCATGATTGGCTCGATCTCCGAATACTCTCGCAGGAATACAGTTCAACCCAGTAGTGCTCGGACAGCTTTACTTTTAACTCGTTTGGGGGTTTAATTAGTTAGTCGCCGCGTTGGATGACGGCCAATCAAAGAGTGATTAAAAATTGGGAGAAGAAAAAATCGACAAAATACTTCCGCGATTAGTCGATTTTTTCTAGCAAAAAGTCGAGTTTCAGGCTGATTATTCCAAGGCCGGGACGAGTGCAATACAGATGTTTCGATATTCGTCTGTACAGACACTCCGACGAGACCTAGAATTCTCACCGATCATATTTCCCTCTCTCTTTCTCAGTCGGATGTTTTCAGAATTTCTACAAGTCGGGACCAGTGCAATATTAATTCAGAAAAGTAAAACAAATGCACAAAATCGCGACTGGTAGACTTTCGAAATTAGCTTTTTAAATTGTCTTCTTCTTTCTCTCTCTATTTTTTCGAAATGCTCTTTCTCTCTTTGTCCCTATTTTTCTCTCTGAGTGGTCGAGCTAAATAGGCCGCGCGGGATAAACGAGACTCCGCCCGGGGGGAGCGCGCGCGTGAACTCTCGCTCTCCCGCCCTCCAGTGGTATCTCTCGGTCAGCTGCCCCCGCCCAGCAGGTCACGGATTTATCACCAATGATTTCGAGCTACTTCGATATTTCTCAGCCTTTTTGGAGTGAGGAAATCATCTGTTTCACTTGATCTCTTTGTCCTTCTATTATTAAAAGAAGTTAGTATTGAATGACTCGTATTTCGTTTCCTGTCTGCGAGACAGCGCTTTGAAGTTTTTATTTCTATTTTTCGAGTTATAAACGGTGCTTCCCGTCGCCGGGAGCGGCGAGGAATAGAGCCACCGGGAGAAATTGATTTCGCCCCTGGCCTCAGGTGATTGGATGCTCTTTTGGCCAGCACAAGCCGTGATTGGTTCAAACGAGTTTCTCATCTCTCTTTATTCTGTCGTTGAGGACAAAGGGAAAGTCATCCACTTGACCTGAGAGGGATTCATTAGCTTTATGACTCACTGTATTCAAAATTTGAAGAGCTGGTAAACGGCCAAATAATTTTCTTATGGGCCAAGGGAGAAAAAGGTTGAAAATGTTGAATTGTTACCAGTTTTTCTATCTTTGCTCTGATTATGGTTCTCTCGCACTCTGCTCTTCTTCATGAATGGCTTGTAAACTTGTTTATTTGTAACAAGAATAGTTCGTTTTTGACCTTCATAAAGGATTTACGAGCCATTGATAGTCTTTCTTCGCCCCTATTCTCTTTCTCGAGCTCAAGCAACTTGAGCGATCAGGTAAAGAAAAAAAAAAACTCTTGAAGCATTACTCAAAATTTTAAGAACCAAAATGGATTCACAAAAGATCTGGAGCCGCAATAAGATTGCGTCGTTATTGGAATTCCAGGAATTCTGGAAAGTTCAGGGAGGACACTCTCGAAGGAAAGGGCATATTCTAGAGTTTTTTCTCTTTTTGATGACAGCCAGGAATCTTGAATCAATCAAAAATTTTGACAATGGCCTTTCGATTGAGATAAAAATTCGTCTGTCTGAGACCATCAAAATAAGTTCACGATGTGCCGAGTCTCCGAGTCTCGCCGCTTTATGATTCGTAAGCTCTTTTCGTAAATTTATATACCAATCACTTTTTTACGAGCGTACAAAAAATATGTTTGTCAGAACTTTTTCCACGCCCTAAACGAAGATGTGACTCCGCTGGTCGACCTTGGGGAGAATCATATTGACCCGATTGAGGGGATGTTCCAGCCACTGAGGATCAAGTTGTTAAAAACATGGGCCCACAAGGCAATTCTGCAGAAAATTGCGATGATTGTCTTTATAACTTGGATTGGTTATCGAGTTTTTATGGTCGATCCAAGTGAAATCAACAACGACTACGATGACAATGACCTGGAGTTTGCTAAACTGCCGTGGGCGTATGCTTTCCAACTCTATTCAAGAGATATTCGCGGAAAGCATCTATCCTTCCTTCCTCGAATTCGTGTTCCTTTCGATCCCAGTGGCTCCCGTCCGATCCCAATCTATCAGGAAACCAAGGATTCTCCTCGCTTGACCCAGTTTGTCTCCTGGAAACTTGTTTCGCTGATTATCGCCTTTGCAGCAGCTATTTATAAGCTTTATAAGGTGAGAAATAAAACAAATATTTCTGACCCGTGTCATGGGAGTGACCCTGTTTTTGTAACACCTGGATTGGAATTAACAAATTTTTTCTGTGAAATGATTATGACCTGATTTTAGTAGTTATTTTTAGGCGTACGAGAGGAAAATCGAAATCAACAAGGCATTTGTGGAGTATTTTGATTCCCGGAAGGCCTCGAAATCGCTCTATGAAGATGTCGCGCTGGAAAAACATTTGGAGTTGGAATTCACCATTGATCATGTTGCACAAGATGAAGAAACTGGGAACCTGCTTTTAGTTGACTCTTCCGGATCTTTGACGATTTTTGATGCTTCAAGTAACAAAATTGTCGCTCAGAAGCTGTCTCAGATTTCTTCTTATCGCGCTTCCACGACATCAGATTCGAGACATCATTTTACCGAGGACGATAATCCATTGATATCTGACGATGAGACTGTTTGGTCTATCGGAATTCATCAAAACAACATCATTCTTGGCTTCTAGGTCTAGGATCGGGGGTGATCGTTGGAGATCCGAAATGACGCGCTCGAGATGAATCACCAACGAGTGGAGCGCGGGTTGTTTGGATCTCCAGAGCGCGGAGATCGAAGCTCGATCTCCAAATCAGTCCCAGGGATTTTGTCGATCTCCAATTTTCGGTGATCGGATCCCCGAATTTTCCCGACCATGGATTTCTCTCGAATACATTCATATTTTTCAGTAAATAGGGACTATGCGGGTCAGTGTCTCAAAAATTTATTAATACTAATGAGTTTGTAATGCTTATTTTCAAGAAGTAATCGCCGATAGCTTATCGCTCACCAGCCGAGCTCTAAGTGGGCGCTTTAACCAGTTAACAGGGGCGTGCAGGTTTGACCTGCACGCGTGGAAACGGTTAGCCATTCACAACCTCGGATCCTTGATTTCACTCAATCATCGACAGGCAAAAGCGTAGGCGAAATCGACCACTCTGTTAACGGGTTAACCTTTGGAAATTTAAACCGAACCAAATTTTGAATTCAAAAAATTTAAATCAAGCAGAGATAGTAAAAAGTACTTGTTTTTATCTTAAGCTTTAATCCATGCACTTTTTTGACAGAATATTTGAAATCTACTGTGCAAAATTAGTATTGTCTGAGATTTTCAAGGCTATCCGGTCAGTCGCTTCTGATATCAGTAGGCTGACAGAAGATTGTTTCAAAGTGACTCATCGACTTCGGGGATCAAAAATTTTTGGATCTCCAAGAACTGGAGATCGAGAGTGGTGATCGATCACCGCAATTTCAGAGTGGAGATCGCGCGGATCTCCACGCAATTGGAGATCCAAAGAACCCGCGCTCCACTCATTGGTGATTCAACTCGAGCGCTTCATTTCGGATCTCCAGCGATCACCCCCGATCCTAGACCTAGCTTGGCTTATCTTCTGGGAACGTGAAGTTTTTGCAGGTTTCAAAAGCAGAAATGCTTCTCAAGTCGACTTATCTACTCGACGAATCTGGCGTTTCATTCATAATTACGCGTGACGAGGAAAGTGCTTTCATCGCGCTTACGATTGAAGGAACCGTACGAAAATTCTCCACTTGTCCATTTTCCGCTCACGAGGTGCAACACAGCACGCCTGGCGTCACAGTTGTCCGCACCATGTGCGAACGTATCGTTTCTGGCTCATTAGACGGCTCTGTGACTGTTCTGAACAAGGACTGCAGGACTGATCATGTCTGCAAAGGTCACAATTACCCAATCACTGCCCTAAATCTCTTCAAAAATGGAAAATCTTCAAGCGACATCACTGCCATGTCGGCGGATCAGTCTGGTCAGGTCCGAATTTGGACCTTGTTGTCAGGCCGTTGCCAATTTGTGCTTGGCAATTACTCTGGCATGATTTCAAATGTCTGGCCTTGCAGGTACGTTATCAGCTCAGTACTTCAGTACCTAACTTTACCACCAGGAATATCCTGATCGGAATGACACAATCAGGGCGGGTCCTAATTTGGACTCACCGCAGCGGCCACTTCAAGCAATCTTTCAAACTTGGAGAGTCTTCAAATGGCGGTGCCATTGTTCTCAATGAAAACTTACTGATTGCTGCATTCGACCAGCAAATAGGATTTATTGACCTTGATCTGAAGAACAAAAGAAGATCAATCTCGCTGCGAAATTCAGTATCAGAGAGAACAACTTCAAAATAAGGTAACAACAAAAATGAAACGAAAAAATTTCCTCTATTTTTAGGTCGACGGCTTTGACTCCCTCAAAGCTTTTCTTCAGCCAGACAGGAGACAGAAAAACACTATTCTTCTCACATGGTCGAACTCTAAAAAGCCTTCTCTTGCCGCCTCACGTTGACTGTACAAATATCTCGTAAAACTACTACTCACTGTTACTACTTTTCGTTCCACAAGTTCTAACACAGATAATCACTTGTTGTATAAAAGCCAATTAAATTTTTTTCTTAAGAGATGGTACGACTTTATGGAATCGTGATCGCGAAGAAAAACGGCGACAAAGTTCAAAAATTGTGCGAAGAAATTGATGTCAGTACTTTTGGCTTCTTCCAAAGAAATTCTGTTGGAGAGTTTATCAGATTCACCCATTCCATTGTTCTCGGTAACGACCTTTTCTCCATCCTTACCTTCAATAATTTCTTTAGAAAGGACTCCTCTAAATGACAGAAAGTCAGTAAAACAAGATGCATACATGGCCCATTCTTACGTCGGTCCTGATGGTCTTTCCGCCTGTTGCATCGCTGATGAAGAGTACCCAAAAAGACCGGCGTTTGTCATGCTTGGCAAGGTAGTAGGTAAATTAGCCCTCATTTGTTACTTTTTATAACCGCATTCTTTCTCACTCAGAGGACTTTGCCGCAGCGCATCCAAATTGGAGTAGCATCAATTCAGTCGAATTCGGATTGAAGGACATTCTTACAAGATGGCAAGACCCTAAATCGGCTGATTCCATCATGAAAGTGCAGAACGAGCTCGATGAGACAAAGCAAATAGTCTCCGAAACGCTCGAAAAGATTCTCGATCGTGGCCAGAAGCTTGACGATCTTGTCAGGTAAAAATCAAACTATAGGTATTATTTTTAAAAAGTAATTTTAGCCGCAGTAACGAACTCTCAGAGCAGTCGAAAGCATTCTACAAAACCGCCAAGAAGACCAACTCATGGTGCTGCTCAATCATGTGATCTTTCTTTGTCTTCTTTCAATATAATTTCAACCTATTTTCCTTTTTTTTTCTTCAGGTTCAAAGTTTGTTCCATTCTGTTCCTCTTTCCAACTCATTATTGAAAACAACATCAACAACCATATCAACATATCAAGAATCTTTCCACTCCTTTTTCCACCATTCTTTGGTGCACAAACTTTAATATTCATATAAAAATGCATATATATCAATTGTGAAACATACCATACCTTCGCTTTTATAACAACTCTATTTGTCCTGTTTTTTTGACAAAAAGCTACAGTAACTCCTTGTGTCATATATTCAAGTCAACATATGCCGGTATTTTTTCTGCTACTCCTCTATTTTTCAAATTGTTAGTTTACTACTACTGATACAAATACAGCTCTGGAATTATATGCATTCACGTCTTGACCGTTTTATTCTCTAAGAATGCCAAAGAAAAAGACAGGGCAGCGAAAAAAGGCTGAAAAGCAAGCTGAAAGACAGCGAGACATCAGGTGCTTTTTCCTATAAGGTATCTATATAAATCAGTGAAATATCAATTATCTAATGTCGTTCGACCTATTCAAGAGCTTTTCATAGATCCTCAGAAAGAGGGCTAGCAATACATCCCTGTAACTCGCTGATAGAATGCGATCAATGCGGAAAGCAACAGAAAAATCGAGCTTTTTGCTACTTCTGCAATCATATTCAAAAGACAGTGGTCTGCGGAAGCTGTGGAATGACAAAGTGTATGAATAGATCCCCAGGAGGATGTCTCGTCAAACACGGTGCAAATTATATTACTGGCGTGAAAATTGCCGGCGCCATTTGTGATCATTGTGAAACGTTTGTCTGCCATGGGAGGGATTGTATACAAAAGCATGGCTGTGCTTGTCCGTTGATTGATGCTGTCTGTATTGAGGTGGAGGTATTTCTTCTTCCTTGCATAGAAAGTGGGTTCTAGTGCGAAAGAGGGGTGTGGGATCACGGAGGGCGAATGTTCAAGTGCTCCTTCTGTTGCGGCTATCTCTGCGAAGATGATCAATTCGAGCATCAAGCCAAATGCCAAGTCCTCGACGCTGAAAACGACAAATGTGGCTCTTGCAATAAATTCGGCCAGTGGAGCTGTCTCAAGGTAAATTTTATTCGACGCCCGGGCGTTTCAAGAACTTTCTCGCTTCGCGAAATCCAATTGGCGAGAAGAAGGAGAGTTACGTAACGAATTTTCTAGTGTAAAATTTGCTTCTGTGATGATCATGTTCGGCGAAAAGGAGTCAAGTACGCGAGGGATGAAAAGTTCCCGTGTCCGAAGTGTGGATTTGAGTGTAGAGAAACAAAGGACTTGGCGATGAGCACTAGGAGTTACAAGTTCGGCCGAAAGGCGAATACAGAGTTAGTTCAGTAACACTAGAATTATTTTTAAATCAATTTCAGGGGCGAAGAGTCGACCTTTTCTTACGGCGGATACACAGTTCAAGTCCAGCGACAGGTGTACTCCGATGAAGAAGATTATGAAGACGATCTCGTGCAGGGAATGACATCGATGAATCCTACGGACTTTCAGTACGGTTATCATGGACAATATGACGAAGATGAAGATGAAGAATAACAATCTCTTTCTACTATTTAACTACAGCAATACCGCGTGTTCCAGAATGTCACTCAATATAAAATCTAAAATTAATATAAGCGATGTTTTCTCTTCAGAAGATTGTATGCCAAGATCTCGGAGAGATCGAGAACGCCTTGAGGAGCAAGATTCGTATTCGTTCGACCCTTTCGAGTCTTCCGCAAGTTCTGCCCCGAATGGTGTGCAGCTTAACCCTGATGGAACTCCATGTCGTGCTTGTAGTTCAGTTCAAGATGTGAAAGCACGGCTTGGAGATGCTTTTGGGGTTGGTAATTCCAGCGTCAGAAATGACTGCGCCCCAGATGTCAATCAAATTGGAAATGCTGGCTGGGTAAGTTTTGAAAACTTAGCTTTCTACCAATTTTACCTTCCAAATATTTTTTTCAGACAATTCTCCACACAATGGCAGCATATTATCCTGATAAACCATCACCTGAGAAGAAAGCCGCTGTTTTAAACTTCTACGATTCTTTCTCAAAGCTCTATCCTTGCTCTCATTGCGCAGAAGACCTTCGCCAGGACCTCAAAGAATTCAAAGTCAGGAACGAATCTCGTGCGAGTTTGAGTATTTGGACCTGCGAAATGCATAATCGAGTGAATGAGAAGCTGGGAAAGGAGACTTACAAGTGTGATCTTGATTGGCTTGATCAGAGATGGCGAGATGGCTGGAAAGACGGCTCATGTGATTTATAAATGGCTACTGCAAAAATGATTTTCTAATTTTAATAGATATCTTACGATAGATTTTTGACAATGCTTTCTTTAGAAATGCTCGCGCTTAGAAGTACCCGAACCCTTACCACTCGGCTCGCCACGCCAGGTAATGATCAGGCTTCAATTATGTTATCCTAAATCTATTCTAGTGCTGAGCCGAAAGCTTTCTGCGAAGGCCGAGATCCCCGAGACCAACATGTTTTGGCTCCGCCACCAGATCAAAGCCAAGGATGGTTTCCACAAGCACGTCAACTTTGTGAGTCTTTTATATTTTGATTGCAGCCATTAGAATGGATTTTAGGAGCGAATCGTCGCCATGGTCGCTCTTGGCTCCATGGGCGCTGCTGTCATCTCCCCTGGCAACTTCCTTGTCGACCAGACATTGGCTCTCACCTGGATCGCCCACTCCTACTGGGGCGTTGAAGCTATGATCATGGATTACATTCCCCTTCTTCTCCCTGTTTTCTTCGCCAACGTAAGCCGCTTTCTTTTGCGAATGTGCCTAGTCTCCAAATAAAATTTTAGGTCGCCAAATGGCTTTGGGTTGGATTCTGCCTCATCATGGCTGTTGCCTTCACCAACTTGAACCTCAAGGTTGGCGAGAAGCAGGGCTGTGGCCACATCATCCGGGAATTCTTCCTTATGTAAAAAGCGCTCTTTTTATAAAGAATAGCACCTTTCTGTCCTGTTTCGCTATTGAGAACACTATTTATTAAGACTATGAGCGCATAAGATCCTACAAGTTCAAGACCTCCTGTTAGATCATTTCTTCGTTAAGAATGAGTGACTTCGACGATTCCTACGAGTCTTCCATCTTCTCTGATGCTTCAAGCTCGTCCATCGATGACATGATCTTTTCTGATGAGCCGCCAAGTGATGATTCGTTGGACGATTCCGTTGGAGATCTTGAGGAGAGTCGTCTCGAAGAAGATTCGGAGAAACGTAATTGGACTTTATTTTCTACCTTTTAAGTTGATTTTAGAAGAAGATGAGAATTCCAACTCAATCTCGCTTCCAAAACCAGTGCCGGAGATTCCGATGACTGGATATCTTGATGAATCGATCCATGACCCTAGCTCGGAAGATATAATTGACAGTCAACGAAGTAGGGTTAATAAGTATTTCCAAATCAAAAGCCTTCTCTTTCAGAGCTGGAGAATAAGTATGAAATCCTCGACTTTTCTCTCTCGGGCCTCGAGGTTTCTGATGAACGAAAGAAGTATTACGAGAAGGAAGAAAATGAAATGAGTTTTGTCGCAGGCAAGAAAGAGTACGAGCCTCCGCTTCTTTCTCTCGCTAACCTCGATATGGACAGCTATAGGAAATGCGCTGATGTGTTGAGGCCCCATCCACATCTTAGGAGAGGTAATCTCTTGATAGATTTTACCCATATAGAGTTTTTCTAGCGTTTCTCGAACCAAGAATGGTCCAAAGTCAAAAGGTCAGCATCAAAGTCGATCCTCCTTTGACTCCGCTGAAGTCAATTCTTCGATCACGAACTGGATCGGACAATATGGAAGATCATATCGAGTATATAAAGCGTCGATCAGAGCTACGATCAGGTTCCAAACCGAACAAAACTGAAGAAAACATTAGGAGGATGGAGCAAGACTTGACTGCTGAAAGACCAGAGCATACCGAGTACAGAAGTGCTCAAAGTGTAAAGGAAGAATACATCGCGCGAGCAGAATCAAAAGAGGAAAATTCATCAAAACCTCGATTCAGCCCGAGAGACCGGATTTATGACAGTCTCTCTGAGTCAACCAAAGCGCGATTGGAAAAGCTAAAGCAAGAACGAAAGAAAAAGAATGCAGAAATAAACGGAAATGATGCTGCTCCATCTCCACCAAAGCCAAAGTTCAACTACGCCAAGCTGGAGATGATCAAAAACCGCTTCGAAGGTAATTCTTCTAAAAATCGCATTTTTACAGCATTTTCAAGAGCAACAAAAGAAGAAAGCGGGAAATTCATTCGAAATGACAATGATGCAAGAAGAGCGGGAAGAGCAAAAGCGTCGCCACCGCGAAACCCTCAAGAAATTCGAGCGAATGTCGACCTAAATCCCAGATAGAAAATCTTCCTCACTGACACTTATTTAAGCTAAATGAACTGCCTCATTTATCTTCACACTGCAGTTTTCACTTCACCTGCCAAACACATATTAAAAAAAGCTCGGACTAGATTCTTTTTCATTCAGAAAATGCCTGTAATCAAGGCTCCAACAAATCAAAAGCGTCACACTAATGTGGCGGTAGTCCGGCTCAAGACTCACGGAAAGCGATTCGAACTTGCGTGTTACAAAAATAAGGTGCAATCATGGAGGGATGGAACGGAGAAAGATCTTGGTGAGGTGTTGCAATCGGATAGAATCTTTACAAATGTCGGCAAAGGAGAATTCGCTAATTCGAAAGACTTGGACAAGGTAAGAAATATTTCCTTGTTAATTTCAATAAAAGTTGAAGGCATTTGGAACGAAAAATGAAAAAGACATCGCAATTAAAATCCTGGCAAAAGGCGACCTGCAGGTTTCTGATAAAGAACGAGAAGTAGCTAACGAATCGCTCTTCTCTGAAATTGCGGAGAAGGTTTCTGAAATGTCCATCAATCCGCAAACCGAACGAAAGTATCCACCGACGATCATACAGAAGGCTATGAAGGAGACGATTCATTATTCCTTGCAGACGAAGAAGAACGCGAAAGTACAAGCAATCGATGTCATCAAGCAGCTGAAAGCCAAGGACTTTCCAATTGATCGTTGCAAAAGCCAAGTAAAAGCTACGATTCCAACTGAATTTTCTAACGTCGCCGATAAGATCCGAAAGCTTGCCAGGTAAGTTTCGAAAATTAATTAGCATCTGATCACCTTTCTAGCAAAATACTTGACGAAAAAGAGGCGGATGATCAGATCCTGCTCAACATTATGATCATGCCGCACCAACTGAAAGAGATTCAACAGATCTTCACGAAAGAAACATCGGGTAAAGCTTCCGTGGAATTGATATCGCTGAATAAACAAAAGTCCTCTGATGAACAGCTCATTTAATAAAAGTTCATTCAACTGGAAAATATAAAAAAGGAACCATTGAACTCCATTTTCTGGTTGTTTTTACCTTCGTTTTTTGATTGTTTTGGAATAAAATAGCATGGCAGGCACCTAATAAATTCGTTTCTTATCGTCAACTCTTAGAAGGATAATAATCGGATAAGAGCAAAGTGAAGGATAGCTTGGAAGGTGGAGACAGAAGGTTTGCGCTAACAAAAATACTGAAAGTTACTTCCGCTTGTAATGAGGTCTTGGATAAAGTAAAACTGAGCTCAAAATCGTAACAAAATTATTTCGCAAAAGCAAATATAAGCGTTTGTTTGCCAATCAATGGGAAATTGTCAAAATTCAGAACTGAGAGAATCGATAGTCGAAGCGGACGGGGTGCAAGATATGGAACATCATAGCTAGGGATTAAACGCGTTTATAGGAGGACTCAGTGATTTGATTACTCAGTGAAAATTCCACGCTAAGAATTATTATCATCGGTGGAGGAATAGCGGGAATCGGCTGCGCGAGTGTTTTATCCAAAAATGGTGTCAACAATTATCGAGTTCTCGAATACTCGAACAGAATTGGTGGGAGATTGCGGCCTTTTCAACTCACCCCCGAAATATCTGTCAATCTTGGAGCAAATTGGATCATGGGCGAGCGGAATCCACTGCTAAAGATTTTGAAAGACAGTGGGAATTCGGAGACTCTTCTGGACCCAGAATACTTCAGTGAAGAAAAGAAGGTTATTGTTTTGGACGAAAAATATGAAAATATTACGGAGAAGATGGAAGTCTACCATAAACAATTTTTAAACGACTGGCACGAAATGACGCAGTATTTTCAACAGACGGAGGAGTTAATTTCAATCGAGGAATTCATGAAACGAACGGACTCTTCGCCCGAGAAAATTCCACGAGATATCTACGAGGCCCTCCACTATATCCACGGGTACTCGCAAATCTGTGCCAGCGAGCCTGCGACGTGTTCCATCGGAGATGCCGACGAGAAACAGATGGAAGAGAGATTTGGAGAAACACCAATAGTTCTGGGTTCATTCATTTCGTTCGTGAACTTTGATCAAATTAAAATTAACTCGCCTGAGTCTTCACTTCTGAGACAAAATTTCTGTCAAGTGAAACCTCAAGTTGAAGTACTTATTCACAGATTTATAACCCATAGAAAGCAACGTCCAACATAAGTGCGTGCGTAGCCGAAATCGCAAAGGATGTACCGAATGAGAACATTATCTTCAATTCAGATGTTTTCCTTGTCACAAATGACAACAACAAGGAAGGATTTGAACATTTCAATGGGCCCCGATAAATCAGAACTTTAATCTTTTAATTATTTATTTGCGCCTGGAGCAGACATTTTTTAAATGCCAATAACTTGTCAGTACGACAACAGTGTTGTCTATCTTAAGAGCTCTGTAGATGTAGTCAAATCCTGATAAAGTTTCATTTATCTTTGAGAAACTCAAAAGGATCAGTGGAACAGATGAGCTGCGACTTTCTCGTCTCGGCAGTCCCGATCAGTCAGTATCAGTCGAAAAGGTTAAGGCTTGAGTTTATGACCCCGGAGAAAGATGAGCTCATATCAGCACTTTCACTTGTGCACTTTGCGAATTGTTTTGTCTTACTGGAAAAAGATCAGGAGCATCTACTCCCAGGTAAGTTCTGATCATATTCACCTATGCCAACTTCTCTAAGACAAGAATGACTTCATCTACCTTCCAAACAACGAAGAGAACATCTTCCGGTCTATCGAATTCGACCCAATGATACTCCGGTTTCACGGGCGAAAGGCGATCGCATTCAGAACCACGTCAGAAAAGGCGAAAAAGTTCAACTCGCTTTCAAGAGAAGAGATCAAGAAAAACATTCAGACAACCATCAAGAGAGTATTTGGATTTGATGCGAATATTGAAAACTTTTCGAACCCAACTTGGGCTGCACAAGGTTTTTTGCTTATTTGCAGAATTCAAATTGACTCCTGAATTATTAAGAAAACTTCCAGGGCTGCTATACGAATGTGGCTCTGTGTCCGGGAAAGACATTTGACGAGTTTTACTCGCGTCTGAACGTTCCATTAGGTAAATAAAGCAATTACGATTCAAACTGAATAACTTGCTAATTTCATTTTAGTTGATAATTTCTACATGATTGGAGAGGCTTTCGATGGATCGAATGCTGGTTATGCGCATGGAGCGTACCTAACTGGAGTCAACTCAGCAGAACAAATTCTTAGATTACTGAATACTGAGGATAATAAAGAAAGATAATACTGATCTTTCAAAAAAACAGATTTGTTCACTGTTATTCTTGGAGTTGACGCCTTGCATGAATTGCAAAAAGAAATCAATCTTAATTCATTATGAGTAGGAAGGAGGTCCATTCACTCTTAATTATACCGCTCAATAAATGTGCTTATTTATAATTTAGCTCTTCAATATTGAGGGAAAAATTCATGCTTGAACTTGAATCATAGTTTCTTTATTCGCTAATAATTCCAGTTAGCTCCAGCATTTAGTGGGTGATTACGGCCATCGTTGTTCGTTGTGTAGACAACTCTTCCATCAGGTTCTTGCCACCAGAAAACTTGCTGATCGAATTGATCAAAAAACCATCCGTCTGGCTGCCTATCTTGGTAGAAAACCCCGTTTCTTCTGTTGACGGTTGCATAAAATTTAAAAAAGATAAACAAAATCCTTCACTTTTTGTATGAACCTTGCCCGATATCCACCCCCAAAAATGCCTCCACTCCTTACTATCGGTTTTGGGTCAAGCTCTTCAATCTTCGCCTTTTTGGAAGGCACTGGAGTAGAAGGCTCTAATTTTTGATGCAAAAAGTTGCTTATAGTTTTAATGATGAGTTGAACTTATTCAATGCCGCAAAAAGCAGTGCACACGTCAATTAATTAATATTGCTTATTTGCAGCTTTAATCCTGAAACGTCGCTCATCTCTTTTGTAAAAAAAATAAATGTGTTCGAAAGGGGATATATCAAAAATTAGACCGGATACAATCCAAAAATCTCATAGCGGCTTAATTTGTCCCACGAAAAAGCATGATTAATTATCTGCTTCCCCGAAAATAGCTATTCTTCGTCGTTTTTCATTGAAGCCGACTATTATTAAAACGTTGACTTATTTGCACTCCGTTAGGCTAAGTCATAAATAATCATAAATAATTTAACCAGAAAAACTATCAGATATAATCACTAAAGACTCTTCGGCGTTCTTCCATATTCTGCATGAGGGCGCTATTATTCACGGCATATAAACTCATCCATGCTGAATGTTTCAAAAAAAGACGATTATCCAAAAAGTTAAACTTGACTAAATGAAACTCTCAATCCTCCTTGCTTCCTGCGCCGCTGCGTTTAATTTTGAAGATAATTCAAGAATGAAGAGAAATTTTTTCAAGGTACCAAAACGTTAAAACAAGCAACTCAAAATATTCAAGTTGAACACCCGTGATTCCGGAGTCCAGACTGGACTTCAAGAGAAACTTTTGGGTCTCCAAAATATGCTCGGCAATGATGAAGGCTTTGGGTGGTAATTTTTAAGCTTCCTGCTGTTCTTCAACGAAATAAAGAGATAATAACAAAATATCTTTCTATAAATTTAATTTTATTAAGAGGGCAGTGTTTACTGGGGAATGGCATAAGTGAAGGGACATTAAGTGAGAGTAAGACACTGACGTTTTGAAAAAATAATAAAACAGTGATCTTCTATGAGCTTCCAGGGAAGATTTCAGCGGCAGAGGGGATCGGGCGGAAGAATTGAGGAATCCCATTAGAGTCGAACATTGCTTGAAGCTTTTGATCTCGCTCGGTTCGCTGCAGACGTGAGATTTGTTCGAATTCAGACATTATCGCGGGGTTCTTCTTTCCATAAAGGAGAAGAAGCGACTAGAAAAGCATCCAAAGAATGTGCAAAAATGTGACTTTTACCTTGATTTCATCAAATTTATTATCCCTAAAGAGCATTTGCACAAGGGGATCAATGAAGCCCTGGATAATCGCTTCGTTCTAAAAGAAAATATGATTCAACTGAATCTCCCTTCCCACTTTACCTTTATCCAACGATACTCATCCATCGTCAATTTGCGAAGATTCTCTGGCGTAGCCGTCCAAAGCAGCATTTGGGAAACTTCGCAGTGCGAGAGTAGAAGCCGATTTCTCTTGACAACTGAGCTCACAAGCTTCTTCCAGGTGACGGCTTTGACGATTCGGTCGAATATTTCTCGCTGATCAAACGTAGCCGCGCGTGGAATGATCTGGAGAGCTTCAACTTCGTTGTCCTTGCTGATGAGCTTGAAGGCGATTTTCTCGATGTCGATAAGGAAGGCTTTCGGGTACTCGTAAAGCGCTTGGACCACCAGATCTGGCCGGGTATCAACATTAAGCTCGATGCACGCTGTCCAGATTTTTCGGAAAGTCCGGTCGAACATGACGCTTTCTTCAAGCATCGTGTTGAACCATTTTTGTCGATTCAGACGGCGTATAAACGCGAAGAGCTCCTCTCCGACAACGAAGTTGGCAAAGATACGAGTCCACAAATCGTCGTCGACGAGTTTATTATTGAAGGCCAACTCGCCCAGCGCCTTTGAGGCTTCGTGCGAGCCTTCCAACGCGTCCAACATTTGATTGAGCCCGGCTACTTTATCGTCAGTTTTATAAAAAGCCACCAAGTTCTTCGAGCTCATGCCAAGTACCTTGAGACGGCATTGATCTTTCCAGGATTGAGTTTGCTTGATGAGCGCTTTTTTGGAGCCAAAGCCGGCCGAATCCATCCCGAGTGTATTCGCGATCTCGGCCATTTCCTCTTCGTCGAAAGATTTGAGAAGATGATCCATGATTTCGCAGCGCTGCTCCAGCGACCCAGAGTACGCTTGGTTGAAGAGTGCCTTGGCTACTTTTGTCTTGTCCCAGATTGAGGATATGCCGACGATATTTCGGACTGGGATCGGGGTCATATTCAGCCACGTTTCGACGAGATTTTGATAAACAACGGCGACGGGGATGTCCGCATTTTTGCAAACCTCTGTGAGCACTAATCCGAGGTCGTTTTTGTTGTTGCTTGTATCCTCGAATAGCTTAACAATCAATTAATAAAGATCATTTTCGAACTTCCGTACCTGTAAAAATAAAGATAGAATTGTGCTCGAAGATAGGGCTTGTCTGCCCTCATTGAAGAACGACCGAGTCTTCTCATCGTAAAAATGATTTCGTGACAAGACCTGCTTGGTTTCAATCAGATTCGAGTAGTCGCGCAAGCTCTGGTATTTCTGGCTTATGTCGGCAATTTCAGCAATTATCCCACGGTATTGCTCCAGGTCTTTGAGTGCTTCCTTGAGAAACTTTGACGCTTGAGCTGGTTTATCGATGCAACGAGCCGTGTGCATGTACATATGGCAATTGAGTGATAGCTCTCCAATTATTTGCTCTCTTGCGGTCGACCCAATCTTAGAGCAAAGTTAATAAAGGTAGCGGTACTTTTTTATGTCTTCATGGCTATTTCTTACCTTTAGAACCGCTAAAAGAGAATTCAGCTCTGTTCCTTCATCAGATCTTACGCCCCGCATCTTCGTGACAAGATTTTTGACGCAATTCATCTTGACATCTGCTTCACTCAGCCCAACAATGCTTGTCTTTGCGACCCAAATGATCTTCTCGTAGTTGGTTGGGAGACACTCCTTCCGGATTGCTTCAAGCATTTTCGGCTTCTCGCTAGCTATCCAGTGGAATGGGAGACGGTCGCATTCATCGGTCGATTTAAGAAGCCGGTACTTTTCGAACTCTTCCAAGTCGTTTAAATATTGCTAGAAAAGACATTACAGATATCTGCTATTGAAGGAAAATCGAACCTCCGCGCGCGAATCGCTCTCTAATTCTGGATTGTCTTTCTTCATGAAAATAATTTCCTCGAGAAGAAATCGAATTCGCTGGTAGCTTGTGCGTACGGTCAGACCAAGCCACTCCAGAAGCTCTTTGATAGGCGATTTTATGTTAAAGTTGCGCAGCGCCCATCTCAATCGCGGCTCGATGCTTTTCCAGCTTGAGTTGATGCTCTGAATTTTTTTCTGAGAGGTTTCTTTGAAGGGCAAAATGTACCTTGGTGTAGCTTAAAAGTTCAATTTTCGGCTTATGCGAGACAACAAGCGCACTCGATTCAATGCCAGAATCTTCACCGACGAATTGCCATTGCAGGAATCTGTATAAAATGTTGTTCCTTGAAATCTGGAAAGCGTCGATGTATTCGTTGACTGTTTCGAAGGGTATTTGCGGCTTGGCGAGAAGCTTGAGGCAGTATTCGTCGCGGTAGTCTCTCAGGTTTACTTCATTTTTTGGAATGGAAAGAAGTTCGGATATTTTACGCGACCAAGAGCCCATCATAAGAGTTTGTTTGAAAGCAGCGGCATATCCTAAATTTTCAAATGAAGTTGTTAAATGTCTTTATCATGGATTTACCTTGATTGTTTTTGAAATATTTGATTCCCAGTTTGCATATCCGCTCTTGTGTTTCAAAGTTGCTCGTCCTTGACAATTTCTCAAGCGTTTGAAAAACCTCTTCCTTGGGTTTTGTATGAAAACAGCCGAACATTACGTCCTCGTTGATTTTCCTCCTGACAGAGTCCTCAATAACGTTATTGATGAGTTCATCCATTCTTTGCTGATCCGTGCCGAGTAGCTCGGCTCTCAGGCATTCAAAGTTGAGTTTGAGAAGATCTGTCGAAAAGTCTTCGTCTGTTACTTTTTGAAAAGGCGTTTCGAAGCAAGAACGGTCGTATGACTTCAAGTATTCGTGAACGGCGAGTTCAAGACGCCGACAGAAGCGCTGGACTTTCGCTTTCGAAGATGAGGTCTTTGGCCCGGCGCAAGTGATGTTCAAATTGGCTACAGTTAGATTTCCCCTCGCAGGAGCGGCACCATCGTTGACATCGGCCTCGTGCTCGCCAATCATTTTCTTGAGCGTCAAAGCATGGATCAACGCGCCATCGAGAGAATCGGTGAAGGATCGATCCCAGAGAAAATCTTCCAAAAGAGGTCGTTCAGGTTCTTCCTCCTTTACTTCAGGCACGAGCAAGGGAAAACGCATTTCTTGAGTCTCGTTGAACAAGGACTTGTTGCATTTTAAAAAAGTGATGAACGAATTTCTTTCAAAGGTTCAAAGGTTGATTTTCTCTAGTTGACATAATAAGAATTATTAGAAATAATAAATGAGATAAGATTGAAGATAGAGAATCAATACGAAACCCTTTCCTAATCGGTTCATTACTTGGCATAACCGCAGCTAGAGAGAGAACCTCCTCAAGAATGGTTCCTTTAAAATCATCCGGTGCCTGCTGAAACGTTTCCATCGCCTCAGTACACTTCTTTTCGGCCAGTTTTGCGACGACATCTCTTCTCAGAGCGTCGTGTTTGGAAACGCTAAGGAGGGTGAAGAGCGATTCCGACTTTTTGCCCAAAGCGAGGAACTTTCGAACGGACTCTTCTCGCTCATTTGGAGTATTCAATCGGATGTTCTCGACTCCCCCTTCGTTTAGAATGCCCCATGCAGTGTTTCTGTCCAAATGGTGCTTGATTCGGTCGTCCATTTTTTTTTCTCGATTTCTCTGAAAAATTGAAAAAAGTGGCGTTTTGGTGTGGCAAAAAGTGAAAGCAGCAAAAGTCTGCAGCCTCGAAATCTGATAAAATCTAGAGAAAACGTTGACAACAGAAACGTTTAAATTTGCGCGCCATTCTGCCCTCTGCCAATCAGAATGCGTTCTGATGCTCAGAAGAGGGAGACAAGAAAATCAGAATTTTATAGTGGATAGTGAGCTCTGAGCAGAGTTTGTCATGTGATCTGTTATATTTTTTTCATTTTGAACAAACAATTTTTATCAAGCAAATTACACACGTGCTGTTTTATTTTAGAAATCATGGAAGAGATTTTCATTTTAGAATTTATCAACAATTTTTTCATCTCAATGGCAGAGCCTTGAAATATCTTCTGAGTCCATTTGATCGTCGGGAGTGCGCGTTGAACTTGTATCTCGGCCGCATGTTGGCAATTGATCCGTAAAGGGCGTTTGCTCCGGCTTTGTTGAAGGAGTAGACGTTGTTGCCAAGCCTGTTGAACCCGATGAGATCAGCGGCTGACAGTGAGAGGAGTGAAGAAAGAATGGCGAGGAAATTCATTTTGGAAAAGTTTTCCTTTGGATTGTCTTTGTATGATTATACCAGACAAAACGCAACTGATGCTAGAAGAGTACAGTTCTTGTATTTTATAGGAGCTGAAAGTAGCGAGCGAGAGCATGTTTAGGCGCTGTTTAAAATTGCTAATATTTAGAATTTAGATTAAAATAGAACGATCTGAGGCTAATTATCAGAAATGAGTTAAACTTAGGAAGATTAGTTTCTAATCTGATCGGTTATGCAAATTTATGTAACTGATAATTAAGGTTGTATTAGCTCTCAAAATATCCACATCTCTGAAAGATTTCCTAAAATAAAGGTAACCTTTTTTTGTAATGATATTTTATGTAACTAAATTATTTTTAATGATCACGAATTTCCTTGAGGATTTTCAAGCAGCCAAACTCTATTTGTCTTTTCCAAATTTGTGTCATATTCAAAGTTATGAGCTCCTGACCTGCATTTTTATTAGTCGATCTCAAGAGAAATGGAATTAATAATCTTCATTTATTTACTGAATTTATCAAGTGGCTCAAGATGGACGGAGCATGGAGATATTGACAGAGCAAATCTTACGGTTGTCGGCTGCAAAGAGTTTGAAGGGCTTATATTGTGGCAGAATTCAAGAGAATGCCACCAGTGCAGCTGGATCAGGAGCGTTTTACAATCAATAATCAAGAGACAATTTCACAAGAAATAAAACAAGAAACAGATCTCGTGATAAAATGGGAAACAAGCTTGTGCCATTTTCAGCTACGGAGAATCAAACTGCCTGGATTGACACTAGATGGCCTCAGAGATTTATTTTCACGTTCGACAATGCTAATGCTCCGCCGCACAACATGTCGAATGGCGATTTCAGACGATTTTATGAGCACGGAGAATATGCGCTGAAAATCCACAGCGACCATAAAAACCTAACGATTGTTGCGATCAAGGAAGACTCACTGGCATACACGGCCCCTGCCTGGGGAACATTTACGGCATTAATTCTGGCTCAGATTATTTATATCATAGGTAAGGACATTTTTACTTTTTTAGAAGGGCGATAAAAAAGGATTGAATTACTATTTATGATCATTTAATAGCTCTTAATTTTGCCTCAATGAATAGAAATTCTTTATTTGGAAGCCTATTAGTGCTATTTCTCCCAGAATGTATAAATTTACGGATCAATAAATCTTTTTCTACTCAAATTTCGAAAGTCAGCGATTCTCGTATGCATAGAATCGATCAAAAAATGGGCAATTAGTGTCAAAAACTTGAAGTCCCGAGAACAGACTACGTTTAACATTGTGGTTTTAAAGAGTTCTGTAAATCAGGGATTACTTATTGCTGTCGCAAAATGATTTTATCTCGATTTCTTCTATCGATAAAATTTACGAGAGCCCCTTCTTTAGGGAATCCTATCGCAATTAAAGTATAATTAGAATTATCTTATTATAAGAATATATAACCAAATTTTAAGGAGAAAATCTATACCGGAAAAGATACAATCCACCTGTCGACAACACGGAAAAGCCAAGCTTACGAGTTCTTCAATTAGTAAAAAGCCAAGCTTAAAATCACAACCATCTTGAAGTGAACTCTAAAAATGCTCAAATGCTTAGACGCTATGCGAGGCATTGCGATCGGCATTATGATCTTTGTGAATTACGGTGGCGGCGGGTACTGGTTCTTTGATCACGCTGTTTGGTTTGGGCTTACAGGCAAAGAGGTCTCATCGTTTAATAGTTGTTGATAAAGGTGGAATAGGGGATTTGACTTTGTTTATCTTTTCATCCGAATTTCGCCGCGTTCGAAAGGGTCAAAAGATAAGGAAATTTTAACACTGTCGGATATTCTTGGACACTTTTATCACATTTTATTCCAGTACCGCGATAATTGTAACAGGCGCCTTATCGAAAAGGTTTGAGCAGGCTGAGGCCTTTATCTTGTTCTCTGAACAAGTGCCATGTTGGCGATAGAAGGCTTCTCTAAATGGCTAACGAGCTAGTCTACCTACGAGGGATGATCTTTTATAAGTTGCCGATCTGGCGATGCCTTGGTTCATGTTTATGATGGGCGTCTCGCTTACTTTTTCATTCAATTCGATGGTCAAAAAAGGCTGGTCAAAGATGAAAATGATCAAGAAAATCGCACTTAGATGCGGAAAACTCATGGCTGGGGTTGAGGAAAAGTTCGTTTCTCACTTTACTGATTGTGCAGAAAATATTTGGGTAAGGAAACGAAGAAGATGATGAGCGGTACTTCGAGTGCAAAAGAGTCTCTCTGCGTTATCGTTTAGTTTCGTGAACCCCACTTTCGGCACTTGGTCTGTTTATCATAAACGGCTCGACTAGTTTCGCCTATTTCCGAGTTCCGGGGGTACTTCAAAGATTCGCAATTTGTTATGCAGTGGTGAGCCCCCTCCTGCTCGCCCAGCAAGGCACTGCTCTCAAGGTTATGCAATCAAACTCGCTTTTCCGAGGGAAGGGGATGAATATGCCGGAAGATATTTGGCTCTTTTAGGGTTATCAAAATTTTCATCCTCGAATTCAGATATTCTTCCGTTTTGGCCACAGGAATGGTTTAATTTCTTGTACTTTTAACCAAAGTCATTCGAGACGAAAATTTTTTTCTCGAAGTCATTTTGTTAAAGGGATGTTGAGCCTGATTTTTAAATAGTGAATTTATCAAATTGCGTGATTGATAAGTGACATCGTGTAGATAAATGTGAGTTTATTGCAGTTTGCTGAACGTTTTCGGTCGGTAGACCATCATCAGAGCTTGTTCCTTGATAAACTTGAAAATTCTTAAAGGAAAGCGTACCTTCTTTTCTTAGACTGCAGAACTGATTTAAAAACCAAAAATAACTTTTCTGCAGTCTAAGAAAAGAAGGTACGCTTTCCTTTAAGAATTTTCAAGTTTATCAAGGAACAAGCTGTGATGATGGTCTACCGACCAAAAACGTTCAGCAAACTGCAATAAACTCACATTTATCAAATTGTTTATGTGAATGTTTTTTGCAAAAATAACAGTCACACGGAGCTGTGACGCGGTCAGTGCTTGTGAAAACTTATCTTAGGAGCCTTATCTAGGCGAGCTAGGGTTGCAGATTTTGGTCACGAGATAAGTCCACCTTCTATCCATGTTCATAATTCTAAGCGAGAACACTCAACGTGCTCTCGACCCCGGGTTACCGATATTGCATTACAACAAATTGTGCCCCTGCTGCTGATAAAAAAAGACGAGATTAGCCGATAAAAAAGTGGCTGGTTATGTTCTGTTTGGAAGCACTGTGGCTAGGACTGACCTATGGAATGACGGAAGCCGGATGTCCCGCTGGCTACCTCGGCCCTGGCGGACTCCACAAGGACGGAAAGTTCAGAAATTGCTCTGGCGGTGCCGATAAGGGATGGAAAACTTTGATGGAATTGCCTTTCTGCTCCATTCATTGAAGTGAAAAGCGAATCAATTAGCAGGATTCGAATCCACATTCCTCTTATTGCAGCTTTCTTTTATTGTCTTTCATGAACGAAGGAAATGAAAGCTTTAATTAGCAAAGCCCACTCAAGAAAGGATGAAACAGACCTTTCGTAATTTTATACTGATCACATAAATCTCCGTTTTCTAACTCAAGTGCCGCTGGATATATGAACGGGCTTAGAGACGAGTCTTTTGAACAGATTCGCACTAGAATTAGAACCGATCCTCGAAGCCCACATGAAGCGACCGAAAATTCTTCACCGAAGGATTGTTATTTCAGTTATTATTAGATTCGAAAAGAAGAATTTCTAATGATAACACGATTAGCTCATATTTACGGGGACCCAACATCTCACCCCGTCTTTTGGCATGATGAGTACTGGTTTGGAGAAGTTTGGGGACAAATATCAACGAATCATAGCTGTTGATACACAAATAATTATGTGAATCTATCTGTATCATCAAAATAGGGGATCTTCAAGCATATGACCCGGAGGGGATTTTGGGCTCGATAAATTCGATTCTTATTGTTTATCTTGGACTACAGGTAATTTCAGACTATGAATTATTGAAAGAAAGAATATAAGGGTGACACTTTATTAAAGTAGTATACTCAAAATCAGGATAAGGGTGTCAGTCTCCTAAATATACCAAAGAGAGCTTAGAACCCTCACGGGAAAAATAGCTAAACCAATGTTTGTCTAATACCCTTCGGTTGGCATGGCTGAGCCGGTTTTACTGAAATCTACTTTAAGGCTGGCCGGATCTTTAATTTTTACGAAACCTTCCAACAACGTGCTATCCGCTTAACGGTCTGGGGCATTGTGCTGACCGCAGTCGGCGGCGCGCTAACAGGTTTAACGGAACTTACTCTTCAAATAAACGCTCTTTGAGCCAGGATTCCATCAATTCCAGGAGGGTAGTAACATTCCCATTGCCAAGAACTTGTGGACTCTAAGTTTTGGTAAGTTTTCTTTCCATTTTCTTCAAGAAAAAAGCGATGTTTTAGTGCTTGTTATGGCTGGATGGGGATTTCTGCTCCTCCTGGCGCTCTACTTTTTGATTGATCATCGGAAACTCTGGGATGGTGCTCCGTTTTACTTTGTTGGGATGAATTCAATCCTCGTTTATGAAGGGCTTAAAAACACTATGCTCACACACAATGTTTTTTCTCCGGCGTTTTCCGCCGCTCTCACGTTTTTCGCCATCTTGCATGCTTTTTTTTCAGCGCGAAATTGATCATTACTATGTTTCACTACGTCCACTTGGGCGATAATGACTCGGAGGTGTAATTTACTTAGCAGATAAATTGAGGTTCGAAGGTCTCAATTTCAGCAGACATTACAATCATTACAATGAAGACTTAAAACGTGTTGATAACCCCGCGCTAGCTGCTCCATGAAATCTTGGAAGGTCAAATTCCATTCTGCGGCGACGAGTGTGGCGGTTTCCAATCGCATGCTCAAAAAATAGGTAAGTGCTGCATAATTCGCGCAATCGGCACTTCTTGAACTTGAAAAAAAAGAGGTAGATAACTTGATTCAACGCTTTTGAATTTTATCCAAGCAATTTACAGTCAGCCAGGTTGGATTTTTTTGATTATATTTTCACTAGTTCGTTGCTGCACTTGAATTTTAATTCAAAATCAACTGGTGGCAGATTTCTGCGGCTTTTCTGTTTTTATCAACTTTAAAATAATCAACGCACTTAGAATTCTCCCGGCTTGAAGGTTTTTTTACTTGCTTGAGCCTCTTCTTGAGCACCTACTTCGACATATCACACTTTGACCGAGCAAAGTGCTGAGTCCAAAAATTTTCCAAGGATTATTTTTGCCGTTTTTTTCTAAAGAAAATTTGAAAAGAGTGTCTCATGAAAATCTTCTCGTTCAAGATTTTCTTAATTTCAGCCCCTGAAGTATTATTTTTTTTATTAGACGACGGGAAAAAATCCTTGAGACAAATATTGCCCATGACAGGTGTCAGTTTCTTGAAGGCTCGAAATGTCTCTCTCAAGCATTTTCCATTTAACTCGTGATTATTTGATCCGCCACCTTGAGTCTAAACATCGAAAATTCTTTTAATAATCTTTGTCTTCTAGCGATGCAGGTCGGGGCTGTTGCGACTTGGTTCCTGTATCTTTACTGGATGAAGGAGAAGAAGTTCTTTTTAGTCATTTGAATAAAGAATTATTTAATTAAAATTCTGACGATAAAAACGGGTTCTTTTATGGAGGAAAGAAGGCTAGACCGTGTGAAAGTTATTTGAGCCATTGTGGGTGTTATCAGCAAGTATTCAAAAGTTCTAGGAAGAAAGTAAGAAGCTGATAGCTACGTGTACTCATGACACTCTTAAAAGATACGAGTTAGGTTCACAAGGTCAGCTTTTACTCAAAGTCAACTTCAAAAACCAATATCAGCAGCTATGAGCTCATATTTATTGTTGATTTTACAAAGAAAATTTAAAAAAAAAGCTCCAAAACCCAGTTTAGAAAGCTCAATTTTCCCCGGCTGCGGCAAAGTCTGAGTTTTAGGCTAAAACTTTTAGCTATTTGTCCCGCGCTCTAGAAAAATAATGAAATGCAAGATGGAAGGAGAATTTGAATTCTTGCCTCGAAACCGCGTCAGGAATGTGCAGCTGACTCAGGCACTGAACCTGCCACCCCCGAATCCAAATATTTATATCAATCAAATCTACAGTAATTCAAAAGCTGTAGGTTTTCCTGGGCCGGAAAATGAGAGAATCGGAAGGATTATATAAGCATGGACAAACGAGTTCTAATTTTAATTGTCAACAATCGGCGCAAATTTAAGCTATTTTGGAACATAATTTATATTCCATCAAGATTAAAAACTAAGAATATCTCTCTAAAACATTACATAAGCAAATGATGATGATGTTGATCAACAACAATTTTCAAGCTTTAATGATTTCGAAAGAAACCTTAAGGGTACTACCTTCGATTTCCCCAAGTTGAGCCTTGAATAACTCAGGAATTATATATGATGGCGAACTTCATATGGGCTTATTTAACTTTTATCTTAACTTAACTTTTATCTAACTTTTTATCTTAATCTTAACTTTTACAGAGGGGTTTCTCCATTGCTCAAGAAAAAATCGGCTAAATTTTGGCTTGAAGTCAACATCTTTGCCGAAATGGCCTATATTTAGGCTTGAATAACTCAAAAACGACCCTGATAACTTTATTTCATTTTATTTTTTATTTAAACTTTAAACATTGATCTTCAAAATGTCAGAAGGATTTTTCCATTGAAAGACTGAAAATACTGAAATAAATTTTTTGAAAATTGTGTCTTAACGATTTTGCTAAAATTTAGCATTTTTTAAAAGTTGCGGCCTCATTTTTCGCTCTAGAATCTGAAATATCTAAATTCAACGATCGATATAGCTACCAAAATTTTCCTCTTGATCTAAGCTTTGAAATAAGCCCTTGATCAAGAAAATCGAAGATCAAAATTTTTTTTCGAAAAAACTTCTGGAGGCAATATCTAGGCTTACCGCGGTGTTTTCTATTTTTCAGGCTCTTTTGAAAAATCTCCCCATACTTTCAGAACATATGCATCAAGACAAGCCTTGAAAAACTGCACTTGCAGAATTTTCGATATGAGTCATCTTACCCCCTTTTTTGGGGGATTTTTAGCAAGAAAAAAAGCACTAGTTTGATTAGAAGCGGCTTTTGAGTGCGTGCTAGATCGATTTTGATAATTTGATGCCTACCATGTGAAAGATAAGCGCAAGATGCATCGATACATATGAAATTTATTATTGCGGAGTACTTCCTTCATATGATTCTAGAGCTCCAAAGTTGACGCAAGCAGCCAGATACGAAAATCCAATATTATCAACTTCTGATATAAGCATGCTATGATGATGTTTTATAGCTCAAATTGAAGCTTATGAATTACTGAACAAAATGGAGTGGTATTTTTTTGACCAGCCGGTTGTGCTTCCGGTTCGTCGCGGTTCATACCCGGAAATAGGTCAAAATGTAGAAATATGTATATCAAATGAATTAATTTTCAACAGCGAATCTTTTGAACATATTCAGAAGTTCAACCGCCCGGTTATTATTGCGGTTCATGGTGGTTCATGGTGGTTCAAGCGCAGAAATGAACAAAATAGCAGCAATATGTATATCAAATTGAAACTAAAATTAAGAACATTCATAAAATCATTGAATAAGCCCGAACCGACCGGTTGTTCTCACGGTAAATGGCGGTTCCAAACGGTTCAAGCCGGTTCAAGTTAAAAACATGCTCCAAGTGGTTCAATATGATTATCAAATGTATTCATTTACAATAGCGAAGCTTTCTAGCATATTATGAAATTCAACCGCCCGGTTATTCTTGCGGCTCATGGTGGTTAATCGTGGTTCAAGCCCAGACATGAACAAAATAGCATCAATATGCATATCAAATTGAATCTTGTATTAAGTACATTCGTCGAATCATTGAATAAGCCCAAACCATCCGGTAACTTTCGTGGTAAAAGGCGGTTTCTGACGGTTCAAGCCGGTAAAAGCCGAACATATGCTCAAAGTGGTTCAAGATGTATATCAAATGAATGTTTATTAAAAAGCACGTCTTTTGAAACTTTAACGAGATCCGGACGCGTGGTATAACACTGAATATGCACAAACCGCCCGGTTTTAATCGATTTTGTCTCTTTAAACGGGCTAAAATAAGGGAAGGTCAGGCCCGATTATACAATTCAGTCTGCGACGGGGCCAAGCCGACCCGAAGGGGAGGCAAGGCCCGTTTATACGATTCAGTCTGCGACGGGGCCAAGCCGACCCGAAGGGGAGGCCAGGCCCGTTTATACAATTCAGTCTGAGACGGGGCCAAGCCGACCCGAAGGGGAGGCCAGGCCCGTTCAAACAATTAAGTCTGCGACGGGGCCAAGCCGACTCGAAGGGGAGGCCAGGCCCATTTATACAATTCAGTCTGAGACGGGGCCAAGCCGACCCGAAGGGGAGGCCAGGCCCGTTCAAACAATTCAGTCTGCGACGGGGCCAAGCCGACTCGACGGGGAGGCCAGGCGCGTTTAAACAATTCAGTCTGCGACGAGCCCAAGCCGGCCCGAAGGGAAGACCAGGCCCATTTATACAATTCAGTCTGAGACGGGGCCAAGCCGACCCGAAGGGGAGGCCAGGCCCGTTCAAACAATTAAGTCTGCGACGGGGCCAAGCCGACTCGAAGGGGAGGCCAGGCCCGTTTAAACAATTCAGTCTGCGACGGGGCCAAGCCGACCCGAAGGGGAGGCCAGGCCCGTTCAAACAATTAAGTCTGCGACGGGGCCAAGCCCACTCGAAGGGGGCCAGGCCCGTTTAAACAATTCAGTCTGCGACGGGGCCAAGCCGACCCGAAGGGGAGGCCAGGTCCGTTTATACGATTCAGTCTGCGACGGGGCCAAGCCGACCCGAAGGGGAGGCCAGGCCCGTTCAAACAATTCAGTCTGCGACGGGGCCAAGCCGGCCCGAAGGGAAGACCAGGCCCATTTATACAATTCAGTCTGAGACAGGGCCAAGCCGACCCGAAGGGGAGGCAAGGCCCGTTTATTCAATTCAGTCTGCGACGGGGCCAAGCCGACCCGAAGGGAGGCCAGGTCCGTTTATACGATTCAGTCTGCGACGGGGCCAAGCCGACCCGAAGGGGAGGCCAGGCGCGTTAAAACGATTCAGTCTGCGACGAGCCCAAGCCGGCCCGAAGGGAAGGCCAGGCCCATTTATACAATTCAGTCTGAGACGGGGCCAAGCCGACCCGAAGGGGAGGCCAGGCCCGTTCGAACAGTTCAGTCTGCGACGGGGCCAAGCCGACCCGAAGGGGAGGCCAGGCCCGTTTAAACAATTCAGTCTGCGACGAGCCCAAGCCGGCCCGAAGGGGAGGCCAGACCCGTTTATACAATTAAGTCTACGACGAGGCCAAGCCGACCCGAAGGGGAGGCCAGGCCCGTTTATACGATTCAGTCTGCGACGGGGCCAAGCCGACCCGAAGGGGAGGCCAGGCCCGTTTATACAATTCAGTCTGAGACGGGGCCAAGCCGACCCGAAGGGAAGACCAGGCCCATTTATACAATTCAGTCTGAGACGGGGCCAAGCCGACTCGAAGGGGAGGCCAGGCCCGTTCAAACAATTAAGTCTGCGACGGGGCCAAGCCGACTCGAAGGGGAGGCCAGGCGCGTTTAAACAATTCAGTCTGCGACGAGCCCAAGCCGGCCCGAAGGGGAGGCCAGACCCGTTTATACAATTAAGTCTACGACGAGGCCAAGCCGACCCGAAGGGGAGGCCAGGCCCGTTTATACGATTCAGTCTGCGACGGGGCCAAGCCGACCCGAAGGGGAGGCCAGGCCCGTTTATACAATTCAGTCTGAGACGGGGCCAAGCCGACCCGAAGGGGAGGCCATGCCGGTTCAAACAATTTAGTCTGCGACGGGGCCAAGCCGACTCGAAGGGGAGGCCAGGCCCGTTTAAACAATTCAGTCTGCGACAGGGCCAAGCCGACCCGAAGGGGAGGCCAGGCCCGTTTATACAATTCAGTCTGAGACGGGGCCAAGCCGACCCGAAGGGGAGGCCAGGCCCGTTTAAACAATTTAGTCTGCGACGGGGCCAAGCCGACTCGAAGGGGAGGCCAGGCCCGTTCAAACAATTTAGTCTGCGACGGGGCCAAGCCGACTCGAAGGGGAGGCCAGGCCCGTTTAAACAATTCAGTCTGCGACGGGGCCAAGCCGACCCGAAGGGGAGGCCAGGCCCGTTTATACGATTCAGTCTGCGACGGGGCCAAGCCGACTCGAAGGGAGGCCAGGCCCGTTTAAACAATTCAGTCTGCGACGGGGCCAAGCCGACCCGAAGGGGAGGCCAGGCGCGTTAAAACGATTCAGTCTGCGACGAGCCCAAGCCAGCCCGAAGGGAAGACCAGGCCCATTTATACAATTCAGTCTAAGACGGGGCCAAGCCGACCCGAAGGAGAGGCCAGGCGCATTCATACAATTCATTCTTTGCAACGAACCATTTTTTGAAAAAATAAATATTCTTCATCAAGACGTGAACACGCCGTCTACCGTCGCAGACTGAATTGTATAAACCGGCCACCATGAACCACCATGAACCGCAATAATAACCGGGCGGTTGAACTTCTGAATATGTTCAAAAGATTCGCTGTTGAAAATTAATTCATTTGATATACATATTTCTACATTTTGACCTATTTCCGGGTATGAACCGCGACGAACCGGAAGCACAACCGGCTGGTCAAAAAATACCACTCCATTTTGTTCAGTAATTCATAAGCTTCAATTTGAGCTATAAAACATCATCATAGCATGCTTATATCAGAAGTTGATAATATTGGATTTTCGTATCTGGCTGCTTGCGTCAACTTTGGAGCTCTAGAATCATATGAAGGAAGTACTCCGCAATAATAAATTTCATATGTATCGATGCATCTTGCGCTTATCTTTCACATGGTAGGCATCAAATTATCAAAATCGATCTAGCACGCACTCAAAAGCCGCTTCTAATCAAACTAGTGCTTTTTTTCTTGCTAAAAATCCCCCAAAAAAGGGGGTAAGATGACTCATATCGAAAATTCTGCAAGTGCAGTTTTTCAAGGCTTGTCTTGATGCATATGTTCTGAAAGTATGGGGAGATTTTTCAAAAGAACCTTGAAAATCGAAAAACACCGCGGTAAGCCTAGCAATATCTCAAGAAGGATCGAGAATTTCAAAAAGTGGTCAAGAATATATGACCATAAATTTTAACGAAGAATCCATTTCTAGTTACCGTTTTCTACATTGAGTTCTATAAGAAACCTTTCGGAAATCGAAGGTAGTACCCTTAAAGAAAGCATAAAATTGGCCCATGACGCTGCGGGAATTAATGAACTTGAGTTAACTAATCTCGTCGAAAGTGGATTTATATTTGACAAAATTGAGTTTTTAACAAGAGCGGTCGCCGGCAGCTGTGACGCCCTTGTCCAAACGACCCAATTCTGATGAAGAGTTCAGCGCGTAACGAAGCTCATTTCCCGCTCCATTTCAACATTGTAAATATTCCTAAAAATTGAAAACTTATTCATTTAAATTTTTATAAAAATCGAACTTGAGTTTGGAAAATCACGTGAAAAGCAACTGGCGGTTTTCATCTTGCCACTTGATTTCTTAAAAACGTCTGCGGCTTGTCAAAAGAAACACATTCGAAATTTGGGCGAACCGAGTGGTTTTAGCATTCTTCTTCGAAAATCGAAAATTTTCTGAAGTCAATCCGCCACCGAGGCTTCTTAGCGTCGGCTCATGTCACCGCGCTGCGGCGGCGGAGCTGTATTTTCTATTCCTAATGGTCGCTCAGCCTTTTTGAGCATCTTGAGCCGGATACACTGGTCAGCCTAAGGAAGCATCATTTTATTTTTCCTTCTGGATCGCTAGGGGGAACGTTTTCGACCGCCAAATGCAGCCCAAATACAAACCACCAAAAAGTCGTTAACCAGGGCCGAGTTGCGTCACTGGCAGACGCCTGGCAAGCAAGATTTCATGCTCGCCAATTGTTGAACTTTTACAGAAAATCTCGGCCAGATCAAAATACCGTTCTCTTATCACGTTGGGGTTTCTTAAGATCTTCGTGGAATCATTTCTCAGGAAGAAGAAGACCCTCCAAAAGAACTTCGTTTTTTATAATCTTTGGTTATCAACAGTTGTTCCAAAAAATTTTGTCCGAAAAAGATTGATCCTCACGTTGGGATTAAAATGAATTTTTATCGAAACAAAGCTTCAACCTTTTTTTTCAAGCGATTAAAAAAGTCAGCTGTTTGAATAAGCGATTAAATAAAAGAATCGTTACGAAATAAACTCCATCTGGAGCAAGCTGCTTGAGAACAAGCGTCTTATCAAACGGTTGCCGCAAAAACATACCGGTAAATTTATTATGTCCCCAAAGTTCCGTCCGCGAAAAATGAAAATACCGCTGATGATGTTCCCACGTGATGGTCAAGACAGACTCACGTAAATGAAGCGAGTTATCACCGTTTTCTGCCAAAATATTTAGTCCAAATAACTCCGACGTTTCAAGCTTTCACCCATAATTGAATTAGTTCACGTTCGCCTAATTTAACGAAGAAATTTTGGCATTCATTTATCTTCAATGTAAATATCTTCAAGCGCGGTATTAACTCATCAACAGTGGATTATCAATCATCAAGTTTATTTTCAGTTTCAAGAGTTTTCCAAAAAGAAAGAATTTGCGATTCCTTGATTTCGTCTAATTTCTTTTTTCGACTAAGGCCAGAGAAATACATAAGACTGGTCTTCTGACTACATTTTTTTCTCTCTTCTTTCTTCTTTACACCAATGCCAGAGCAAATCGGACATTTGAGTTTTTGTTCGAGATCGTCAGCTATTGCCTCTTCGGAATCGGTTTGCTTTCGTTTTTTGAATGCATCAAAAATGCATGATTTTCCAACAAAATGGAGACATTTATCAAAGTTATCTACCAACATATGTTTATCTTCGTCGAATTTTGTCTGACATCTTTCGCAATTGACTTGGTTTTCAATGATAGACAAGCGGAAATCTTCGCATGTATGAAAACGCATGTATGTAAAAAACGCAAGGATCATTGTTCTTTTATAAGATTGATATTCTTGAACTTCTCTCTCAAGATCCAAATCTATAAAATCCTTCTCATCGTCTTCGTCTAAATCAAAATTGACGATTTAAGCCAAAACTTTTCCATGCTTACCTTCATTTGCCTCTATTTCCTTATACCGTTTTAACTCGCTGCGAAGCGCCTCTATTTCTTTCTCTAGTGAATTGTATGAAGGCCTACGAATGCTCTCTGCATATTCTATCGCGACTCTTTCTTCGCTCGGCATTTTTTGGAATGACTCGATGTTTCTGAGTCTACCTGATTTTGCAGTTCCGGCTAATAAAACTTATCAAGCAAATATCGCTATCTCAGAAGGCAGGAGCTGATGCTCAGGTGGTGGGAATTGAAATTTATCCACTTCCTTGACAAATAAAACTTAAAAATTCTTTTGTAGGAAGGATGTATGCATTTGGTGATATCACTTTTACCGCGAGAGATTGCTTGTTAAAGATTTTGAAATAGAAAGACAGGATGAGTGAGTCGTTGAGCCTTTGATTTGGTGGCGTAAAAACGCGAAAAATTTCTTTCGGCAATGCAAAAAATGCGCGCTGGCATCTCATCTGCAGGTGCTGCATCGATCTTTTTGCGCTTTTGTGAAATGTTACCCCCTGATTTTCTCACAAATTGAGGAACGTTTCTTTCTCTCACTTTCGTAAATCCCCTATCCTCGTTTTACTACAGTATTACATAACGATTCTCACGTAAATCCCTACCGACTTCACAATTGAGCGTTTCGGGTTAACCCTGCTTCCGGATTTGGGGAACTTTGCCGCCCGAAATTTGAATTTCTTTGAAGGATCACGAAATGCAAATTTCATCGCATCTCGAATTTAGAAAATTTATTCGCACTTTCTCTCAACCTTTTCTCATTTTCCCAGCGTTTTAGATTTCTGTTTTCAAGTGTGATGAAAGCATTGCAGAGCCACGAGGGAAATGAATTGTAAATGTAAGTTTCTTTCGGGCCGAAATAAGAATAATTTGAATTTTCAGGCTCTTCATACGGATTTTGTTTCCAACAAGCATGACATCCGAAAACGCTGGTTTTCAGAAGCACAGAGTAAGTTACATAACCAGGTGTTTCAACTCAAAGACACGCCAAAATTTCTTGTGAAAGCTGGCTATTTTCGGCTTTGATAATTTAAGCGCCCTGTTGTTTCTCGCCCATCTCGGATTGCAGTAGCCGGCCTCTAATTCATTCCTGGCACGTGATTAAAAGCACAGTTTGAAACTTCAGATCAAAGGTTAAAATGTTGCACGGCAACACCAAGACGTTGTAATTTGGCTCAACCTTTTCGCCTCCAACAGTGTTAATGCGCCACAATCAGAGAAGATAGAAATTAACTTCTATGACCAAAAGTTGATCGACTACTAGAATGTCTCTCAAACTTATTCAAAGAAAATCAACTCAAAATATCAGCGTATTATACAGTATAGAATGATCAAAAAATATTTCAAAAAATCTTCTTTTGATGAGTCATGAATGAGAGAAAAAGGCTGTACTGGCTGGTTGAGTTTTGATGTTCCTTGATTTTCTTGTGATGATCTTCCTCCGGGTGTCACATTTCGATCGAGAGGATCACACCGATCGGCCACTGGCTCAACGGAGAATGAAAATGGATTAGCTTGCGGGCCCCGTTGAGGATATCTACTCAGATTTAGAATAGAAATGCTGCAGCAAATCGAACAATCCGTAATCTATTAAACACATCGGGTTTCATGGGTCTTTTCGGCAATTTATTTTTCACGAATCGAGTTATTAAATTTCAAATAGTCCAACCCAACCCTAGAAAAGGGTTTGGGTTAGGGTTACGTCAAGAAGTTTGGCGAAAGAAAAGCCACTTCTACGAAGCACTGTCTGACACGAATCACGAAACAGAGTCACCCATGTGCGTTTTTCGTCTTTCTTCGTCAGAACGAAATTAGGCCCGTTGTGCCGCGTAAAAACGCCGAAGCCGATCACCTGCGAAAATATTTGAAGTTGAATTGTGCTGTGGACCACTTTTCCGTGAAGGATGATCGGCCCCGCGCTGGCGAAAACACCTGTCAAAGCGCTGAAAGAGACTTTCAAGCGTAATCCGCCGTTTAGGCTACGCCAAATCGAATTCAGTACTTTAACCTGTTCACACAAACCAGCACCTGCAGCGCATTAATTTGGCTAGAGAAAATTTTACCAACGAAAGCTTCTTTTCTTTTTCGAACGAATTCGTACTTTAATGAATACAGTACTTTAAAAAACGGCCTAACGCATCTTAAAAAGAATGCTCGTCCAAAGTCTATTAATACAAAAAGTTCAAGCATGCTCCTCTTCCTGCGCCCTTTTCCTCCCGTCTTCATTCCACGACAGAATCTCCAAAATTTCGATTTTTCGGCTTTTCGAAAAGGTTGAAAATCATTAATCACGCATTCGCTGATTCTGGGTTGCAAATAAAAAAGGGTAGATTTAGAATGTTTTCTGCGGTGAGAAAGTGGCTCGTTGAAGAGTTTGGTGATCCGGGAATCCGCCATAATCTAGGCGGCGAAGCCCTTTTTTATACGCGGCTTCTAATTCGACCCCTGATGCTCATTTTAACAGTTACAGATGTTTCTCAAAATAAGGCAATAGAATGAGTTTTCATGAAAATTCGTATTTTCATAGAATGAATCAAAAAACTCAGATCCGACCTTTTTAGGGTTGAATTGATTCAGTAAATCAATTTCTAAATATCATGTCATGGATTCTATATTTTATGTAAAAGATAAAATAAAGCCCAGCTGGCTCTAAAATTTGTTGATACATTATATAAAAACACGTTGTTCGTGGTACCTTTTTTCGAGTAACGTTTACGTTTTGCGATAACGATATGAGTACAAAAACGATGATAAACGACTAACCCTTGACCTGCTCGATAAAGCAGTGTGTTTGTGTCAGCGAAAATTTGGAAAAGAAGCACTGTGAGTATATCAGATGCGTCCCCAGCGAAAGTACCGCTGCGATAAGGTCCGCTGCGGCCGGCCCGCGGTCGATAACGCGACTGAAACGATTCAATGAACACGTGAGCTACTCTTCCGGAAGAATTTAAAATTTATAAAGTTTAAAATTTATCCTTTCAATTTTCATTTTTCTTTCTGCGAAAAAGAGCGCATGTTTTGTTTTAGTGAATTTCGGGCTTAGCAGATGCTGATCCGACACTGTCTCGAGTGTCACATGAGAAAAGAAGCACTTCCTCGAGGAGCGTCCAGTTACCACACTGCATAAATATAACTACAGAAGGTGTCTTCACTAGAATAATGTCATTTCTCGGCACTCTCACACGAAAATTAGCATGAGAAGAGATTAATTCTAAGTCGACAGTTTGGGTCTCAGAAATTCAAAAGCTTCTTCAGAAAACTCTTTATTTATAGTAAGGCTTCGTTAAACTCAACTCTTGAGGGAATTTATCTGTTTAATATTGTAGTGAGACCCTTATTTTTTTAGTTGTCTAGTCTTCCCAAAAAATGTTCTGCTTTAAAAAATCTAAATTGATTCGAGAACGATCACGTGTTCTTCTGATCTGGTTGTTATTTCGGGATAAGTTGATTTTGTTTTAGAAATTATAGCACAAGTTTCGGAAAAAGTGGGTCGCCGACTTTGATCGCTGTTAGAATAACGACTAGAAAATTAGATTTTGGAAACGAATTGATTAAATGGTTATTGCTTGAATTTTATCATCGGATTAGGAGTCATTTTCGATGTAGAAGTTGGAAGCTCAAGTTTGTTTTATCTTGTTAAGTAGGCACTAAGTTCATCTCAACCCGCGGGACTAGTTATCAGAAGGGCTATCGCGAGCAGTTCGAGCAGCTTCACTGTCAGACGAGGTGCCATTTACATCACCATTATCGGGCTGAAGACGGAGGAACGCGACGCTCCGGCATTTCTAATGATATTTTTATTCCCTAACCTTCTGTTGCATACATTCTTTGGAAATAGAAGCCAGTAGACTTGTTCAATCATGTTTTCAAATCATGCATCGATCAAAAAATCAAGACTATTTGCAATACTAATATATTTTGACTGATAATAATTAAGATAACAAAAACTGGTTCAAAACGAAAGTTGAAGACACCAGAAAAAGTAGAAGACGGAAGGGCCCTTTCCAGAAGGACTCGACTGGGGAACCGGGCGAAATGGGGTTGAAAACTTATGCCCTCACTTTCCGCTGGCGAGATAACAGCTCTCTTTTAATTATTGCGGTTTTCTATCTCGAGTTTTACTGATAAGAAAGATGGCCATTGATGATAACTCGCGTGGAAAATTTCCAATATGATGTTCCAAAAGACTACCCAAAAAAGGACAAGTTTCTCAATTTCCCAAGAAAATATGGTTATTTGGTGGAAAGTCGTTTGAATTTGGAGTGGCATTTCGTCAGGTGACAATTGAATTCGGGTGACCCCTCTACCGCGGCATGCGTTCACATTTCGCATTAGTAGACAACTTCTAACCAACTGCGCAAGTCGTTACCCAGCAGGTGTTGCAGAACTCCGGCAACACCCGTGACGAGGTAACTCTTGAATTAGAGAGCGACTTCCAGAAAGCACGAGCGTACTCACTTAAATATTTGCGTTTATTTTAACCTGCACAATTCGACCTTCCATTATGTTGCATAGACACTTCAGATATAGGGTCTGGAGTGAGCCTGCTACGCCACTCGAGAACAATACGCGCTTACTAAAAATACGTGCTTGGCTATCCTTAGAATGCGTCCGGTGCAGGAGCAACAAAATACAACAACTCTCGTCTGACCGGATATGTAAAAATTGAGAAGTGAACTGAGTTCTTTTTATTTCCATATATTTTGGTCAATAAAATTTGTCAGCAGAACCAATTCTCACAAGTTGTTGTTGTTGATGTTGTAGTCGATGACGTGAGACTTGACCCTGATGTAGAAGAAGGGATGGATGAAGTCGTCGATGTCCTTGTCGTTGAAGTCGACAATGTTTTTGTTGTGGATGTTGTTGTTGATTTTGTAGTATCGTATTCGTGTATTGTTGTTGATGCAGTCCCAGTTGATGATATCACTGTGGTGTTCATTTGTGCCATGGTTGAAGTGAAGATTGTTGTGCTCGTATCCACGTTTGTGATTTTTGAAGTGGATGATGATATGGAGCTTTGAGTAGTTATGATCGACATGGTAGTGATCTCTGTTGTCGTTGGTGATATGGATGAGCTTGTTGTGTTCGATGATACTGACGATGATGTTGATGCTGATGGTGCTGTTGTTGTTGATGATATAGAGTCTGTGAATGTCGAAGTTGAGGTTGATGAGAATGTTGAGCTCGACAGTGTTGATGGTGTTTTTGACGAAGTTATTGTCGTTGTTGTCGAAGTCGGTCTGGTTGATTCCCATTCACTCGACTGTGTTGATGAACTGAGAGTCGAGTATGTTGATGAGTTCTCATCAGTTGTCGAACCCTTTTCTGATAAACTCATCCACACCGGTGTCAGACCGACCAACGTGACACCAACAGTTATCGCTGAACATTACCACAGATAAATACTTAACAAAGTTCAAATTAATTTAATAATTACCAAAAACAAAAACTGCCATTTTCCATTTTCGATTAGCTCCATTAGTTTTGATCGGTATTCTCGCACAAGACTCTATAAATAAAAAATATCTAAGGTAAGAATAGGTTGAAATCTACCATCATCATCCTCTGTTTCTCGATTAGCCTCTAACATCAAGATTTCTTACGTCGAATTGACATGATCTCCCAGGTTACAATGAGTTTTATAGATTTTACACAAGGATTTTTAAATAGATATTTGAACTTTTATATCACGATATGCGGTTGGATGAGTTTGTCGAGCAACCACAGTTCAGCATTTGCAGGAAGAAACATTTTTTAGAAAAGATCAAAGTCGGAAGAAGAACGTCCTTGATTGGATTGTGTACCGTCGCGTGGATTACACAGTTGTACTCTGCGGTGTGGCGGCTCATCCGACACAATTCGCGGACGTGCGCCAGATTAGCCGCCAATAGTGGCGCGCTGAAAAATGACCATCAATCTGCCCGATTCCTGCGCGGAAATCGAAATCCTTCGCACCACCACACTCCTGCATTATCTCACATCCCTTCTGTGAACCAGTTCGCTTCATTTCATGCCTGCTTCCCAAGTGAATTTACTTTTGAACTTTTGAGATTCTCAGCATCTATTTTTCGAATCTCTACTTCAAAAAGTGTCCAAGAAAACCAATTTTTCCAACATGTTTTTCTTTTACAATCTCGTCTATCGTATTCTCAAACTCGCTAAGAAGATAAGTTAATGAAAATATTAAACAAAAGGAAACCTTTTTTGTTGATCGCGAATTCTTGACGCAATAACGAGATTGCAAAGCTTCGCAATCCCAGGGAAAGCGACTCTCACTCTTTCGTTCATCTTTACCATTTCTAAAGGAAGTCAATCATGCTCCCAAAGAAAGAAGTTTACCTAGACATTTGATGTACATGCTGTTCAAATTATAAAAACTAGTCGAATGATAGGGCGATGAATTCACAAACGTAAAAATTAAACTAAAAAGATTCACTTTCATTCTCTGTTTTTTTGAAAAAATTGAATAAGAAGTCTGTTTTTCGAAATGTCCCGTCTTAAATATGAGACGCTTTATCATATAAATTATGTAAAAATAAATAATAAAAGCCATTTTCATTTGAGAATATCTTCTCATTTAGACCTGAAAGTAAGGCTTTTTCTGTCATGTTTTGAAAAATAAATATGAAATAAAAAAGAGAAGACACTCTAAGCAAACAATGCCAGTCTGATTTCGTCACATTCTTACACTTATTTTCGCGAAAATCGTCGGCCACGTCCTGAACATCTTTGTTGGCCAAAAAATATCTTTTGAAGCTGTTAACAAGAAGTTACGGTTCTAACTTGTTTATGCACGTGAGGAACCGTTCCTTGAAGCTCGAATTTATTCAAAGTGGAATCGAACGTAATTCACTTTTTGGATTTGGGGTGGGATGGCGCATAATTAAGCTCAACCGAGCGAACTGTATAAAGAACATGAGCTCATCTAGCTTTACTCTTGTTAAAAACCGCACTGCCGGTATAAAGGATAAATTCACGTGTAGATTACTTTTTCATGAGAAGCTACAGTTGCGTGAGAGTCCTCTGAGGGGCATAAGACGATTAGCCGAGCAGATTTCCGTTCTGAATTTGACCTAAAAGTCGCAGACTCAATCCGCTCAAATATTCAACAAACAGCGTTGTTATTCTGATATTATCGAAACTTCAAACGATTTCAACTTGAAAGAAAACACTTTGAAAGCAAAATGCTAAGTTTGGAATTTGCACAAACGGGTAGAACATGAACAAGGTTCACGTAATTACGCAAGAGCTGTAAACAAGCATTTCCGTGGAGAAATAGTTGAAAGAGAGCGTCGGGGTCTTACTCTAAATACTTCTTTCCAGTAATCATCTTTTCCGAGAAGCAAAAAAAAAAGATGCTTGTTTGGTCGGATTCTACAAGATTTAAGGCTCAACGAGAATCTTTAAAAACTATAATTAGGGATTGAAAGATTTTCAGCTACAAAATTTTCCCGAGAAAGATTCAAAAATAGGTCAGTTTTTCTTGAACCAAGTATTTTTTTCGGAAAATTAGAAGTGGTTCTTTTTCAATTTTTATAACCGAAAAAGCTTGGTAGTTAGGCAGCTGAGAAGAAGCACATGGCAAATTGTGTCATAATGAAAGAGCCGCGGCCTTCAAACATCTGTAGGAATGTTTCGATGTGGCGGAGCGTTAGAATAGCTCGGCTGCACATTCAAAGTTCATTTTCGAAGCTTCATTTTCCCAATCATTCAAAATCATTTGACCAGTGTTTTGCTTCTTCAGCTGGCAGTTTTTCTTTCTTCAGGACCCTGATATCGACGTTTTTCCAAAGATACGGAATCAGTGTTAAATAATAATTATCTCCCTGCGCTCTCACGTACTTGAATTCAAAGTAGTGCCTTTCAAAATGAAGCGTAAAACATTGTTTGTCGCGGGACGACTTCACATTGGAAACAGTGCGCCTCAATTCGGTACTCGCGACCTTCTATTGACCCTTTTCCATCTCAGCGCTTTCGCTCGCAAACTGGAATTTCTTATAGACTCAACTTTAGGTTGAAGCAAAAGAATAAAGAGAGGATAATGCGGCGTTAGTTGAACGTTCTCTCTGCTAGTTTTTAGCTGATTTTGCATTTTAGCGTGAATAATCTGCTCAACTGAGGCGACTTGAGGGAATAAAAGGATTGTTTGCCGAATAACAGAAGCGATACAACAGTATTTTCAGACTTTTTTGGGGGCGAAAGAGTTCTGTTGAAAATCTGAGTCAGAAATCTGCTGGCAATCGTGTTGTGTGACTTTTTATGTTTTGGGCTTTGGCCGGTCCCGCGCCGATTGTCTAAATGGCATCGTCAACCCTTCGATCGGATTTGCCACGTTCACAAAGTGAAAAAGTGTACACGATTTTCGAATAAGTATTTTTCCCAAAGGTGTCAGCGGATTCGACACGCTTGTACTTCGAAATGCTCGATTTAAATGTTCTCAAAATGCTTCTCTTTTTTTATTGCAACTACTGGGTCAGTTCTACTGTAGCTGAGCTTGAGAAGAAAGAACAAGGACCCTTCAATTTTCGAAAATCGCGACCGCTCCACCCCCAAATATTGTTCTTTTTGAGTACTTTTTCTTCTTGGGCGCGGAGGAGGAGACGCAGTACTCTGGACATACGTCTCGGGCCTTTGAAGTGTTCCGGCTACCTGCCACCCGCCTGCTGACATAATCGCAGTTTTCATTTCCAAAGAGAATTTCAGATTTTTTAAAAACTTGAGATGTGAAAGCTGCTTCCGACGCGCAGAATGTCTTCACTCATGGAGCACCACTTCAATGAGAAAATAATGTTTTCCGCGGCTGTTTCAACTTTCGATTTTAGGTTCTATAAATGTGCTGTCGAGTCAGTCCGTATATTTGAAGAAAAATTCTTAATAAAATATTGACATCAAAAGGTTATTCTCTCAAAATATGAAATTACGAAGATAAATGCATTATTGAGCTGACTCAGCAAGAAAATGTTTAATTTGCGACCACGAGTTCGACGAAACAAACATACTTCGTCATTTTTAGTTTGTAAGTACAAGAAAATCAATAATTTTCAATCACGCGCGTTACAAGTTGTCCTCGACCACGGAAATGGTGGAACTAAAGCCGATCTGTGGATGTTTTCGGAAGTGATAACTGACCCACAGGAAACACCGCGCCGATCAATCTCTTCATTTCCTCCCTTTCTACAAATTTTCTTCGTAAGCAACGTTCCGCCACTTTCGCACGTGTTTCTCATCTTCCTGAACCCTCTCTTTCGTCCTCAAATAAATTCATCCCCCGAAAAAATCTGCAAATAAAATTACTGGAGCATAAAATCAAATTTTCTCTTTCATGAGCGCTTCAAATGGGAAAGAAAAACAAGAAAAACGTTACGGAAAAACGTGTGGAAATGAGGTGCCCGGAAAGTCGCCTTCAAAATTGGATAATCTCTTCCGAACTTGGCGATAATTTTTACGATTATTTTCGTTTTCCGCTGAGTGGAATCTACTTAAAAGCGTCAATTTAAGATTTTTTGATTTTTGAATAAATAATATAGTTAATTTTATGATAAATTTACGGCGAAAAAGACTCATTTTTTCGAAGAAAATCAAGGTTTTTCGCTATTCTGAGAAAGAAATTAGTGTTCTGAGTTGGGTTAAGTCTGACACCTAAGCCGGCACACGTTTTGGCCGTTCGATCAAGTAATTATTAGGGTATCCATCTTCGTACCGCGCCGCCGTTTGGAAAGCGCTTACACAGCCGCCTAACACCTTGACACGTCATTTTCTTTCTAAACTTTCGTCCATGACTTCGGTTTTAATACTGAAAAAATCAAAACTTTTTCGATCGTCTGGCGCTCACAGAAGCTCACTTTTACTGAGAACTTTGTTACAAGGGGAATTGTTGACCGCCAATTCCGGCATTCTTCTTTTGCTATTTCCTATTTCCGGAAATTGAACGCTTTGGAATGAACGCTCCGCTAGAATCAGGTCAACTAGAATGAGCAAGAGTATGATTATTGACTTACTGAGGCTGCCCTTTAAAATTTGTATTTTTCGTCTTTTGACTGGGCTGCGATGCTGGTTTTAGTGGCAGGTGGCGAGCGCAAAGTCTTCCGCATAATGTCACTGAGAGCGATGCTCGCTGCATTTCAAACTCGGTTACGCCGTTCGTACTCTCTCTCCTCGAAAAGGGACAGTAATCGCCTCAGTACACAGTACACGTGACATGCAATGAAATTCTGCGGACGAGTGGGTTTTCTTCTTCTTCCTCTAAGGCAATAGAATTATGGCAAATAAGGACTCAAGAAACAACTTTTTCAAGCGAAAAAATAAACAGAGAGAATTCAAAAATGAGAATCTTTTTTGGTCGAGAAGGGACCTTTAAAACAGCGTGTTCACGCGTTGATATGAATTATTATCAGCGGTAATTGGCTGCAAAAACATCGGAGTAAGACGTTATCATCTTATGTTTTAAACTTAAATCGAGCGGTTAATAATGAGAGACCAACTTAGCAGCGAGAAAATGTTGAATCTCATTTAGAAATATTATCAAGCTAAAAGTGTTCTTAAAATTTCTATTGACGAAGTTCTGCCAGTTTTGATAACAGCCGCTAAATTAACCCTCTGACCTTGCGTAGATGCATCTGCTTGTTTAAATTAGAAAAAGGCTTTTCTTATATTTTCAAAGCAAAAGATTTAATTCGCAAGTTAAAACAAGTGTCAAAATGAGTCAGGCAAGAAATTCATTATGCTGTTCCAAGGAATTCGCATTTTTATTTCTATTTTGGAAGTAAATTCAGCTTTCAATTTGCTTTCAAACCCCAATAACGGTTCTCTTTCTCAATCAAATTAGAAGAAATCTTGAAGAGGTTTTTTCTGACTCATTGTTTCTATCGTCAAAGATCGATTTCCGAAGATAAAGTCTTACAAATGAAAAAGAACTGATTTCACTTGTGCGCAATTTTACGGGAAAGAAATTAAACGCAAAGGGCAGTAGCGGCAATCTTAACGTGCTAATGCACAACGGGCGAAATTGGCGGAATGAACCCCTTAAAAGCACGACGCAGCTCTGTTTGAATCCACTTCCGCCACACTTGCCAGAAACGTCGTGTTTAACATTTCACCTCGCTCAGTGACGTTTTGAGCATAATTCTCGTCGTGGCGAAATTATTCTCCTTTTTTGTATGTTTAGAGGGGATGTTTCAGAAAGTGTTCTCCTCGTTGTTAAAATATGGTCAGTTTGGTTAGGGGCAGCGTGTTTCTTTGCGGGCCAAGGATAAACGGGGCGCTTTTTAGAGCTCCAACGTGGTCTAAACATGTAAAAATACTCATTATCAAAAGTTATACAGCAGGTGCTCATTTTAAGACTACCCCAGAAGGCAGTGGTTTTCAAAAGAGAATGATATTGTCTAGCAGACAATTCACTGTTTATCTATATAATGCTGAATAAAGAGGAGACAGGTGTGAAGAGATATATACACATTTTAAGTATTCTGCGAAAAAAATCTTCGAATTTTAGAGATCTGACGTGTCTAACATGAATTTCATGCGCCGCCCGAATCAAGTAAATTTGAACGGCTTGACACCTTTTATCAAGGCTTAGATGCGTTTTACGGCGGCCAACTAGCTTACTTCTAAAGCTTTATCGATCGTTTTTACTTCATGTTTCCTGTTGCTCGACATTTTACAAAGTTCATTTTCTTGTTTTACAGTTTAATACTGTCACGGAAATTTTTCTACAAAAGAAAAAAATGCTGAGTTTCTTCTCAATTAAAATCATTTCGATCGAAAATTGCCAGTGATCCTCCCTCACTCAGAATAATCAACGGAGACTAGTGTCTACAATCCAAGTTACTGTAGGAACAAGAAATTATGGTCGATAATGGAACACGCGGAGCTCGGCTCGAGTTTGAGCGTCACTTGGTCGCGCGCGTAATTTTCGCTGAGCTTCTGCTCGTTATCTACTCATTATCAAATGTTCAGACTTGCTTCCAACTCTTTTTCTTTCCAGCGATGCCTCGCTTATAACATGCTTAATTTGTAATTATTCACGATTATGAACCCTCCGCGGTTTGTTGCACTGTCTCAGGCTTCTTTTAGAATGTCTGTTGTCTTAACTTAAAAAATATAGATAAAGTTAAAGTTAGACAAATTTCAGTCTATTATTTGTCGGTTTAAAAAGGGTCAGGGTTATTTAACCCTTCGAAGAACGAGCCTTTTTCTCGGCGAATTGGAAAGCTTTTTTGATAAGATTTCCAAAAAGGCCGAAATTTAAGAGAACAGATAAGACCTGCGCCACCTAAAAATTTGAGGAATGGTACGCTAGTTCCTTCACGAAACCAAGAAAAACAGATTGTCGCGTCTTCGAGAGGTGCAATTTTAGCGATAAGCTGTCGCCTGACAAGCACTTCCCGTAGTGGATCAGGACACGATAGAAATCAACCCGTCCGATTTTCTCCTTTTTTTCTAAAAAAATTGTCCCTCGGACGCAAAATAATTCGCGGTCAGTCGCCCGTCACCGCGCAAAATGACATTTTTAGTACCGTATCATTTTCTATCTGAAATTTCAATCGCTAACGAACTTCTCCACCTTTTTTATTTTTTGCAAGACATGTAGAAAAGAAGGACGGGCCACCTCAACGACATTGGCTTTTTGCGTTTTCGGGCCCAGATGGCAGGTGATTTGGAGCTTACGCATGTTCTACTCATCTTCAGATCTAGCTGTTTTTTGTTCTATTTATGGCTAGCCGAGCTTTTTTAATTGGAGATATTTATAAATACCGTACTTTCTTCAGCCTGTCAGAGATTCGTATTTTCGACATTCTTACTTACCACATTTTTAATTATAAAACTACTATTTCTACTCGCAATTATTGTTAAAACAAAGAAGCAAAACGGTAACTGAAAACGTTATATAACACGTAAGACAAAGAGAAGTGACAAATTCAAAGCTAAAAAAAGTAAATTGCATCCCTATTCAACCTTCGTCATTTTAGAAAAACCAGAACCGGTCTCGCAATCAGACTTAATCAAGCAAAAACGTGGTCTTCCTGCGCCCGGACCTAGCCTCCTGTAATGCTGAATATTGTCACAGCTCTCAGATTTCCGCTGGCGAAATCCTCTTCTCAAACTCTTCGCAATCATAAAATCCTGAGATTCGATATCGCCGCGTCTAAAAAATTGATCTTACAATTGTTTTCGTAACACTTTACGAACAAACGAAGCTTTATAAAGAATTATCAAAAATCTAAATTGAGTCAAAAGCATCAGATGAGTGTAAAGGTAGAATCAAGCATTTGATGATATCTGCGCAAATTATCCTTGAATTTAGGGTCGTTAAAACTTACGTAAACTGTTGTAAGAGTTTGAATCTGATTGTAAAATTATTTCCAGTTGTTTCATGTATCTTTATTTTACCGAAATTAGCATTTCTTAGGCGCCCAATTTTATCCAAAATCATTTTTAGACCCAACAGACGACAATTACGAAGAAAACAAGAAACATTCCCAAAACACTGGCGCCATCACCTATCTCATCCGAGATGTGCATTTTCATCAATCCCCTGTGTTTACTAAAAATATGTTAAACATACATCGTCTTTCGCGAAAATTGACAAGACCCATTTTTGTCTTGAGAAAACAAGCGCGTTCTACTCACACTTTTCAACAAGTAAGTGCCTTTAGTAAAATATTACTTCTTTTTGAGAGCAGCAAATTTGTTATTTTTGACATTTTTTTGAAGTTTCGGAGAAGTTATCCTCGCGAGTTTTATTTGCTAACTTTTCATGAAAAAAATGTAACTTTGATAATTGAATTTTTGAGTTGTAGGTTATGAACACGTGAGCGCTTGTAAGACAAGAAAATCTGCTGGCGCCTGTCACGTTTGAGCTCGTAAATGCCTTCCAATCTCAGATATTAGCTCAGCTGTGAGCCGATTTCTCCTGCGGAATCTCTTCATTTCCCAAAGCCGTCCAGTTGGCAACAGAGGGATCAGCGCTGCTGATAAGATGGATTAAGACTTTTCAGGTTTTGACTAAGACGCATTTAAATTTTTAAAAACATAAATCAATTATTGACCGTTTCGAAATTGATAAATGACACTAATCGATCATTTCCGAAACAGAATTGATATGTTACGTTTAGGTGCTGTTTTGTGCACGTGTGCTACAAATGTTGTGGCCATAAATTTGATTTGAGAGATTTCAACATTCTGAAATCGAAGTCCCAGCTTGTGGAGTTTTAGTGCTGGATTTGAAATCGCATCAAGTCGAAAGGTTTGATTCCACGGCGCGTTGATGATGTTCGACGATGTCCAGCAGCTTGCGCATGTCATTACGCAATCGAACCACGGGAAAACGGACGCACTCTAGGAAAATCACAGTTTCCTAGAGAAACTCGACGGCACCGATTTTTCAATTCATAGAAGTCGATTTATTTTATTACTCTTTTATTCTCTTCAAGCTACTCCAAGTTCTTCCCTCGTAAATGATCGTCATCGAATAATCTTGCTCTTCGATGATCTTCAAATTCAATAAATTATATAAATCGAAACCTCTTTGAAATGCACGTACAGCACGTACATAATACCTTAAAGAAAAACAAAGGCATTTTCTGTTACACAACAGCTTTCGTAGATAAATCACAAAAGCGAATCCTCCGAATGCCTCAATTGACAAATGAACGTCATTTCTCGCGAAGTGGTTACCCCCGCCAAGCTGCCAGGCGTATTCTGAAAGGTTTTTTCTTTGTCGAAAGCAGACACCCAAAGTGAAAAATCATCGGCTCGTTTTTCGCGGCAAAGCGCTCAGAATTGCCAGCTCTAGATCATTTTTGACGAAAGAATAATTACCAAGAAGGATTATTCTGATTACTCTTCTTTTCAATTCATCCCTTTATCTGTTAGGTTCAAAAAACTGACTCAATTTTGTCCCATTTATTTCGAGTAAAAGGCCGAGCAAAGATTTCAGGTGAACTTCTTAACTCCCTCTAATCGCATGCATTAGAAAAAATTTTAAGGAAATCAACTTTTCCCTCTGGAACATGGATAATCTTCTGTAACACCTGCGGAAATGATTGACGCATCAATGTTGAGCGTCTTAACTCAACTTCTGATAACAAATTTTAAGATTTTCTTAACAAGAAATCTCTTCTCCATTTCTTTCAAAAGAAACTTGCTCAAGTCAATATATCCAAGGAACAAAGAAAAGGCTCTTGACTAGAGATGTGTCATTCTTTATTGCTCTTGGTATTAAATCTGCGAGGACAAAGGTCTGTGCCCTTTGGATCCAGAGAGGTATGCAAAGCGACACTCACTACGATTCTTTCTGGTGATGTTTTTTCATCAGAGAAATTCGTAGAAAAAGTTGTCAAAAACGAACTTTCATTTTAAGTAATAAGGTACTAGAATGGTGGATTCTGACAGTCTTGGTTCAATCTTTTTCTCGAAAATTGATTTCGTACTCGCTAATTTTACGTTTCATTCACTTTCCAAAATGTCCAAATTAAGACATTTATATCAAATTAAGGGTGCCTTGTTGATAATTATTGGAACAACAAGCATCCCAAAAGTGGAAAAAACAATGTTTTCTCCCTTTTGAATAATCGAATATAAACAAATTCTGGAATAGGAAAATGCAATACTTGAGTTTGAACCATTATGACATTCCGCTTTATGCTCAGATGCTTGAGCACGTTGTCGAGCTTAAAATATTGAGAGAAAAGCAGCTCGGCCTTGTAAGCTTATTGATACCAGAAATTCGCAAGAAACACAAGCGCCTCCGAATTAGTAAAGGTAATTTCAAAATTTGAAATAATGGAAGGTCAGAATCAGAATCAGGAGGTTATTTAAATTAGGGATCTGCACCGCAGTTGGACTAGCGGCCACTTCATTGCTCTTCACACCTGCTGCACCTGCCGCCGTCATCGCCCTTGGCTCCACTGCCGCTGCGGGTGGCGTCACTACTGCGGGTACTCTTTCTCTTCATTTTAATATCATAATGGACAGAAGAGCTAAAGCATTTCTTGTTGTAGTTTGCGATTATTTCAAAAGCAAGTCTCAGACAAAGGAGCTGCAGATGGTTCTTGAGCTCTCGAGGGAAGCCGAAAAGATTTATGTTCTTTGTAAGCGCGAGTTTACATCTCTTGGGTTATTCATCTTCTTCAAAATTTCGAAGTATTTGTAAACAATCAGATAATGATAATAACGAGTTTTTGGAGGAACCAGAAAGTTGTAACGACTTGTAGGCCCCGATTTTCTTTGAACTAAACAAATTCTAGAGCAAGAACTTTCAAAAATTTTAGCAAGAAAATATCTAAAATTCGTGTGTTCTTGTTGATAGAATTTATAATAATATATATGAAATATGATCTTTTTTAACCGAAAATTGATTTCGTAATTACAAAAGAGTTTATATAGTTAGTCCCCTGCCGAGCAAGGTTGATCCCTTTTTGAGATATAAACCCAGTTCCAGGAAGAAATAGAGCGCGACTGCGAAGAGATGATCCGGCTTGGGATCAGGCCCGCAGAAGCACGAGCAAAAGCACTCGGCCTCAGAAAATTAAAACCCTTTGTAAGGTGTGTTTTCAAAATGCAAAATTAAACAAGCACTTGTAAAATAGCTTACCTCTTGTTTAGTGGGTCGGTGTTTTTGACGAAAAATGCGATAAAGGACACATTGGTTGAAAAAGTAAAAAAAGAGGGATAAAACACTTGAAAACTGGTTTTGCTGGTTAACCCTTCGGCGAAATAAGGGTACATTAACGTGTTTATCTATGCGAGTGACAGCTCAGTGCGGCGATGGGTTAACCTACTATCTTCGGTTGTCGGTTAACCTATTGAAGGTAGACTCATTTTCAAACCAGTCAAAGACGGTGGAAATAATGGACAAACTCGGTAAATTCGCCATTCCCTCGATCAGGGACAGTTTTTTAATTCATTTATCCTCAAGGCTAAAATTGCAATACACATACCGGTAATTTGGCGATATGCAAATTCCGCTGCCGTTTCCGGATTAAATTTCAGTTGTATTTTTCCACGTGAAAATCGCCGCCGTTTATCTCCCAAGTGCGGAAAACAGAAACTGTAGAAACCAGGCTAGAAAACTGTCTTCAAGTGCAGGGGCGAAAGTTGGACTACAACTCACTGGAAAAGTACTTGGCGCAGCTGCCAGTGCGATTGATGTGGTTGACTTGACTTTCACGAATTGGAGTTTGAACAAAAGCTTGATTTCATTTTCTTTTACACACATCGAGCGATCGACCAATCAGCTTCGCTGATCTTGATTGAGCTATTTGTTATAGCTAGAAGTCTCAGTAGAAAATATATCGATACTGGTAGATTTTGAACTTTTCAAAGCCGATTAGTTTAAAACTCCAAATCAGCTTTTACGGGAAGATCCAAACATCGACACAGCCTTAAAAATCATCGACCTACTTATTCTTCAAATAGAAGAACTCGAACGGTAAGCAAAAAATGATCGAGTTTATTTCACCAAAAATATCCAAAAACTCAAGTTATCACTAATCTCGCCTAATTCCCGTAAAAGTATACTCTACCAAATCAAACAATCGCTTCTTTTATCCCTAAATGAGCAACTTTTGAATTCAGAGGCAGCTATGATTTAGTTCTTTTAATTGTTGCAAGTCATTCAAAGAATGAGGTATTTTGAATAGCTAAAGAATAGCGGATTCTTTCAGAGAGCGAGCTTGGCTACAATCCCTTCATGACGAAATTCAGTTAGAAATTCAAAAACTCAAGGTGCAAGGCTTTGACAGTCGATTAATTATAGGATGTCTTTTTCGCCAATAAGAAGCCACCTCGCTTTTTATTGGTGAAAATTTCAACCAACCAAAAAGAGCTGAAAATAGCGCCCTCTCAATTATTAAAGCCTTTGAAAAGATTGAATACTTCTCCCTGGAAAGCGAAGAATCGGAAATAGGAGATAATGAATGATTGATACATTCTGGCTTTCGGCTCACTATGCCTCAACTAAGCCGATTGGCGACTTTTGCGGCGGCGCTTCCGGTTTTTAAAGAAAACAGCAGCGCGGATTTTCGGATTCCCATCTTCTCTCAAGGATCTTCCATATTCTCCTTTCAATAAAAATATCTATCACGCCATTAAATGATATCATAAGTCTCCCAAGTCTTCTTTCTTCCGCGATTATATCACCTGGATCAAAACAATATTAATTTTAATCGAATTCATTCGAAGAAGTTCAAATTTGATTTGATGCTATTAAAATTTGATAATAAATGCTCGTTTTACAGCTATCAAATAATGTTTTTCTTTAGAAGAAAAACAAGAATAGCGGAACAAGGTTAATTTGAATATGCCCATCTTAGCTAATAATATTAGCTGTTATATTATAATCAGATTCATCTTGGAAACGCCCTTAATCTTTTAATTCTCGTATTGTATATTTTTAGGAGTCACATGACCTCTATTTCTTGCTTTTGAAGAGTAAATCTTGACCCGTCAAGAAATCCCGCTTTGTATCCACCTTTTCTTTTGCCAAAGATAAGTCGTGTTATCTTTTCATTTGAAAACAGTTCGTTACGGTGCCCCCGTGATGCACATTTACTACGGTAGTATCATATGATCAGAATGATTCACGAGCACGGGGCACCAAAAAATTGGCGATGCACCGCCAGCGCCGCCGAAATTCAGCGCTTACGCTGAGTCCGATCCGCGATCGAGCTCGCGAGCGCCCTCGGAGTAAACTGATTCTCGTCTCAGCCCTTTTTGCTGAGTTCGAAAACCTAGCGCCTTATTTTATTATAGTAAAGATAGATAAAAACAAAAATTTTGTTGTTTGTCCTTTTTTGAACGCGAAGCAAGTTGAAATTTTTTGAAGAATCGAAAATTGAAAAAGAGAGAATTTCTGAACACACAAAAATGACTGTAGAGAGTAGCGAAAAAAGAGACGAAGAAAAATCGCAGCCTCCTGAAATAGACAAGGTAAACATCTTTCAAGCTTTTATATAAAGTTTTATTAGCAAGGTTTTTTTCTATAAAAAATGAAATCGAAGGAGTGAGAATTTGATAATTAAAAATTCGCGCCAGGAGCTTAGAAAAAGTATGAAATTATCGGGTCACGCGGATCTTTTTATTAAAATTCAAATACCGATAGTTCGTAAGACGCCTTGGAATTTGAATCTTTCACTTTTTTTATTTAAATTTTCGATTTGACACTTTTTTCATTTTAAAATCATGGAAAGCTGATTATTTCTTATTCAACATTTTCTTTCTTTTACTAATTTAAAAAATGACGATGCAGCTGTGGCGAAAATAAGGGGATAAGGAGTCGGAATCCCGTGCTGTTATTTTGTGTTGCGATGTTGCTGCTTAATTGTTTCTTTTCGCTCTTCTATAATAAACATCGTTCCAAAAGACGGTCATGGAAATAAATAACATTGTGACGCACCTAATTTTCAGCTAAATTACACATTTCTGAATATTCTTAAAATGTGCACTCTTCAATTTTCGATTGTAAATAAGATAAGCTTCAGAGCTAGTTGATTTTACTGTATATTACAGTAATATTGATGGAACAAAACTGTAACTTTCCAAGTCATCTATTAGGCAAATTTGGCATTCTTGCTCACCCCCTTTGGCTCATTAAAATGCTCTGCTTCTTCGTTTCTAAATGCTTCTTTTTCCGTAAAAATGAATATTCTACTTTTCACCCTGACGTCATCCATGACCCCGGTTGGTAATTTAGGCGCGATAACCTCAACGGACGTGCCCAAATCCCCCTTCTTTCTTTCTTTGCTTGCGCCGGATTTCGATAACGTGCTCCAACACCAACACAATGTATGAAAATGGGCCTTATGCCAAAATCGTAAAAAAGCCAGATAGATAAGCGTTATCACTGTACTGGCTCAACAACGGTTCGCCAGTCCGCTGATTTGCGTTAACTTAATTACGAGCCGATTTGAATTACGCGTTTCTGGAGTGCAGACTTATTTTATCATCTACTTGCAAAAAGCTCCCAGTTTCAAAAGAAACTACCATATTTAAAAAAAAAAGTATTTCCAAAAAACTAAAAAAATAAAGTCTACCAATCTCTTGTCGATCTCAAAAGCCGCAAGCGGCTTTTCAAAATATCCCCAGAGATGGCGCTGTTCACAGAAAATCTCTCACTTCTGATTGGTTGCATTTTAATTTCTGTTCAAGATGGCGCTGTTGTAGTGTTTTCTATTTTCTCATTGGATGACCCTTTCCATTTTCCTTGCTCTGATTTACTGAAATCTCTTCTACGTTTGCCTTAAATTCGCACCTTCCCGAGATAGAAGCAGATAAATACGTCGACCTCTGCCGCCTAGGGAAAAAATGCCGCGGCTCTTTCCTATCTGTGGCTTGCTCCTGTCCCGAAATCGTCAATTTTGACTCTACATTTAAGTCTTTCTGGTGTTCCTTCTTGCACTCCACGTACTCGAGTCTAGTGTTAATGCATATTTTCTTTTCGGTTCCGTTTGTACACTTCGCAAATGCATAATTATAATAATATCTTTTTTGCTTGCCGGTGGTGGAATTTTTAAATTGGCGCTTTGAAAATGGCGCTTCAAAGAAACTAGTAACCTGCTTTTTTCAGCTGTTATTTTCGCAGCGCCGCAAACAACAAGTCGAAAACCGGTCAAGAAGAAACCTCATAGTTTTATGATTACGTTACTATAAAAATAAAAAAGGCTGAAGCTCTAAACTTGCGCGTTTTTGAACGTTTGGCGATTTCGGGATTTAGCCCGTCGGTTCAAGGATCGCGCCACTCTGGATCAAGATGCGGCCACTTTGAAGCATTTGCATTCGAAGCTGCTTATTATAAAATATTTGAGTGAAATGTATATTCTTTACGTCAAAATACAACTTCACTTTAGAGGCTCAGCTTCAGCTTTATGTAGAGACACATCGCTAAACGTAAATCAAATTTCGCCGGCAGAGTTTGAAGCAAACCTCGGTCTTGATTTTTAAAAATAATAGTTTGGAAATTTCAAGAATCAGCTCATTTTTGAACTTCTTTGAATTCAATTATGAATTAAAAAGACACGATTCAAAGCTCAATTTCAACCTTTCTTTTTATAAACTTTTCCTTTGCCAAGTAAAATATTAATGTCCGACACATTATTTACTTCGTTCTTTCAGCCCGTAATAATCGTTTACGCTCGATCTTTAAAATATTTATGCCTGTCATATTTTTTCTACTGGACTTCTCGTCATATTCTTTTTCACACCATTTGTCGAAAACACGTTCCAAGGAAAATGTTCCGAAAAAATGCTTATTTATAGTTTTGGCTTGAACAAATCGTTTTTTTCTACTGTAAAAGCATGTTATTATTCGATTTTCTATTTATTTCTTGCTTTTTTTTTCTTGATTTCATGGAACTTTTACAACATTAATTTTCGTATTGAGCTAAGTTAAGCGATCTACGAGGTGGTTGTTACGGATGAAAAGCCCAAATTTACGGATCTCAATAATCGATCTCGCTACGATTATTCCGTTCCGATTTCGTCTGAACCCTCAATTTTGAAAATGTTGGAAAAGTTTCAAATTGAACTTTTCTTTTCTGAAAAAATGCTGAAATGCAGCTGCAGGGATAACATATTCAATCGCTGGCGGATCGGGTTCAGAAACGCGAGCCCGCAAGATACCGAACGTAAATATATGTAACTCAGGAATCGAATGTGACAAGAAAAAAGCTGAAAAAATAAACAGTTTTATAAGACTCTTTGAAGTCAAGATTTATTGTTTTATAGAACTTTATCAATAGATTTTTCTTCAAAAAAGGAATTCTAAAGAGACTTATTTATATTCAAAAGAAAACTGTTAAAGTAACTTTAACAAGGTTTATCTGTTAAAAGAAAGATAATGATGGGGGGATCGAGCGGTCGCCGGGAATTAGCGGATGACACCCGATACGCTAAATGCATCAATGAACTACCAAGTCTAGTCGACATTACCTCATTTTTGGTGCTCTGAGTTTGAGCTTGCCGAAGCGCTTTTAACTCTATTCTTGGCCAATAAGAACGCTTTATGTTTTATTGAAACTAACCAAAAGTGCAATTCAACCAAATTTAAGCATTCAATTTTGTCGTTGTTCCTGAGCGCTAGAAATCGTAACGTGTGTATTCTCCTGACCCTTGGTCGTCCTGTACGTCGTTGGCGCTCGGTCTAAAAGGCTTGTCATTGTGGGCTCGAGCTGCTCCGCTCCGGGTTATTAGAGATTTCTGCGTCTCTCCTCCGCCAATGCTGAGTTGGTCACGGGCGATTTCGCGAATTTCACGGGTCCGCCCGCCCTTCACCGACCGCCGATGCAAATTTCCGAATCCGGCCCAATCTCAAAAGAAAAGCGCTAGAAAATTCTAGCGCTGCTCCTTTTCTTTCCTTCACCAGCTCAGAAAAGAAAGATGGTGACCGAATTGATCATCGAGCCGATTTTAGAATTCTTAAAAAGTTCAAAATTTTCAATCAAGGAAGTTGAATTTAGACCGAAATTTCCGGAACCAATTTAGCTCAAATTTCTATTGAACGGATCATCATTCATGATTTCTAAAAGTTTCAGTGAAAGTTCCTTTCTTCCGATCGAAAATTATAGACTTTTGTTTTCAAAATCAGCCGTTTATATTTGTTTAAAATTGAAAGGTTCCATGATAATGAAATTGTCCCCAATAGTGAGGCGCGTTGTTTACTCCTCTGAGGATGATACGGCAATTTGGCCAAGCTAAATATTGGATAATAAACCTATTCCACTATTTTTCATTCAAATTGAGCGGCTCGTCATTTGTTGAGAAAGATTGCGGAAGTGGACCCTTCCAGCGCCAAAATAATATTCATCTTCGAGTTCTATACAATTGCGGTTGCGATCGGTTTTGGTACAGTCAGCCGAAATAGCAGCAAGGATCTCTAATCGAAAAGTCAGCGGATTGCAAAAGGTCGCCCCAGCCTTCGAGACTTCTACAGGAACTGAGCCAATTTCGAGGCAATTTGCACTCGACTTTCAGCCAAAAATCCACATCCAATAATACCGCTAAACTTTTCGTTTCCTCGGCGGTTGGGACGACTTGAGCCGTGACTTGCAATTGTAGACAGTTATCTTTTCTCACACTCTTTTTGAATTTCATTTGAACGATTATTTATTTGCGTTTTAGTAACGTTAATTTACGGCATAGGAGATAATTTGCCCTTTGAAAACCATTTGTAATTGTAGTCATATCACTAGCTATAAAACCATATTTTCTCAAAGGATAAACTGTCATGGAGGGTTTAGTTAAAACTGACAATTACCTGAGAATACGTTACGTTGTCCAATAAATCATCTTTCGAGTCCCGCAATACTTAGTGCTTTTTGGTCCTCTGCCAGCACTTCCGGTTGCAACTACGAAGTCCTTTCGCCGAAAAAAAAGACTTTCGCGGTTGGGCGCCGACCAACGTGCTGCAGTTGCCATTTTCGCAACCATTGCCAGGGCATTTAACCGGGACATTTAACACAAAAGTCAAATCAAGGTTGGACGTTTTTTTCCGCCTGCTCCCACAACTTGCGTCAAATAAGAGCATTATGCATAGGAAAAAACGAGTCTTGAAAAATAATAATCTGGTCAAAATTCTTCCTTTTTGAGTGAAAAATTTTGACCAATAAGAAATCTCAACATCTTTTTTCATCCAATAAAAATTAAAAATAAAACTTGAAACAACAATAAAAAAAAACTGGTGAGCTGATGCTCAGGAATGCTAAAAATGCATACGAAGGCTTGAAAATTCTAGCGGTTTTCCTTCCTAGAACAAAAAGATCGTGCTTTGACTAAGCTATACAGAATACGGTGTAATCCTGTACCGTTCTTTCAAACTTGAATTTCAAATTTTTCGTTCTTAAAAAAAGAGAATTCTGAATAACGAAAGAGTGATGTAAACTTTTGTAACATTTTAAATAGATTCAAGAGTGATCATATCGTGTTAATAACCCTAAATTTACCTGCTCCCTAAAATAATAAGAAAAGTAAAAACGCTGTTTCTTTAAGATCTCGATCAGTTCCCCGGCTATTTGCCCAATTATCTGTTTTATCGCTTATAGATGGGTTCTCAGCTCTGTGATCATTTTTAATTGCGGAAAACATGGATCAAACGTTTGAACATATAATATAAATGGAGTCCGTACATGTTTAAGAACATGTCGTTTTTTCCTTGATTAGAACATTCGTCAAGTGAATTATTTACAAAGGGATATCTTAAATTGTCATTCCAGCTATTTCAATGAAAAAATGCCTTTGAGAAAAAATTAATGGTTAATTTTTTTCGGAGAAAACCGGAAATCGTCGATCCGGCCAAATAATATGAAAAAAAAACCTCTTCGCAACTTTTGCATTTTTTCGGACAAACACACGATCAAAAAGAAATTTCCACGCTAGCTCTCTGTCAATTTCGTGGTGGCGTCACTCACCGGAGATTTTTTTCTTGAGCAGCTTAAATGATACAATATCCTGGAAAAAACGGCCGCCGCGTTATCGATAAAGTTTGTTCAATTTTTAATTTGTTTTTGGGAAATTTTATTTCCTATCAGCAGAAGCTGATACTCCGCCGCAGAAGGTGAAAAGTTGCGAAAGAGAATATGATGTAAGAATTATTGGCTAGCGGCTAGAATCGACAAAAACGGTTTCGACATTCTTTTTGTTAAATTCTATTGGCCTAGCAGTCGAATGCGCGAATCTGATAGGCCAAAAATTTTACCAAATTTTGGTCGAAATTGTCGAGTTTTTTGACGATTCGAGCCACTTCCAAAATCCGTTTTTCCTGCTTCTCAAAATGAGAATGGAAAGCTTGTAAATCATGAAGCAATATTTCAATTCAGAGCCTTAAAATATAAGAATGAGAAATTAATGAGCTACTCTAAAACGTGTTCACGTGAAAATCAAAAATCTCTAATGGCCCATTTTATGACTTCATTAAGCAGAACTCGATCGTGGATAATTCTTTCATCAGACCGTATTAATTTCATCTCTTTCTCTCTCTCTCACCTCCAGATACACTTAACGATTGTCAACTGACAAGAGAAGAAATTTATCAACCGTCTTTTTCAGAATAAAAACAGCGCGAAATTCGATGCAAAGTCCAAGTTCTTCCGGCGATTCCGTTTGACCCGCTCGAAAAGCCGCCAAGCAGCCGATCAAAATCGGGATCAGGATCATCCCCGGATCAGGAGATCCAATTCACTCACCCAGCTACCGGAGCCGAAATATTCTGTCCAGGTTCGTACTTCTCCAATTTGATCAGGAGACGTAGGGGGCGGCTTTTTGGGTTCTTTGAATTAGGCAAGGGTACTTGTCTTCAATCAAGTTTTATATAGCATTGACGCTCAAATATTCTATTCTGTATTCTTTTTATGTAAAACAACCATGTTTATATGGAACTCTATTTTTCAGAAAGTATCCAATAAAAAACTTATATAACAGACTAGCAAGTGTCAAGTCCAGGAAAATTTATGTCTTCAAAAATAGCTTTTAAATCTTCATCAATGTCCGGTCGCCCTTGGAGGTTTCGCAAGAAAGTGCTAATTTTATTTCTTTCATTCTCCGGGACTGGCAATTTAGGCTCTTTAGGCCTCAATTTAAGAGAATATTTTTAGAACACGTATTTTAAGGTATTTTTAAAAATACAGAAGAAGAGCTTTTAGTTCATTCTAATCTAAATATAAACGAACATGAGATAATTTGCTTTAAAACATAAAGGAATAGAATTAAAAAGAACATAAAGGATAATTAAAATGCGTCAAATTTATATAAGGATAATTGAGGGAATTAAAAAGTTTCATAAGTTTGTCATAAGAGCTATTTATGTTTATGACTTCTTATGAAACTTATAATTTAATTGAATTAGATCTTAATTTGACGCTTTTTCTGAAAAGTTTTCTTTATTTTAGGCAATTTATTTTATATAAGTCCTCATTTGAAACTAAAGTTTTACAGAAGTTAATTTAAAATTGAAGGACTGGCTGATAAAACGAAGAGCAGTAGCCGACGAAGAATTATACGTTGGAAACACGCTGATGAAGCAAAAGCAACGATTGTGGGTGAAGACGGGCGGTGAAAATCGCGGAAGCGAGAAGAGCTGCTCCCTCCCCGCCGGAAATCGATTGCCCGAATCCAGCGACATAGAACAGGTTCAGAGAAATTAACAAGCCACGACGCCCTTTTTAGAAGACTGTTTCTCTTTTCTATTAGACCAGATCGCATCATTTGACTAGGCCTCTTCGATATTTCAATAAATAGAGGGATTCTTCTAGGATGTAGCCATTTGAACGAATCTAAAGACAAATGGCTTCTTAGTTTATTTTAAAAGATAACTACTTCTTACGTATGAGTAGAATTTGAGCTAACTCAGATGAAATAATTGATTGACTAAGTATGTTGTATAAGAATAAATAACAACTTCTTTTGTGAAAAGGACTTAAAAATAGCAAAACCGGTATTTTGAGGTTCCAATTAGCCCGCTTCGCTTGATTTGCAAAGGCTAAGGTTTAGCTGACCGTTAAGCCTTGCTGATGTTTAAATAAAAAAAGGAGAGAAGGAATCACTTCCGGCTGACATATGTTTTTAGATTTTATGCAGAGCGGCGCGAATTCGAAGAAGAAGGGACCGAAGCAGGAGTAATGACCCTCTCAAGAAGAGCGAGGGCCTCCAATCATCGACTAATCAGGAAATTGTCTTCATTTGGCGAATATGCACAAGGGCCGTTACACAAGTAGCCAAATTCTCTTGAGTCTGAGTACTTTGTTAATCTTAGATCTAACTTTGTTGGAAGCAATTTTTCTTTCCGGGCGGGGGTTCTGTTTTTATATGAGATCATTTATTCGAGATCTTTTCTCGTATTGGTCAGTTGAGAGCTGTTTTCTATGAAGATTTTCTTATGTATCATGTCATCTTTAGAAGCATCTGAACAATAGTGTTAGTAGGTTGCGGTAGTTTCTAAAATATAATTCTTGAAAGGTGACAAGAGCACGTCATGTGACGGGTGACAAGTTCAATTGTAGCGTTATTAAATTTCACAGGCGGAGAGGTATTTTCTCTCCTTCCTTCAAATTTGCCGTGTAAATCGCAAAAAATCGTATTAACGTGATGACTGGGTTATGGTTTATCAGTCTTTGAGCAGCTTTTTAGCAATTTTACGGCGCTAGAATTTCTCGAGAAGATAAACGCCCTGTAATAGCCCAAACAAGATGTTCGTATTTTCAAAAGCTCGCTTACTCGCGATAAGATGCGAAAAAAAGGAGGAATCCTTAAAACTGACGCTAAGTTTACTTGATTGGGTCGATTTTCGTAAACAAAAAAGTATTATGCTTTGCGAGGGTTGGCGATTTTGAGATCCACCGCACGTTGCGGCTTCAATGGTGGCGATTTTGCAAATATTTGAAAGTTTTTTTCACGCGAAACGGGTCGCCCCGTCTGGAGCCAGCCAGGCGGATTTGAAGATTCAGCCCTGCCCAGATTTAAAGAAAAGAAAAGGGATTAGAGCGAATTAAAACGACATCTTGAATATTTTTTTTCTAAAATGATTAATCAAGGTTGAAATTCAAACTTTGCCATTTCCAAAATTTTTTTTCTCCAAACCGGCGACTATCCCCTTAAAGAAAACGGACTGTCAGACAGAGACTGTGCACCGTAAATCCAGGTGAAATAAGGTTACCGGCCCTCCTCGTAGCGGGACATTCCCGAAGTGCTGCTGGCTCTTAAACTAACCCCAAGAAGTTCTAAAGTTTCCTCAGCGGAAATCTGATCATTTTTGGGAAGCAGGGCAGCCTGTCACTTGGAAGGGGCTGAAAAGGGGATGAGCGAGACGCGAGCTGGCAGGAACCTTGCCAAATTATGATCTCATAATTAACCCTGCTGCGGAATATAAAGTCCGAGCTGAATTTATTCAACGCCGCCACATGATTACGTCATAACATTTATGATTTGGACTGATCGTTCAATCATTTTGTCATTTATCGGAACCCAGAATTTCAATTGAAAGTTCAATCGAAATCAACTTATTTTTTATTTCTCAAGACGGAAGCTGCTCAAACTTTTTCCGGTTTATAAACTTAGACGCAAGTCCTGGCCCTGCGTCCTCTCGCCAGTGTGTAATCACGTGACCAAAAATGAATACGGTTTTAAAGATTACGGCCGACACCGAATCCGAAAATTACGGCTCTAGCAACACTCTTCACTCAAGGTAAACGCGAGTTTCATTTCTTTGCATCTTCAAGTCCTGAGAAATAACAAACTTAGATACACTTCTAAAGCAGCTTTTTTATAAAAAACATATTTTTAAAAAATAATTCTTAAAAGTAAAATATTGGCTTTTTCAGATAGCTACTTTTTGACATTTCTTTTGAAAGTTTTATCTTCTATCAAAAATTTTTTGTCTTTCAAAAATGATTCCCTGCAAAAATAGCAGGGCCGGCGTGGATTCATTTTTTGGACGTGCACGGTGCATGATATGCAGTACAGCACCACTGTCAGTGGTAAACTATCAAAAAAAACATTCCCAGGTCGGCTGCTTGCTCGCGCATTTTGTTTAGAAATGCTTCCGATTTGTATTAGTTTTATTTTTCAGAACCAGTACATATGATTTTTTTTAATTGCCGGATTTAGTATTTTAACGTAAATTCAATTTAACGCAAAAATCGAGCCTAGAAATAAATCTATAGGCCTAAGATATGAGCAGGTTGACGCAAAACTATTCACATAGAATCTTAGAAAACCATCAGTGGTATTTATAAAAAGATCCAATAAAACAATCATTTATACGTCTTTCCTTACGTAACATTTTAGCACGCAAATCTCCGAAGACTCCTTCATTCTTTCTAAAAAATGGCGAATGCATTTGAACCCGGAAGCGGGCTCAATTTCCACCGACTACGATCCAAACTCGAGTACGATCGGCGAGTCAGCATCCAGCGGCTACTGGTCACGTGGCGAAAAAGAAACCGACAAGGAGGAGATTCCGGAAAAGACGCCGTTGGACCTGGATCTCGAGAAAATCCGCCCCGAAAGCCTCCGCCTGCCCGAGCAAATGCGCGTTCACCGTACCCAGCACGAGCAGATTAGCCAGAATCACATAGGAATGGTTCATATTTCGTATGCCACCTTTTTTCTCGTAAAAATCTTTCTCTCTTTAAGCAAGAAGATTTTGGTCTAAAATCAATTAATTTGCTTTATTTATTGCAGAAAAATCAATCGGATTAAGGACGTCTCTCCCCTTAAATTCTTTATCGAGCAATTTTAAAAACTCTTAATTCTTCAAGGCCTGTAACAAAATCGGAAATTTCGAAGACGCAATTTAAAATCTAAACTCGTTATTAAGATATCAGATTGTTTCTTCCGGTGAGCTTACTCTCTGACATGTCATTTTCGTCTTAATAAGATCACATTTCCGGGCTTTGCTCTGGGTCGGCATTTTATGAACCATGAAGAAGGGAGCCGGAAGGATGAAGGATACTTCTACGTGGCGCTGGTCGGGGATAATAGCAACGCAGACGAACAGGCCTCGCGCAAATCCTCGCTCAACTCCAGTTACAGGTGAGCATTTTGTAAGAGTATTAGTAACTTCAAAAGGGCGCTCTGTTTCAATTCATCTAGCCCTCTAATCACGCGCTTTAGAGGGTCTTGATCATGACGATTTTTCGGGTTCTCCGCGAACTTTTGTTCTAATTACAAAATTAAGGGTCCACTCTGGTTACTGCGAAAGCGAAGAAGCAGAAATTGCTGAGCGCCGTCGACGAACCCGCCAATGCTACGCAAAACTCCAGCAACGACGTCAATCTAACGATAGTCTCTCTTCCTCCTGCGTAGTCCCAGTCGCCAACGGACCACGAAGAAGCAACTCTGCTCAAGTCAAACGCTCAAGTCCAAAAATCCAGTCCGAAGATGTCAAAGTCGAAAAAGTCGACAACAAGGACGAATGGAAGATCACCATCAAAATCAGCTGCAGCCAGAACAATAATTCTGAGGAGAACAAGAGCGACAAAGAACTGGAAAAAAGCTCCACGGAGAAATCCGTCGCCCATGCTGACGCGATGACAGCTACTGTCACTCAAAAGCAAGAGACACAGACGCAAACTTCACGTTGCGAGTGAGTACTACAATTTTAAATCGCCATGTTTTCTCTCTCTAGTATTTCCAAAATCTAACAAAATATGCTTATTTAAAAACTGAATTCATCTCGGCAGAAATTCCATATTCCAATTTTTCAAGAAAGAAAATGAATCTCTAAGTGCAATTTTCTTTCTGAAAGCTTATCCCTTCCTTCCGATAACATTCAGTTGACCTTAATTTTTCTAAACTCGGAACTGCTACTTCTCCTTAGATATCGTGTCGAGCAAAAATTTACTGCATAAATTTTCATAATCAGACGCTTCACCCCTTTTCCTGTCACTGAATCTTTCAAATCTCGAAATCTTGAATTCTGAACTTTGAATTTTTAACAAGAGTCCGTTATGTTTTCCACGCGGGGGTGAGCGCTTGGGAACTTGCCCTTGAAATGTGTCAGTGATAATCAATTGTGACCGGCTTTTAGGTCTCCAACGCGGTCCGACTCGCCTCTTGTGGTCAAGTGGCAAACTTCGCCTGCTGCTCCAATCATCAAAACGAGCAAGGACGTGTTCACTCCTAACAGCACATCAACCCCTAAGAAAGAAGCATTCAGTCGCCCGAAAGTCACAACAGTACTTCCATCACTTCCAACTCGCCCGAGTTTCTTGTCAAAAATCGCACCTCCAACAACATCACCAGCAAGCAAACCAATCTTAGAACGGCCAATTACGAGCCGCTTCCAGCGAAAACGAACCGACTTCAAATCGGTTCTGAACCAGTGGCAAGAACGAGCATCTTTGTCAGAGCTTCAATAAGATCAAAAATTCGCGATCAAATTTCCTCATAAAATCATTCAGTTCAATCATCCCCAAATTTCACTCCCTTAATTTTCGACAAAAGATCAAATCTGTAGCTCAAAATTAGTCCCGATCGCAAAGCTTCGACCAAATGCCTCAGGAAACGCAAGAGAAGGCATCTTCTCTGACGAGAAACTTTTCTAAGAGGGCGGAGGCTCCGTCCGAAAAGTCTCCAATAACTCGGCTGGCTCCGATTTCTTCCTCGTTCTCCCAAAATCGTCCACTTGGACGATGTTCTTCTAACACCGTTAGTACTTTTCCCATCTCAACATTATCTAATCCTTCTTTTCAGGCTCTCTATCGCTCGAGTTACCGACCAGGAATTCCGACGGGCTGGCGGCAACCCCAGTCCTAACTCACCCAAGACTAATCCCTAAATTAATACATGGACAGATTAATATTAAATTATTCCAGCGCTTCTGTAAATAAAGAAACCTAACTTTCCCCCGAGAAAGAAGTAATTTTTACGGGGTTGTCGCAGTACTCGACGAGCATTCATCGACTGTTAGAGCAAAGAAAAAATAACGACTATGCAAGAATGAAGATTCTCTGGGTCTAATAAAACGAAGACGATTTAATTTTTGACAAAACCTCAAGAAAAGACTCAAAAGACACTGTACAAATAATACAAAAGTACTTACCTCTAACAAATGACAGTGTTTTATCATTGCATCAACAAGCTTTCAAGCAAAAGTCTATACCAGCAGAGAAAACATATTAAACAAAAAGTTCATTTTATCCTCAAGATGAAACAAGCTAAATTCATTCAAAAATCCATATCTTCCCGCAAAACTGGTAATTTTCCAGTGCTACATGCGCAGATAACATCATCCAAAAGGAAACAATTATAGGAAAAGTTCGCTCGAGACAGTAGTCTTCCTGAAAAAAGGCTGATAAGAGCGCCGGTCTATTCCAGTCGGGCGCGGTCAACCGACTCGTCGGAAGAAAGAGCGCCGAGTTTATTTCCTCTTTAGCACCATCAGTCGTCGTGTTTCCAAGTCGTACACGCTATATAAATTCGTGACAAGTCCATGATCTCATCAAATACAACAGAATAATAACCAAGCATAAAAATGAATATCCTCAAATTGGTTTTCTTCCTTCTCGCACTTGTCGAAGCCGACCTGATTGGATTCAACAGACTTGGAAACAATGTTTTACTTTATGAAAAGAACGGAAAAGATGCTCTGTACGGTCGAAATGTCAACCGACATCCAAGATATAGATTCCGATACAACAAAATCAGCATGATGAAGCGGTACTTCAAAGTGGCTTGATTGTAAAACGCCCTGCTTCAATCTTCCTTTTTGTACTGCACACACTTTGTTACATTTTTTCGTTAAATAAATCTCATCAATTAATGACTCTTCCTTGATTGCAATCCCTACAACAATCGGTTCTACTAGCGCTTTTTTAATAAAAACCAACTTTTGAGTCATGCGATTTCGCGAAATACTTATCTTTTGCATGAGCATTTCATAATAAGCAAGCAACTCGAGATACCAAACTCGTGTTGTAGAAAATTGCCACTTTGAGGGGGACACAAATTCGATGTTCCCAAAGTAATTTTTCTTAGATTCTATGTTTCAGAGTCGAGGTATCTAATCTGAGCTCAAATCTAATCTTGAGTCAACATGGAGAAATTTGAATGGTTAGTCAGAAGAATATAAAACCAAATAAAGCGAAAAAAACTTATCAGTGAACTTGACTGCAATAATAATCTACTAAAGACGCTTTTAACGTAGAATAAGTAATAGGGACCTAGGATGAGACTCTTCCGATGTCACTTGGTGGTTTGAAAAAGCATATAAATGCGAACAAAAATGATAAAATGCGAAGAAACACAGAGGAATATGCGATGGGTGACTACTGGTAAGATAAGTTTCTCGAAATAATCAAGAGCATTTCTGTATGAGGGAAAATCCGCAAGCTGATGATGCTGGCTCTCTATACCAGCGGCATCTATTTTTCTGTGACGATGATTAGCGAGGCAGTTGTAAGTTACACTCAGCTCGAATTGAGAAGTATTTACGATTCTTTTATACTATAAAATTTATAGCAAAAATATTTTCGATATCCTTCGATTTTCACCCAGCGGGAAGATGATCAAGTATCGTGATGGGATTAAGAATCTCCTTTATTGCTGTATTTTTACTTTCTATTTTTTTTCTATCCGACTAAAGACCTTTCCAAAAATTACGATTTGCTCGTATCAGATGCATTCAGGGATGTGGATCCGCAGCGCAAAATCCGCAAAACAGCGCAAAATGCGGGATTTTTCATTCTGCAGCGCAAAACAGCGCAAAATCAGCCCCAAAAATTTCCGCAATTTTTCCGCAAAATTGCGCGCAAAAGCGCATTTTGCGCGAAAATTCCACAAAATCTCAATACATTTGCAGTCCGCAAAATGCGATTTTGCGGGATTTCGCGTAGAATTTCTACATTTTTTTATGTTAATTGTTAAGATTTCCGAATCAAATCCTCATTCATCATCGCATTCACAACTTCGGCGGTAATTTGCGGAAGAAAAACAGAAAAATCACCCGACATAAAACCGTCTGATCTCGTAGTTAACCGACCGGTCATTTTGCCGGCAAAAATAAAACCGGACGGGTCGATGGAATTTTGCTGGGTGATAATTTAATTTTTCCTTGATTTCTAAATTTAAGGACCCCCCCGTCAGCTTTTTTTGAAAAATCAGATTTCGGAAATTTAAAATTTTGACCCCGGAAATACAGTTTACTCGCACAATTTGGACCTTTTTTTGTTTTGCAGATTTTTCGAAAAAGGGCCGAATTGTGCGGGTCCGAAATTCGGATTAATTTGCTGCTCCTTCAAAAAAGATCAATTTTGGAGCCCTAAAATGTTAAAATCTCACTATTTTCGTCAATTATCTCCGTAAATTCTACGTGTTAATCAAAAAAAGAGTAAGAAATAGCATTTCTGTCGTAAATATATCTTACAAAATACGTTTGAGCAAGGAAATTTGACTGAAATTCACATAGATGGCTAATTGAGCGATTTTCATTAATTTTCGCGAAATTCGAAAAAAGGGCCGAATTGTGCGGGTCCAAATTGTGCGAGTCGTCTGTAGATTCTTCGGGTCATAAAACGATTTTGAGGCTTCATTTTTTGGGGGTCTATCTCGACTCTAACACCCTCAAAATCGCATTTGAAAATCGGACTTTTTGCCGAAAATTGACGAATTTGCCCTTATTTTGGCAAAAATATTGATTTTTCTTGGTCAAATCTTCGTCTATTCAAGTTTTTGAAGCAAGTTTGACTTGAGGACACATTAAGAACCAAAAATATGGTGCTCTTAAAAATTTCAATTTTTCGGAGGAAAAAGCTGACGGGGGGGTCCCTAAGGGGCTTGACGGCCCTTCGGGCCGTTTCAGCCCCGTTCCTTGATTTCTAAATTTAAGGGGCTTGACGGCCCCCGGGTAATAATGTCCCCAAAATTTCTCCATTTCAAGTAGAAAAAAATCGGGCCAAAAATACCACAAAATTCGCAGATTTTCGCAAAATGCGCGAAAATCCCGCAAAATCCGCAAATTTCCGCAAAATGCGCGAAAATCCCGCAAATTTCGCAAAATTTTGCAAATTGCGTGTCATCTGCGCAATCCGCAATTCCGCAAAAAGCGCAAAATCCGCAAAATTTTCGCAAAATCAACAAATTTTGATTTTCCGCAAAACAACGCAAAATTCCGCAAATTGCGCGATTTACGGATTCCGCAGCGCAAAACAGCGCAAAATAAGTTCGAAAAATTTCCGCAATCGCAGCGCAAAACAAAGGAAAATTTTTGCTGATCCACATCCCTGGATGCATTCAAAGTGGAAGATACAAAAATACTACCCGGAGATCAACGATACCATCCTGAAGTAGGCACTCTAACTAACATCTATCGATGGCACCGTAACTAAGACTGTTTGAATTCTTCAGAGCTTTTTATGGATCTGCTGACAAACACCTAAACTGGCATAAGAAAGAATGGGAGAGATTCAATCAAATAGATCTTGATGAGTTTTTGTCAAAAACGCAGCCAGACATTGAGATCAAGCACTGTCTTTTCGACAGCTTGAATTGTGACCACATTTGGAAAACAAAGAAGACTAAGCTCGGGCGTTGCCTCGAATTCGACCTTTATCAAGAAGTTGACAATGGACATTTTCTTCATCTTTCGAGGTAAATTTTACTCTCCTGTTTCTTCAAAAATTTTTGTAGAATCGATTTAAATTCTTCCGAACACAACTTGGGCTTTGTGGCAGGAATGAACAAGTCCGACGAAACGTATGGCTGGTACGGTCACATGCGCGGCCTCCACCTCTATTACAATTATTACACTGATGGGGTTGAAGAAGAAAGCAAAGCCTTGACGATATCGTCACAACTGACTCCAATCGTCAACTTCAAGCTTTTCAAAAACTCATATCTAGGAGCACCGTACCGAAAGTGCGAAAAATCCCATCTGGCCGGGCAATATTCTATCTACAACTCTTCCGATATCTACAAAAAGCAACTTGCGAAATGGAACTCCTTATCAGTCAAATAATCGCGCTCTGCAATTGCCAACCAAACTATCTTCATAATTTTCCTAAAGAGTAAGCTACTCTTATTTGCGCTTCAATTTATTATTTGTAGGAAATTCGGAGAAAACATCAAGCTCTGCACGTTTTATGACAACGTAAAATGCGTCGCGCACGTGATTGAGCGAAAAGGATTGACAAAAAACGTCAAGGGCTGTTCGCCTGCTTGCCAGAGCTACGAATTCAACCAAGACAAGATTCAATATCGAGTGCCGCCAAATACAAGCAACGATCCCAATAAATATTTCATGACGGCGGTTTTACGAACGACTGAAGGTTTCATCAACAGGACTGGCTACTGGCAGATAAAGATGTATATTTTAGAAAGAGTAACTGTCGTGGAGGAACAGAAGCAGTACTCCTTGAACGAGCTCTTTGCGGATATTGGTGGATCCTTAGGTTAGACAAATATAAGATCACTGATCTTATCATTTTTAGGACTGATTCTAGGGCTGAGCGCCGTGAAAATTTTGCAAATGTGGTTCAGTTTTGTCTCAAGGTAAAACATCATCAAGCACTGATGATTTGAGCATTTTTCATTCAGAACAAAAAAATTTCTCCATGATCAACACATAAAACGATGCAAAGCCACTGTTCATCAACGATTTCTCGATTGCAAATTCAAATATACGAGCAGACGAGGGTATATGAAGTTTTGGGGACGAAAAAGCGGCAGCGATATACGAAAAAGTGGCGGTAACTATCCTAGCCTTGCTGGATCTCCAATTAGGAAACGTGGAAGACATTGTTATACTTATCTGAGAGTACTGACAGTTGTACAAATGTTTCACCGCCAGAAAAGGGAGAATTATCAACTCAAACAAACCCGACTTCAGCCATTGGATGTTCTCAACATCTAAAAGTTTCATTGCTCTGACTCTTGATGGTTTTATAATCTCTTCGTAATCGTATTCTGACTTGACTCTGGCAAAGGATTAAAATCAGCCTTCCTGTTTTTATTTCTATAATTAATTTTTTTTCAGCATCGATTTTCATTGTTACGGTAAGAGGCCTTAACAAAGAAGTTGTTGGACAAAATTAAATCTATCTTCTTGTCAATCAATTATGCAACAGAAAATATATTTTTCCTAATTCCCAGCTTTCAATTTGTTCAGAATTTGTTCTGCCGATTTGAGCCCGGTTAGATACGCTCCATGGGCATAGCCAGCATTGGCTCCGTCGAAGGCTTCTCCAATCATGTAAAAATTATCAACTGAAAACAAACAAAGGCCGTCAAACAATTTTGACTCAATTTACCTAGAGGAGTATTTAGACTTGAGTAAAACTGCTCAAATGTCTTGCCCGGGCATAAAGCCATATTCGTGTAACAGCCCTGGAAGTTTTCTGAATAGTTCAAATTAAACTCTTACTGGTTGTGGATTACTAAAAACCTTCGGCAGCCCATGTTGGCTGAGAAAAATTTTCGATATTCGGATTGAAGCCAAAAACGCGCTTGATTGTCTTTTCGATACAATTTTTGAGTTCTTCTCTTGTGAGGAAATTAAACTTTTTGCCCTTTTCTGCGGTGGTTTTTAAAACGATTGCTTTTCGTCTGTGAAGGCGAAGTATCATCGGGTCGAATTCGATTGACCGGAAGAGATTCTCTTCGTTGTTTGGAAGACAGATGAAGTCGTTCTTGTCTTTAACAAGTTGAAAAGAAAGAGCTTGATAGAAACTTACCAGAAAGAAGGTCCTCCTGATTCTTTTCAAGTAAGACAAAGCAATTGACGTAGTGTACGAGCGTAAGAGACGAGATGAGTTCATGCTTCTCTGGGGTCATAAACTCAAGCTCTAACCTTTTCGACTGATACTGACTGACCGGAACCGCAGATACTAAGAAATCGCAGCTCATCTGCTTCACTGATCCATTAGGGGTTCTAAGAGATAAATGAAACTTTCACAAGATTTGTTGTGCTCAAGGTGGTTCCAATGCTATCTATCCGATCTTTTACTGCAAATCTTTCCTTGTTTTTACTTTTTTTGACGTGGAACACATCTGAATTGAAAGTTATATTTTCCTTAGGGATATTCTTGGCGATTTCATCTACGCATGCACTTATATTCGACGTAGCTTTTATGGTTAAAAACGTGCATTTTTTTTCGCTTACTGTATGTTGAATTTTTAACCCATAACTATAATGGTCTTGCCGAAGGTATCCTCCATTTCCTTTTCGTCCCCTCCAATAGAACACCTTTCAGGCTCACAAGCGCAGAAGCGCGAGAACCCATGAATGTAATGAAGCGCATCGTATACATCACGGGGTATTTTTTCGCGAGAAGATTCTGTTTGATTCATAAAGTCTTCGATTGAGATTAATTCCTCAGTCTTGGCAAAGTATTCAGTCATTTCTTCCCAATCTTTTGAAAATTGTTTCCGATAAGATTCCATTTTGTCTGTGACACTTTCGTAGTTCTCATCCAAAACAATATATTTTTTTTCTTCACTGAAGTATTCTGGGTCAAGGAGAGTTTCTTTGTTTCCACTGTCTTTCAAAATCTTCAGCAGTGGATTACGCTCTCCCATAATCCAGTTTGCCCCAAGATTGACGGATATTTGAGGAGTAAGCTGAAATGGCCGCAATCTGCCACCGATTCTGTTTGAGTACTCAAGAACTCGAAAGTCTTCAACATCATGTTTTGACAGAACACTAGCACAGGTTATTCCAGCTATTCCTCCGCCGATAATAATAATTCTTAGGCCGGAATTCTATGGTCATTTTATCTTTAATTACGATGAAAACGCTCTAAATCCCTAACTATGATGCGGAACTTCCATTATTATTGCCACGCTCTGACTTCTGAGTCTCTCAAATCTGAATATTTACAATTCCCAATAGATGAGTAAATTGGCGCTTATATTTACATTTCTAAAACAAGTTCTAATTTGAAATAAGATAATTGTCTCAGTATGGAAAAAATCTATATCATTTCGTGTTAGTTCTTTTATTGCAGGCGGAAGTATTTCAAAATTTTTATTTTGGCTGAGTAAATTCGAGAAGATCGGCCCTTTGTCGATAAAATGCGGTAAGTGGTGTTCCAATAAGATTCTCAAGCTGGTCTTCTTCGAGAAAGTGACAGAAGCTGTGATGATTCCAAGAAGTTGCGAAAAGTGGAATCTCGCCATGGTCAGTCACAATTTGATCGTCTTCAATCACGTAGAGATTTGGCTTCAGAGCAGCTCCAAGAAGGCCTGTTAATTTTAGATTAATATAGGTGATTCAAGAACTCGAACCTGAGGCATGGTTAACGTTTGGAATATCAAACTCAACCCCCAAACTCATCTTGTCACCATGTTGCTTCTCGTGAGTGATGTACTTCGATCCATCATCAAAGCGGATCTCAATTCCTTGATGCTTGAAGTAAGCTTGTGGTCGAACGTACACCTTAAACCCGGAGAAAATCATTGGTTCCATATTCTCTTTGATTTCAAAGACGTCATTGTCTACTGAAAACTCTCCAGAAGTGACTGAGATTTCGTTTTCCGAAGTTGTGAAGACGATTGCATCGAAGACTCGCTTTTGCTTAGAAAAGTTAGCGTCTGCGAGATGACCGACGATGTCGACATTGCCATCCTATAAGAACTGAATTAGAAGAATAGTTGGCGAGTTGTGTACCTGAAGAAGCTCGATAGCATCAGCTCCAAGGGGGTTAGCATCAAAACAGAGCGCGTCGAACTCGTCGTGTTCGATGACAAAATGAGGATCACCATCTCCGCTTCCTGAGCCTGGCATAGTTGAATTAGTACCGCCAGGAGCAGCAGTAGTAGTACCGACGCCAGGGTTAATGCCAGTGTCACCACCAGGCGCTGTTGTTGAAGCTGCTGGAGAAGTGACTAATGGTGGAGCAGTTGTCGGAGCAGGAGCGGTGGTTGAGCTCGCTGCCGGTGGAGCTGCAGTTGATGTTCCTGCTGGAGCAGATGTAGACGCTGCTGTGGTCGTAATGGGGTCGTTTTTGATTGTTCCAGCCACTCCGTTGATTGTAGCATCATTTTTAGATGAAGCCACGACCATTTCGAATGGACCTGTCGTGGTACCAGCAATAGAATTTCCAGTGATTGTTACACTGCCATCAGCGTTGAAGGCTACTGCCGCATCTTGGATCATTGAAACAAGACCGTCAACGTCTAAACGCAATTTGATTGCGCACGCCACAATTCGAAGCTCTTACCATTCGTTGCAAAGATATTCACCCCAGTTCCAGCATCATTTTCTACAAGGGCGTAAACAGTTCCATCCGGGGCAGTCCATTCTCCAGAGATGTCTGCGAATGGAGATGGAGCGAAAAGTGTTGTTGTTTCTGGAGTCTCAGTTGTGGTTGGATCACCGTTTCGCTCTTCGTCGAAGCGCTGGAGAATCCCGAAGTCTTACATAAAGGTTTTCTAAGTGTATCTGGGCGAAGAATAAACTTATGTTGTTCTAAACATTCTAATTATAATTTATTATGACCCTTTCCCGCGCCAAAGTTAATAGTCTCTGTGGCTTCATCAATAGTACCGCCTCGTCGGTTTCCTCGATCGGTGAACATGAGAATAGAAATTCCATTCACTTCAATCGTGGAAAACGTTGTCTGTTGAACAGAATTATCATTTCCGATAATAAAAAGTTTCTCCTCGTCAAACTGGTACAAATCTCCATCTCTATTCACCCAAACGCCGTTGAGGTCCAGGCTGAATGCAGTTGCTGCTATGAATGAAAAAAGTTTCATTTTTTCTCGAAAAGCTCAAATCTGCCCTTTTGTCGAAAGAAAACTAGACTCGATTTTCCGAAAATTAGAAGTGAATGCGGTGACATTTCAGATGCAACATGCATATCAATAAAAAGGGGGATTCATGCTCAGAATAACTTCTTATAAGCAAATGTATGCATTTTCCCTTTTAAAAATGCATGAAAACTATCAAAATGAATATTCATGTGATTCGAAAACACGAAAATTCATTCTATTGAGACTTTATTTTAAATATCCATCGTGTATTGAACTTAAAAATTGGCAGAATTGTGAAGTTTATTTTTAGCTAAATAAGAGAGGTTATTGCTGATCCTCCTCATCTTCTGAAGCCGGCCTTTGATCGTCAGAGTCATCAGAATTTTCCGAATCCTTTCGATCTCGCCAACCAGTCGAGTCCTGAATAATAACGGGAATTTTGAAGCCCTCCTTCATCTTCTGAAGTTCACGCTCTTTGAGCCATACGCGCTCGCGTTCTTTATTCATATCACATACGCTGCGACTTTCATCGATGCTCAGCTTAAATTCTGATTTAAAATATGCATATTGACAACGTACTTACTATTTGGACGGGTTTTTCGGCTCCGTTCTTTTTTTCATAAGCTTCGTTGCGGTGAGCATGGAATTTCTTAGGTGAGTTCGATTGCGCTACATAATTATTATAAATAGGGAGAACGGTTTCTGACACCTTTTTCGGCTTCTTTCTTTTTGATGAATGCGTTTGATGGACGTTTTTCGACAATCTCTAAATTCTGCAAAAGATCAACAATGTCTCCAGTAGGAGCAGCTCGTGATTCAAGTTCTTCTTCTATTTCTTTCACTGAGTTTCGGATTCGTTCACCCTTGAAGAGGATAAAACAACATTTCCAGCGTTTTCTACCTTGTCGGGCAATCTGGAGATAAGAGATTTGTTCGACAGCATCTTTTGCTGTTTCGCGAGCATTTCGTCTAATTCATCTTTCGTCTTGACTTTGAGATTGATCTTGTTTCGATCAGCTTGTTTAACATTTGCGAATGCCTCTTTCCGCACTAGATTTTCAAGCCCCTTCATTGTGTACTTTTCTTGGGGAGCTGCGGCCCCTACTGTTCGGGTAAGAGTTACAAGCTCGTCCATTCTGCAAGGTTAGAAATGAGAAAAAGAAGTAAATATATATTTTAGTGCATAGTAAATGTGAAAAAAATACAGTGGTGGTTCTGGCTAAGATCTGGCAGGATAAGCTCTATTTTTCATGCTAATCAGGAAGCATCGAGCGGAAGAGGGTTTCGTAATCTGGATTATTTTGAATCTCGTGAAGTCTACTTTCTAGTGAGTCGCCTCGAGTCCGCTGGATCTTATAAGCGTTGTAGTATTTGTCTGAATTTCGATGCTAGTAAATTGATTGAAGACATAGAAGACTTACCAACTCCGTACTCGAGCTCGAGCTTAATTTTTCTCAAGTTTCGTAAAATTTCTTGGTTCTCGAGAAGATCTTCCTGGCCATTCTCTAGTTGTTTTCTCAAATTCATTATTTGATCATCTTTCTTTTTGAAAATACTCTTTTCTTCGTCAGTTTGGCACAACTGATTCTTTGAATCTTTACTTTGAGTTTCTGTTTGAATTGACTGCTCAACAGTCAAGGGTAAATTTGGCTCTTCTATGTTGTGAGTAGCTTGGGCGTTGGTTTGAATTGAACTTTTCGACAGCTGTTTCAGCCATTTTTTGAACTTTTTGTTGTCTGACTGGGCAGTAGCGATGCTTTCGTTGAGCGTGCGAATGTCTTTTTCGTGGTGGACGAGAGCGTTTTCATACTTCAGGCGGAGAATCTCACGATCTTTTTCCATACTCTTCAGTTGGAGTCGAAGTTTGTCGATTTCGGAGCTTTCTATTTCCCTTTGATGCCTGAAAAAGAGGTATGAAAATATGCCTCTTCTGAATTCAAAAATACCTGATCTCCGAAACCTCCGTCGCATTGCCAAATCCAGTTGTTTCATTCGTATGAAAAAATGTCGTCTTCTCTTTTTGAGCGACATGATTTCTCAAAACTTGAAGAATTGTCTTCTTCGAGCATCTTTTGACATGTCGCGAAACAAAGGTGATAATTTCCCTGAGCAAGATTGAGTCTTGCGTTTCTTCTTCTGAGTCCGTTTCGACAACCGGAATGTACGCCGAAACGACACTCATGCTAAAAGAGAAAATGAAAGTGGTTGTTCTTTACCGTTTTTGTGTAATATTGTGACGAGGGGTTAATTAGCATAACAGCAGTACGAGTAATAAAACAGTGAAATTGCAGATTGTGTAATCAGTGGATGAAGAAAGTTTTGCGTTGAAGAAATAATTAGTTTTAAATCATAAGGGATCAGAAAGACTTATGAATAAGATTGAAGAGCATTAGTAAATATATATCAGTATAGAAACGTGTGAGATAAGCGGTAAGAAATGAGCGCAAGTAAAAAAAGTGATAAATGGTAGGTAGTGAATGTTGTATTTTTAGGTCTGTTGTAGTTGAATGGAAAGCTGCTCGATGTTTTTTCGCATCGCAACGTTTTTCGTCATTTCTTCCTCGAGCATTCGAAGAAGCTGAAATATTTAATAGATAGAAGACTCAAGGATTGGCTACCTTTTTATTGAGTGCTTTTAGTTGCCCTACGCTTTGTTCAGAAGGTGAGTTGGTCGAGTTTTCCGAGGCAAATTCGACGATTTTGTTCAAAAATATATCGGACAAACCAGCGGGTTGCTTTTGCTTTTCTGCGTCTGGGCGAGTTTGCCAAACTCGCGATCGTAATATTTCCTCGCTAAACATGAGCTCAATTTGGTTGAAGAGGGAGACTTTTACCGAGAAGCGAGCTCTTCTGACATCTGAATTTGATTCTTTTCAAGGGCTCGAACTTGTTCTTCCAGTTGAAGATTCGTCTCCATCAGGCTTTTGTTTTTGTTCATCAAAGCATCTGCTTCATTACCGGTAAGGATCGTCACTCCTTCGAACTCAGTAGGAACGCTAAAAAGAATGTCTGAGAAAATGAATCATGGAAGAGAAGTGGGTACCTCCAAGATCCAATTGATGAAGTTTCATCTCTGTGCGGAGGAGCCAAGTTTGGAACAGAAAGTCGCTCTTGGACTGAAATTTGAGATGCATCAATATCTCGCAGCTTCTCTTGAAGCTTGTCTGCCCTGTTTTTCTCAGACTAAGAGGTCTATTTGACTTTGATTCAGAAATAATCCACCCTACCTTGACTTGTTTCTTGAGCTCTCTTACAGTAACAGCGGCCTTTCTCTCAACAATGCGTTGCTTTTCCACTTCTTCCTCGATATTCCCTTTCAGCTCGTCGATTGTCTTTGTAAACTGCGCCTCGAGCTCTTTCCATTGATTCGCCGCCTCGATTTTCTCATTCACCTTATCTTCCTTGATTTTCTCCAGCTCGGCGATGTGAAGAGCGTTTTCGCTTTCCAATTGGGATCGCAAGTCGAGCACTTGTTGAGAAAGGCTTTGCCGAGAAGCTTCGATTTCTTCTTTTGACGATTTTTCTTCTTCGTAGATTCTGTCGAGGTACCGTTTTGCTTCTTTAGCGCTTTTTAGATCTCCCTCGAGCTAGAATGGATAAAGAAGAAGCTCCAACCCTTCAATATACCTTTTTAACCTCGCTCATCAATTCATCAATCCTCCTATTTGCGTCCAAAATCCTCATCTCTCCCTGCTTCCGCTGCGCAATTTGCTCTTTCAAGTCTTTCTTGAGCTGGAGAATATTTTGATCAGCTTCTGATTTTTGACTTTTTAGCTTGCCCTCAGCCTCGGCAGATATTTTCTCCTTCACTTGAGTGAGCTCCTGGTTCAGTTCAAACTTCTCGGTTGCCATTTCATCCAAAAGCTTTTTACGCTTTTCAGCAGTGGCGGTTATTTCGAGCAGTTTTTTCTCAGCTTCACCCAAGGCTTTTTTCCTTGAAAAAATGAACTAAATAAATTGAAAGAATCTGAGAAATCGTTTTGTATTGATAAACAGAAATATTTTATGAAACGGACACAGCTGCATCTCAAATAAAGGCGAATAGTTATGATTTTCATTTAATTTTGTTATCAAATGTGATCACATATTTTAAAATAGATGTCATTACGATCGTGATTTCAAATTATGAGTATAAAAGATGAGAATATCATTTATAAAGCAACTTTAGAGGGAGCTAGAGAGTAATTGTTGTATGACCGCTTGAAGTAGATAGTTATCGTAAAATGTGTTGAGAAAGGTGATATGGTTAATTCGATAACATCTATGTAGGATTTGCGGTACTTACTTTTTGATAAGATCTTCATTTTCTGCCCTCAATCGTTTCACAATGCCTTCTAAATCTTTGATGGCCTTCTGACTCGATTTGACTTCATCTTCCAACTTTTCAACGTCCTCTGGTTTGATCGTCGGCTCTTCTGGTCCAGAAGGAGACAAGGGATGATTACCAGGAGTCGAAACTGTTTTATTAGAAGTTGTAAGTGATTCTAGAGTTTTGATTTGAGACTGAAGGGATGCGATCTCGTCGCGCAAGGCCATGTCATGTTGCTTGAAGTCGAATTCTTGTTGTTGAATCGCTTCGTTTTTGCGCTCCAACTCAACTTGGATCTTCAGCAGCTCATCCCGAGCTAGAATTCATCATGTGACCATAGTCGTGAATTATGAAAGAGCTTTGATAGCCTATCAATGTTAGGGCTTGAGTCTTCGATTTTAAGCAGAAAAAACGTCGAAAATCGAAAAATTCAAGAGCATCCACCAAGTTTATCCTTTCTGAGTCATTCTATTTGCCTACGCAGAGACAGAGGAATAGAGAAAGCTAAAAAATGTTGAAAACGCGAATTTGGAAGTCAGTAAAACTCGCCCAGCGCTGTAGACATGGCTGGAGAAACCAAATGGAAGAAAATATGGGAAAGTGATGAAAAAAGTTGAAGAAACGAAAGTCAGTTGATTTAAAAACCTCAATTTCGAGGTAAAAATTGAAAATTTGATCACTTGAAAAGCTAAAAACGCTTCACGAAGACGCGAAATGTATTTCATTCTTCGAAAAAAGGGACTTCCTCACAAAAGTTTGATGAAAAAGATCCAGCAAATGGAAGATCAAGGAGTATCAACCCGAAATTACAAATGGGACGGTTGGGATCCTTTGGAATTCGACGAAGCTTTCATGCAGCAGAAGAAGATGCGAGAGAAAGCGGCGATTGAGGATGAAAGAGAAGCGAAGATGGCGGAAAAATTCATAACGCTGGAAAGAAGAGAGTTCGAAGAAGCAGAAAGGCGAAGAACAGAAGAAGATGCAGAGCCAGAAGCTTTTGTCTCGGAAAACGAAGAAGGGAGAGATCTAGACGTAGATTCGCAGATGGTTCTGTTAGGCAAAACAAGAGAAGAAATCGACGATTATTTTCAAAACGGACCCTGGCCAGACAAAACCTACTGGAGAAAAGGATTCAAGAACTTTTTATCCCTCAACCGGAGATCGCGAAAAATGGTGATTGACAGAGTCGAGGAGGACGAAAAAGTGCAGCATAAACTGAAAGAGTTGAAGCAAGACTGGTATTTGAGGAAAAACAAGCTCATTAAAATCGAAGGGGTGGAAAATATCGGCTGCGCATTGCATCTGGATTTTTTGGAGAGAGAAGCAAGGATTGAAAAACATGGGCTGAAGGTGGTTGATAGAACTGATGTGGGAAAACGATGCGTGCAGTACATTTTATTCAATCGATGGGAGGATCTTCGGAAGTTGAAATTGACGGAAATGCGAGGGAGCACACTGTACCAAGTGGGCAAGGATGTGATAAGAGAGTACTCGGATCACAAAGCGCCCCCTAAAGTTATTGCTTTCGGATCCCCACCGAATGAGCATAGACAGAAACTCCTCAGAGACTTGCGAAAGAATGATCCTCTCCGGTAAGAAAACCTTTTCATCGAATCTAATCATTTCTTTCTCTAGCCATATTCGACTAGTTCTCGAAGCAGGAATCGACAAGATGGAAAAAGGCGCAATTCTTCGAGCCGCCAGTCTGGCAGGAGTCAACTCGGCTTTCCAACTCGACTATCCTGGATTTATTTCTGACAATTTCAACTCCGAAACTATCCGTGGCTCCGCAGGACTAATTTACACTCTTCCTCTTCATCAGCGAGCCACGATGGCGAAAAATGACTACTCAAGTAACATCAAAGATAAGACAAATGTGTCGAAAAAGAAGGAAAATCATATTGACCCATTTCAACTCGCCGTTAATTCTAATCCAGACTATCAGCCAGCCGTTTTTCTTACCCAACCCGAAAGTAACGAAAACGACGAAGAACTCCAACAAATCGAAGCTGTCGATGTTCACGACGTCGATTGGACTTATCCTAACATCATGCTCGTTGCAGCGGACGAGTGGATTTCTGACGAAACAAAAAGGCTTTTGAAAGAATATGACACAACTTTCAGACTCGTTTCAACGACTCCCTCTAACCCTGTCTTTCAAAAAGCAAACATATCTCTCAATTCTAGCGTATCAAGGTAAGACCAATAATTGAAAAGTTTCCTAATGATTTCTAGCGCTTTATTCGAGGCAAGACGCCAAATAGATGAAGAAAACGTACAAGAAGACCCTGAAGATTTTCTATCCGAAAACGATCCTATTCCAGAAAATGTTGAAAACTTGCAAATTAAGCTCGAATAAAAAAATCATCTCACAAACCTGACTGTCCAGGAAGAAAGGAAATCGCCTTGTTTTTCTTTGTCTCTAGCGACAATTTCTTTGTCAAATCTTCTTTTTCATTTTCAAGAGCTTGAATTTTCCTCTCTGCGTATTTCTTGTGGTCCGCTAGCTCACAGTTGGAGGTTCGAAGGTCTAACAGTTGTGTTTGAAGCCTCTGGACAAGCTCCGAGTTTTCCATTCTAAATCAGATAGTTCTAAATATCATTGAATAGGGATTATTTAATGAATGTAATGAGTTGATCAGCTTTTTGAACTTGCGTCTCCAATAACTTTTTGTTCTTCTTCCGCTAGAAAAGATTTGAAAGTGGTTTAAAAAGGGATGAAAATCACCTTCTTTGATAAGTTTGGGGTCTTCTGTACCCTGCTTCAGAGCGAGTTTATGCTGTTCCTTCGCTAAATACAGGTTTAAAATAGAGCTTATTCCATCAAGGTTACCTTCTGCAAGCATTTCAGGATCATCGGTTCCAAACAAAAATCTATTAGCCTCTCCCTCGTCCTCTGGAAGCAAAAGCGTTTCATACTCATTTGAATCATCTAATTGTCGCATCTACAGACAACAAATTTAAATAATCAAAGCATCAAGAGATAACAAACCTCCATCATCGAATAGTTTTTAATGCCTTTCGGTTTCTGTCTGTAATCCAAAACAAACTTAGGAGCCGAATCGTCAGTAATCATTTTCTGATGCTCATCGTATTGAATTCTAGCTTTTTCGTAAATGGCCAGGCCAGAGTTTAGAGGGAGCTCGTAGCCAGCCTCCTTGTAAACGTCTTTAGCTGGGGACTTGAAATCGGACGGTCGACTTCTGTAAGTGTGATCGTGAGCTCTGTAGAGACGAGGATCAAACCAACCTTCGTCGGGAATGCTCATTAGAGTGTGCCCTTCAGGTGCAACTAACGTTCGTTCGAGCTTGAGGAAAATATTTATTTGGATGGAAGCAAAGCGGAATGTCGCGATATATAAGAATCATTTTAAAAGTTATCAATTTCAGGTATTATTCGACAGGCTTTCTTTCACATAGAAATAATGGGACGAGTATTTAGTATTATTATAGGAAAAAATATGATTATCATTTTATTAAACAACTGAAAATATGGAAAATGAATTAATGATAATCATAAATATACTCATCAACTATAGAGTGCCACCTAGGTCCCAGGATCGATCTTTATCAATCTCAGAAAATCACTTGGTAGCAGATGTGGCATCTCAGATGGCCTAAAAAGATACCTTGAAATAATAGCCACATTGACAACACATTGGTTCTCCATCATTTTCCTCGATATGGTGATACAAAACAAAGGGCATCTCCGGATCACATACGCAACTTGTCACGGCCTTTCCCGACTCTGAGTAGATAATGTGCGGATTTTCGGGGCTCAGGCCAACTCCATTTTCAATTGCATACTCCATGTAATCTTCCCACTCTTCTGGATACCTGTATCGATCGCCCATTTCATGAATAGCATCCCACATTTCTGACAAGTTGGCCAAATGCGTAGTCTGTGGTTTTGGCGCTACAGCAAGCTCTGGTGGTTCTGGATCCCGCTTGAACATGCGTCTGATTCGACGGGGTCGGTGAAAAGTTGGACGAGTCACTTCGCCGTCCTCTGATTTCGCTCTGGCAGGCATCAGCTTGTTCAAGAAATGCTCGGCTTTTTCATTTCCCTTGTCGGCTTTTGAAACCATCGGATCAGGATAGGTTCCGTCATAGGATTCTTGGCCAGCGGGGGAGCTTCCTTTGCCAGATTTGAAAAAGGGGATTTTCAACCGCCTACTCGAGACATTTCCGATTCGACCGAGCATCTTCTTTTATAGTGAAATAAGCTTTTGGTGATGGTTGATTTTATTGAATTGATTATCTACATGAATTTCAGTTGCAGGACGAATATAAAGATACAAATATAACAATAAATAAAATTTAATACAGCGTTATCTTCATAGAAGTGTGCCCATTGCCTCCAGGAATCGGGCACATAGTTATTCCCGTTTCCGGATCAACACCATACGTTGCCATCCAATGGTAGAAATCCTCTTCGAGATAGAACTGCTCATGGTGTCTCGTTTTCAGCCGTATTGCTTCGCCTGTTAGTGTCTTAATTTTAGATAGAAAAATGAAATCCACCGCAGCTTACTTTTTGAGAAAGATCACAAAATGCATCCTGGACCTGTACTCTCTTGCCTAGTTCCGGCTGGTTCATTATGTATCGGACAGGTATTCGAATTCGGTAGACTGCAATGAAGACTTGATACAATTTGAAGAGAACGAAGCCCGCGAATACTGAATATGTTACATTTATTTATCGCATAATTCATAGCATGATCTAAAACATCAACTTGTAGTAGTTTTTGTTCTATTTTATTTGTTTTGAAAATTGATGGAAAAAATGCAGTATAAAATTGGTTTCATTTTCTATGAGGCAATCATTTGTAACACTACTTTTATACATAAATCGAACCATTTTATATTTTTGTTAAACCTTGCAGGACACCGGACAAACAAAAAATGTTCAACTGAACCATTTTATAAAATTGGTTCGAGTCACTTTCTCTGAGAGAAAATCTAGTTTACTCAATGTATCACGAAAATTTTACTTACCTAAGTAGCAAAAATACAGCGAAAAGAAAGCATCTTCCGTGTCCTTGAAAATGTACTGGGTAAGTTGCATTCCGGGAAAAATCGCTCTCATTGCCTGCGAAGCCAATTCAACAATTGAGAGCAGACAGCCTCTTCTGAAAAACGATACGACTTGTGGACCGGACATGACGACGAGAGCTTTGACCCCGACGGTAGCTAGTTTGAAGATTCCATCCGAGTAGAGAATGCACCAGATTGCACCGAGTCCGTCTTTTGCGTCTTCGGTGATTGATTCAAAAGAAAAGACTTTTGCAAGCTCGACATCTTCCAAGGCGATATCAAGATAGGCAATAATTCCGGCGCAGATGAGGAATACTTTAATGCATTTGATTTTTGAATAGTGGCGTTTTAGTTGAATCAACCGGACGACCGTTGAGTTCAGTCGGAAAGCGGTGAGAAGGAGGCCTAAGATCAGGAGGCCATCTTGAATGTGCTTCGTAGAAAACTAAGAAATATAATTATTGCTCTTGAAGACTAGAATCGACAAGTCCCACCCGACACCCGATCGAAAACCGATGTTTCTGTCGGGTTTTTCGTTGGATTCTGCGATGATATGTTCGGAAGTTCCCAAATGTAACATTACCTTGAGCAAGAAAAGAAGAAAAAGTGGAATGCAGGAAAGAAGAAAGGGTTTAATCCCTGTAAAAGGGTCCATGTCGACATCTGGCAAGTCAATATCGACAGCTTCATCGACATCGAGTGACTCTGTATCGTCCGATTTCATTTTCTGCAAATTAACAAGCCTATATTCGAGCGTTTTTCTATTTTGGTGAATTTTTCTGTGAATAGTTTTATTTGGCTATTTTTTAAGCAGCACACAAGCAAGTTGGGAAAAGGAAACGTAAAATGGCAAAACAAGGACGGAGGATAAATAGTTAAAATAAGCATCGTGCAATTTGGTAACAACTCAGCAACTAAAAGAAAAACTGAAAAATAAAACTAAAAAGTATGGAAGTTGAATAGGAATTTTAAATAAAACGGAAGAGTATCGGTGATTTTTCGACTAGATAGGACATGAATAGTAGAACAGAAGTTTTTTGTTAAATAAATTAAAAGTTTTAAGATTTTTTTCTTTGGGATTTTTTCGGAGACCAGCTCTTTCGTTTTTAGAATAGTGAAACGGTGGAAAAGTTGGTTTTGAACAATAGGTAGATAGAACGATAAACTTTTAAAAAGTGATTTTTACAGAATTGGTTTCTTTCTGTTATTTGGACTTGAGACGACTTTTGGAGCTTGAACTCGCCAGCTTCGATAGTGAATTGGGTGATTTGGAAGACTCGGCGAGTGCGAAGAGTGGCGAATTTTGGCGCATCGAGTTTCGAGGATTTGCGGACTCGTTTACTGCAGAATGAGCCAGGTGGATCTGTTACAGGGTCAAAAACTTTCCTTTACCAGTATCAACACTAACTGGTGTTGATTTTTTTTACATTTATGATTTGACGAAGAATATTCTTCCTTGATTTCAAAAGAAAGATCAAAAATTGAACAAATGAACAGTGAGCATTTATTTGAAGAAGAAAGAGAAATTTATTCTACGAGATCTTTATAAACGATCCCTTTTTCTCGAGAGGTGGTTTGAATGGTTGACCCTGTGGCGGAATATTATCGGCTTTTGGTTGTCTCTTCGGGACGGGGTCCATAGAACGACGCTCGCGAGATTGGGTTCTTTCGTTGTTTGTCCTCCGTTTATCTGGAAAACCTGAACGGAGAATAAGTTGAAGAACGGGAGTTAATATCGCACCTTCGGAGGAAACCCTGCTCTTCAATCTAGGTGCGTCAACGCTACTAACAGACGTCTGGGACGATTTTTGAGCATGTCGGAGAACTTCCAGTTGCCGCTGATAAGCTTCTTTTTCGTTGTTCAGATCCTTTCGTTCTAAAAAAAATATTATATCTGTTGATAGAGGGAGATTCTACCTTCGTCAAGCTGTTCCCGCTGTTTTCGTATACGAGAATGCTCGTGATTGATATCGAGTTTTTCTTTCTCGAGTTTTTTCTGAAGCTCTTCGTATTTTTGTTTTTCTCTTTCGAGCTCTCTCAGGGCCTGGGCTTTTTTCGCCATCGACTTTTTATCTTCGGATTCGTCGACTCCCTCGCTTCATTAAAAGTTATTTCATGAAATAAGAAATGCAAGTTACCTCCTACGGAAGCTAGCTAAATGCTTGAATCTCTCAAGCTCCTGTTCTTTTAGCTCTTCTCTCTGTTTTGAGTCAACATAACAGTCCATAAGACTAGCGTAGTTCGACTTGAAGTGAGCTTTGAATTTAGCCAAAGTTTCATCCTACAATTGTCATATGAAAGATTGATTTCCTGGCTAATCTTACATCTCGAGGATGATTTTTGATGAAATCATGGACGAGTTTATTTTGATCTTCGATAAGTTTACCAAGATCGACTACTTTTCTGTTCTCATCGGAGTTGTCAAAGAGATAAGCCTCTGAAGGACACTCGATTTCACAAAGTTCTCTTTGTAATTTCCGGCGCGTTTCGAGTTTGTCGCGAAGAAGGGCGTCATTATGATCGATTCTGCTGATGATATTCGCAGCTTTCTGAGACATTTGGCGATAGGCGGTCTCTTTTTTTGCTCTCTCTAAAGAAAATGGTTCTATCCAATGTTACATAACGCAAACTTGAGCATGCATTTACGAGGAGCGCAAATTTAAAAATTTAATAGAAGTCCACTATCTTTTTGCTTTGTTACTTACGTTCTGGTGTGTACTTTGGATGCAATCTTTGTGCCCTTTCTATACTCTCCTGAATTCGAGTAGCTTTTTCAGGAGACGAAGCGCGAATTTCCCATTCTGGGGAGAACCTCTTTTGGTCTTGACTATCTGATTGCTCGTATAGACAGAAGCTGAATTGATGATGGATTGTAAATATCAGCTTGAATTAAAAATCAAATCACCTGGACGGGTCTCTCGAGCGAACTTCCTTGGTATCGACAGAACGGAGGGTTAATACAGGCACTCCATTTACGAAAGTGGTGTAATTTCCCTTTCCAGTGAGAAACGTTATGATATCTTCCATTATTAACAAGCTCCCATCGGTAAGCTAAATTCGTGATGATTACAGCCACTTTGGGCAGGTAATACCTTATCTCTAATTTTGATTTGAACTTCAAACGCTTCCACGAGCTCTCGATCATATTGGGTTAGATTTTTCCTCTTGAATTTCTTCTCGCCGTGATAGGTAAATGAGCTTGGATCAATATTCGAGACAATTTCGTTTAGTTCCATTTTTCTCTCGTATTTTTGAACGTCGCCGTCGACAGAGAAGATGATTTTTTGAATAAGGTCAAGTGCTTTTGTGAGGTTATGATGTTCTTTTCTGAAGGTCAGAGGTAAATCAGAAGAAGAGAAAATGAAATAATGTTTTTGAGTGCGGACTCTTCCGTGATTTCATAAAGATGGAAACTTACTTATCGACGGTGTTTTTGAGCATTTCTTTGATCATAATTGGGTATTTCGTGACTCTTTGGGTGGCTAGCTGTGTGATATCTGGGACTTCGTAGCGTTTGGCAAGAGGATGGTTCTGAAAAAGATGAAAACAGGGTTTATAGCTAACCTTTTTACGCACAATTGATTTATCTAACTGATGATTACCTTATATTTCTGTATGACGGCAGCAAATTTCTTATTGTTTTTCAATTCAGTGTGGTAAAATTTGAGACTTTCTTTTTGATGCTTGCAGAGTTCGCCGTAAGCTTTTGCTTTTCTTTCTCCCCAGTCTGGAAGTGAGCAAGTAAGTTTCTCAGGGGATTACGAAAACAGGCGTACCTGAGTTCCAGAAGTCGTAAAGGACGTCACCTATGTTAGCAACCTTTGGTGATTCAGACTGACGTTTCTGAATGACGGGTTTAGCTCTTTTTACACTGCGAAAGAAAATGACTTACAGACATGATTCTGATGAATTCATGAGAAATAGCGGATAGTTCTTTGAGCTGTGGGAAGAACTGGTTGCACTTATCCGGGGAGTAACCCAACTCTTTTCGCATCCCTCTTGTGTACATTTTTCGCATCACGATCAACGCTTGGGAGTATTTTTTCTCGGTCTTGATGAACTCATAAATATTCTCCTGTCTTTTTCGCTCTTTCTCCGGGTTCGACGCATCTCCCAGCTCCGGTGAATGGCCCTGTTCAATGACGAACTTGCCCCAATTTTCTGGCTCTTCTCGTGCGATCAATTCCATGTCTTGTTCGAAGTCTGAGTTGCCGGATGATTCGCAATCGCTTTCAATATTTTGCGCGTCTTTTAACGAGTCCCCTCGGATTAGTCCTCGATCATCGGCTGACGAGTTTGACTCGTGGCGCTCAAGAGAGGAGTACTTCTTATTCTCAGAGTCGGTGTCTGTATCTGACTGTATTGAAGGCATCTTTCTCGGGCTAGATCCCTTGCGACCACGTTTTTCTGTCCTTCCCGGAAACAAACTCAAGAAACTTTCTTTCGAAAAGCTCTTTTTCGTCCCCTTTGTAGAGACCAATTTCTGTGGCAGTTCATGCTTTCTTTCGTCCATTAATCTCTTTTCCTTGACGAATTCTGGTTCATGATTGATTTGATGATGGGAATGATGAGGATGTGTTCCTTTTTGGTGATGATCCTTGATCACAATCGCCCTTCGGCGATCATCCTGGCTACTCAGCTTTCGACGATTCTGCGCCAAGACGGTTTCGATTTGAATAATTTCTTCTGGAGTTGCTTCAATGGGACGATGAGCGGAATCGTTCATCTCATCACCGGAGAGTTCTGGCTCATCGATGTGCTCATATGATCGTGAGCGCAGGAGCTTTTCGCCGGTTTTAGATTCGACCAGATCAAGAAGATTTTGTTCTGACTCGTGCCATGAGTGGCGCCGTTCTCCACTGTTTAGGGTGTCGGAAAGATGCTAAAAAAGAGGATGAAGTTCATGTCGACAATAATGTGCGATTTGTCATTGGGTCGTCTGTGGATTAAAAAGAATAATGATCTTTATCGCTAACCTGTGCAATTATGGAACGCCTTTTGACGTCTGGCATAACATCAAAATCATCTGAAGAGTGTCGATGTCGCATTTTTACGGTGGCCACTTCAGCCACCGCTGCTGTCGCAGAGATAAGATCATCCGCCGAGTTGGGACGCGAGTCTGATAGATGCAGCGTTATTTGACTCGTCCGACGGTCGGGAAAATTTTCAACGTTGAGAAAACGCATGTCTCCGGAACTTGGATGCCCGTTAAATGAGTCGCTATCATCCACCAAGCGCTCGTTGTGGCCACAGAAGCTTCCTTCGTAGCCAAATTGATCTTCCGTCGATAGTAACGCGTTCTATAAACCAACAGATAAAAATAGAAAATCAAACAGAATTTGTAGAAGCTGGCAAATAATAATTAAAAATGAAAAAAAATAAATTGTTTTCTTTTATCAAAAAAGTATCAAATAGACGACTAGTCGACTTGTGAGAAACGATGCCTTTTTCAAACTCACCTTGAATGACTTTACATTAGATCCTAGCCCCTTCTTCGTCGCTGGATCGGAAACATCAATATCTATATTCACCGTGCCGTGCTCTGTATATCTCAAACATGCTCCTTCGTGCAGCTCGTGTGTGGCAAGTGGCTCTGTCTTGTATTTCTCAATGGCGTCCTCGTCCTCCAAAATCTGATAGAGCTGGTCGTACTTGAAGAAAATTTACGGAACGCGTCGCTATCGCCACCTTACCTGGCGAGAATCGGCCAAATCGCGCGGGTATTGGTCGTGTCGGTTGGGCACGTTCAGGCACAGTTCTGCTCCCGGCTAGAGAAAGGGATTTTCTGATATTGAAGTGATAGCTTCTCTTTTCGATCTGGGAAGATTATTGAGGGAAAGACTTGATTTTATATTTTTAAGAGAATGGTTGACATTTTATCGAGGAAACAATGAAATTATGTAGGATCGATAGGGACTTTTCTGGAATGCACAAACATAACCAAAATAGCGTACCTATCCGAAACTAAGCTTGGTGAAAATTCTCCTCGAAATCGTTATTTATATTCAGTAAACGAAATTGTTTCAATTTTGTTGAAGAAATTGATCGAATAAAATCCCTTTGCTTATTGAATAAGAGTCTGATAAACTTGACAAGTCCAAGTCTGGCGCAAAAGTGAAAGAGCGTTTCGCGCGCCATCTGGTCCTTGTTATCGCCGAGTAAAGACCAACCATCTGGCTTTTTATGGGATGTTACAGTTTATCGCCTACAAGGCAAAAGGCAATACTTCAGTATTATCTAATAATTTTCGCATCCCGAAGCAAAAGAAGGTGATGAAAAGCGGCGCAGAGGCGATCGTCTAGCGTCGCGAAATCTTCGTCGCAGAGTGAAAATCCAGTGCCACGTATTTCATCCCAATCTTCCAGTGATTCCACGTCATGCACGGACTTGAAAAGGGGTTCAAAGTTCTGAATCTCTTGCGGTGATTAGGACGCTCTAAGTACTGTTTGGCTTGAACGCTCTAAAAATAGAAAAGGGGAATAATTAGGCCTCGGACGTAAAAAAGACGATTTTCACCATCCGGTCATCGCACGGGAACATGAGAGGGCTCATTCGAAAGGTCTTGATAAGGGCTTTCTATTTGACCGATAAAAAAACTGGACCCTCCTTTTCTGTTACGAGTTATTATGAAAAATATTTTTCGAAGCTTACCTTCAAAATCAAATATCTCGAAAAAGAAGGACAGGGCCCATTTTTTTTATAAGCCCAACAGAAAGCCCAGTTCAAGAGCTTTCGAATGAGCCTACTCTTGTTACCGTACGACGACCGGCTGGTGGTGATGATTTTTTACGTCCGAGGCCTAGGAATAATTGAACCGTTCCTTGGCGAGATAAACTGCCAAAAGTTGAGTCTGATCAGTTTGATACTTGAGTCTACCGATAGGAATGATTTCGATGCACTCGTTGACTGTCCCGAAGAAGATTAGTGATAAGCTGCATTCCTCGGCAGGCTCGTGCTCTGGAACAGCGCAGACTACGGCATTGGGGATTTTCGGATGTTGAATTGTGGAACATATGTGCCGTTGTCTTTTATGGGTAAATCCTTAATTGACCAGAGAAGCCGCGTGCGGCTTCGAGAAATAAGCATCATAGCCTGATTATTATTTTGCCCTTCCTTGAGCCTTCAATAGCCAGCAGAGTCGTCTTCTCCTGTCTCTTCAAGCTTTGATTGTCGATTCCTTCGATAATTAAGTCGATGCCTCCGCACACAGGGGCCACTCGAGGGGTAACAGTGTACCCTCGCATCACTCATAAACTCAGACTCTTTGCATCTGAAGACAAAAGGGATTGAGAAGGAGGAACGATAAGAAAGACCTCCATGCGCGTCGCAGGATGATTATTCGGAAGAGCGCGCGCCACTGGGGGGATTTGCAGAACCGCGCAATATCGCGCCTTGCCCGCGGGCCAGCGCCTTATCTTCTCTATAGAAAATATTCTTGACACAAAAATATAATATTCAATAGCGAATTTGGCCTTGGAAACGCAGTTTTTAATAAAATCTCTCGATAAGGGTCTTTTCTAGGGATACGCCAAAATTCTGAGTTTAGGCAATCGTGTGAGTTGCTATTTGCTAACGGTGATGGCTGAGCACCATCTGGGCACCTATAATAGTTCTCTAAATACGAAACTCGAAAGGCGCCTCGTTAGCAACACTCTTATCCGCAGTAATGATTTTCTAACTTTCGGAAGTTTATTTTCAGCAACGTTATTTCACCGTTTTACTGCACTAATTAGCGTATTCTCGGGCAACTTCAAGTGCGAAAATAATCATTAAATTTAAATTGGAAAGCAGTTTTATGTTTAAGGTTTGCTCCCTTTTTTTATTCTTTTTTTTAGTTGATAAATGTGCAAGAAGGGCAAAAGTAATATTCTCGGCAGGAGATGTAGAATTTGTTTAAATTAGAGCACAATTGGATTGTCTTGTGATCCAGGAACAGTGAGATTTTGAGGACTTTCGTTTTCTTTCTCCTCGACCTCCTCGTCTTTTTCTGGCTTTTCTTCTTCGTCAGTTTTCTTGATTTTTTTCTCCCGGATTTGTTGAGTGCAGTGGACGGTCGCTTGCAGCTGCTCAGCCATGGTTTTGGCGCTGTGATAACGAATCACTTCGTAGCGCCTTTTTGTCAGTTTTTTCATGAGTTTTGCTTTGTGACAGCGCTTGTAAAGGAGGCTCTTCATATTTACTTACTAGGAAAAAGCGATTCTAGCATTTTTAGTTTTATCTGATTTTAGAGCCGTGCCCTCGCAGACAATCTTCTCGTCGTCTTCTTCTTCCAGCCTCCCCCATGTAGGTGAAAAGTCGGTAAAGCAGAAATGACACTGCATGTTCTCCAATGGCTGATTGCATTTCTTATCCCTAGAGAGTTTTGAAACTATCTTTTCCAGTCCAACAAGATAGAGAACATCTTGCCCTTTCATCGTGAAAATTCCAGAAGGGAAGAAAGGAGTGCCACTTTGTACGTCGTAGTCTTCTTCTCTCAGTTCGCTCCCGTAGCCGACTTCTGGTAAGGTTTCGACGAACAGGTCTTCTGCCAAATGTTTCACACGCTTTTCATGAAACTTAATAGTGTTTTAACACAAGGAAAGGGTCTTTTCGACGTTTTTGTACCTGAACTAATTCCTGAACGGGAACTTTGTGTTTGACTGGTGCTTTTTTCGCAAGATCTTCATCCCAATTAGGTTTGAAGGGCATTATTTGTCTGAAAACGTTTACGAAAGGGATTCTCTATCAGGTATTACCTGTCTGGTTATTTATTGATTTAGAATTCGCGTGACTGGGTTCGTAATTTTGCCAAAAGCAAGTTTTCACGGTCAAAAAAATCTGAAATCGAGTATTTATCAGAATCGTTTTTTATTAGGTCAATTTCGTTAGATTAAATTTTGCTTTCACAAAGTATTTTTTGCATCAGAAGGGAATGAGAGAGTCAGTCAGCTGGGCAAGGTTACAGTTACTAAAACAGTGAATCGAATCAGAAATTATTCTAAAAGTAGCAGAAATTATTTAAGTATCTAGTTGTTCTTCTTTATTTGTTCGATTTCAACATCAGCATATCTCATTGCCATGATTTCTTTTCTCGCTTGCCAGTTTTGCTTGAGTAAAAGGATGTTGATCACATAAGTTCCGATGCAGACAAGACAGACTGTTTTCAACAGCACAAGTACGTAGGCCAAGAAGAGGCTGAAAATTATTCTAACGCTTCTTTCCACAGAAAATCTAACCTGATCACAATCGAAGCTAAAGAAATAATGAGCAAAACTTCTGCAGCAAAGACATTTTGCATGAGCACAAGTGGAATCATAAGGGAGTAGCTGACGATTCCGTATAGGCTATTTTTCTGACAAAGGGGCGAATCTTCTCCCAGAATCGGGCAAATGAAGCCGAAGCCTTTTCCGTATTCGGAGTTGAAAGCAGTGGAGCAGGATATTTTAAAAGAAGCAGAAGGCGAGGGAAAATCACAGGTAGCCTCGTGCTCTGGATTTTCTGAAGAAAATCTTGAATGAGGATTTAAAAAACGGACAGTAGCTAACCTGCAATTTTCTGGTCGACATCAAATGCGTAGTAAGAAATTCCAACTCCCAGAAGACACACAAATACTCTTGTCAACGTGCTCGTCATTTTTTCTGTAATAACTGAAAAAAAAGGATTACTCAAATTTTTAATCTGATTAATTTTCAATTTCAAACATGCGAAAGAAGTTTCAAAACAGGCTCACAATAAGATAAGAGAGGCAACAAATAAACGAGGTACAGCGGGGTTTGAAAGTTTAACTTTTTAAAATTGCAGATTTTGAATCAGTTTCTCAATAAAATTAATTGATTTCGATAGACTTAGCGTCTTGAAGTTTCCTGGTGGCTGGGTCAGCTTGTAACAGAAACAGAATTTTATGAAGAAGAGCTTCTGTCGTTTCATTTTTGCTTTCAAGTTCGGAAATGCGCACTTTGAGCTCGTAAACTTCTTTTTCAATTCCGGCTGTTTCTTTGTGCAGTTTTTCCATCATTTCTTTTTCGGCGCGTTTCTTCTCTTCTTTTTCTTCTTTCTCGTAGTAAATGTAGGTGTAGTAAAGAATGCCCATTCCGACAACGAAATTGAAGATGAAGATGATCATATCGAACCAAGCCTCGACGATTTCATTTTGATATTTTAGGTCTTCGAAAACTCTGCCCAGAATTGAATGATTTCAAGGGGAGTGAAAGGTTACCTTGCTGCTTTTTTCTCGGCGTAATGTCCCTTGATCAGAGCATCGTACATCGATTTATTCATTTTCGCCTCGAGAATCTTGATCTCTTTCCCCATAAATGTAATGTTCATCCCTCGTACGAACGGATAGCTCAAGAACTGGTACCAATACAGATTGTAGTTATAATTTAACTTCATGGGCCATGTTAAATCGTCGTAATTTTTCACTGCTTTCGGTGTAAAAGCGGGCATTCTTTTCAGCCTAAAATTTTTAAGAAATCAAAAATTTTGAAAGTACAATTTTACCTTCTTTTGAGCGCATTTGCCAAAGGACTGGTGATCTTTGACAGCCCTACCTTGATTATCCACGGCACACCAGCCATCTCTACCTTCTTTCTTCGTTTTGTTCTTCTTTATTTCTCTAGAAATTAATCCTCCCCATTTGTTTGCTGAAAAATGTTCGATTCTCCGCGCGCGCTGATTGGTCCGCCGCCCCATTTTGCCAGACAGATTTCTCATTCGCTCTTTTCGAGAACTAGAAAATATTATTATCAGTAAATCAGCGTTACAGTCATCTGAATTGTCAGAATATTTTTGAGACAAAAAATTGACTCACGTGATTAAGGGGGAGGTCGACGAGAATCGGGATTTCTGTAACCAAAAATCCGGAAAAACCTGCTTAGATAGGCAAATTCTGACTTTTCAGGTAGAAATAAAAGTGTTTGAAAAATACAGCGGCGAAAACTAGAAAAAATTTTTTTTACGAAAAATTTTCAAAAAATTGGGTCAAAGTGGAGGTTACTCGTAACCAAAAAATCTCGAAAACGGGATTTTTTTTTCTTCGTCAAATTAAATAAATAGTAAGTTGAAACCCTTAAAAATACAGCGGCGACAATATGAAACGGGCTGCTTTTACTAAAAAAATTTTTTCTGTTGACTAAAAATATGCGATTTTCCTAAAAATCGTCATTTTTGCTCATTTTTCACGGAGAATTTTACCAAAAGCGCCGAGACTCGGAATTTTTTACTGAAAATAATAATAAAACCATTTAAAAAGAATATCTAGTCAATAAAATCGGATTAAGATTGTTTTTGGCTGAAATAACCAACTTTTAAATTTTGTAAAATCTCGAATTCCAAACACAAAATCGTAAATTTTGTTAAAAAAAGTTAACAAATGCAAAAAAAGCTGGAGACCAAAAATGTTCCTTTTTTATTAAGGAATCCAAAAATATAACCATAATTTTGGAAAAGCGAAAAAATTTTTGTCGTCGACCCCCTCCTTAAGGGATAAGAACGTGATAATACCGCATATTTACACTTGGCGGAAATTGCAATCAGGAGCATCAATTTCAAAATCAAAGATAACAGAGGTAGATGGAACTTGTTCAAAATGAATTTTTCGTGGAGGAGAAATTTCCAGTCAAACCAAAGAGGGCACAAATTGAGACGCTGACCGCAAGGGCGGCAAAGGTCGGGATACAGTGATCTTACGTAACGTTACTGTTACTGTAACCCTTCTAGAAAATTGCGTTTGTAAGCAGTTCATAAAACAGGGTATCCCTTTTGAAGTTTTCATACTTTTCCATTCCCGAGCTTCGATACCTTCTGCAAACGGAAGACTTCAATGCAGAAGAAACTACAGTTACAGACGAAGAATACTGCGTCGTCCAACCCTTGTTGAAAAATATCTCTGGACGCATTTCAGTTTGCTACAATCAAGAGCTCGGCGGCTTTGTTATTATTTTCCAAGTGTTCGATGAACTTTGGGTGAGTCTTTTCTGAATAAAACAGTAACGATTGGGGCAGATATCTTTTAGAGGAACAAACAGTCGCGATTTCGCTGACGGGGTGAAGGATATCCAAACAGACTTGAAAGTTAGCCAAGTTCAACCCCATTTCTTTCCCAAGGTCAATGTTCACCGCGGCTTTGCGGAGAGCTACGCCACCCTCAGGTAAGCGTTCTTCGTTGATTTCAATATCGACTTCATTTCTAAGGGATTATGTTTGGTACGAAGTTGAAAACACGACGAAAATCAATGCTGAATCGCGAAGAATGACGAGAATTAGAATTCTAGGGCACAGTCTCGGAGGTGCTTTGGCGACAATTTGCGCAGCTGATATTCGTTTCAATGCTTATCAAAAATCAGCGAATCATTACAAACCTTCGATAAATGGTTCCATTATTAAAGTATCCTGCAGAACCTTCGGGTCTCCTGGTAAGTTTATCTTTTAGTAGCGTCGGATCAAACTCGCTTATTTTAGCTGTTGGTGACGCCGAATTTGCGAATTTCTTCAACAACGAAGTCAAAGATTCCATCCGCTACGCCATCAAATTCGACCCTGTTACACTTTGCCTCTCTCCACTGAAAGAATACTCCCATGTGGCTCACTACTTAGAAATGGGAGACATCATTGGAAAGCACAAAATTGAGTACTACGTTGCCCAGCTGGAAGAATGGCATAAAACGCGAAAGTAAGAGATATGGAAAGAACTTGAATTATTTTGTTTTCCATAGAGTCAGCGAAATCAGCATAGAAGAGGAGCATTTACTGATGGCGGATACTCAGCACGATGATAATAGTGGCCCTCCAAAGATCATTATAGCCATTATGATTGGCATCTCTCTCTTCTTGTGGTCAAGAGTATTTTCAAGATACAAAAGACCTGGATTCAACATTTACCGTTTCATTCCCGAAAAGTGGCAGTACTTTATTCCTCCGTTCTTTAATCAAGAGTATTGATTAATATTCAAACTTTTTTGAGAATAAACTTTTCTTCAGTTTTGCTTTCTAAAAAAGTTTATTTTTGATCAAAATATTGGAGCTGCAGTTTGAGGTCGTTTTAAAAAATAGGTAGCCCCGCAAATCGTTTAGGCGCTTTTCAGAGGAATTGAAACTGAATAATTGATCTCGAGGATAAAGCTGTTTTGGAACATGAAGTGCGTCATTATGGACAGACTAAATACTGTCGACTAAGCCTCTGTTAGGGAGAGGAGTCACTGGCGGAAAACCGAGAATGAATCTGAAGTTTTTTGGATAGCACCCTCGCAGTTGGATAGAAACCGCGCTTTGGTGTCAGTGTCAGTTTCAAAACCATCTGTCGCGATGCGCATCACTTGCATAATTTGCTGTTCCCTGTGTGAATTTGTTTATTGCCTTTTCGGACAGAAGTGAGAGCAGACGAGCTGTCATCTCATTCTGAATCGCTTTTAATCTAGCTAAAAAAAGTGTGCATCCAACGCGAATGACAGTATGGCGACTATCCAATTTTAAACATTTAAAATGATCGAATAAGCGTGTCAGTACTAGCTAGACGAGGAAATAGTTTTGATTTAAAATTCATGTGTCTATTTGTCACTGTTATTCATGTTGCTCGCGAAAACAGTCAGTCCAACTGTGTTTATCATTAATAATTGAGTGATACGCGTGTTAGACTGGAAAACTACTATCTGTATTCACTTAAAATCAGTTCTTTATACGGTTAAAGCTCATTTTATTTTTTTTGCTTTATTTGAAAAGCACTTTCCCTGGGCCAAACTTTACCCCTAGTGTAATCCGTATCCTTGTCTTCGAATAATTGAATGGTGTTTGGATTAACTCTGGAATTATTCATTCTTGAGAACAGGAAACTACTGTAGATAGGAAGAAGGAGGTGCTGAAACAATCTTGCTAATAATTAAATGTCTGTTTAGTTTCACCCAAAAATAACCATTCTCATCTAAAATTCTTTATCAAACAGACTTTCTGATGCAGTTTGAAATCAAGGAAGAGAACCCAAGCCAAAATGCTGCTTTACTGACGCCATTTTAGAAACTGAATTATGAATGCGTTTTACGAGAAGTTCTAATAAGATTCTTCCTCGATACGCGGGCTTATGCGAGGGGGCTACGGAGTCAGATGCCGCACGGGTCCGGGCGGAGCATGCGTGCGCCCTCACCCGGCCGAAATCGCGGCTCATTCATATTGAAATATGCACCGTTATCATTCCCGATATATTGACACTTTTAATCTTAGCTGGGCGCTCCGCAGCCGGCATCTCTCGGTTTCCCTGCAAAAATCGCCCTCGTTTGGAACGCGCCTAGGGCAAAGTCATTTTCGCCCGCGCGCTTGTCTCTTTTTACCTTTTCTTCTCAGAGAATTCGCCCATTCTTTTCATCTTAAGAGAGCTTCAGAAGAAAATTGACGAAGCGCTTTAGACAACGGCGAGGGAAATTGGCTTCATTGACGCCCTCTAGCCACGCATTTTGCCGTCTTTTTTCTCTTTCTTTTTTTTTTCAGATGCACGTGACTAATAGTAGAATGTTTTCCACGGCGCGGCGCACTTGTCAGAGAAAGTTGTATTGTTAATTCTATTTTCTACGAGCACAACATAGTAACTATCCTCCAGATATCCAAACCAAGCTGGAGACAGTAAGGGACCAACTGCCTAATTTGGAGAGATGGAAATCAAAATTGCCAGAGAGTAAATGGGCCAGAAAAGAGGATGAGTGATAGAGAGAATTGATTGAGTGCGGACGAAGAAGTCACGAACGCGAAGATGGGGTCCTCCTCATCCCCTTTTTCACGCTGGCGAAACGCCAAACCGAGAATGACATCAGCTAAGATCGATTTTTTGCGCAGTTTAGCTCTGCCGAACATGCACAGATAGAAAAAATGACTCCTTCTGGAACAGTTTATTAGTGACCCCCAGTTTTCATGTCCAGTTTTTAGAATAATACTCAGAATTATTTTTGTTGATGGATTTTTTACTAATCAGCAACGATCATAATTATACGATTTCCCGTTGCGTCGAAAATCACGGAATCAAATCAGCTTTTCCAGAGACAGGTTTAGGAGGATCCATCTCCGGACGTGTCAGTAATTACTATTCATGCGCTCATTTGTCAAAAGCACAATGCCTACTCGTGCAAGTTTTTGCGCCTAAACTATTATTCGACTGGGCAATATTCACCGAGCAGTCACCTGGAGGTATTCTAGCGCATGGAATATCGAAAAAAAAATTTCCTTCTTACCTTTTTTTATTCAATTTCGAGCTTAGCACTGAACTCATATTCCGCCTTTTTCGATTTTGTCTTTAGGCGAGTCCACTCAGTTAATAATAGTAACCCAGCAGACTTCCCCGGGGATCACTTTCTTTCCACTTTTAATATTCCGGAATCCGGATAATCTTGGCTTTTGACTTTGTTTCGGCGTGCACTTTACAGTCCACGCTCAATCATGACTCTTATCAATTCAAGAATTTCTTTACGGGGAGATTTTAGCCAATCAAAACGCCGTTTAGTCTACCCCATTCAAAATTCTTTAGAAAACTTACGAGTTTGACCAACTTTGATGCATCAATCATATAAAATATGTACAGTAGTTCTTGGTAAAGTCGCTATAAAATTTTAAATAGGAGACAATGAGTACCCTTGGTCGATTTCCTCGAAAGAGACATCTCATTAGTATGAGCCCTGGTATGTGGGTAATTAGGCCCTTGAAAAATTTATTGGCCTTGTTTAGAATCTATGGATAAGCCCTGTACGCTTCTGGTTCGACTGATGAACTTTTCAAAATTTAAACAGGTTTACTAACGATCACGCTTTTTAGAAAGATTTTCGAAGTCGGTGAAAAACAAAGTCTCCTCGAATGCATGATTGATTGCAATGCACCCTGCTTTGCATGAGCTGCCTACCACTCGATTTGAATGTCCTTGGGAATCGGGTTTGTTTTATTTAATAACGAGCTACCAAATCCATAAACCGCAAGAATTGATGGATCCTCCCGCCTGAGCCTAGGCGCCGGATCATTATTGTTGCTTAGCAATTAAACATCGGCCAATTTCATTAAATTCCATACTTGCATCGCTATATTTAAACCCGATAACAAGTTGGCAAAGTGGCGACATTGGCCTATCTCGAAATTGGACTTCTCCAGGAATGGACTTGAAAGGCAATATTGAGCGGCAATTATACTCGTCTGCGGATGCGTTTTTGCAACATTATGAACCTTTAATTGGGATCAATCTAGCGGATAATCGGATTCTCCGACATGTAAAATCAGTCTCTCGGATGAGGATTTATAGCAGCCATCCGAAGGTGGATTTTAAGACATAGCCGGGTTATAAATTAAATTTGGCACAACTCACTGTTTATTGCATATTTTCAAGTCCTCGAAATAGCTGCTGAGATTGAATGTCTTGGCACTTTGTTGAGCGTTGGCTCGAAAAGGCAAGTCAGCACGCAACACTCGTCGGAAAGTTCTGGCTCACCTTCCTCATCGTCTGTCGCATGGTCATCATTGCAAGCATTGGTAAGGCAATATTTGTTTTAGAAAGATTTTGAAGTTGAGCTCTGCATATTCATTTTGGTTTTACAATTGTTTTCAACAATGTATTGATGTCCATGAATATTGGATGCAAATAATTTGGCCATTGCGAACCTCTGAGTCCGCGCTCATTGAATTATGTATAAGACTTTTGGCGCAGGGCATGAAGGAAAAGGGCGAAAAAGTATAATTTTCTAATTAGGGAATCGTCACAACTTCCCGCCAAATGTTTTCTTTGCCGTGGCATAAGGCATTGATTTTTTTTTAAACAGACCGATATTTATATTTCGCTTTGATTATTTTTTAAAAAACAGGGGAACAATCCCTTCATAATCAATTCGATTCAATCATATCAAATTAAATCAGCAACTGAGTCTTCTTATTAGCTGAATTTACAGTGTCAACCCATCAAAACATCATTACTCGTGTCGAGATTCCTCCGTCAAAGTCTCCTTTTGCGAATTAATAATGTTTATTTTCGGCGGGCGGGGCATAACTCCTTCTAAAGCATTGATTTCTGCAAAATTAATATCTCGGGATTAGAACCTGACTCTTTCTGAGCGAGGTCTGATCAAGCGCGAACGCTAAATTAAAATGCCCGGCGATGATTCGCTTTTAATTCCAACTTAAAGTGCCACTTATTCCTCATTCAATGCTGGTTAATATTACCGGTTGGCGGAGCCGAGAGTAAATAATTAAAGAAATGGTCTATCAAACTCAAAAGATTTACCAATTTATCAAAATCAGGTTTTTACTGTATTTGTAGGGAGTTATTATTCAATCCACAGAATTAACAGTACAAAGGAAAGCTTCCACGTGCATCTGTTTGATCTGAATGGGCTTATCAAAAGCTTTAAAAATATTCATTATTCAACATTCTAAAAGTTTCTTTTTATTCAGGTGACAGAGTATACGCCGATGAACAGTCAGAATTCAAATGCAACACACAACAGCCTGGCTGCAACAATGTTTGTTTCAACTCCTTCAGTCCGATTTCTCATCTCAGGTTTGCGAGTCCCGAGCTCTTCCTTGATTTCAATGATGATTTTTACAGATTTTGGTCTTTTCAAATCCTTGCCTGCGCAATGCCTTCCATCATCTTCGTCATCTACTCGGGGCACAAGGCGCGCGAAAAGTCCAAGCTCGAGTCTGAAGCGAAAAAGCGCCAGAAGGAGCGAGCCCAGAGGCACCAAGAGCGCGGACCTACACAAGCCTCAGCCCCCTTCAGCACTAGCGGTATGTTGAAAATGACTACGGCTATCTAAGCTTACATAATTGATTGATTAAACCGAATAAGCGGGTGTTTTCACTGATTTAAGGAAAAAAAGGGAGGAGCTTTTTTTATTCATATTCAGGCAGTTATCAAAATTTAGGCGGAGAGAATCGCATCAAGAGTCCCAGCAATCTCAAGGACACCGCTACCCAGACCAACCAGTCGGACATTGTCGAAGATGTCAACGACGACGTCCGCGGGAGCACCCTCAAACGACAGCGTCGCACACCCCGCAGAGGTGGAAAAGGCTCGTCTGGAAAGCCCAGCGAGCCCGGCGCAGGAAGCGATGGTGAGAGCGACTCTGACAACGAAAACAGCCCACTTACAACGCAGCAACAGCAAAATACTGTGCTCGACATCGACAAGGTACGAAACAAGTGACAGAAAGCCTCATTATCGAATCGATATTCTCAAACTAATCACGTGATAATCGATGGTTATGCAGCACAATTTAACACTAAGTTTTAATCACCAAAAATAATATAAGAAGGGTATTTTTGAAGAAGATTTTAAATTCAATCCAAAAATATTTCTATAAACCTTGTTAAAATTTAATTGGAATCGACTTAATTTGATAAAAAATTGATGACTTTTTTTTATAAATCAGTCCTCAAGCCTCTTAGTTTCACCAAGGCCTTATTCAAATTGGAAAGTTTCTTCACTTGACCTTTGCCGGTTTGAAAGTTGTCTGCAGTGACGTTGATTGACTGGAGGACTATACAGTCCCATGAAGTACTGTATCCGCTGTCTACTACTGTCTCAATTAATATATTGAGCAGCATTGTATAGATAAATAATTCAGGGCGGTTAAGAAAGCATGCTCTTCATATTCAGACTCAGAACAATCCGATAATCAGATTGACCGTATAAATTATATTATTACCGTTATAAAAGTCCAGCCAAAGTACAACTAAGCCGGTTAAAATCCTTTTGAGATCGTCATTTGCATAAAGCCTCTTAGAAGGCGCATGTCATCCAAAAAAGTATCGTGAAATAGGTCCCCAGGGCTGTTCATCTGATTAATTAGGCACATTATATGTTGCCTTACTACCCGGCGGCCATTTCAGGCGGGGAATAATCCGCTCCTCTCAAATCAACCTAGGCACTGTAAATTCCCTCAGTTCGATCTCTTCTTTATCAGATTTTAGGGGTACTCTTCCTTGATTTCATTTTTCGACGACTTTCATCTTTGCCCATTCTGACATAAAATTAAAAAACGCATTTACAAGATTGAAAGCTCAGTATAATTCATCATTTACGAATAATACGACAAAAAAAGAAGTTCTTTGACGTCTTATGACGAATTTCGTGAAGGCTAATCAAATAAAAGCGAAATCATATAAAGATGTCATCTTTATATATTTTCATGAATATTTTAGGAAAGAGATGAAAAATCTCAATTCCCCTAAATGTCAAAACCTTAATTAGCGCTGCGTGAGAATTTATGAGTTCGCTAAGGATCGATTGAAACTTGCAATGAATGAATAATTATGGCCTTAATAATTATATCAATCGTAGCGATCAACTGCCGCTTCACTGCCTCCACTGTCGGGCTGCGGGGTCAAGAGTGTTGGCAGCACCGGCCCGCCGGAGAACGTGCTCGTCTGGCTGCCCTCTCAGCCGCCCAACCAAGTCAAACACCGAAAAGGCAATCAACCATCGACACATGGCCAGGTAATTTCACTTCTCCAACTTTTCTTTTTCATAATCACCTGCGCGATCAGTGATCTTACTCTCATCTATAGAATGGCCATTTGCCAAACGATCTTATGCCCATTGAATTACCTCCGTACTCAAATGAATACCTTCAAAACGCAGATGACTTTACCAAGGAATGTGTCCGGAATAGCAGACTGAAATGAATATTAATAATATAATTAAATATTATATTATGCTTTTATTTTGAAGAAAAATTTCCTGGACCCTACTTGAAGCAGCATATTCATACCGCTCCAATAACACATCGTGATCCTGAAATTACCAAAATAATCAAAAAACCAAATCGTCATTTTCGCCTCTATGTGGTAAGAATTCCAATGTTTATAAGCCCAACAGTACTTTTTAAAGCCCATAAAAGTATGAGATTAGGCAGGCAGACATAGACCGCGAAATCGGATTGCGGGAGTGGAAATTAGCCTCGAATGAATATTTCAGGTCTCTACCTTTGTGCGCCTGAACCTGGAGTTTGGGTTTCTTTACCTTCAATGGCATCTCTTTGGATTCGAGGTGCCCTCCACTTACAAATGTCGACAGAGTCCCTGCCCGAACGTCGTCGACTGTTTTCCTTCCCGTCCCCAGGAGAAAACCATCTTCCTCTACTTTATGTTCCTCTTCAGCATCCTCTGCTGCGTACTCAACGTTTGCGAGTTTCTAGAGCTCATTTGGAAGCTGCTCAAGCGCTGCGACTGCCAGTAAGAACACTCAAGTAAAAACAGCACCCTAACTGTGCTTTTTCAGACGGCTCAATTGCTGCGGCTGCCAGCAAAAATACCAACGACCAAGTGAGGCATCTAGACAGTACCTCCAAGCCGGTCCTCCACCCGCGCCATTTATCTTTGATGGTCCGAGGTATTTCTACTCTATTTCTACGTAGCCATTGATTTTTAATATACTTTTCTTAAGTGTGAGCAGGTTAGAAGGCAACTACGACGATGGCCATTACGACAATCGTCCACTTCTAGGCGACAAACGACATAGATTTGTGAAACGCAGCGCGTCTGGGTTGAAATCGCCGACTTCCTCCGCCGCCCAAGAGAAATTGTTGCAAGACAAAGGGTAAGCAGCAAGTTTCTCTTAGAGAAATGAAATAGTAGAAGATAGACAGTTCACCAGGCACCGGTGATATTCTCTTTATAGATTAGTTAGAGAATATACTCGTCACCTTTTCACCACTACGCACTTTTTTACCAAAAAGACAGCTTGAAAATCACACGCACTTTTTTTAATACTTCACTATTACTGTAGTCAACGCGTAAGCCCGAGCAAGCAATGGAAGTACTGGAAAGGCACCGAGTCCGAACAAAATACTCAAGCCAATAATGAAAAGAGCACCAATTGGCTCTAGCCCTAGCCTTTCTGGTAGAGCTTGAACGGTATCATCTGTCGAATCATGTGATCAGCTCATTTTTGGCGAAATGATCTCGATAATCGTCTCCTTAGAAAATAAAAAAAAACTTCATGCATGCTCAAAATGGCCCTCTAAAACACCAACTAAAGATCAAATGAAATATTTTAATCTCTGATATAGGCAGATGCATGAAAAAGCACAAATTTATGTTCATGAGCTTTAGGTAAGAGAAATCTAACTCTTTGCTAACTTATTTCATTTCCTGGAATTTGGAAAATCGAAATTCTAACCGCTACCGCCCTCACTATTCAAATTGTTGTTGCGTTTTCTGTTTTGAAATTAACGAAGAAACACCCTTAACGAATGTCTAGATATCGTCGAAAAGCGCCGAAGCTGCCGTAACTGCGAGTCTAAAAAACGACGCTTACTGTAATGAACTGTACATGAATAGCATTCCTGGAAAACTTTCCTCCTCCGAATTAAACCGCCCGAGTGCCTCGACTTGCCCCAAAACGCATTTCTTCTTTCGGGGAATTAGGCTCTTGCAATTGAAAAATTTAGCAATTGACTCGGTATTTATTATAACTGTAATAAAGTAACATATTTGAAACATTTCAAGGTTGTTTATTTCAAAACTTGATTACCTTCACTTTTCGAAAAGCGAAGAAAGTGACGTGCCATAATATTAAGCCGCGTATAATAAAATGTATTTCCGTGTGAAAATCATCATTCTGACATTTCCAATGCCTTTGATGAGATTGATTTATACGATTGACGTAGTTTTAATGTCTGATCTGGCTTCGTAAATGAAATTTCAAAATAGGTTCTCTTTGATCGTCTAACTAATACGACAGATTTATTACATCCATTCTAACCGCCGAAGGATAATGGCCTCATTTATCTGGGTCGACAGATGAACTTGGCAAAATGTAAAACAAAAAGACCTGATTCTTTCAAAAATTAACAGGTTTATAGTGATTCTTGAGCCAGGCTTTTTATCGAGATCAAAATTTATTCAGCGTAGAGAACAGAACTCCATTTTGTTGCTTGAAGGGCGGTTTCTCGATGTAAAAAATATTTCTATGAAAATTTAAAGTTTCCTTTTTACCAATGATTCGTCGGAGCAATCAGGTGCTTCTTCGATTTCGTATGCTCGAAGACATAAACCGGCATTTCCATCATTTGAGTTTGGGCTCATCACGACAGGTCCCTGCACAAAAGTACCAATCTGATGAAATATTGAGTACGAATTTTAAAATGTTTTTCACCTCGAATTCCATGAGAAAACTTCCCTCTCCTATCACAGAAAGCTCATCTTGCCCGTCATAAACAGTCAGCCAGGGCTCACCAACAGTTGGATTCTTCAATATTCTAGCGTATAATCTTCCAAGGTCTGATTGATGCTTCAAGAACGGCTTCGATTTGTATTTTACCGTCGAATATTACCTGATGAATGTTTTCTGCGCAAATCAGTTTTCTCGGATTAAGTTTCCAGCTTGGAATGCCCATCATGTCCACAAGATCAGCACCTGTCTCAAGGCGACTGAGGCTTGTTTCAAAAAACTCTCCAGGTTTTCCGATTCTTTGAGACCAGGGTTCGGTAATTTGAGCTCACGCTAAAACTCAAGGAAACAAAGCTTGAGACTCACGTTTTTTAATTTGAGTTTTGAGAACTCAGAGATGAGAAATCAATTCTGGCGATCCATGAGCCAATCAAGGAAGCGCTCGCTTAATTTGAGTTTTGAAAACTCAAAACTCTCAAATCTCCCAAAAACTCAAAACTCTCAAAATCTCAAATCTTCTCAAAATGATTTCTCAAGTCACTTTGAGTTCTCAATTTGAGGAAATTTGAGCGTCTAGCCAAAATGAGTTTTAGCTTGAGCTCAAATTACCGAACCCTGTTTGAGACATTCTTTGATAGAAAAAATCGAATGTGGATGATTTCTTGCAAGGAAACGGAATTATCTCCCGCAAGATTACCTTGAGGGAGATATCATTTGCAATTATTTGCTTTTAATGATGTTTGATCAGCCCATCAAATAAAGGCTTTAGTAGGCGAGCCCACTAATCCCCCTTCCTTTCCTCGTTGATTTCAATCCCGCGAACAATACCAAGTTTGCGTTTCCATCATGAAAGAGCCCGAAAGAAAAGAATTCCATGACGTAGCTGTAATTACCGGAGGTCCATTATGTATCGAAAATAAATACTCGATCCCTTTGAACATCATTGGCCAATGAGAAATTTCGTTTTCAATGATTGGATGAGAAAACTCAATAAAAGCGAGTCCGTTGATGCAGTCATTCATCAGAGAATTCAGATTGATGTCGAAGAAACTTCATTCTAAAGCGTGCACGGGAACTTATGCGAATACCAGCATTCGTCGAGGAGAAGTTCCAAGTGATAAAATTAGGAAAGAGCTCGTAAAATAATAAGAATAAATATTGAAATGAGTAGGCCTTGTTTTCTATGCCAAGAGCGATGTGAAATCTTGCCTCGATCAGGGATGTAAATCACCACAACCACCCCACCACTGTGGTGGGGTGATTTTCCACCACCACCTTTTTTCAGTGGTGGTGGTGGGGTGATTTTTCACCAACCACCATTTTAGTGGTGGTGGTGGGGTGATTTTTCACCACCACCCTTTTTGAGTGGTGGTGGTGGGGTGATTTTTCACCACTCAAATGGTGGTTGTGGGGTGGTAAAAACAGTGTTTTTTTTAGGTTGACCCTGACTTTGTCCCAACCGTGTTCAAAATCCTTATGTGGTAGCCCCATACATCTATACATTTCTGAAAGCCCAGACTCTACTGCGTTGCCTCGACTGGGTCTTGTGACCTTGGCGAGGTCATATGACCTCAAATGACCCCTTTGAAGAGAGGCCAAGCGGAAAATAGTCAATTTTTAAGGAAAACTAGCATAAAATTGCTTGGATTCTAGTGTGGGCGGACACTGACATGATGCATGTTTAGAACCGCCAGATCACGGGGATCATTTAGACTATTGATTATAAGGGGGTAGCTCATGCCCTGAGGCAAATTAAGGGGGTCGGAAAACCCGAGGGTCAACCTAAAAAAAACAGTGTTAAATCTATTGGCAAAATTATCTAAAAATATTCTCCAAAAGTGAAAATAATAAATAAAATCGTGATAGCGGTACTCGAAAAATGATACCTGGCCCTTTTTTATTGAAAAATAGGCTTTGATGATAAATTTATCACGTCGAAAATGGTTACTGTGGGGAAATTTTTCACCATTTTCAGTGGTGGTGGTGGGGTGATTTTTCACCATCACCATTTTCAGTGGTGGTGGTGGGGTGATTTTTTTCACCACCGACCACCCCACCATTTGGCTGTGGTGGGGTGAAAATGGTGGGGTGATTTACATCCCTGGCCTCGATAGTGTGAAATAATTCGAATTCTGAGCTCTAGAAAGCTTCGCCACTCCGTTTCCGAACTACCATCCGGTCGACTACACAGCTGATTTTGTCAAAAGTGGACCAGTCTGGGCAGATCCAGCCAACCCTAGTGTTTTAAAATTCAACACCATCGATGGCGCAACAGACCGGACTTCCTTCGTCGGATATTCTGTCGAGAACGGCTTTCCTCAGAATCCAATTGGCAGAACTGGAGTCACAGGTCGTGGCAATTTAGGAAAATGGGGTCCAAACCACGCTGCCGATCCAATTCTTTCTTCATGGAAGCGAGACGAGTGTGGAGAAAAGGTCTACGACCCGATTTCAAGACGACCGATTCTTCGATTTGTCGCGATTTTTAGAAAGAAAGACTCCGAATGGGCTATTCCCGGAGGCATGTGCGACCCAGGCGAGAATATTTCGCAGACACTGAAGCGAGAATTTGCTGAAGAAGCACTAAACAGCAACGATTATCCAGAACGAAAAGAAATCGCCGAAAACATCTTCAAAAAAGGCATCAAAATTTACCAGGGATACGTCGACGATCCTCGAAATACCGACAACGCTTGGATGGAGACACAAGCCTACAACTTCCACGACGAAATCGGGAAGCTCGACTTTGTCAAACTCGAAGCTGGAGATGATGCAGCAGCCGTCAAGTGGACTGATATTTCTTCCGATCTTGCGCTCTACGCTTCGCACAAGGATTTCATTGAAAAAGTCGCTAAATTACATGATGCTCATTGGTAAACCCTGCTCCTTTTCTCTCCTTTCATTCCTCAATAATATCTTTCTGATTTATCCAGCGTAAAATAATGAAAACATTCATCATTTGTTTCAAGTGGCAGTTTATTTGATAATATGAACAGAACTTCTCATAATTATTTTTCAAGCAAGCAGTTTTTAAATTCAAATTTCTGGTATGTAAGTTGCGCTAAATTCGTAAATTTCTTGAAGCTCTTCTAGTTGAATATCTTTGCTAGTCGATTTGATTCCTTCGCGAGAGACGTAGATTTCTTCCAAGCTAGCCATTTTACCACAACAGCCTCCCAGAAACCAGAGCGAGTTTCCCACGGTGACGAGACTTGGGGAAACGCGAGGTGATCTCAGGTCGCCCACGGCCTTCCATGTCCTCGAGTTGATAGCCAGTTCCAAAACTCGTGTCGTTTGTGTACTCATACAGTGGCCAGAGACAAAGATCGTGTCGTCTATCCTCGTGGCGGCCACACCTTCTAGTGTCAATGGTAAAACAGGCCCTTTTGAAAAGCGCATTCGTTTGGTGTTCTTGTGGAAGGACAGTTTTTCTGTCGTACGGAGAATCTCTCCTTTGTCGCTTTTTCCTCCGATGATGTAAACAGCATTGTCGAAAGAAACTGCAGGAGCGTCGTATCGTCGGCTGAGCATCGTCGGTCCATTCTTCCACTGATTTCCGGAGAAAATGCCAAGGTATTCTGTCGAATCCAAAACTCCAGCAGCATTGCTTCCCGAGTTACCGCCAATGGCGAAGAGTCGGTCTGCAAAATTGACACATCCGAGTTTTGTCCTGAAAGAAAATGTTTACAAACGCCCATTGAAAATCATCTGCACCTGGGAAACTGAAGGTCAGGCGCGTTACTCCATGATCGACCATGATTGAGGACAAAAACTTCTCGTCGAGGAAAGCCGACTCCAGCTGTACCACCGATGAGGAAGATTTGACCGTTGAAAGAACAACTGCAGTGTTGAATAAGAGGCGACGGCAGCGGGTCTGAATGTCAAAAATAAAAGAAATTAAAGACTTAAAGATTTATGGCCTTCATTTTGATGTCCGTCTGAAAAATGAGCCTACCTAGTTCGGTGACAACAAAGTTTGGGCTGACCAGTCTGACTTGATCGAGTGCGACGCCATGCCTTCTACCACCTGTCACGATCACACTTTTCGGCGTTGCGATTTCCAATGTCATCGTCCTCTCTATATCCGGCACTCGCTCAGCTAAAAAAGGCCAAATGTTAACTTGAGTTTTCGAAAGATTCTCCGATCATTGATCTTGAAAGAGTGGAAAATCAGATGGACTATAAATATTATTCTTCTATTTTTGGTGACGAGAAAGTTGTTTTATTGCCGGATATAACTCGCGTGAATTGACCTAGTTCAAGGTGCGGTCGATAAACATAAATTACAAAAACGCTGAAGATGTCAGTTTGGTTTACGAAGCCGACACAGATGGGCACTAAGTTTCTCTTCTCAAATATAAATAGAAGAACTATTCATATTAGGAGCAATTTCGAAAACGCGAAAAGCACCAAATCAAAACCAATTTTGATTCGAGTATCTGCTCATGCTTCAAGCAAGAGCTCACTCACTAGCCGAAGGCAACGTAAAATTCCTCGTGACTTCACTTGGCGACGAACCTCTAAGATTCCGGCTAAAGTGGAGATTGCTTCCAGAGTTGTGACCATTAACTGTGATAACTTCGGGTTTAGGACGAGAGATAGAATTTCCTCCGCGAAGTTCGAAAAGTTCATCGTACAAGGCTTCGTTGCGCAGTTTGATTCGGTGGTTGTCTTGTTCCAAGATGTCAAATTTTGCTTGAAGAATTTGAAGATCCATTGCCTTAAAAATGAATTCAAAAGGGAAGTATTTAGGGACTTCAAAGTGTCTGTAATTGAGACAGACATTTAGACGAAATGGAAATCGACCAAAAAAGACCTTATGACAGATCGTTTAGAGACTTGGAGTCTCAGAAGGTCGTGTGGGTTGTATTAAGGATCCTTAACCATTGATGATTGATGTCAGACCGGGCCATAAGTCAGTGAAAGAGCGGCTCGTTAACATCAATAAGTGCATTGATAGTTACCTTTTGCTCGAGAAAGAAGAGACGAGTGTCGACGAGCGTTCGTTCTTCCCTGATGTGTTCGAACTCGCGAGTCATGTTTCTTCTCTCGCTTGAGAGCTGCAAAATTGTTGAGTCCAAATCACGGATTTTGAGCGAAGAAGAGTCCACCGCATTTTGAAGATTTTGAAGAATCTGACTCTAAAAAGAATTTAGAAATTAGGTCATTCGAGCATTTAGGTGTAGAGACGCGACAGGAAGCTATATCTCTTTTCTAGAGCGATTACCAGCAGTAACTTAAATGATTGACAGAGGGATTTTAACACTTTATAATTGGTGACAGGAACGAGAAAGGCGCCACGTTCATTTGAAATTTATCACGTGTTTTTCCAACTAACTGGCGAAGAAAAAAGTGCGAGTGAGGAATGCGCATTCTTACTTGCTCTGACAGTTGTTTCCGAAGTTTTCTCAATAATCGTGAAGATTTGTCCTGTTTTCCTTTGCTTTTTTCTCTTTCTTTTCTTCTACCTCTTTTCGTTTTTCTCTCAGTAAGACCAGGAATATCCGTGGCAAAAACGAGCTCTGCAATCAATAGAAAAGCTATCAACACTCTCATATTTTCAGGTTTAATTATCTAGTTCACCATAAACTCAAAATGGTAATTATGTACACGTAAATGGACGATTAGGCGAGATTAAGAATCGCTTGGTACAAATCTGGAGGTAATAAAGGATAGCGAGCGACCCAAGACTCAAGTGCGACCCAAGAGTTCGGCGCTATCTGCTACCTAGTAGAGAGTGAGCGGATGAAAGAATCAATCCTGGAATTCTTATTTTAGCTTGACTAATGAATATTAACTTGATGCAATGTGTGATAGTTTTAACACCTTCAAGTTGAGTTTTTCAATGATCCTTCTAGTACCGGTAACGGCCCTCTTATTCGTTAGTAAATGGTCGAAGCATTATGGTGTGAACAAGATGTGATTTCAAACAAAGTCGCCGTTATTATGATGAGAAAAAAAATATATTTAACTTATCTGTTGACTAGATTTTAGTAAGTCAAGGTCAGACCTGCTCTCAATCACGATACATCTGATGAGAACTGTAGTTTAATCCCTGTCTTTCTCTGAGGCTAAAAACTCGATCGACCTTTTTCTTGACAGGATACCGGCTCGCAATCAACGCAATCGTTGAAATCATCAAGCATATCCTTCCTATTCATATAAATATTGTTTTACATTTTTATGATATTTAATTGATTCTCATCTGGTGACGTAACTTGCTGGTCATCAAATCTACCTTTTATGAAGTCTAAAAAGAGTGGGATGGATGGATATCAAAGCAGCACTTAGCGTGATTAATCAGGCGCGTTCCACAGGTCCGCACAGTTTTCAGACGAATAGATGAGGGTGATGGATCGGCAACTGATGGATACGGAGTTTTTCTTCTTTGGACTCGGGTCAAAACTAGCTTTCACTTCTTTTTGTACAAAATTTATTTTACAGACGTTTAAAAATGGTAAAAACTCGGGTGGTTAGAGGGCGATCCATCTGTCTCCGCAACTGTAGCTCTTAATTCATTTTTATAAGAAAAGATTAATGAGATTAATCGTAAATGATAATTTATGGCGGATTCAAATGTCTATTCGAAGCAATCAAAAACTTACTCGGTCTCTCTTTCTTTGCGAAATTCGTTGAAAGCGCCGATTTCAAAAGGCCCGTCTCGCTCGACCATTTCCCAAACATGGTGGTAGATTTTTCTGAAACTCGTTATACACGATGTCTTATAGTGCACGAACCCATATTCTATGTCGTCCAAGAACTTTTCACTTGAAACCACATTGACAAAGAACCATTCCTTGAAAGTTTCATCTTCACTTGCCTCGAATTCTTTACCTTTCGCTTTCTAAGGAATTGTTAAAAAAGGATTGATGTTTTTCAACCTTTTTTCGCTGAATTTCTGGTAGGTTGTGTGCGTTCCACTTGAATTCGTCGAGCCTAGTCAGTTTTGTATCGTCCATTTTCGGAACTTTTATGGTTTATAAAGATGGGCTTTTCCATGTTGGAAATTTTTAAACCATCTCCCGAAAAACGTCGGCCAGGACCATCTCATCGACGAGTTGGTGTTCCGGACATGATGCCAGGTAGCAGTAATGACTCCATACGAAATGTGCTCAAGCATGTTTCCAAAGTTGACAACGAATGTATCCTTCACGGGAGGAATCGAGAACCACTCATCTTTCGACATCGCTTGAAGCCCGCCAGCATCGTCTTGCATCAAAATCGTCAGGAAACCATTATCATAGTGGCCTGGGACGCCCCATTTCTTTGGAGGAGTTCGTTCGTAGCACAGTGCGTTTTGGACTCCATGCGGCTCTAGAATCAGTAAACAAGGTTTACAGCAGCATCATGGCCTACCGACTCGATTTAACAATCTTCCCTTTTTAAGACCAAGAGCGATTTCAAAGAAAGAAACCAGTCGTAAAGCCAGACTGGTGATTTCGCCAATATACTTGTGAAATAACGAATCAACGTATTCAATGTCAATACAAGCATCCTTCTCGACAGAGCCATTGAAAGGAGTCAAGCTGAAAGCAGAGCCGTCGTGAACTAATTTTCCTTCGTAATTTTCAAGCTCCTTTCTCTTTGAAGGCGAAAGATGGTAGAAATCAGCAGAGACTCGTTTGATCTCTTGAATCAAATTTTTGTCGACACCGTGATTGGAAATGTACAAAAATCCTGCATTCACGAGCGCTTCGTAGAGTTTCTCGACTTCTCTGGAATCATAGAGGAGTTTTTCCATATTGATAATCGGGGCAGAGAGAACTTTCTTGGCCCTAGCATTTTTAAATTTTTGTTCCGGGGTTATTTTCCCCATCTTTTCTCTTTTAGTTTTTGGGAGAGGAAATGACGGGAATAAATTGCTTTTTTGATGACGAATTTTAATAACAATAGTACTTATTGTCCTTCAAAAGCATTTTATTTACAGAGAATATTAACAAGCATTTACAGGTTTTTCAGTATTCGAGAAGAATTGCAATCGTCTCAAATCCAATCCATCTGAAAAACTGTTGCGGCCGATTGTGCCTTTTTCGGTTCTCCTTTATGATTTCCAAATTCCTTTTTAAATTTTCGCTCTTAGAGAAAAATGACTCAGATAATAACAATTTTCGAGCTTTTCGCTTATCCTACATTATTCTTCATAAAAAAGTATAAGAATAAGCATAAAAAGAGCCCGAATTTGCTTTTAACGGTTGATGTTTCTGCGGTAAAATATTTCATAATTGTTTCCCACGTAACTTCATGTATACCGCAAGTTTTGGGCTTCAAATGAGTTCTATCTTCGCGGTAGACCGTTCTTTCTTTTCAAAATTTGTAGGAAAAATACTTCGCAAAAGAAAAAAGTTCGTATTCCAAAAAAGAGCGGGTAAGCACAGATGCTTTTCGAATTCGTGTTTCAACCACCGCGAAAAGTCATTTTGGAAACCAGCCTGAGTACATGAACGTGAGAATCCTCTCTTTACTAGCGGTTCAGCTGCTCGTCGACACACTCGCATCCGCGGTAAAAAAAATTTTGACAGTTTTGACTGCTGAAAGTTCTCAAAAAAAATAATTGAGCGTTTCAGGGAAAGAACTTGTTCTTTTATGCTCTAAAGTAGGGCAGCTGAATCAGAAGGGATAAGGGAAAAAGCAGCTCTGGATATCCGAAAGCACGCGACGGATTAGCAACCACGTTATTCTCGTTATTATTGCAAGAACTAGAAACGTTTCTCTCGCCTCAATCGTCCAAATGTCTGACTATGCAAAAAAGAAATTCGAAGGGAAAAATGCTGTAAGTCCAGGACGAACGTGAAATGCTGCCAAAGTGAATTTGTGTTCACACAAGAAATTAACTCAATTTCTGAACACGCTCTCACGCTAGCTTTTTCTCCCTTCTCGTTCCAAGTCCCGGTTGGTTATATATTAGTATTTACTTCATTAGGCCCCCCGCGGAATCCAGTTCTTAGAAACTTATTTGTCCTAATTTCTCATTGACGGGACGAGGAAATAGAAGTATCTATTGAACGTATGTATACCTAGAGCTTCTGACTTAGGACCTAAATAAAGACTTACCTCACTTTCGTTTATTTCTTTGGAGCGATAAGAGACTTATTTCAGAGCGAGTCCTGATTTTCTTCTTCAAAGTCGGCTTTTCCGGGCCTGAGCATTGTTTCCTGTGATAACTGATTGTAGCCATCTTATTGAGCCATTATCCATATCTTGATCCCTCCTTTGCGCAGTCGCCCGCAGCTAATCCAAAATCTGATTGTTTCTCTTCCTTTGTTCCTGACGTCCTTTTTTCTTGAGAAAATCATCAAAGTACTTTTTGTAAAACAGAATAAATCGACTGTTTTGAAGACGAGACACAAATTTTCTTGATCTAAAAACCATAAAGCAGATTAGATTTGACTTCATTTATATTTTATAAAAATAACGGAATCGACTGAAAATTTTTAAACGAAAATGTTTTATTGAATCTAGCCCTTACAATTTGAGTAGCTAGAATTTTCAATCAACAATGCTTATTGAACTTTTTACCGTCCCAGCTCACAGAACTGCTTTATTTTGCACGAATCAGTGTTTTGGCCACAAATCACGCCACTTAATTTTACAAATTTTATTGACGGGCCACTGTTTTGACAAGCTTGTATTTTGGGACAACGAGCTTTCAATGATATCTCGACCGTGCGAGTTATTTTCCAATTTTAGATTTCTTCAGTTTATTTAATAAGATTGACGGTTAAAAGCGACAGGTTTTAAACGTGTGTTACAAGTTGTAGTAATAGTAAGTTAATATCAGAAGAGAAATTAGTAATAAACGGAGTTTGTTCAATTGATAATAAGTAAGAGATCTTATTAGCTCGTCATTTCAAATGACTCATTTGACATAAGATACGTTTATTAGTCCCGGCAGGAGAGCCATTTGCCCCCCTTTGCGCCACGCGTCAAGTCAGTTACAGTCAGCTGGATACAGTAAAGCTGGCTTATCATCTCAGATTGAGTTCAAGCTCACCTAAAACGCGTTTAATGAATGAGCAGGACGGTGAAAGGCGACCTAAGCCAGCCCAAATTGAGTTGGCCTTTGTTCCGATAAGATCCTATATTTTACGCCACTTTGCGCGGCTAACCCTGGCCACGAATATATTCTTGTGTTGGCTGGATTATCATTCGAATTTCGAGCATCGTGACCCGACCTCCCATGAAAACGAATAGACGAGTGTTTATTATTCTGCTAATCGCCGCTTATTCACGTGCTTAGCATAAATTCATGAGTCTTTCAAAATATGCTCTTACGTACCAAGGCGTATAGATAAATTTAAATTCCCAAAAGCGAATTTTGAAAGGAATCAGGTAGTTTTGACGCTCTAAGAACTCCAGATTGGGCGAAGTTTTGGGCCCTTCAAAATGAATTCCCTCTTCGACCTTTATACAAGTGTATCCTTTCATCAAAACTCTTAATATACAATTTGAAAACTCCAATTCTAGCGGTCAATCTAGCGTGTTTCCCAATTCACCACGTGGTTACGTATTTCTCCAGCGTCTGATTCGGCTTCAGTTTCAGATTTGAGTTGAGTGGATTGAGTTGATGACTGGCTATATTTTTGTTACATACGAGTTACGGAAATAGTCCTATGTAAAGATTCTTATCCGCGCATGCTAATTATCACGACCGCATAAATGGTAACTTTACGAAGCTGGCTGACCTTCTCAGGCCGATAATATCGGACTACTTCCAACACAAATTTTTCCAAAAGCCAAAAGCTGTGGCTTTTAAAAATATTCATTTTCGCACTCTCGAAAGCAGCGGGTTGATGGTTATATATTTTTATAATCCGGGACGGAGCGTTGTCAGCGGCGTGCTTTTGTAGCGGGATCAGAAATTATCCAAACTTTTAGAAGAATACTAAACTCAGCATTTGGCGGAAGGGGCCCTCCTCCACCTGATCCGGACTAAAACTTCCTTTCTCAATTTAATATGCGCCAGCCCAAAATTTAGAAAAAAGGGCCGTGTGCGTCGAAATTAATTATTAGGGAAGGTACATAAATAAACATACTTTCAAAGGAAAATTACTCTTGAGGCCATCTTTCTTTTACTAATAATGTGCAATGTGTTTAATAAAATTATCCGTTGTTAAAGACTCTTGTTCGTGGTTAAATCTTGATAAACATATGTTTTCTCAATTAGCCTGATTAACTTGTGATTGTTAAAAATACGCGAAGAGGGCTATAAATTGATGAACATAATAATTGCTGTCGTCTGTCTTCAAGATAGAAATTTTAATTGTTTCACTAGAAAAAATGATTCGAGCAGCGTGAAAGAAGTTAATTTTGGAAGTGATATTCTAGTGGCGCGATTTTAGATTGGTATATTTGTGAAGATGCAGGAATCCGGATGAGAAACGTGCGCGTTTATTTTTTAACGAATTTAGATTCGCCACGGGTCAGTGGGGCAGTTTGTTTGCTCGCTTTGCTTAGATGGGCTCAGCTGGTCCCACCCTTAGGATATACAGCAGTGTTTCGGCGGGCCTGGGAGGGTTGAAGGCTGCAGTTCGGGGAAGAGGGATGAAGACGCGCTAGTGGTCGGAAAAGGGGTATTTTGGTAGGGCATCCTGCGCGTGAAGAAATATTGGTTCAGAATCGTGACTCCTTTCCGGTCAAAAATCAGGCTAGGATAATCTTTGAAGATAGTTCCCTATTTATAAAGATAATCCTAGAGAGCTCCGGGATTCGTGTCATTGTCCCGTTTGATCCGCTAGATCCAGCCAGACTATGCATTAATAGCCAGCTAAGTTTGTCTCACGTTTGCCAAGTTGCCGAGTTTTAGGGATGTCGATAACCTGCTCAGCCGTGCTCAGCTAAATTCGCTCTTTTTGCCGCCCCACGCGCTTTTCATCCTCTTGCGTAAGTAAATTACTGTACAAGCCCTTAGATATTCAAATATCGGGCTATTGGTATTGTTTTTGATTGTATTCTTTTTGCTCGAAAAGTATTTTTTGAAAAGTATTTACAAAACAACTTCTGCCGTCAAAAATTCAACCCCCTTCTTCAAGCGCCCTTAAATTCCCCGTTCTTGATCATTTTTAATCCAAAACATTTTTGGATTATCTCCAAGGGCCGAGCAGCGGGAGCTCGCAACGATCAAGGCCTGTTTATTAAAATTGAAAAATCGGCATTGAAATCGCATTCCGATTCATCGCTTCCTTTCAAAGTGGGGGACACATGAATTGTGGCTATTTTGCGAAATGCGTGAGTTGTGGCTCTGCATGAATTGTGGCTCTTGCGTGAACTGTGGCTCCCAAATTTAGTCAGAGTATTTTGATAAGATTCAAATATCGTTTTCAGCAGAATGACGGTTCTGTGGGGTGTGCCAATTTGATGAACTGGGCGAAAGTATCTTTTGAGCCAAATAATTAAAATTGAATTTTTATGTTCTATTTTTTGATAAAAATAAATCAAGTCTAATTAACTAAAACAATAAATTCAGATTACAATTTATATTATTAGAAAGAGAGTGGTTTTTCTCAATTGAAGCAAGATCTTTTGAGCTCACAGAAGAGAGATCAGATTTATGTATCGAAAAAGTTTAGTAACTTTATTTAATTTTAGATAATCTTATAATTGTCGAAATTTTCATTTTGAAACTTTATTTAGAATTTGCAGCCCCTATTTAATGTTATTCACCTCAAAATGTTATCTCAATGACATCATAAAATTCTTACTAATTTGGACAGCCACAGTTCACGCAAGAGCCACAATTCATGCAGAGCCACAACTCACGCATTTCGCTAAACAGCCACAATTCATGTGTCCCCTTCAAAGTGGATAATCAAAACTTCC